TCCTACCTAGGCAAGCTACTTCTTGTATGTATAATATTCCTTCGTTTCTATGTGCACTCTACACGTTCGTTCGGTGCAGAAAAATATCGCAAGGTATCTGGCACATCTGAGATTCAAGCGTCTGGCTTAGAAGTCTAATTACCAACATATTTAGAAAAAACATCAATGAAATATTCTAAGCGATGTGGCTACCTCATTCCTTACTCGGATAATGTTTTTTTTTCGTTTTATAATATAAGTTAAAATAGTTATTGTATAGGTAAGGATACTGATGTCGCACAAATACTATTAGTTGACTGCTCCCTATTTTATATTTTTGCTCTAGCTATAGACTTTACAGTGCTCGACGACTTCCTTTTCCGTATTAAATTATACCAATGTTGCCTACGAAATTCAATAAAATGAGACGCCAATATTGAGCGTTGAAGCTCAATTAGTACTATGAATAAAGAAAAAAAATCAAACGCTTCCATTCATCTCCTACATTTTTTTAAAAGTATTTCACTGAGATATTTAATAAATAAGAGGCTTAAAGCAATGTCTATTGCATATACATGATTCTATTTCAAGACTTAATTTAAAAACTACTAACTTTTATTTTTATGCAATATTGTGAGGATTACGCAATCACTTTAAAAAAAAAAGAACTTACCAAAAGACCTGTAACCCAAGCCTTCTAGGTGTTGCAGGTGTCTTGGCACAAGTGACAATTTGCTTGTGTGCCCCATGGCCCATAAGAAACTACAAATAGGTTTTTTTTATAATTACACTTTGAATTCATAAACAATTATTGTTGTAAAACTATCGACTATCGTCGGTTAGATGTCAAATGTTATTTCTAATCCGCAAAACATAGAAGGCATAGAAAGGATATTAATGACCATACAAAAAATAGTCACCCTCAAATATTCTCTGTCGTAAAATTGAAACAAAAAACGCATACAAGCAACAAGTGGACAATAAATCAATCGAGCCCTGGATGACGGGACCATTGACATAATGACATCTGTGGCTGATCTTTCACATTCACATCACACATGTTTCGGATGACCACTGCTTTGTATTTATATTGGGATTGTTATGGTTGATTCTGAGTAGTGTTCGTTTCTAGCCTCTGAATATTCATTAGGTGATAGTTTTTGGTGTTTTGTTTAGGGATCTATTACAGAAGAGTTTTATGCAGTGAGACTATAATACTAAGTCTGACGTATGAAATTATTATAGTAACTTTACTATTTCTTTAAATATTATTTTAGTAAAAGACATTAGAGTAGAGGATTAAATCTTAAACATTTGAAATAATTTAAGAAAGTTACTTAGTATAAATACCACCCCATTAGTTACCAATTTAAAATGTTATAGGGTCGTGAGTAATCTGTGCTGTGTGTATCCTGCTGTATTTTACACGATACATTAGTGAACTCAATTAGTAGCCATTGGGTTAAAATTGATGTTAACGCGAAACGCGAAATCAGTTTTTCATGTCCGAAATTTCCGAAAAATATTAATTAAATCTATCATTCATATTTTACACTGAAATTAATTAACTGCTGACATTTGGGGTGATCTCTCCATAAATTTCACATGAATGGTTCATTTTAATTATTATTTGACTGACTGCACTCGATAGCCGTGAATTATTTGAGTGTAATAGAAGTAAATTAATTGGAAAGTAAAAGAGGAAACTAATTATGAAAATATTTAAATTACGTATATCTGATATTCCTGGAACGTGTGATGGAAAAATTTAATTTTTACGTTCTGTGCATGACTAATAAATAACTTTGTTGATTCTATTGTGATATTTTTATAATAGAATTGTTTGTTTTAAAAGGTTAATCGACTTCGCAAACAAAAAGTTTTACCTTAGAAGTCTAGGCACAAAGCATACGATTAGATTGGAATCCAGGCGAAACACTTTTCATTTTATGTAGACTAGCCGTTTCGCGCCCGCTTTGCTGGACGAATTAAAATAAATTTTATGTTTCATTATTTTATTTTTTTTCATATTTTTATTATTCTTCTTTTTAACTTCCCGCTAAGAAAATTGAAATATTTCGAAAATCGAGTTTTTAACAGATGTTGACGTTTAGAGGTTCTAGGAAGCCTCCCCGAATGTTTCCGCGAATTTAATAATTAAATAGCCATCTAGGAAAAATTTCGCATCGAATGGTGGTAGTTTCATGTCGATACGATCAGTGGTTTAGGCGTGAAGGAGCCTCAAACGAAGACCATTTTTCTTTTATATATATAGATAAATCTTCTTTGTCGCAAAAATGTGTCAATTTTCAGTTCTAAGACATGTCAGATACCTAAACTATGTTCATGTAATGGTATAAACATTTCTAATGCAATGTGCAGTGATTATTGTTTCTGAGTGCAGTATAGTTTAGAATTGTTGGCTTAGACCAAGCTGTAACTCGACCGATGGTATTAGTGCTTTCGAAATTCCCCTATGTTGAGTACCTACGTAGATTGCACAGTTTACTATCATAATATAGAGACGACAAGAAATTTCATTGAAAGCTCTCAATTTTTGCTATACGTATATATAATATATTTGTCTACAATACAGATGTATAAAGATTCAGAAAGGTCCAAATAAATCAAAATTCATTTAATTATATTAGTACTATGTCATATAACATGTACACATGATGAAAGTCAATGTTATATATACATAAAATGTATATATATGTATATGTATAATGTGTATATATATATATATATATATATATACATTAAATCAAACACTAACTAAAAATCTATTATTTTATACGTGAGGAACGATGATGATATATCAGTTATTGAATGCAATTACATTGAACATGACTTACAACATTTAGGTGGACTTTTTTTAATGTATGGTTATAGTGAACAAACACGCTCGAACCTTGTTGAGCTGATTTTATTGCCGTATAGGTTTAACAGACTTGGTTAATTAATTAACTCATTGTTCATTCATGTCATAAGCTTAACCGCCTATACATTTATATGGTATCTTACAATTACATTGTGGCGTATAGAAATATCGCAGCATTGTGCCTAAGGGACTTGCAACTTTAAAGGTTTGCTTCGCATTGCACTAGTGAATTTCTATATATATATACGCTTAATCATCGCACGCAGTCACATTTTCGGTTTCAAGAATAGAGACCTTGTAGCGCCGACTTATGGCATTGAAATATTTTATCACACAATAAATATTAGTATGATAAGACGTATTCAATCTGGTTCGAGTAAATGTCAAATCTTTTAAGCGAATATGTATTTTATAAATTAAGTTACAACCTAACTGAGACTAAGGTCACACTTATTATTACTTTAAATATGCCGTAAGGTAAGTAAATGCGAAAGTTTGAAAGCAAGTCGTTAGTAACTCACAATTTTTATTTGACATAAAGTTCAGCAATGAGCAGAATTTTCTATCCACTTATGAATTCGATTATCAAAGTTAATACAGAAAGAAGAACAATAGAAAGACAAACTAACACGAGCGTTCGTTGTTTTTTTATTTACAATCCTCTTCTGTTTGATGTCATGTATATTCAACAAAGTTTATTACGTTAACACAATCTTAGGACTTATTCAGGACAACAAAAGTTAATACATCAAATGTGAAGCCGGTAGACCGGTAGGTCTATTATTTTTAGGCGAGCAAATCTCTGCTTCTTCTGATTATTGTTTCAAACATTGACTGAAACTTTGATCCATTGAGTCTTAGAGACAGATAGTATTACTCTTACTGTATCTTAGAGTGAAATGTACACATCTACAATACCTAATTTTTGATCGGCTTTGAAACCCTATGACGCAAGCCTCAACTAGTTTTGATTTTTACGCACACTCTGGTTAAAATGCCTCCGATTGTGTACATACATAATAAACCTAACCCTTCCTATTTGGTTTGGTATATTTAATTCCTTGAATGCGAAAGCTTCTTTCCTTTGACGCAAAGCTCGCAGCGAAGTTCTATACAATTGTTGTTTTACTGGAAAAGAAAACTTTTGAAATCAAACACATTTATTTTAAATAATTTCTCGGGTCTACGGTTATCAAATGCGAGTGAAGATTCCGATTAAGACAACAACCCGCTTCCACATCGCAACCATGCACGAGACGCTGAAGCTGTACCAGCAGCAGACATTGCGAGGCGCCAGTATGTTCAGATTTCATTTGAACATTGACCAACACGGCTCACTTGTACTCTAATTTAATAGGTGAAGATGCGATACACCGACAGCTCAAAATAATAATGTGATGTATGTGTGAATAGGTGTAAGTCGTTTTTTATTTGATGGGAGATTTGAATATTCTGTCTTATTCATTTCTCGCTTCATCTTCGCCATCTGTCTTCGCCACTTGATGGCGATGTTCAAGCCCTTAATTGTCGTGGTGAGCCATCCGATAGTTTTGAGATAATCCCACCACCTCGAACCATTGATCCTACCCGTAGGGCTCCGTCTGTTACCTTAGCTCTCTTGGTGCAGACATCCCGTACTTATGGATCGGTAGGTTTATAAGGTCTTACATCTCACCCTCTCATATATTTATTTATGTAGTGCAGCTTGCCCATACATACACAACATATACTATAAAGATACTCCGGACTTTTAATACATATAAATTTAACCACACATTTCAAAGGCCTCTGGCTGGCAAGCTGTACAGTTGTATTTCAGCGTTATAAACCACTGTAAGGGTGAATACAGAGTGCCCATCGGTGTCGATATTATAGTCATCACGCATTAAAGCCTAAATTCTGTATGGCTTTGTGTTTTCTCGTGAAAATATTATTTCTATCACATACATTGATAACAATAACTATTTGTGGTTATTTGTTATGCCTTGTTCCGAACTCCAGCCTGCATGCAGTATGTGAATTACGCAAATATTTATTGATGAAATATTTATTCTACGAACTTTATTACATGAACTGTATTATTATTATGTTCGCTAGAGCTTACAGAGAGCGCTAATTGGAATTCATCGGAAAATACTCATACCCCAGCAGCAGGGGGGTAGTTATTTCTGCTCTGCGCTGGTGTTGTAATTCCTAGAATTGGGCTGGCACTGGGTGGCAACGGTTGAAGACACGCCCATTTCAGTATCTGGGTGGCGGTGAGAACTGAGGCTGCAGGGTGGTCAATATTCACCCACACCTCGTCCAGTCTATATTTAGAAAAATAGGTTGAAAAGACCGTGGGAAATAAAATGGCAACTAGCACATGAACTATATCGTCATAGCCTCTCCTAAACAGCATTGGACCTCTTAGATTACGTCACGACCTCGCGAAGGTAGCGTTTAGATATTGGGATTCGATGCTGGGGTAAAAATAATGGTTAATTTACATATTTGAAGAAATATGACTTCCCTATGTCGCAATAAAGGCTTATTGACCTGCAACAGTTTTGTAATACAACATTAATTTAAAAGCAATAAAATTTTTTTAATTAATAATAATAAATTTGTAGTGATTTCAATAACGCACACTCACCCCGCTTTATTTGCGACCCAAAAAGTGCCATGGCCTCCGAAACTAGACATTTCCAGGGCTTCCTGTCCCGTTCCACCTCCATGTGCTTTCATGTTCATCTAAGTCTTTCAAATGTGCACATGAATTCTAAAGTACATTAAATGATTTTACAAACAAGATAATGGAGGTGCCAAAGCAATTTAGTTATTTCTTGTTTGTACTTTGACGAAATCGTCATCACAAAAGTTAAAAGATTACTGTTATTATTATATATAATAATATGTTAAGACGTTCCGTGCTTACACCGCTAACTTAGCGGTTACTTAGCGGCGCTAAGTAACATTATGATACTGCTAAACTAGGGCTGTTTTCTTCAACTATGTTCCAAAGACTAAATGACAAAACATTCTTAGTTTTTATTAACTTAATATTTGATTTCCAGATTCAACATAAAAGTAGGTATCAAGGCCAACCGGCAATGGCGTAACCTGTCCATTGTGATTGTTTTCCCACAATTAATTCTTACAGATTAGATACACGAATAACATACTCAGATCTCAGTTTCATTGTTTATGGATTTAATAATAATAATATTTATTAAGATGTATAGACAGATTATTTCATTAGAAGACGCAGAGAGAATACATATAAAAACTCTGTTGAACATCTTAATAAATATACGACATATCCGTTAACAGTTTGACAATAATTATTATTAGCTTAGCAAAAATTCATTATCCTCACTGAGTCGAATACCACCTCTACCTGTGTCAAGATTTTAAGTGACTAGTTATAAAAATAAATCTTTGCATTTGAAATTACAATAATTTCAAGATTTAGAATTAAATAAAGTTGAGGCAGAAATATATCTATATACTTAAACTGCCATGTAAAGGAGGTAACTGGTGGCACGGGGCTGGCACTTTAGTAGCGTACCTAATTAATAGTGCAATAGATATTAATCACAACCACACCACAACAAAAATAACTGCAAAGAAACCATGTGAAAAATAACACATGTTTTCCATAATAAAACAATAGCCGATTTACAATTAAAGTTATTTTTATGTATTATATTGAATAATGTGAACAAGAAGTAGGTACTTTGCTCATACTGTTACTAAAACTTATATTTTACTACATAATAAGGCGTTTGGGTTTTATATAGTCAAGTTCCCTAAATAAAACAATACTTTTCGAGTTCTTGGAAACATTATACATGATTGTGCATATAAAAGAAAAAATGCTCTCATTTCCAAATGAAACGAGACTTTAAAAAAATGGGGGTGCTACTGCTCCAAAATTGACAAACAATTCCTACTTATCGCAAGGTTTTTCTGAGAGAAAAACATCTCAGTAACTGTATTATTAAACATATACTAAAATCCAAAGTGATTTAATACAACAGAAATAAAATACATACAGTCAAACATGTCATATTTATGCAACTCTCACTCATTTAACAAGACTAACCTACATCTAAAAGCGCCATAGATATCTCCATAATCAATATGTATTATATTATTAACACAATACCACTAAATCATAATTTATTCAAATAAACCGGTATATTTGATAATATTCAATTCACCAGTGCTGTAACAGAGTAAGTAAGTACGTATACACGACTTGTAAGTAGGGCGTACACTTATGGGTTTTTGTCTTTAGAACAATTGTTGACCGTTACTACACGGCATCTCGGACGCACTAGGAATCGCCTGACCTCGTCAGCTGCGCTGAATACCATTCGTAACCCAATGCCTTCTTTGAGACGTGGAATACATACTGCTAGTAATGACATTGAACATATTATGTTCATAGACTTTAAATAACAAAACCGTTATAAATATAGCTAATATTAGCTTTGTGGCTTAATAAACGAATATAAACACGGTACGGTTTGCAACTAGTGAGAACGTAAAACAAGAAATGAAATGGTGGTATATTTCGATTGATTATGATTGATCGTGTGGAAAGATGGATCGAGTCGTGAATGTATCATAGGACAGGAGATGCCTTTAAAACTCGCCATCCTAGTCAAAACTCGTCGTTTTAAAATCTGCCAACTGTATCAGCACTCGAAACGTCCATTTATTTAAATAAAATAATTAATCCACGTTTAATTTCATTTAAATGTGTAACGCGTATAGCAAATTAATATAAAAATGTCAAAGTCATTATCGAATGTGTGTCTGTTGTCCAAAGAACAACATACAGGCGCCGATCTCTCAATATTATGCAGGACTAATCAAGTTGGATTGGCCTTGCGAGAAAGTTCTATGCACTGTTATGTTTTAAGACGTTTTTCTTTTTTATTTATTCCATAATATCATATTTTTTACATGGTATGGAAGTTTACTATTTTAAAATAATTCAGGCTTTCAGGTGCATAATATGCTATATCTTGAATATAGTATACAAGAACCAAGTCGAATATGAAACTTATCCTATCGTAGGTTTTTAGTTCAGTTACTATTGTTTTGATTATTGTATAAAAAGATTCTTGTATGTTTGAGAACTGTCGAATTATATCGCGGGGACTTGAATCGTACGAAGGTCGTGGAAGGTACGCTGAGTTAAAACAACATTAGCAAAACTTTTTTTAAAACATAACGTATAGAATATATAATTTTTATCACAACCTGTCCTTAATGATAAGTCGAGGGTTTCTTAAAAGGACGTTATGAAAGCAAGCCGATTTTGTGAACTATTATTCTCTTCACCTTGATAATAACATTCACTAGTTTTGTAAACTGTTTGTGCAATTGAACTTTTAATTTACGAGTGACTTGATATATTGCACAACTTTTAATTTATTAAGTATTTTTATTGTTCAAGAAAGTTATAAAATAGGTAACGGGTAAAATCGTTTGATTAGAAATGATCCTTTTATTCCGTATTGAGAGATTTTTTTTTTTTAATTAAATTGAATAGATAAACCAACGTGTCATGTATAAGTGTTGTCTGTCAAACTACTTTAAGTAAATACAACAATCCAGTTTTTGTACCATACAGATAAATATCGAACTTATTATAATTATTAATATAATATTCATGAATGTTGTTCTTTGACCAAAGCTGACCAAAGGGGTGCTGCTGCAGAGGTTCAATCCATATTTGTGCTGCAGAAGCGGGCTGTTCGGGGTATTTGTTGTGTTTCTCCGAGGGAGTCGGTACGGAATAAGTTTAAGGAATTAAATATTATGACACTGGTCACACTATCTGGTCAATATATTCTTGAAGCCTTGTTGTATGTCCAAAAAAATATAAACGATTTTAAAACAAATGGTGACTTTCACCAGTATAATACGCGAAATAGAACTAATTTGAGTGTACGACCAACCAGGCTCCAAAAGATAAACCACTCCTTATATGGAAATTGTATTCGTTTTTACAACAAGCTCCCAAGCGAAATTAGAGAATTATCACTAAATAAATTCAAAGCCCTCGTTAAACGAAAATTAATCAACAAAGCTTTTTATAAATTTGAGGACTACTTAAATGATCCTAATCCTTGGGATTGAATTGCTCCAGTTCAAACAATTTGTATGACAATACTTGGCGATTAAAAAAGAGTGGCGGAAAGTTTCTTGCCAGTTCTTCTTACCCGCTCTACGCCCTTGACTTGCGAACTGGTAGTAAATGTAAATTTACGATTAATTTAACTTGACGATTCAAAAGTGTACTTGGTGACCTACTTGAATAAAGATATTTTGAGTTTGAGTTTGAGTTTGAAAGAACAAAAGTATTGTTTACTTCACGCGTCAAAATTGGACCATAGACGTGACGAGGGCAGCAAATATGTTTTGTCTCGTCATTTACAGCATTTTCTTGTGAAATAAAGCTTTAGTGGCTGTTTACAAATTAGTCTCGGATAGTTATGTAGTGCAAGTCCGAAACTAAGACGTGAACCGATTGACCTCGATACTTTAACGGGCAATAGTTTCGTAACAATACAAAAAACAGAACAATCGAGTATAGAACAAGCGTTGATCGAAAATGTAATCTGTTTCGTATCTTATTGAAATATTTTTAATATTTTTAAAATAAGGGCAGGTTAAAAACAACCATAACTAATGAACGTGTTCGTTAATGCAAGCGGAGGAACTGAAAGTCTATTTTCAGGATCGTAGCACAGGGAGATTTGTGGTCTTTGCGTAAAAGCATAGACTCCAACAAAGGCCCGTCCGTAGTAGGTCCCGATACACGGATGATCCCCTTACGATAGCTAACAATACAATAAAAGCCGCCCGCGCGGCATAGTCTGATTAGGGTAAAAATCTACGTTTGCCAAGCAAAATGGCATTAAAAAGTGGTCTGTACTTTCGGAACAGGAGTTACACAAATACATTTAAAAATATATATGTTTGAAAATTTTTAAACTTACGTGTAATCTAGATTTATTCTATTTAGTAAAACAAAAACAATTTGAATATAATTAATATTATAAGAAATTAAATTTAGTCAGACATCATGAGTCCTTTGTGTAGAACTTCGAGAACTATCTATTTTCGTATTCTATAAAAGCAATAAACAGTGAAGCAAAATCAAACATCAATGAAAAATGCAAGTTGCAAGATTGCTTGCAAATTAAATTTCACTTTGCGTCGTGTAGTTGTGGCTTAGCCCAAATAGGAATGATTTCCTGTGTGAGAGAAAAGTGTTAAGCTAAACGCGTGTTGATCTAATACTATACTTAATTTATTGCCTCGCCTACGTGTACCATTTACTCTTGTATATTGATTTCTATAACTTTTTACTTCGTGTTGCCTGAAATTAAACAAATCTTATTCATATGACTCTACCATTCTACTTTCACCGTTCTAACTAAAGTACTCAGCTAGCTGTTAACACATAAAGAGTCAGTGAAAAGATTGATTTAAATTACATCAGTAAACAGAATCTATGTTGTGTAACTTTTTATTATATTTATCAGTGAAATTTCTTATGCTACAGAAGCGCATTGTGTTGAATGCATAATAACTTCCATACCCATTTTGGCAACAGTTTCCCAAGGCAGTCCGCGTCATTATTACGCATATTAAAGGGGACATACAGTATTATATAAGAAAAGAGCCACGTGCCCAGAAGGTGTACATATTTTAGTACACATTTGTATTTTAGTTGCATTTCGTTAGGTAACAAAAGAAAGCTAATGATCACAGTCTATATTCTATTGCAACCATATCATACACAATATACATTGTTTTGTAACTGAGTCTATGGAAGACTGTGTCAAATTTCATAAAAAATTATAGACATATACGTAATAGATAATGTGTAAATTATTTTAGATTGATTTCTGAGACATTTATCCTTCTACAATCTTTTTCGATTTTAAAACTAATAAAAAATATAAATAGTACATAAAAAAACTCACTTCAATAATATTACATAGTATTCCACTAGCTGAAAACTAAAACGGTTATTTTTTACAGATGAAAGGCGCTGTGGCCATCCAGCTGTGCCGCCTAACGCAAGAGTATCACTTTCAAATAGTGACATTGTGCCTGGAACTCTGGCCACATATGAATGTGACGAGGGTTATGAACTCTTCGGAGGGCATCAGAAAGAGTGCACCGTTAGGGGCGATTGGAAAGGAGATTCACCATTTTGTGGTACGTAATGAAAGAAACAGTATAGGCATTATTTGAGGACGTTTCAAGATTTAAAATGGACTATTTTTAATGTTATATTAAAAGTTCATTCTAACCCCTTCGTTCGTATTTCATGTACATATATTCGATATAAATACTGAAACGAACTTAAAGGCATTTCATGTAGGCTAAATACGGGATTAGATTATCATCTCCCCACCAATTCATATAATTATGTATATATAAATGAAACCATGGGGGCAAAGTAGGCATATATAAGAGGAAACAGGAACGAGGAACGAAGTATTACTTTAATATTTGTATTTATTTATTTACATTTCATAATACACATAATTATACATATATAAAAAAAAACAAAAAGTAAGTAGGTTACATAAGTTATTAGGCAACGGGCGGCCTTATCGCTAACAAGCGATTTCTTCCAGGCAACCCTAAAATGGATCAATAGAAAAAAAGAAACACCTACAGAGGGTAAAGTACAAGAGATGCATAATTAATTAACAAAAAGATACTAAAAATAATATGCAACTATAACTAATATTAATATATTAATAATATTGATTACTTGCTAAGGTTAAAATAGCTTATAAATTACTTTTAATAATAATCATGAGTTTGTAAGCACTATTACTATCGACTATCGGATAGTCGTTGATTAATAGATTTAGTTAAATTGCCAAATCGAATAAACCATAAATATTAACGGTTTAAAATTTGACTTGTCGTTGTTAATTTATAAGCTCTGTGAAATATAATGTCAATGGCAGGTGACAGTGACGCCATCACTCCGACATATATATTATACATAAATGCATTCCCCCTATTGGGTATAGACTACAAAGCAAGCGTTAGGAGCCATTAAAATCCAGACTGCGACTATATTTAATTGTGTCAGTATTGTCATAACGTTCCCCTATGGGAATATTAGATTGCAAATTTAGTATTGCGTGTAGAAACCCGAAGTGACTAATGATTATGTATACTTGATCATAATACATATTATGATTAAACTAGGTAACGACACTATTATATAAAATAAAACACTTAAATGACCTAATTCGGATCAACGATACTCTCTACAATTTTATAAGTTTTCGTAACCTTCCTTCGAATCCAAAATTTCCACATTTTCGACTATCAAATACGCTGAGTGTTTCCTTACCTTATTAATTTAAGGGGTTGTTTGTGTAAAGATAGGGCTTTAATATAATATCAAATTTATAGAACCTGCACAATAAAAACATATTTTTTAAAATTTTTACCACCACATTGTTTTAACTAAAAAGCTTTCTGTCAAAAAGTTTTAATGAATAGCGACAGGTCAGTGTTTTGGTTATGAATAGGGAGGTGAGAGTAGAATATTTTTTGTCAATAACCTATATACATACACAGTACAGTAAAGGAACTAGTACTAAACAAAGAAAATACTGATTAAATTATAAACAATCAATCAGAGTTATCTTTATTTTGATTGAAGTAATAAACCAAACAACGTTTATTCGTTTAATAAAATTTTCCGTGTTATAAATTCCAATTTTTACAGTGAGATAAAATTAACTAACGCTTAATATTATTTTTAAAGTATTTGCATTTAATTGATATTAAGTTCGTTTCTCCCCCATCCATTAGGCTTAATAACTACACTAGATTAGCAGCGATGTACCGACGGAGCTTATAGGTTTAGCTCTGTAAAAGCTATCTAGAAGTACTTAATGAATTTTTAACAATCGCAAAAAGGAATCGATTTATGTTATGTATTCGTTAAATTCGTACATTAGTAAAGTTCGTTCGTTACAAGCTTATAATAATTTAATCTCTCTCTCATTTCAACACGATCGCGCTTCATTATAGCTTTTTTAAAAATTGCTAATAAGACAAATGAAGGTAGGAAGGCAAATGGAATATAAGTTATATTTATGTAATAAATAATAACATTTTTTTTTTAGTTTTCGAATTAACATGACTTGATTCTGTATTGTTTGGATGAATGGTACCAAGAAGTACTCATATAGGTACCATTACATTACACATACATAAATATATAAAACAAATATGAGGAAAAATGGGGCTACCACCATAATTTTAATGATGTTTTATCATATATGTATTTTATCATTATGGCAAAAGTGCAGGCAGAAGTGCATAATATGTGGTTTATGCGTACTTATTTCTTACATTTTAAGTATAATATCTTAAATTATAATTGTGAAATTAGCTGTTCCATCTTCAGTCCTAATATTAAATTGAGGCTTTTACGACTTCTAATTACTATCAGAATCCGAGTGTAGATTAGCGGATATTTTCAGAACCAGAATGCGCTGAACCAGTAATGCGTCACAAATTTAATCGTTAGATGAAACTTACATTTCTTACAAACCTCGCACTATTCGTTCTTCGTTGAATATAGCCCATTTTCGCTAAACAAAAGAAACAATATCGTGTATCACTTAGTTTTTGGACAGGTAATATGTACTACCTATCATAGATCCTGTTACAGTGACTGAGATGCTAACTTAATAGGTAAATGCTAGATAATCTAATTTGACGTGAAATTTGTACTCAGTTGTTTTAAGTTTCTATTATAAAAAGGTAGTCGGGTCTTTACTATGTTAAATAAGATTTATACTATGCTAAATAAGATTGAATTAGCATTCAATCTTATTTAATTCAATCAAATAAGATTGAATGCTAATAACATTAACAAATTATACAATTTAAATCATATTTTTATATGCAATATTTATTATTTGGTAGTTAAAAGTAAAAAAGAAATATTTTCAAAATTTGTTCATGGCTGATTACTCCAATAATAGACACGTTTATTAATAAAAAAAATCTGGGCTCTTGTTAAATCTGTCTCGTCTAAACTTAATTACCAACGCCAAGTCTACCACTTAACAACTGTTCGTGTAAATCACCTGTCTTTTTTACAGGAACAAATGTTGCATTCCGAAAGCCAGCGAATCAATCAACAACTGTACGGGGTGGTATGGCAAGTAATGGTAATGATGGTGAAAAGACAACGGAACATGATGGAAAGCGGTGCACGGAGACCCAGAGGGAGGCTTCTCCGTGGTGGCAGGTCGATCTTCTGCGGCATTATGCTGTGAAAGTTGTCAGAGTTACAACGAGAGGTTGCTGTGGTAAGTTATTCCTTTATAAAATCTAAAATTGGTTGCATCACCAACTATCCGTGAATTGAATGAGCGACAATACACCTTTAAGCTCATGCTTTGTCTCTATACATTGGAAACATCAGTAGGTTGTTCACGTACTACTTATGAGCTCCTTACGAACGGAAACGTAAGTTGTAACGTTGACAACGGGCAGGCGTGATAATCACCTTACCCTATACGTCCAATCAATAGGAAGCAGGCAAACTAAAGCTTAATATCATTAACAAATATAGAAAATACATACACATCGCCTAGTTGTTTTTGCGAACAATCTGTACGATTTTGAACTCATATAATTGAATCAATACCCGCCCTAATGCGCCGTCGATCTAGCTATGTATAAAGAACGAGGGGAATCACTCACTGGGCTAATTTTTATTTTTATTTTTACGTCTACGTATTTTTTGTTCCATTCCTAACATTATTAGTTATAGCAAAGCTTTACTTTGTATTTTATGATATTAAAATATATTTTAAAGGCACGACATTGGACGTTTTATTAAAGAGAAGGTGGATATTACACGCTACTACAGCTATTATTAAAAGGTTCTCAGAGCGGAGCTATATTACGGACTATCTTGTTTCGAGAAATTTATATATTAGCATCATTGTAAAGGGTATCTTTATTAGAAAAAGAGACATCCGACTTATTAACTTGGATGAAAATTAAACCTGAAGCTGAAGCTTAATTAGCTTTTATGACTATGCTATATATATATAGCATGTTTTCCTGATTCATTAACAGCATAATATGTTATGTTATGGTGTTTTGCCGGAAACACCAATTACTTCCGCCATAATCATTATGATTGATATATATAAACTAATATGAGTTTATTTTAGTGATAATTATAATAAATCCCTTTGTTTCACTAAATGAAAATAGTTTTACGATGGTAGACTATTGTACTTGAATAGTAAAATGTAAACTAAAAATTAAAGCGACCGTGCTAAATTTAAAATAACCAATTATTATTATTATTATTTATTCGTGAGTAGTTGCGCACTTTCTTTTTGTTTTTTATTAAAGTAGTTCGTAAAACATTTTCATTATATAACAATAGTATATGTTTAGCTTCTATACAGATCTCAGCTTGATATTATGTTAACAAACACTTAACGAGGTTCAGTTGGAATTAGTGATTTCAGTAAATTTATTATTATATGAATTTTGATTTTTCTAACAATAACAGTTACTAGGACATAGTTTTTATATAATCGCTTACATAAGCCTGCTTTAATTTTTCTTCCTTCAGACTGAAATAATACGCTTTGCAATTGAACGCTCAAAACCACGAGACATTGTTAGAGGGAAACTAGTTTTTGTTTAGAAGATATTATTAAATTATCTAAATCATTTATATTTCGACTTTCTGTGCAGGTCATCAACCGTTACAGGACCTCGAGATTCGAGTGGGGAACAGCAGTACCGATCTCCAGAGAAATCCTTTATGTGCCTGGTTCCCTGGTACCATAGGTAAGTAATACCATTTCAGAGGAACCATTTATGGCTGTTAGGTTTTTTTAGTTTCTTTATCTCAACGATTTGTGGGTTCGGGTGCTTACTTAAAAGTTACATTCTTTAAAATGAACTTCTTATTTTGAATTTATGTTATTAGAGATATTATAATCGACTACTACTAAGCTTACAATAAATTATATACGTACGTATATAAATGTATTGTGGAACTACTACATATTTAGTGGAATATTGAGATATTATCTAAGACATAGATTTAAGATCTCTTGAGAACAATGCGTAAATAATATTTACAGTTGCGTCAAAAGCGTTCTATTTCCGTTTATGATCTCAATATTTGTTGCTCAACGCACATTCACCACTTCCCTACAACAGGTCAGTAGTTCATTCACAGTTTCATTAAAACCACTTTGCGTTTCCCTAAAATAAAACAAATTTTCTTAAACGCTTTAAACTTTTCGAAAAAGAAATTAGAGTTGTTGTAGCTGGTCAATTAAGAAGTACAATTCTTTATCCGCCTTTACGAATTAGGGCTAACGTAAAATTATAACAAGACACCCAATACTAAACCTGGCCTTTGGTTACTTGCTGTAACCACATTGTATATTTTGCGGACTACAAAAATTAAACATAATTAAGGATACATGATTTCACTAATGTACCTATGCGTATAGGTAATTTGGGATATATTAAAAATCGCTTAAACTTTGGCAACATCAAATCGCAAAATGGCTTTCAGTAAAACGTCAGTTTGTATTTTCGTTCCTTTTTGAATCTGAAATGAAAGTTACACAGGTGCCTTTGATCAGCCTTTGATTGAATTTTTGAGCGTTAACTGCTTGTTCCACACATGCAGTTAACGCTCAAAAATTCAACTTTTTTCTGATGGAACGTCACCTAGGGCCAAACGAATTATTCAACGTGCAGGTATTCATTTAATTGAAACTATTATTATTAAATGGAATAGGTTTTTATATATTTCAACACGTAATAAATTGTCCGACGACTTAGAGAAACAGAGGCATTAATAATCATATAAACGTTGCAATAACGCTAAATATTAAACGTATAAACTCGTTAAGACTTATTTTAAAATAAGTCGGCAACAAAATAATCAAGTATCACGTGTGGTGTATCTCACATCGACGAGATTACCGCGGAGCTCAGCGTCGGCAATAATATTAATCTGATCTGATCGTTTATTGCCGTGTTTTCACATATTTAAACCACATATGATTTCATATCGAGTTATTAATTTCTACCTATAATATAATAGTTTATTAGGTTTTAAATAAGTGTCTCTAGCGGATATAAACGTTAAAATTATATTATCAACTTGAGTCAAATAGATATACATCAGTCGTGTTTAGCAGTGTAACTATTTTTTGGTACTATTTTTTAAATTCAAATCCAAAATCATTTATTCGAAGGGAATCCATTATCAAAATCCTTTTACTTTAAAAACGCGTATATGCAAAAATAGTCCGACTTCATATTGTAATAACATTCAATTTCTCCGTGTTCAAAAATTAATTAGCACAGCGATTTTCATTGAATGAAATCAGTCGTAGCGCCCATCAATGAGAAGAAAGTGGAAAGCTATTCACAGGCTCTCACAAGCACTTACTTGAGAACCGGTGTAGAAGCAGGCTAATGATTCGCACGCCGGCCTCTAGTATTGTCTATGTAAGTTATCAACATAGCCAATTCTAATATTAATTTATGTTCTTCTTCTAAGTCTGTGGAGACTATCCAAAATGTGTTTTGAGTTCCGAAACGAGAAATTTCTTGTGACACTTCCCATCTGATATTGGCTTCACCAGGCCCTCCTCAACTCGCTCGATCCAGCGGTAAATGGGCCTGAAAACTGGCCATCAGCCACGTTGTACTCTGGTACATTTAAATTTTATTTATTTTTAAATTACCGCTGTTACGAAAGCGGTCATATGTCAGCGCATCTGACTAAATATAATATTAACTTGCCCGACGATCGGCGATTATTGAAATTACGATTGTCGCCTTATAATGCTATTTTAAATATTGAACCCAGACGTAAATTGCTTAAAAATGGGTAAATTTGTTTATTTATATTAATTAAACATCATTTTAACGTGGAAACTAGTATAAATCTTGCAAATTTTTGCGAGTTTTATATGAGAAGATATACATGTATGTAAATTAATTCAGTTATTATCAATATAACATTATGATAACAACATGTTTATGAAGATGCACATATCAGTCTTAATTTTCTCTAATGTTGTAGGAATGTTCATGGAAAATTTTAATATATGAGAGCATGAATAATTTGAATATAATCAGCACGCAGTGAACCGCTCACACGTCAATTATATAATTAAAAAAATAACATTGCGTAACCCAATATCTAAGTCGTTACATAGACTGACTAATTAGTCCAAGAACTCTTGGGAATGTCTACAGTCAAAATAGACAATTAAACGTGAAGATTATAAACGATAGTAAAAAATTTGAATGCAACATCCTCTTTTAATATTTCATTGCTTTATTTTGCTAATAAGATACAATAAAACTTTAATGATAAGTAGACATACATCTTATTAATCGCGTTTTAAATTATTTACTGGCAAGCTTCCTATTCTGAGATTCAGAAACGAGACTTACGGGAAAGCGGGAATCTTGCCCCTAGACGCTATAATCTTCATTTCACGGAAGATACCTTTATTAACTGTCATTTCATAAAATGATATTCTGTCTATTGAGGTTGTAATAGTTATCATTAAACATTTCTTTTTTCATTTATACTCTTTCAATGAAACAAAGCGACATTACACCAGGTTTTAATCACTTGTTACGTAATTAAAAATCCCTTAGTATCCTGGTTAACAATCAAAGAGTCGAGTGCGGAAAATCACTGTTTTATCATATGCATTCATATTGACCTCAAACGATTTTCTATATACATAAAGTGAATTGTTTTATTGATTTTAATTTAATGTACAGAGAGATTACACAACACCTCCGCGCAATTTAGTTCGCGTGGATTGTATTCATATACAAATAATTTAAAGATCTTAACATCAACATGTCCACCAATGACCAAACCATTTACTCTAGTTAATTATAGAGATGATGTCGAGATCATTAAAAGATTGTATAATTGCTAATCGTCGGCAACGGCTTCTATGAATTAAACAATCATACGTATATGGAGCATATCTGCTATAATAATAATCTTTAATTATTGTCGTGTAGGAAGCTGGAAGCCAGCCATTGTTAGGTTGACCTTGGCGTGAGCTGGACGAGTGAATGGCCCGCAAACCGCACTTCAACAATAAGATAGCATTCCATAGTTTATTTCAAAGGAAAACTTTAGAATGTGATCATTACTAGAAATACCTCTTATATTAAATTATTAAAAGAGGTACTAAGAATCGTTTTTTGAGAGCTACCTTAAACCACTTAATTAGAATTTAAGTATGTGAACCATGAATTCAAAGGAAAGCTAAAACGTATGTTTACACTTTACTTCTTTAACAGTGGACTAATCGGGAATAAAATTTCGTTCCTGGGTTGCATAGATCTGTTAATATAAAACAATATAAAAATGTGTTTATTCATTATAAGTAAATATGCATTACAATGTGTAAGATTTGGGAACCCTTTTCAGTAAAAAATACCTGTGTCAGGGTTCCTAGCTCTTCCATAAACAACTTAATAATACATTCCTTAAAATATATTTTATTTTATTTATTTTAGTTTTTTATTTTTAAACTGTTATCAACACGCCTGAGTGCATGAGTGAGTGTGTGGGGGTATGTTAGGGAATGAGTAAGTGTGTGGGTGCAAATGTGTGAGTGAGTGAGTGAGTCAGTGAGTGAATGAATAAAGTGTGTAACTATATATTAGGTCTCAGAAGCATCCCTAACACTATGTAAGGTTTATGAACACACCAGTCCTTTAGTTGTAGACGGTGAGCGGGTAAATATTAAGCGATTAAATTTAATTTATTATACATATAGTCTGCTTGTGTATTGCGACTGGCGAAGAACTCGTATACTCTATATATTATACGAGTACCATTTTATAAAGACGACGGATAGTACGATTACGATAATCAATCAAAAATCGTGTTGAGATTAACATTTTAACCTGTTCCTTTTATATTACGTTTGTTTCAAATGAATTATCTTTCAACAGATGAAGGAATAACAAAGACTTTCACTTGTGCCCGACCGCTTATCGGACAACATGTGTTTTTGCAACTTGTTGGCGTCGAAGGGTCCCTTTCGCTTTGCGAAGTTGAAGTATTCACGACAGAGGGTGAGTATTGAGACAAATGATAGTAGAAATATGTTTATTGTACTACCTTACAATAAACATATTTTTTATAGATATTACTAATAGATTACAAGAGGGAAACTAGTATTTAATGCAGTTGTGTGTGATATCCCGTGGATTGTACATACAAAATTGATTAATAAATGTTGATATATATTGAAGATGTCTGTTATTGAGCTTTTAAAAATACATTTAATTGATACGCTTTTTCCTCAATTAAGTGAATAATGGATACAAAATACTAAATAGGATTATTTCGTTCTCGCTAAATCACGATTTTAATTAAGAGTATTTTCAATATTATTATGTAAGCAGATTAGTTAATTAAAAATCGTATGTCTCTGTGAATAATACGTAACAAATACACACTTTATTATAACAATTACAGTATTTCTCTAAAATATTTCAATTTGAATTATTCACATAGGAATTAAAGTTAGATTAACGGCATCTATTTTATTGTCATTGATGATTTTTGTATTTCAATGACGTACAGAATTTTCGAACGACCGGTGTGCGCCTCCTGGAACCTCAGCTGACGTAGAGCTGGCAGCTTTTTCAAGAACCTGCTACGAGTTTAACGTTGCCAAGGGCGCATCGTTTGAAGATGCGAGAAAACAATGCCAGTCACATGGTGGTGACTTAATTAATGGATTTCAAGTGAGCTTTTCGTCTTAAAATACTTTTTCAATACTCTCTCTAAAACTTATTGCTTTTAAGAATTGGCTCGTTGCTCTTTCGAGATTTTTGCTGAAACACTTATTATTTATTGTGAGCGCATTAAGGTGTTAACTAATAATAATAAAATCATTTCAGCCTTTTGACGTGAACCCGTAGGTTTAATTGGATGCGTCAAATATTTTTCTTTAATGTTCAAAATTTATACAAGATTTAAGAACCTCATATAATTAAAATCGAATGTATTTTAAAGACAATTCTTGTTACCTACAATATTTGCCCAGCGTCGTTTTTTAAAGCTATATTAAAAAAGATGTTTGATCACTTAAATTATGTCATGTCACTTTTTACTAGGGTGCAACATCAAGTTATCTCATTCAAGAATTGGAACGTCGTAAATCACAGCTGAAAACACAACTTGTATGGATAGGCGCACAAAAGGAGCCTGGTCTTACGTCCAGAACATGGAAATGGGTTGATGGTGAGTTTAAATAATCTATAAATGATAATAACAGTGAGATAGTTCATACTGGCATATTAGGCCAAGCCTACTTGCTAGGATTTGACCATCGTTTGTACCTACGCCATCGAGTAACATCCAAAAGGTCGATATAATTCATTTCTGATTACTCTGAACGAGAATATACTGGTAATTTAATTATTAAAATGATTTCAATATCTAACTGATAATTAAGTAAAAAATTTCTGGTTTCTATTAAAATTTCGTATTTCATAATTAAACATTAAACGCTTGACTCACAGGCAAAATGATTTACAGGCGAATTAGTTTATAATAGTTACATATGTATAATGTATAACATTTTCTTTATTAATTAATTGTATCTGTGGCATCGAGTTACATCCAAAAGGTCTATAGAATGCACTAACGAAAAAAATTAGAATGATGGCAATATCTATTTCATAATTAACTAAAGAAATTTCGCATTTCAAAATTAAACACTAAACGCTGGACTCACAGGCATTATGATTCACAGGCGAAATAGTGTCGAAGCCAACGTGGGGCAAGGATCAACCAAACAATTACAATGGCGAACAAAACTGTGCCGTATTAGATGGCGGACGAGCCTGGCTATGGAATGATGTTGGATGCAATCTGGATTATTTGCACTGGATCTGCCAGTACCGTGAGTGTCTCCTTAATAGGTACATATCTATAATCTTATTCAATGACGCAACAGCGACCGTATTCTGAACTATTTGGCAAAGGTTACACAGACCACGAATTGAAACTTTGAACGAAATCCATTACATATCTTCATGGTATAAACTACGGGAAATATTTTATTTATATTTTCGGATTAAAATATGACAATATAATGCAACGTAATTATAAGGGACTCCTTTTAATAATATATTTTAGTTATTATATTATATTTTTAAAGGTTTTTAAGTATTACTTTTATGTCATACAACATTAATACTTCCTGTATCAAAGTATTGATTATATGCGAACTGGAAACCAGGCCGTGAGTTTGATTGGGGTAGCAGTTATTAATAAATGTTGGCTTTGTCTAGACTCTTCTGATTTGATTTTAGTTATAGTTCTATCAATTTGGTAAATATAGAATAGGTTGAGTGTTTCATTTCATTCGGTGCCTTTTACATTTATTCATTTAAATATAAATCTAATTATATAAGTTAATAACAAGCTAAGCGAATCCTATTTTAGAACTTTTATCCGCTGTTTCAACACCAAATAACCAAAATATGTGAAGCCTTATCTGGCTTTGGGGGCTAACAACAAAATATTGCTTACGCACAAGAAAACAACAAAGTTATTTTCTTGTAATTATTTGTTTCCCTGTTCACGTGTATTTACATTATCGCTGTCGTCTTTTGTGAAGCCCAGGGTCTCTAAAAATTATGTATCAATTTGTTTTTGCAAACATCTATAACTACTAAATAGTTGCTATTTGTACATAATGATAGGGCCTCGCTTATGTAATATAAATTTTAATCACCAAAATAGACAATTTAGAAGACGCTGCTACAGTGTATGTGTAATGCAATTGCGAATTAGTTCTTGATGTTCGATATATTTGCTCTACAGTAGTGAAACTACTGATCTATCTACAAATCTCAAACAATAAAAAATGCCTGCGGTTTCATACGAGAATGTCGTATTGTTCACACAGCAGCAAAGCGAAAGTAAACCAATGCGAAATATTCACATTACGTTTTACTCGACTACGAAGTCTATAATTATTGTCTATGAAGTATATAACTACTACTGCTTAATGGAGTACATATTTAAACTTCTTAACCGATTTTGTATAAACACCTTAGGGCGTTGGAGTAACAATACAATCATAGGTACATTGCTCTTTGCGTTAATTATTATTATAGATAAAGCAGCGAAAGTTTAAAATAATTAACTTAATTTGCGATGTGATTAAAATAAAGTATCTTCATCCTACAGTGCCGCCATCTTGTGGGAGTCCCGATAAACTACTAAACACTACCATCGAAGGGAACAGTTACAAAGTAGGAGCTACAATTGCTTATAAGTGTCCAGAAGGTCATATGCTGATTGGTGACAAGACCAGGGAATGTAAAAAGATGGTTTCTGGTCAGGCGCAGCCCCTAGCTGCAAATGTAAGTACTATGTTCTTAATTGTAACAATTGGTACAGGGTACGACATAATTTTTCGGTGTCACAATAGCTATTGGATTACAGAGTACCGATGCTGGTATCGATTTCCTCTGAAATAATAGTCTTAGGTTGACAAACACAAACCAAACAAAATATAAATGAATCAGAGGAAGAAATGAGGCTGCCTTAAGATGTTAAATAATGAATTGGCCCATCCATAGGAATTTCTTGTGATACTATTTTGAGATGACTCTGATCATATGACAGAGGCTCGTTCGTATCTAACTAGTGTCATTGTAAAAGGCATACCTACAAGTATATTATGATACAGTTCTCAATATGTTACCTTGTTTTATTAAACGTAGCGATTACAAATACATATATACTAGTATATATAGTTTAACCTACAGATAACAGTCATTTTAACATATTGTATAATCACTAATGTAAACAAGCAATTCTAGCTTCATTTTAATTATAAGTCCAATAGCAGGAAGTTAACTGGTATCTAGTTTTGCTAGTTTTGATTATTTTTCTAGAAAACAAACAATCACTAATATTCTACCTTGGTATAGATGTCAACTGTGGTGGCCTATCGTCAATCCAGGACGGCGAAGTCACATTAGTAGAAGGGCGTACAACTCACGGAGCGAAAGCTGTTTACTCTTGTCGTGAGAATTATACCCTCGTTGGAGAACCTGAGAGGACTTGCGGAGACGAAGGTTTATGGGGCGGAGAGACTCCTAAATGTCTCTTTGACTGGTGTCCTGATCCTCCTCTTGTTACTGGAGCCACAGTCACTGTCGATGGACATAAAGCGGGGTCCCTAGCGTCGTACATATGCCAAAATGGATTCATTCTTTTTGGACAGCCGGTGTGTATCTATTAATAATTTAATTACATTTATTCCGTTCCTTTGTTAATGCATATGATGTATATCTTAAAGCTTTTCGGTTCTAGCGAAACAATCATTGTCTAGGCTCTGTTACCTACCTACCTACTGGTTGATGGTTTCTATGGGTTTTAATTTTAACTTAAACTCATATACGTACAAGGTTCTCTAATACATATTATATTGTAGAGCATGACATGCACTCTGGGTGGCGTCTGGAGCGGCAATACACCTTCCTGTAAATATGTTGATTGTGGCACACCGGCTCAACTCTATAAGGGTTCCTTCAAGTTGCTTAACGGAACAACGACTTATGAGTCTCTAGCACAATTCAACTGTGAGCCAGACTACTGGCTGGCAGGAGCTGAGATATTAACGTGCAATCGAGATGGAAAATGGTCTCATGATATTCCAGCATGTGAATGTAAGTATCGGCAATAATATTAAAAATAATCTTCATCATAGATAACTTCTATGTTCATAGTCAATTCGAACGAAAGGTTAAGCGATAGCGCGTCACGTTTGATTACAGTCTCACACGCCACACTATTTCATCCATCTTCATTGGTTTATTATAATTCTACCTATACAAAAATGCCTAATTGGTAAGGTAAATGACGTTTAATTCTTTTTAGTGATAACGTGCGACACCCCAGATGTTCCGCCAGGGGGTTACATGGAAGCCTATGATTATAATGTACATTCAACAATCGATTTTCATTGCGAGAAGGGACATAAATTGGTTGGCCAGCACAGCTTAATATGTCAACCGGACGGTGAATGGTCGGGCGAATCTCCAAAATGTGATTGTATGTACTTTTCGTATTCATAGCGTAATTTATACCTTAATTAGTTGAATGATATTGGCGTTCGTTTGTCATAAGAGGGTTTGAAGCGTTAATGGTTCATCGTGTGTTTCGGAATCCTGAGATAGTGCGTTCTTTTTAGAATAATTTTTATGTATTACAACATAGATCTTTTTCTTCTTACCTTTGAGTAGTGTTTTTAGAAATTAAATTTTTACAAATATATACTGATTTGGTATATTTGGCACCCGCAATGTGGCAATGACTCTTTCTTATGTATAAGAAAATATTTAAAAATATTTACTTTAAACAGTGTACGCTAATATTTCTAGCCTAACCTCACAAATTCAACTGGCGACTTAGAAATTATAATTGTCATAAATCCTTGCAGACGTTGACTGTGGAAAACTTCAGACGTTACCTTATGGCATGGCTGAATTCCTGAATAGCACCACTCACTTAGGCAGCGTTGTACAGTACTCTTGCACTGCTAATTACCGACTCGTAGGTCCTGTAAAGAGAGTGTGCTTGGACACCTATCAATGGAGCGAGTTCTCACCTAGATGTGAAGGCAAGTCATCATAATACTTATATAAAACCACTTATCATTCAACCAAAGTGTTTGGCAGTCTATCCGGAAATATACTTGAATTAGATTGTAGTTTGGATATTAACAAAAATCTACGAAAACAGGATAAGCATTGTGCGACAAATACACATACTATTGATATTAGGATATCCTTTGTTTTTAATATGATTCTTCGGAGTACAAGCGTAGGTTGACACCAAACCCGAGCACAGTTAAATAATAAATCATTTGGCTTATTTATCAATTCCAAGCAGTGTTGGCGTAGTGGTTTCAACGTGCGACTCTCCTGTCTGCGGTCGTTGGTTCGATCCCTGGCTGTGGACCAATGAACTTTCTATATGCGCATTTAACAATCGTGGTAATATCGGCAAGCCTTAGCAACAATAAGTCGACCGCGTGTCAGGCACTCTATCTGTTTCGTGATCATTTATAAAAAATAATAATCACAAGGTTGTAGCCCCACAGGTAAAAGGATAAAGTAATCGACTCAACGACACTCTAAGAACGGCTTTGTGATTAAAGAATATAAATAATAATTGCATTTATTTTAACCTTCACCATTTTTAAGTTTATGTTTCTCTGATTTTCGTCATCCCTATATTTATCCTTGTTATTTCAATATATACAATCAATTTCATATATACCTACTGCAAATACATGAAACAATAGGCGCATATAATAGTTTCATCTTTTTACAGAGATTAGATGCCCTGAACCAATTGTGGCTGAAAACAGCATAGTATCAGTCACTGGTAACGACCGAATACACGGCCGAACACTCATTCGTACGTCTGCCAGTTCAAAGCAGACCTACCAGATCGGGGCTTTGGTGAAATACCGCTGTGAAAGAGGCTATAAAGTAGTTGGGGAGAGTTTGTCGACTTGCGAGGACAACGGACAATGGAGCGGAGTTACACCTCGCTGTCAATGTAATTAAATATAAATAATGAATCCATTATATATTATTTAACTAAGCAGTATTTTTATAGACGATTGCACCAGCGTAGGTTACATTACTTATTACCTTATAATTTTTTCAGATGTTGATTGTGGCAACCCAGCTCGGTTACAAAATGGCAAGGTGACTCTTGCAACGAATGCTACATACTATGGAGCGGCGGCCCTCTACGAGTGTGAAGAACATTGGCAACTAGACGGGGTTTCGAGAAGACTGTGCCAAGACAATGGCACCTGGAGTTCAGAAGCACCTGTTTGCAAAGGTAAATTCAGTAAAAAAACGTAAAACCTAAAGATAAAGGTCATTATTATTAGTCTAAATAGCTATAGGATATCTTGTCCTAATAACCATAGTGTAGTTTTGCAAATTAATAATCGTGATAAAACATTATTTAATTGTACGTGTAATGTAACTGAAATTAACCGAATATAAATAAATTTAATTGTTAGTATCAATATATTTGTCATCACTTTTGTTCATATTTTTTTATTTTCTCAGATTTCCCACTATCCAAACGCATTCAAGTTTTGATCTTTTGAATATTTTTCAGAAATAACTTGTAACGATCCGGCAATTCAAATTAAGGGAAGCATCGGGCTTATCGTCGTAACATCAACATTAAGTGTCGGCGGTGAAGCTCATTACCGTTGTGAACGAGGTTACAGTTTAAAGGGAAATCAGACTCGTACTTGCTTACCAAAAGGGCAATGGAGTGGAGGGCCCCCTGTTTGCTTCCGTATGTAATAGTTTATATTATGCTTTATAATCATTCGACACGCATCGTGAAGCTTTGTGAATCATGTGTACATCGTTAAGACAATCTTTTTATTTTTATTATTTATTTGCTTTATCTTCTAAAAACGCGATGAAAGAAAATATCTTCTCGCTGGGTTGTCGCTATATTACATTTGCTACCCATACCGTTAGCTCTCATCTTGGCGGCTTGGTATCGAACTGAAGTCTATGTAGGTCTGAATTTATGAAGACAATGAATAATGGAAATGTGTGCCTCATATCCCGTTGTCGGCTTACGGGTTAACATCCCTTATTCTCGTTTACAGTGGACACTGATTCATCTATGACTTAATTATGTCAATAGCATTTACTTTGACCCAATTTAACCGTTTAAAAATCAACGAAAGTCTGGTTAATATGTATGTATAAGTCTATGTAATCTGTACTTTCTTTCTATTTATAGCTATTGATTGTAAATCCCCGGGAACTATGGAGAATGGGCGCATAATCATATCAAATAGCTCTACGCAATTTGGAAGTTCTATCGAGTACCACTGTCTTCCGCAATATCAGAGAGTCGGACCCTTCCTACGTAAATGTCTAGATGATGGAAAGTGGTCAGGAGAGGAACCCCGCTGCGAGCTGGCTAAAAATGAAGTTGCAGAAAGCGGAACTCTACCACTGAGCGTTGGAGTTGGCTGCGGCATAGTTCTCTTCCTATTGATGTTACTCGGAGTCATTTACCTAAGACTGTAAGTATGTCTACTATACATTTTTTGCCCAGCCAAAAACATAAGTATTTTAGGTGGGTCTAATTTGCTTAGGTAAAGTTCACGCAGTTTTTCCTTATTTTGTCTCCTTAGCGTCATTTCAAATTATATTATTTCATTCCAGTCGCAAAGCTACACCTGTAAAGAATACTGAAAACATAGAAGGTGCTGAGAGAAAAGAAGATCAAAATGCAGCCGTGATGAGTTATGCTTCACTACATGATACACATGGAAGGAATATATATGACCACGTGACTGACAACCTATATGATTCTCCCTACAGTGGAAGCCTCGCGGAAAACTCTGCTTATGGACGACGAAGCGACACTGACTCAGCTTACGAGCCAGAACCTACCGGCCCTAACGCAGTGGTCACTATAAATGGTGTTGCTGTTCGTTGATATCCCGTTAGATCGATGTCAGATTATGAGATGGATATAATATTGGAGACATTAGGCGACACACCAAGACTTGCCAGATGTCATAGAATTATAAGGACAATTGGACATATAATCGGAAACATAGCTGCAATAACGAATCGTTCTGATTACTTTTATGCTGTTAATACCGTACCTTTGGTATACGTGCTATCTTATATTTTTGGGGAAATAGTATCGTCGTTTAGGTATGTTTACGACTATTTTTCCCATTAAAACAAGTTTACACAGGCAAAAGTGTAATTTAAAATGAATTATTTAGTATTAATATTTGCAACTATCAAATTAGGAAACTGATGTAAACTATTTTGAAGATTGTATAAATTAACTGTTTATTAGCGCCTACTCTTTTTAAAATTTTAAACCAAGGCATAGATTTAAAGAAATGTTATTAAACCTTAGTCAGTTTGGCGATACTTGTTCCAGTATATAAGCCGACCTACCAGCCTTGTTTATCTTTTCCACGATTCGAACTGCATTTGAGAGGCATCTAAAAAAGCTATTTGTATAAGATAAAGTTATACCTTCATTCAATTTGATGTAAAATTAAGAAACTCGCTAGGTAGAAAATAAGACTTCTCAGCACCAAAACAATACTTATTGTTGTAGATTCACCTTGACTTAGAAAATCATTCACTCAAACATAGAAATGATATTAAAATACACGATGGTTACCATTTTCTTTGAAAGTATTCAAAATTTTCAAAATTAACGTAGTGTTATTTATCACTGTATATATTTTAATTGGTAGTATTGTTAAATTACGAGCTGTCAGTATAATAGGTATATAACCAAAGATATCGAGAGTTGAATAAACTCAGTCGAAAATTCTATCAGCTCCTTTTTTCAAATAATATAAATTCTTGATACTATTGTTGTATGTACTTTCATAATTAAATTAGTGTAGAAATAAATATAGCTAAACGTCTAAGATCATAAGTCCTAAGCTCGGTATACTACATATAAAATTAATGCATTCGGCTCGTACAAAATAAGGTGTTGATCCAATAAGTAATGTGTTAAAACCTTGTATCTGGGAAGAGTCAATGACCTAGCCTACGAATCCCAGAGCAAATAAGTATATAGGTAACATTGAAATCTTTGTTGCTTGTCCAGTAGAGTATGTATATCTGTATGTATTGCATAATACAATTAAGCCGAAATAGTCAATGATTTTCTGCGTAAATTAAATTCTTCGATTCTTGCACTCGTAAACCTAAAGATGCACCAACTAGAATATCAAAATAAGCATGTCAAAAAAAACTATATATAACGTATCTATATCACTAAAACATTATGTACTCTTTACTCCCTTTACCTTAATATTTTTCTCGGTATTTAACTATGTGTTTAAATGTAACAGTTAGATGTAGCTTAGATGATAATAAATGTATATTTATTTAAATAAGTGTCGTTAGATTTAATAATTTGATGCCAAAATAAAAATACCCAATTGCTTTTTAGCTATTAAATATTTGGCTTAGTATTTTTCTATCTTAATAATTAATAAATATGAAATTTCAGAATTAAATGAAAACTATTTTTGAACTGTTATAAGTCTTCTTGCCCTTGAGTACTTACTCAATGTCTATGCCATTTTGTAAATACATATTCTGAAACAATGTCAACTATTGACTTGTCTATTTTCTATTATAAAAAGGAGTATCCAGAATTATTATGGTGTATTTTCTGTGTGTTGTTATTTTTTAATAAAAATACAGAAATTGCATTGTGTTTTATTATATTTGCACAAAATATGTATATTGGATCTGACATACCAAGGCACTCTAGTTGTGATCCTGTTCTTCGCTTAAGCGATCTGTTGGGATGTAGAGTATAGAATGACTCTTGTTACAGACAAGAATCTTAAACTTTATGCCATTACACCATCAATTAAGATTTATTTAATAACCGAAGAAAGATCGTTTTCAAAATGTTATCTATATACTTTTTAATTGAAATTTAATAATAAGAAATTAAAGGTAAAATATAAAAGAGGGCTCGAAGAAAAAGATGAAATATTTTTAGTATAGCAGTCTGACGGAAACATCTTTTTATATAAATCTTTCATTTGTTTTTAATACTGTTTTTATCTAAGATTTTTAATGAAAAGTTAGTGTAATGTAAATTTGCTTCCAACGTTTAAGAATAATAATCATTGCACTACTTTTTAAACGAATATATCAAATAATAGTTAAGTTCAGAAATCAATATCTTTATTTTAACTTTGCGATTAACGTTCTCTACAAAGGTTTTACATAATATAGGAGGGTTTAATGTTTTACTTTGTGATAAAATTTTATTTAGCCGTTAAGTAAATCCTGTAAATCCTTAAATCTAAAGAACATTGAATATTTATGTTACAAATAAAAATACACAATCTCATACAAGTTGAGTAAAGAGATATTGATGAGAAAATAATAAACAAGATAAGCACATTTAACCATTTCTAAGAAAGTGGTGATTCAATAATGATTTTAACCATTTTAAATTGCTAATCAAAACTCAACTTGTATGTTCGACGAATATTTTAAAATAGGGAAATGGCAAGGAAACATACTAGAGATCTAACTAAAAATATTAATAAACATCTTAATACTCCTATAATAACAATAAATATATTTTGTAATGCTAATTTTCGAAGCGAGTTCCCTATTTTAAATATAATTAATAGACTGACCAACGTTGAAAATATAAGAATGAGTTAAATAAATTAAATCCTTATTTCATAAATTGTATATTTACAGTTGTAGGAATAAGAAATAAAACTTAATGACATGTTCCCAAAACCTTTGCGTTTGACAGAAATACATCAAGGCCCTTAGAAATGTGCTTAAGTTTCGTTTCTTTATATTTATACTTGGCAAAGCAAAAAGTTAGGTTTAAATTTAAATAAAATAGGTTGCGGTTGTCATAGACTATTTAAAATTGAATCGTAGGAGAAAAGGAGAATTTTAGAAACGAAAATTTTGTTTTAGTAAATTATTGTAGTCAAAAAAATGAAATAAAAACAATTAAACTTGCCACTACAAATAACAATTAAAATTAACATGCTTACATAAACTAAATATAAACACCCTTTTCAAGAGCTATGGCATTCTATACTTATTCGATTAAGATAAAATTATAATAATGTTGATATGAATACAAAGCCGGGTTAAAATTTGGAACGATAGCTGTGACGATTATGTTCAGACAATTTATATATATATATATATATAATAATAATAAGCAGTTACACAGTGCGTATCGATATTTTAATGTCAATTTTTCCATTGCCATCGTTGCCAGGTGTGATGTAATAAAAAGCAGCCAAAATCTCTTAAAATCTTTCTTAAGTAAAAATTGCCGTAAGTCTTTTAAGACTTCGATTTTTACCACATTTATAATAACTAAGCCAGTCAAATCGTATAGTTTAAGCTGTTGTTAGACTGGTTTAGTTTTTATGAAAAGGTAAGACTTTAAGTTCACGGTGCCTTTGCTGACGAAATTTAATAGGTAAAATTAATTTCATATGGTCGAACACATTCTATTAGGTGATGTATATTTAAACTACAAAAATAAAGTTAATAAATATCAACGTTTAGTGTACAAAGAAAAACAAGACAATAGTCCTTCAATTAAATAAAATATGAAGAAACAATTCATTAACCTACTATATTTTCAAAATACTAAAACACCTAACATACATCTAAGTTCATATGTTCAAAAGTTTAGTAATCGATATATCACATTTCCAATTATTTCGTGACTACCTATTGTTTACATCTACGTTATATAAATGCATTAGTAATACAAGTATTACCGCCGCTCGTTTAAAAAGTATATTCTAAATAGATTCATATAAAGTTACGATTAACCAATAACAAATTAAAGACGATGTTTGACAAGTGTAAGATGTACAGTGGAATTTCGAACAGTTTTAAGTTATACTTCAAAGCAATAAATATAGGCCGCCTTGTTTTTAAATATTTAATATCTACATTCATAAAAGCAAATTGATCACACTTGCAATGGAGATGGATGATTTATTGATATTTTTTTATAATACTGTATAAAGGTTACAAACATTAAATCGGTAAAGTAGAAAAACATGCAAATTCGATTTATCGAGACAAAATTATCGTTTGCATAAATTTCAAATCTTTATAAAAAGTACAAAATGTTACACGTATAAATTGTCAATACCACTAGCTCGCAATTGTCAATATCCTTAGCGTGGAGAAATTATCCAATACATTATCACTTGGATAGTTTACTAATTACACGAATTAATGCTCCATTTTCGTTTTTCAATCGTTGATTTTCTGCTTGCAACGCTTGTTGATTCTGTAATAATAAATTATGATTACAATAACTCTTTTACGGATTTAATTAAAACCAGTTTCGTATGCTAAAGAAACTATTCGACCAAATTCTTTAAAGTCACATATAAAAATGCGTTCATATACTTGTTTAACACACATTTTTATTAATTCGTTCATTCAGAGTGTCGTATCGGTCAATTTCCTTTATTCTGTGTGTAAAAATATTTATTATGTGTGTAACTAAGCCATATGATTTCTATTTGATTTTAATTAAATTTAAATAAATCTAACTGTAAACCTAGACGGATTCTTGTATGAACTTGACAATGGTAAATCGGGTCGGTATTTTCAAACAATAGTTCTGATTACATATACATTGTACTGTAGTGAAAACTTAAGCAACACTTCATGACCGTATTTAGGTGATGCTAGATTTGAGAACATCGATCATTCATGGTTCTTTCTTTGTCGAACGAATGAACGAAAAAGCGCCGAGCAGAAAGCCAAACATTACTACGAACATGCTTAAATAAAGAAAAATATAATGTTGGCAATGTAATGTAATATTTGCAAGAACGCTCAAGTTTTGATATTAGAATAAGTACGATCAGTAGAACTTGCTAACTGCTTTAACTATAGAGACATTATCACATTGACGAATACAAGAGAAATCTATGGTGAAATTCATGCTCAGGTTATAAATTGCTGTAAAATTTTGGCAGGATACTTTGAAGATACTAGTAATTTTTATTGAGATGAAATTACTTTAACATTTCATTTGATTGAATTTTAAGACCAACATGTACGCATTTTTAATGTATATCGTAATAGAACTTGGGCGAATAGAAATGATTTTATGACTAATTTAAATATTTACATTTTGTTTATTAATCGCATTAAATAGGGGAAAATGTTAGATTAAACCTGTGAATATACAATAATCTTGTAGACTTAATTATAAATTATTGCGCTTACACAAAATGGCACTAAAATTTTGTGTTTTTGTGTTGGAATATTTGTAACAGTGTTTGTTATTTCACCTTTTCGGACACAATGAATATGCGATAAACTATAAATCACTATTTTAACACATGTTTCATGCAAGTGATTTTTTACATTGTTTATTCAAATTCGTGTGAAAGTCACATTCTCCATATATCAAATATATTATATGTAACAATAATTTTGATGGAATATGCGAGTTCTTTGAAATGTTAGACACATAAAAGCATGCCTGCATAGCACACAGTTAATGCAAAGTCTCGCATAGGGTAGAAACTTGGGCACAAACAAAATAAATTTTCCTGATGCCCAATACTTTCATCGCCTTGTTTGTGAGACTTTTCGGTGCATTAGGAAATTCGCAGTAATCGTGGCGTAGTCAAACGAGGTTCTTCATTTCTCAAACTCACTTTAAACGGGTCGACTATTTATTTTCTATACTATTTAAGCTTCACCCGTGTTCTATATTCCCTACGAATGTTCTATAAGTAGTAAAAAATACTACATATAGATATAGACCTCGGGCGAGCGAGTCTGCTATTTGAAATGGAAATCTGCAATAACGAATGTCACATAACGCCAATACAATATATATTAAAACCAAAATGAAATATTTTTCCCGATAGAAACTGCTCAGGGCTCGAGACGGCATTAACAGTGAGTAAGAGAAACGAATGATAGCAATATTAGATGACAACGTCGCACGATGTCGCCACTGTGGTCATTCCAACACATTTACCTATTTTGCGGCCGAGTTGGTCAATTTGCTTACGACCCTAGTAAGCGCACGGTTCTCAGCCCTCAGCCTTTCGTTCTCGGCTTTTAACTTTTGCAATTGCTACAAAACGAACAAATATTAACTTATCGTTCATAGCTGGCACACGTACGCCATTTTGGTTTCAGCTTAGCGCAACATTAAGCTCACCAGATTGTTATTTAAAATGCAATTTGTCAATTAATCTCTGTATCGTGTATGTTAAGTGTATTTGTTGTAAATATGTTAAATACCTTAAGCTCTTCTTCCATTTCGGACAGTTTCCTTTCCATTGCCCTCCTTTCGCGTTTCTCTATCTCTGACAATGAATTTTGATTCTGAAAATAAACAAAGTACATATTATTACATGTAAACCGTAATAACATTATTCGCATTTAGAATGGAGACGAACTAAGACGAGATTAACATGAGTAAATCTATTGCATAGCAGAGATAATTCGTAAAAATAATTCGCAAATGCAATAAAGCTTGATCAAAAAGTTACCAGTAGCCTCAAATAGGTACTGCAACTACCACTCTCGTGTTTTAATATAAATATATATATTTATGAGTAAATAGTGTTTATAACGATAAAACAAGATCACACAATTCGCCTGCATAAATAGCCATAAAGATCCTTGACGGACCATTGGTTTCAAAACGAACAAGACAAGACATGTGATGAGCGAGTACAGATAGCCAAAACACGAGCCAATCTGTCATTGAGCATGTGTAGACATAATTAGTGCTTACAGTGGGCGGGGATTAGTCAAACATTTTAAATGGGGGCGCAAATTTGTAATGACGCATGTCACAGGCGCGTCGAATACTACGATGTTTGTATGCAACAATTATAATGTTAAATATTAATATGTTATCTTCTTTTTCATTTATACTTTTGAGTTGTCAGCGCCGACACATTATGTATGTTTGATGTAATGTAATGAAAAACACAATCAAATATCTGTATAAGAATACGAACAAAGTACTAATATTTTTTGTATGTTAAAGAAACGTCAAAAAATCTGCTTTCCATCTTCTCATTCGCTTCGCATTCTTGTAGCATCCGCTCTAACAGTTAATCATATACGAGTATATGCCATATGCATTAATCCATTAGGTATGTATCGAACTACTTGTAGGTGAATCTTATAATGATTTTATGTTTTCATGAAATTACAAAAGCATAACCCATGCTTTCATGGTTAAAGCACATGCCGTTAACCTGGAGATAATTTCCAGCGAAACAATAGTTGTTAACTAGACAGTGAAGGCTTTTTCTACTCGACTTTGAACAATTATAAAAGGTACACCACGTTTTTTAAAGCCTGACGAGATTTAAGTAACAGAAAGACAGAAAAAATACCATATCAGATAAAAAAACTTTATGATTTCAAAGGTTTGATTTCACAGCAAGAATACTTTAATAATTATTTGCTTTAATACTGCGATTAAAATAAGTTAAATTGTAAAATCATTATATTCTCTTATGGTTCACGCTCAGCGCAATCTACACATTATGTTAATAAAATACACTTTGATATTTTACAGAGATACACGCCAGCGACTTCATTTCCAACATTGGCAAAAGCCTGTATGCTGACCACAATCAAATCTATTTTAATGATAATTTTTTAGTATTATATCCATAAAAAAATAATTATTATAAATTTATAATAATAATTAGCCATATATTAAACATATACTTATTTAGAAAAAAGGCGACCAATTGATAAAACGTTTTATAAGGTTCAAATAGCAATTATGTACTTAACACGTATATACTAATATTATAAAAAGGAAAGATTTATATGTTGGTAAAACACTAAATTCGTAAAATTTTTATATATTTAAATAATATTAAATGTTCAACCGTGCAAAGCCGCCTATAAAAATAAATAAAAAGACGTGACAAATTGTATGTGTAACAGTACGTTAATGAATAAGCCTGCAAGGAATATTTTTCTTACCACTTGTGTGAGTCTGGTGATAGTCGCGCGAGCCTCGCGTAGTTGTTGCTCAGAGGTGGAAAGCAGTAATCGTAGTTGTTTTACTTCCTTTCTCGAAGCTTCGTACAAGGCCTTGTAGTCTTTTTCGTCTGGCTCCTCAGTTCTTTCACTTCCCGACTGAAATGTTTAATTATCATATTAGAAAATGTACTATATGTAGTACATAAACGCAATCGGAGATTTCTAATTGATAATATTTTGTTCAACTATGTTATTCATATACATTCATAAACTTGTAAAAAAAAACGTTAATATCAAGAATAAAAAATATAAATAACATCAACTTGTTAAAAGTATGAAATGTATGAAAATAAAAATTGAAAGACTATTTGAATAAGTCATTTTAACATCAGGTTGATAAAAATGGGAGTTTTTTTTTAACTTCACAATTTCCTACTAAATTTAAATGGGAATAATTTTGCTTCCCTTATAATTGTCCGGTATATACTTTAATATTCTTGTCTTGTTTACGCGTATGATTTATATTCTAAGTATGAAACATCTATGTTAATAATACATGAATAAACGTACACAATATCCATCGGATGCTAAAGAGTTAAGACTGAGTGAGCGCGTATCGAGCCCATTTACACTATCGAGTGATGTCAAGGATCTGGAACGCTCCTTATCAAGGGCAGTGTTCCTATGCAATGAGCGCGATTTTCTCTCAGGCCTAACTGGCGGAGTCTCGCTTATCGCTGGAGCATCGTTCACCATCTCTGGTACCTTTAATGGTGCCACCACCGGCTTCGGCTTGAAATTCTTTTGACTCGCTAATATTTTTTTATCTAACTTTTTTAACACCGGGGTCATTAAATTCAAAGAACCTAAAGTCGCACTGCTTAAATAAACTCCACCGTAGCCAGAGCTCGTCCCTCCGTATATTCCCAAGCTGGATGGTCGCCCTAACCCTACAGAATAAGGGTTGTAGTTTCTGTATGTGCTTGGACTGTATGAGTTAGAATAATTATTAGAATACGATGTGTATTGTCCACCCAGCATTGAACCTAACATGCTCGGAGAGGAGCCATAGTGTGACGTGAGGCTCCGAGGCCGGGAAGAATATCGGTCTTGCTTCCGATTCATTTTTATTACGAGTCACTAAGCAGACGCGAACAAATATATTACTTTGTGTAACGAGCGAACTCCACGCGTTAAGAAAACATACTGAATGTTTCCCGAGACTAATAATGACAGAGAGAAAATATTGTCGACAGACACAGCAAACTCATATGATTATAGGTGCGAGCGAGAAGCTTTTGACGTACGCACTTCGTCAACTGAGACAGAAACATCTACAAGCACGTGAAGAAATCATCACCTGTAAATAAAACTGAACTTCTGTTCTACCTAGGAAAGCCCCGAACTTCGAAGAGAAACAATAATCCTCATAATACTATTCTTGTCCCGTTCATTTTCTCAGTATTGGCATCGACATCGAGGGTCGCTCTTTGTCAAAAATCGATGGATATATATTGCAAACAGGTATATATTCTAAAAATAAAGTCTCATCCGAATCGAATTATTATAAATTATTCTGAACATAAATAAAACGTCAATCATAAATATTTTTGTAGATACAGCTGAGCTTACAAAATTATAAGATCAAAGAATGAGGCAATTTGATATACCCTTGCTTTTAATAAAGTATATATAAAAATAGGTTCGTTCTATCCAAAAATCGTTCTATTCTTATTTTTAATAGCACGAGTCCTAATTCACTCGAATAGGTGAAGTCTTTTGTAACTATCTAAAAATAAATTCTATTTTCAAGTTTACGTGTATTCGTTTCAGAAGACCGCTGACCTAAATACTGATTTTGGAACGATCTAGTGGATAATACTGGAATTTATAACGACACACACACATACATGTATACTATCGGTAGGAATTTTAATTGCGTTTTACGTAGAAAACTGTAAAATAAAAAAAAGGTAGTACCAATGCAATGATGGCATCATACGGCCATGTGCGCAATGTTTACCCGTCATCCCACCGCATGCTAAAAATAAATATATAATATGTAAATCATCGACACATTAAAAATTGTCTAGCAGTATACTTTTTCACGTAGATTATTATCGAGATAGGATTGTAACTAATAATACTCGATAAACAAAACGGTTAGGGTTTATAAAACATTAATAATAAGTAGTATTTCAAGAAAGTTATTATGTAACTACTATATTCAATTCTTTGCAAATAATACATTTATTGTTAAATAGAATCCTGCGATTGTGGTTTAGAATAAAATAATTAATATTTGCAAACGTCTCAGTTTGATGTAAATAACGCTATATATATTTCTTACACGGACTTGAAGATAAATTACTAAAACAATATAAATAATTTTCTCTAAAATTCAATAAAAAATCAAATCAACAATCATTTGCTGACTATTATCTTTACTCGATAATTTCGAATTTATAAATATATATTATATGAAACAAATATTTCCAAAACAATAGCAATTCAAACCTCAAGTGTTCGAATCAGGATTGTGGTTTCTACAAAGCGGTCATGGGTTATACAAGACTGAAACAGAAAGGTCGATATAAATACACATTGACGTCATTCAAGGAAACTGCGCGAAAGTCATGGAGCTATTTGGTAAATCACCAATTCTCGAAACGCATTACCTAAATAACGTGAGATGAAAACCACGAACTATGAAAAATATTTCATAAAATTAGTCGTACGATCGCCCCGTTTATCTCAAATGTGTTTTTATTGTATAATACAGAAATAATAATTTTCTTACTTTCAGGAAGAAACTACTTGCCTGGTGCGACGAATATGTATGTAAGTTAAGATTGAAGTATCCAGAACAGTTATTATGGTATAGTCACCATTTCTTTTTTAAATAGCGAAGACAAACAGCTCTTTCTTATGTAACACTCAAGCCATTAAAAAAACTTGATCTAATAAAATAGTATAGTGTAGTTCACAAAAGTTCAAGTACAGAAAGCTAAAATCTTTCTTGTGAATGATTTTAGAAACATTTACAGAGGTCTGAAGTCAAAAGCAAGGGTTGTAGCGCGCCTATTATTATAAAAGACACCAAGATCTCCTTTAGCTTAACGTGAGTTTCTTTTTAGACTTAGATTGAAGGACTGACGCGCCATTTTCACTCCTAATAGTTTCAGGTACGTAGGCGGTGTAACAATAAATTATATAGTGTATAAAAATAGCCATTACACAGTGAAATAAGAGAGACGTTTTGATAACTGTTTGATGCATTGTATATCTAGTGTAAAATGAGACAGTGTTATTTATTAGTGGTTTTAAAACTATATTCAACTGGATTCAAGCCAATCTGTCACGTTACAATTACTAATAGCTTTACTGTGATAATTTTTATTCGAAATAAATGAATACAATTACTTTAAATTATTGACTAAGACTCGTTTAAAATTCTATGTTATTATGTTATTTTATTCTTTTGTATTCGGCATTTTTAAGTTAAATAAAAGAGAATTTGTTTGACCATGTATACTTTTTGGTAGGTTTTTAAAATTACTAACAATACAATATAGTAACTGTGTTCTTCGTTGATTGTTTCCTTTAAAATATTAGTTTCACGAACAAAGCAGCGCAGCACAAATGAATGTATAGAACATGTGTTAGATGTTTCGTGAAAAATAATATACTAATAAGTAAATACCCTAGTATAACCATATAAAATATTCATCAACCGGGAACTCGATTTTGCATACATTTGACTCACACTTTATAGGCATCGTTGCTTGATGATCCGTGATCGTATCGTAATATTGATTTCACTTAGTCACCCTTTTAAATACCTTAGGCTTCGCGAAATTGGATAGTAATCGAGCATGAGTCATTGAACTTTTACTGGAGATAATGATTATACAGTGGTGGCACAACCCTATATATCTATATCTTGGCCGCAGATGGTAACAGTTTCTGTCCATTTATGAAGTTAGACTTCTTTAGGCGCGTTATGAAAAATTGATGAGAGTGAAATTTTACGATGGGCGCGCACCGTGATACAAAATTAACAGAATGAAGTTGCCCACGGAAGATGCTACGGCATTGGACATTATTTAAAAACAACATTCGAATAATAATAGAATTTATGTTACACTTGATGTAAGAGAATAATAATAAATATTTATTTATTTAATTTTTCATATGTAAACTGAACTTTATTGACTACTAGCTGACCTGGCAAACGTCGTTTTGCCATGTATATCATTTAAAATAAAAAATAGGGCTTGATCGTAGAGGGGTGAAAGTTAGGGGTTGTATGTATTTTTTAATGTCGTATCATAAATAAATTAAAAAATAAAAATTTATCTAAAAATTAAAAAAAAAAATTAGGCATGGACTACCCTTAACATTTAGGGGGATGAAAAATAGATGTTGTCCGATTCTCAGACATACCCAATATGCACACAAAATTTCATGAGAATCGGTCTAGCCGTTTCGGAGGAGTTTAACTACAAACACCGCGACACGAGAATTGTATATATTAGATAATGACTCCTTTTTCAGTCTTTGATTATTTAATTGTAATTAATTATTTGCATGCAATCAAAAACTAGTTTTAATAATGCCAAACGCACCCTTTTTTTTATTTCATAGACAGGTGTTTGATTTTGGAATTTAACGGTTTCGGTTTTCTCACGATGTTTTCGTTCACCATACGAACGTGTTAGATAGATTCGCACATAAACAGAAAGTCTGTGCACAGCCGAGGGCCAAACCTCAGGGATGAGCCTATATAAAATATTAATCGTAAACTAAGCAAGTGTAGTCTCGACAACGCGCTATCATATTATGTCAAAAATTGTTTTTGACATCTGTCTCTCTATTTATCTATATATCTCTATCTCATCTATCTATCTCTATATTTATTGCTAGTAAATAAGATTTTTATAATTAACTACAACTATTGTAAAGGCTACATTGTAATATATTTGAAACATTAATTTTGTTTATATTTCCAACTTCTACAAAAGTCACGGTTGCCATTCTATTTACCTTGTCAAACGTCATGTTATGAAAATTAATATGTTTATAAACCAAAATAAAACTTTAATACGTCGTTGAAAAAGGAAGTTGTCACAAAATAATTTATAAGTCGCGATAAAGCTTTCAACGACAGCTTTCAGAATCTGTATTTTTATGCGAAAACGTGTTCAGGAAATAAAAAACGCATTTGCGAAGATTTATTCGCTTATATTTTTTATCTCTCTTACTGTGTTTATAAATGTTAACTGTGTGTCTTATTTTTACTTTTTCTAAAACATGTTTGCGTGCGATATGTTATCTTAACGTTTTACTGACTCCCACATTTGACTTAGGTACAGCAAATATTAATATTCTGGTACTGTAAGCTGTTTCGCTGAGAACCTTATTACGAATAAACAACTCCTTCAAAATTACTGGGTATATATAGTATTGACATCAGTTAACGTGTAATGCTTTATCTAGTTGTTATAAAAAAATCGTATTACATATTAACAGCGAAGTTTTTTATTGAGTAGTGTTGAGTCAATTATTTATATTTTTTATATTAACGCCTTTTTCCCGAAGGGCTATACCGAGAACACGGATCTCCACTCGTTGCAGTCCTTATATACGTATCTCGCTTCATCCACTTTCATGACCTTCACCATGCATGCTCAGCGATTATGGGTGCATTTAACCAGTCTCTTATTTAGTACCTCCTGGATTTGGTCCAGGTATGTACGACAACCTACCCAACCATATTTCATCCATCCACGGATGCCTTGTATATCCTACTTGTTGTTATTTATAGGTAATAGACAAATGGGTTAAAATTATAAAAACACTTACTTGTGCCGTTTCCGAATCACCGTCGCCTTCGCTGCATCCCACACGGTCGTTAACAATATCCTAAACAAAAGTAGTATTATATTTCAACATATCTATAGTAATACTGTGAAGCTGAAGATTTTTTTGCGTTTCATACATATTAACCAAAATGAACAAAACGTGTCATATATTCTATTTATCGGAATCCTCAAATGTATTAATTATTATACTTCTCAACATATGAAAGGAAGACAATCTCAAAATGAATGATTATCATAATAGATGATGATTATATTATTAGACAAGAAAATATCTCACGATAGTCGAGCTAATCCTTTTGCAAAAAAATATGACAGTTTCATAAGAGGACTCTTGTAATATCTAATACTTAATAAATCAATTTTTATAATGTATAATATATAATATTTAAATTTTAACTTAAAATATTTTTATAACATCAGACATAGACACTAGCTTACTGATTATGTACATAGATATTTAAAGATCGACCAACCCAATTTTTTCATAAGATAAATCAGTATAATTTCACCCTTTTAACTAAAGTACTCTATCTCTCTTCATCATAACGTAAACGTAAATTGACAGGAGACAAAAGAGAACTCTAGTTAATAGTGCTAAAATAGGCTAAATATTTTATGAGGTTACTCCTTTATATATAAATTTGTCTATAACCAGCGTAAATACAATATATCTGAAAACAAATATAAAAAGATAGTAATAATCTCTTACATCCATATCTACATGTCCAACGCCGGTAGAACGTCGCTTTGGTCGGCGTCGACGTTGTATCACATTCAGCGCCGCCTGGGTGCTTGATGACGATGCATTGCTCGACGATTTGCTTTCGACACTACTTTCGCGATCTTTCTCTTCTTCTGTTGTTGGTGTTACAGAGTTACCTGTAACGGTACACATACTAGAAGACCGAACTATGCAGATGGTTGAGTACGTATGGAGGTCCCTTGTCTAATAAAAAAAGACGGGTAAATTTAATACGTAGTTCACTAATTTTTTGTTATTAAATAATTAATAATTTATTAATTAAAGCTGTATTAACTGCATTTGGTTTCTCTGTTTGTGATGGGTTTTTGCATTATAGAAGCAGAACTGTATCTAGGGGCATGAGAACAAATCTCTGCATTCGTTTTCCGTTTCCTACGTCCCTCTTTAAAACTTACTGAAATACTTTAAAACCCAAACATATAAAAAATTAAATACGATTATAACACAACGTTACTCAGAAGAGTAACGTTGTGTTTCATGGTTAATAATTCGGCCTTAGTTTAAAATTTGTATTACTAGTATGGCAACAAAAATATCATTAAATATTACTTGCTACTAGTAATATTTTTTTGTCATATTTTCACAACGCTTTGTTAAACACTGAACGATACTTTAGTGTTCAACAAAGCGTCAATGTTAGTCCCATATATGCTGCGATGGTGTTCCTAGACTGCCACAATATACTTTTTACCAGCCCTACCTAAATATTAAAGAAGAATTATACTAACCAGTGCGGTTATTATCCTTCGCTGATGGTGGGCGACGAAGGGGTAAAGTAACTGTGGCTTCCGTTTCCGTAGTGGATCGTGGAGGTTGATTTGCATCCTCTAGTTCGAACTAAACATAAAAAATACCTTTATTCAATCTCTTAACTCCAATCCTTAAGTTTTGGAATATCCAGTATAACATACCTGATGGTTACGATTTTAAAAGTATAGAATTCACTGAAACTTTTTTGTATCCATGAACCTATTGTACTTAATCTAGATATGAAGCAAATAATGCTATTAATATCAGAAATAAAGCTTGCATGACAATGAATTGTTATGACAACAAAGTCAAGGACAACTGCCGAAAAGTCGCTCAATAAAACCTTTAAAATATACTATTTATCCAAAACATGAGACAGGTGATAAATAAAACAATATACAGAATATTCGTCATTATTAAAATGACAATAAGTAGTACTCGTCCATTATTGTATGACAGTGATTATATAAGCGTTGCTTGGCGATTAGTTAAAATCTCAACCAAGTCACAGTCAAGTAAGACAAGTTTGCGTATTTTAACGTTCTAACCGTTCTAACTGCAAAACACCGATCCAATAAGAAGAAACCATGAATTAATTACGCAATTCTTTGAAGAATTTAACGACAATTGTCCTTATATTTGTACTTACAAAACCCACGCTTACACAAATTGACACAAAACATACATGTAATTAATGTTAGTATGCAATATATTATGACATCTTCTACAAAATACGTAATTGTTTACATACAGGTAAGTATATTGACATACAGCATTTTTTAAATAGCTTTATGAAGCATGAGAGGTATAATACATTACAGTACAGTACATTAATAATTCGATATTTATTTGTGCGTTTTACGAGCCGTTAGATATTCAACAAATCGTAGGATAATTTAAGATATTTAGAATTGTATACATTGATAGACGAAGCCAATTAAAACACCAAGCGTGCTGACTCCTAACACTGTGCATTTTACTACTATCCATGGTGCAGCTATTATGAAAAATCTGTTGTAACATACTGTTGTATTAAGAAAATTATAAAATTCACCAATATCTTGTTATATAACAATTTTTAGTATTACCTTAATTAATGCGGAGGTATTTTTCAAAAAAATAAAATGTCACGTTTTCGCAATTTTGTCTAAAAGCTTAAAAGATCCAAAATTTTAAACGCTACTACGGAAATCACGGTACTACGTAAATAAGACGCTCGCACAATGCATAGTAGTAACGATTCGTACGCAAGAATAGACCTTATTATTGGGATCGAATCGCAGTCGCCAAGACGGGTGTCGCTCACTGTTGGGCGCAATTGTCGCCGTGGCAGCAGCTGTAACGCACGCAAGCGCTAACGAAACGGCTGTGTCCCCGCCACCCGCCGCGAGTGCTCGCGCCTATTCGGACGCCATTTTGTGAAAAAATATTTTAATAGTGTTTAAATACAGCCCTATTTAATGTGCCCTGGCCACGTTTAGATCGTTAGAGGATTCCTTCATCGATGTTAATGTATGCAATTTCAACAAATTGTGAAATAAATATCAATAGAGGCCATTAACAGCAAGCTGATCTGATCTGTTCTGATCCTGAGAGCTACGATAAGCATAACCATTTATAATTCTAATTTTTTAATCTCATTATTATTATTCTCTTTTAACTAAACCTTATACATTTCTGAATTGTATTACATCGTATAGCTTAATCGCATTCATGATTTCATTTCCATTAACGAGAATTAATTTCTGCTGTAAGAGCATGGCTTTATAAGGCAAACGACGAGATCTATTACTTATAAACAAAGATTTATTTATTGTCTTGCTGATGATTAATTCATTCCATGAAAACAACAGTTGCTATTGTAATCGTTATGGCGATTGCGATGGATTAACACAAATGTTATCAATTCTGTATCTGTACATGTAAGTGGAACACAAAAATCACAGGTTCGACGAAGTCGGTCAAAAGTAAAATTTACTTGTTAAAACAATATAACTATAAAGGTTATTCACATTATAAACGATTTCCTACGGTGATGCACTGTACAGGTTGGCACAAGTTAACCATATTATATAAGAATTCACCACCACCTTTTGACATCTTAACCCACTCCCATATTAACAACCCAACCACAACAATAATTATAAGTTCCGAATTCAACATACCGTACGCGTTTCTTCTTTCTTGTTTACGTTCGATGTATCTGTGGTACCATTGTTAGTCTTATTTTTAACTAACTGTTCAGCGGACTTAATCTCATCGAGAGTAACGCCTTGAGTGGATCTTCTTGTCTCACGAACACGTTTGGCGTGGGCCTTCCTCTGAGTTTCACTTTCATCATCACGTACTGGCGGAACGAACGACCTGGAAACATTTCAGAACGTACAAGTTTATATAATATACCAACAATCGTACTAAGATTAGTATCGTTATATTCTCAACTCTGAAAAACAATCTCTGATCTTGTTCTGATAATTGTCTGACAAATTAGCTAGAAAGTTTATAAAGACTACCTTGTCAATGTTTTCATACTAATTCCTTAAAATCATAGAATAGCAATAAGCTGGCTTATAAAAAGTATACTAATAAAAGCAACGTGTGTCAATAAAACTTATCATGCATTTCAATTTAAAACATTTACTATAACATGCATTTGTACTAGGTAACTACTGGGAATACACATATTTTAAAATCAATCAGTACTATATATTCGAAAAACAAACAAAAGTAAAACGTAAAAAGAATGTAAATAACTACTAACAACTACTAATAGTAACTTGTAACATACAGCTATTCTATACTTTTTATTGTTTACTGTTTAGTAACATTAAATAAATATATGGAAGACTTAAATTCTCTCTGTAACGTTAATAAAAACCGGATCAGGAAGTAGCACTGATTTTGTTATGTTTGTACTAAAACAGACTTAAGTTTTTATTGAACATAAATAGCAGTGATAAACAATATTAACTCATGCTTAACATCTGTGATATAAACGTTTTTACGTAGCAAAACAAAAACATCCGAGCACATCTGACGAAGCCACAATTTTACACACATAATTGTACGCCGAACATTAGAACATTATTCAAACTTTTTGTGGTGATAAGAAATCATAAGAAGTCGAATCTATTTGAAATGGGCAAGTATAATCTAATTAAAATAGCTAAGATGCATTAATTTAATAATATTTACTTATGTCTTGACCACATGGTGTATGTAAGCGAAAAATATCCAATGTTCAAGCGTACAATAATAGTTACTGCGGGGTCTTATGTACTTGAAGAAGTTCTTGAAAATGTTCCCAGGCGACAGTTTGGTTGGAGTCGCTGAACTTGGAGTTGAATTGCTACTGTTCGACTCTACGCTTTCCGTACCACTGTCATATACAATAACACACATGTTCATAACTCGATTGCAAACACTAAATAATTTTTATTTGGGTTTTCTATGGTGCAGTTACAAAGAAAATTTATCAATATTCTTGTATATAATTCACAAAAACTATTTACTAAAATAAACCAATCACCAATGAAATTTCGAGTATCCCTTTATCCCATTGAAAACCAATAAAATGTATCGTTACCCTCGGTTAACAATTTAGATATAACTTTATATATGTATATTTAAATAATCCAATTAAATTTATTTAAATACCAGACGCTCACAAAACAAAGTTTTTTAGTCTTTTCCTAAACAACCACTTAATTTGGACTATCATATTCTCACCGATGTGTATAATAAGTCAGGACCCTTCTAATACACCATTTTCCGGGGTGTCTGTTTAAAGTTTAAAAATACATTCAAATATTGTCTTTTGATATTTGCAAAATCTGTTGCTAAGTAATATAGTAATTCGTAAAGATCTGTAAGGGTGTTACTATTCACTAGGCACTATTAAATAAATATTCGTGTTAAAAATAGTTTATACCTTCTGACAGTCGTCCGAGTCGTAGTGTTATTTGTAACTGTGCTAGACGACGTAGTTGGTACAGACAAAGCATTTGTATCCGTTTCCTTTTTATCGTTTAATCTGAAGACAAAAAATTAATTTTAACATCATATTTTTTTGTTAAAATAAGGTATTTCATATTTAATTCATTAAAATAAAACATAACAAGCTATAAATAATGCACATGAAGTTTACAATGAAAAAGACTGAATGCAATAGATTTTAGATTTAGCCCAAGCACTACAGCCTTTCACTGTATAATTAATGTATAGATAATTAACTGCTAAAAAAGCAAAAAAAGCCGCGGCACCTTGTCTGGCTGTCATCATTAGTAGCATTGTTAATCTCTTTATTCTTTTTCCACAGCTCGAGTGCTGCTAGCGTGATCTGAGGCACCGGTGGTATCGAAGGACACGATGTCGCCTTTATACGCGCGGTCACTTCACGGTAGCGTTGATAGAAACTGTTCACACAGACACACCATGCTTTTATCTTCCAAATTCTAAATCGATTCTAGAGTTTATGCCCCTCGGTTTGAAGCACCAACTTTACAACCACCACATACAAATTTCAAAGGTCCATTTCAAACTAAATCGCTGACGTCTTTCAAAATGTATTAAAAAACTTCGTAGCCAACTCTAGAAATCGTTTTACAAGATGAAGACTTATACAGCCGATGTGATTTACGATGTCAGTGATATGTACAAATGAATGGTGTAACTTGGCAAATGAAATTTAAAGACCTGACAGTTATTTGATAGCGGCAAGAAACAGATTGATAGCTGAACCACTTAATACAAATTTGTAGAAAAGACAAACATTGAACAATAATGCTTATGAGTTTAATGAAGAATAGATTGCATGCCAATAAAAAGGCGAGGTACGAATAATCAGCAAATTAAAAAAAAAAACGCATCCAAATTATACTTACGCCTCAACACTGTGCGTTCTTCGCAGCATAACTGGATCTGTATCAACATTGTTATTTGTTGGTTTATTTTCACCTGCAAGAGAGAAATACAACATTAATCAATATAAAACTGGAACAATAAATATTCAACGCTATATGAACCGTACAAGAACAGTTGAAACACAAAAATACAGGACGTAGTTATACAACGACTTAATTATGAGCACGAATCTTCTAAAAACTGTTTGCTATCACCAAAAGGTAAATGAGCTTTGTAGAACATTCTAGAACCGGTCTATTTTGAATCTAATTTAATACATAACCAAAATCTATAAATGTTAACTGCAGTAAGTTGCAATGCCTATATTAACGAATGAATGGAAACTTATTTTACTGTTCTGTCTGTTACTGAATCAAAGAAGAGCCTAATTTTAAAGCATGTTTATGAATTATATAGTGGATTATTTTAATTAATTTTGCTACAATTCATCCTTACGATTTATACTTTTTGATATAATCTTACTGAGCAACAGTCATCTTAGAAGAATTTAACAAAACATTTATTTCACAGACACAGAACTATGGAAAAATAAATATAAGTATATATACAATAGTTTAGATGTCCCTCGGAGAGGGAGATGCGCTTATCTATTCCTTAATCAAAATGGCGATGATGAGGCGCCCTCTCTAGGCGCAACAATTAAATTAAAGAGACAGAACAAAAAAACTGAAATCTCCACTGGCTCCAAGTCATAGGATAGATTTAGTAAGTTAGTTATTTAATGTGCTTTATTTATTGTGATTACAAAAGCACATTAAATAACACAAAAATATATGAGACTACCTTACACAAGAGTTTAATTTATTTATAGCCATACGAGTGTTAGATGCACTTACGTGTATTCTCCTGAAGCCTGCTCCTGAATGAAGCCGATCGGCGCCAAGATGGCGGCTCATCGGGTATCACAATCTCAGAATTCTCCGTAGGATCCGGCGAAGGCGGTCGGGCTTTAGGAGGCTTCCCTTCGATCTTAGTAATGATCTCGGAGCTCGGTGGTTTATCTGCCCCATGATATGAGTTATGCGCCAATTCCACTAATGAACTTCAGCAATTCATAAGTAGAACTGGGCGGATGCAATGTTATAATGAGCTTGTTATTGACTAAATATACAATTGTATACTGACCATTAACAATATCCGAATTATTTATTTGGAGTTCAACGGATTTCACGTCGTGTTTCTGTGGTGTGCGCTTGACGTTATTATTAACGCGATGCGGCGCTTTTTGCGCTGCCTCTTTCAGCCAAGCTGATATACTTGGGTCGACTAGGTCTAAGCATGTTTGTCCCTGTAATCACATGAGAAATAATTAATTACTTAGAAAATGATTCTTGTGTGTATTTAAAAAATAATCAAGCGCTGGATCGAGTGCTTATTATACCTTATACATACATACTTAAATTCTATTGAATTTATTATAATCATTATGACAGGTGACAAGACATTCTGCACTTAATATGGGTTATAATTTAATAGACCACCATCATGTACGATTCAGTACGGGCTTTAGATTTGTTAAATTCAAAAGTTGACCTATTTTCTTATGGTTGAGCTTCTAACAAAGCAAACATTGATTAAATCACCATCGCAATAGGTCTTTCGTCTTAATTCAGTTTACATGTGTAGTTTATTCTTACGGTACAACGTTGCACTGATGTTTATATTTCATTTTCCGGACAGAGTAATATGAACCATATATTTCAAAATCAATGTGTCATAATTAAAATAAATAACTGTAGTATTTGCATAGTAATACATAAAAATTCTAACATTATTAGCTTATTGAATAAAACCCTTATTTTTTCTTAATATCTTAAACCTTACCGAATAATTCTTGATGTTAGGATCAGCCCCGAATTTAAATAATATAGCGGCAGCTTCTTTCTGGCCCCAAAGAGCAGCCGCGTGTAAGGGTGTATATCCTTCGTAATCTACACTATCTGGATCTACGTTACAGTCCTCTAATAACGTCTTTGCCACCTAAAAATAGAATTTAATTTTGCATCAACTTTGTGGTCTCAAAATTTCATCAATTGAATTTTTTTTTTTATATAACAAAAAATCCAATATGGAAACCAATAATGGACAACTTTACAAAAATCTTATTGCTTTATAATATTACTACCAAAAGAATTCATACTATATTATACATATTTCTTACTTTAAACCAAAAATCCCGAATCTTGAACCTTTTTTATATTATTGCGCTGTTTCGCACTTTGGTGTTAGAGCTTTCCTATGTTTTAAAAAGAGACGGAACGAAAGAAAACTATGTAAACGTCATATTGACAAATAATATTAGAAAAGAGTTTACGATACGACCACCAAAGGTTAAGTAAATATTTAATATTTATCGATTGGCACAATTAATTTTCCCACGGTAATAACAATGAATGCTGTATAGCCTTGTCCGTCATTAAACGTGTTATTTCCATCATTTTAACTACAATAATATTGATTGTGAATAAATCTATAAAAATTTTCGTGACATATCATATGTGAAATATTAGGTAATATTAGCTTTCGATAATAATAATAGACATTCGTTTACACATTGAAGGTAAGTTTAATTTACGAAGTGATTATGAAAGCAGTGTTTGCTGCCTTTGAAAGTTTAGACATTAATATAAGGTTATAGGGATATGTATTTTAAGTGCTTTTGAAATACTAATTTCGAATATTAAACGTGATCGTCTACGCATAATAAGGTGTACGTGTACACGCTTGCAGGTAAGAGTATTAACGGTTCACAATTACGCCGTTTTGTTATCAAATACATGTATTATGCGATTATGTCCAACAGGTACATCATATTTGACTTTATTACAGTTTCCCCGAAGCCTAAAACACAATACGTGATAATTTAACAACAAGAAAAGTAGACCATGCGCGAATTCCTAATCGAAACATATATTAATTTCACCGGAAATAGTACATACGTCCTTTTTTTTCGATTTGGTCCATTTAAGGAATTTTCTGTTAAAAAAGCTGTTATTTATAATAAAATATTTACATCGATATAACCCTTTGCAGCGGCGACGTGTAAAGGTGTTCCTCCAGTTTTAGGGTCTCGGACATCTGAGTAACCATTTGCTGCCCAGTTCTTCGAATCGTTGCTAAGTTTAATAACTTCCGCGCTGCGGGATTTTTCGCAATCGACGCCTGGAATTCCAAAGATCACATAAACCTCATTAAATTATATTGAAATAACATTTCTAGCTGGTTGTCTTTCGTCGAACAAAAGTATAAATGCTTTACATTTTATTACCGAGATGTGGATTTGTGTGTGAGTTTTAAAAATTCAGCTAAATTACTGATGAACCTACCTTTTTCATCAATAGCTGTCTGTAGAAGCTTTTCCATTTCGTCACTTTCAGCAATGTCAATAGCCAACTCTCCGTCATAATTAACCGCTGCCACATCAGCGCCATTCTCCAAAAGATGCCTATAAAGAACACTCCATTAATTTATATGAGATACAAATAAGAATACGTGTCTACACTAATATTATTAAACGAATGAAACTATTGGCAATAGAGCGAAGTGATGTACTAAAGCTTTATAGAAGACATCAATACGTACACTAAAGTCTGCAATACCATGTCTAACAAATAAAAATAAAAATTTTAAAAAGCCATTTACAAACTACCCAGTTTCAAATAATTTATTAAACTGATATAGTTTACTCTTTATATTTTTAGAGACAAGGTCACTAAGTTTTAAGAATGTTTGATTCTCATTTGAAAAAAATAGTACAGTTTAAAAAACGGGTTAAAAAAATATATGTATTGAATTTTCAAAATAATAGTATACGGTGTTCTTTTTTGTTAAAAAATATTGCTATATATATTACTGAGTAATGGTATATATAATTGAACAGTAAAAAAAACAGATTCACGTATTGCATCTACTGAAAGAAGATTCTTCTGCGATGTGGAACTTCACTTCATTCTTACTATCAATTCCGTGATCACGTCGAATTAACTCATAAAGTTGAAAACATAATTCTCAACATTTTATTATACGTAATAAATGTTGCGAATAGCAAGCTATGTATTTATGTAAAATGATGATACTGCAGCTTTAACAACCTGCATCCCCTCTTTAAGACAATAACTCTTCAAAGCTTCCGTTCTGCACTTAATACGTTTAGACAAAAAGCTCATATGCTTATAAAAATGCACAAACTTTATGTTTTAAGTATCCAATTAGCTTTCAATACTAATTAATTTATGTCAACACAGCAGAGAACAGTGTACATTTGTATTTATAAACAAAAGAAACCACCAACGTTAATTCAGGGAATTTTGCACAATTGTATCACATATTTAGTCCACAAAAAAATATACAGAGTACATAGCATCGTCGGTATGAGTACCAGAATCTTTTACAAAATTGAAGAACGAGTGACAAAGAATTTCAACCTTGCAATGCTAGCGAAGCCACAAGAAGCTGTAGCATGTAACGGGGTCCAGCCCTCATTATCGCCACGATTGACATCTGCTCCATGTTCAACTAAAAACTGTACCATGTCGAAGTTGTCGTCGATGCATGCCTGAAAAACAGATTGTTAACATGTAAAAACAAACACAAAATTTATTTCACAGCTACAGAAGTAGGATAACATAAACTATATAACTTTGACAATAAAGTTAAGCTGTCACTTGAAGAGGAAGATGCGCTCAGCTATTGCTCCGTCATTACCAAGTGGAGATAATGGAGGATAAGTGGAGCCGACTTACAGCGGAACTCGGCATCAAATTGATCGCTAGGCTTCTAAATAATTCGCTCTGGTGGTTCTCTGTTACACTCAATGTACTTTACATTAGTTCCTTTTTAATATTCCAGTTGTGATAATTCATGTAGACTTTTTAACAAAATTGTTATAAATAAAACATTGTGAGCAACTGAGCGATAATAATCGGAAGTGAAAATCATCTTCAATAATCATTCCACAATAATTTATGCATTGGTCTCGTGCAAGTCTCAGTTGAATGAGTAATAGAATGTCGACGACACTAATTAATAAGCTATTAAACACAACCTACACAAATTTTCTAAAACTATTGTCGCTTTAAAAATTTAAGTTTTATACAAATTATATTAAACACTAGCTGCCTCCGTGAACTTCCTTTTAGTATGATTTTTTACTTAGCTTTATTTTTTGGAGTATCATATCAACATATGGAACATTTTTCATTAGAGTCTGATCGCTTTTTCGTAAAAAAAACTTAATAAAACTAAACTTTTCAATTTGTTTTGTATATTTTTCAAATTTTTCTGTACATAAAACCTCCTTTAAAGTTCAAGGAATAAATTTAAAAAAAAACAATACTCGAATCGGTCCAGTCGTCTCCGAATTTTGCGCTTTGCCACATATTTTTCAATTCAAATTTGTTTAAATATATATAGATTACTTATGCACAAATATTTAAATCGCTTAGCTTAACATAATATACTCGAAAGTTCGCAAACATGTTTAGATGTATAAAAAAGCAACCAACATTTCGCTATGCATTAATAAAAATGTATATATTAAGACAGCAAATATTCTATTTTCAATTTATAGACTGAAAAATGATTAGTTTAATCGACGCAGAAGTCTGACCTGAATTTTTATTTAAATAACAATATTACTCTAAAGAGTTTATATCTCAATGATGCTGCCGCATGATCGTTGGGCAACGGTTTGAAATCTCAGAAGGGTCTCGGCAAAGTAATCTTAACTTAGCGAACTATTTTGGGTTAGACTACATACATAAATAAAAGCGCACAGCTTACACAATTAAATTTCACTATCACAAGTACTATCAGACATGCTTTTCCGAATGTGATTAGAAAATGAATTCTAATGTAACTTTTTTTTCAAACAAACCTTGTAACCTACTTTAAGCTTAAGCTGGTTAGATCCCATTTCAAAACAAGCGCAAAAATTTTAAGCCTATAATTTTTTTTAAAATAGAAAGACATAATTTTCAAACGCATAGACATTGTTAATTTTGTCTAACAAGGCGATTGTGTTCGAAATAGAGCCAACATGTTCAAGGGCAGATAAGGATTGGCAAGTACCCAGAGTAACATGTCAATAGCTTTTGCCACTTGTGCTATTCCATATAAAACATATTTTTTAAATTATAGATATCATTTTACTATACTACATTACATGAATAGATAATAACAGGATTATGTTACGCGTTTCTTACATGGTAGAAACACTAAATATGTACACTAAATGTTCGCTGACATTCCGATCCTGGTTGGACTTTTACTCTTCGCTCATTAAATTAGGATAAATAATCCCTCCTGACAGACACTTAACAATATCACTACATTGATTTAGACCTAATTAAAACACGTCATTTAAGCATCTCATAATTATAGCACGGTTGTCTGTTTAAAAAGTGATACGAGGGTGTTAAAGACAAAGTATTAATAAGTTTTGAAACACTTTATAGTTACATTTATAAAAATCTTAATTATCTTACGAGGGTTTATATGAATATACACCAAAGAAGCTGTTACGCATATCTTTCAATAATATTACAAGAGTTGATTGGAGGTTCTTCATAATAATCACAAATAATATGTCTTACAAATAGATATATATAATAGTTTACTTCGTGTTTTTCGAAATTGATAAATACACTGTGTCATTTATAATTTTGTATGTAAAACTAGACATTAATTATATAAAAATAAAACTTTGTAACATAACTGTAAAAAAATTTGAAACTACGGTTGAAAGATAAATGTAAAAATAAAACGTTCCCTCAGTAACAGATAGTGATACGTATTATATTGACAAATAAACATTCGCCTATATTTATTAAACCAGACATTTCTTGCCAAGTAACAGCCGGAATCGCTGTCAGTCAGCTCCGTTTCTACGTCTACAATTAACACTAAAATAAAACATTCAAGCCGCGTGTGCAGCCTATGACGTAACTAATATCAAGGAGTCTCTCACTGCTGTATTGACGTGGCCTTAAAATCACCACCTTCAATTTTAATTTTGTGTGCCGCTAAATCAGCAGTACATAATTTTTTAACTAAATATTTAGGTCGGTCAATAACAGCACCTAATTATCTAATTGGACTCGACAAAATTAGGATCACGTTCTAAATTGTTCATTTGTTTAGTTTCGATTCGCAATTTCGACAAATTTGATTTCCCATGCCATAATTTAATACCTACTTTAATAGTGTTAAGACTAGACTAGAAGATATTTCATTCGATATACTGAATAAAAAAGATCAAATTTAACTTAGCTTTTATTCAACGAAAACGGGAGCAACATAAAGAATAAAAAGTTCACGATGTCATCGACCTAAATTTCTATACCTATCCAATGAGTATCGCGTACTATTAATACTATTATAAAACAACTTGCGCTGCGCGCCGAACACAAAACGCATCCGCGATCATGCGCTGCCAAAATAATAATTCAATATAAATAATAATTATGATAAGAAACCCCAATTTCTTAAAAGTCTTAAGATCAGATACTAATACATTCGAAAACCTTTTTCAATTGCGCCTTCTATTTTTAGTTTTCTGAAAAATAATTTTCAAAAAAAATAATTAGGATCTATGAATGTAAAGACTCATATTTATATATCATTTTGTAATGATGGCAACATAAAGCTTGTGTTTTAGATACAGATTATAACAGACGATGACCTATATCAATTCGCGACTTGCCGCAGAAAGTCAAAGATTTCTAGCACGCACACGTTTATTTACATTATAAATAATACTGTGTAACATTAGTGTACGACACGCTTGCTGACTATTTGTTTCTGAAAGCCAGACAGACAGCGCTGATCGGCATCCAACCATAATTATAATTCTGATGACGCAATAGGTAATTGACATACTATCCCGACTTAACTCAGCGTTGCTAGAGTTTTAGGTTAACGCGATAAAGCGCCATGCATTAGAATGATTACCTAATAAAAGTTTGCTAAAATCAACCTAAACATATAAAATCGTTACTCGTCTTAAAATAAGGGGACCATTATCATTCCAGACACGGTCACAAACCTAAAATAGATTATAATTTATAAGATTCAATAAAATGTATTACTACCCAGTTAGATTAAAAAAACAAACAATACTTTATGCGCGTCTATGTCAATAAGAGATACCGCACGTCGGTTGCTTAGGCTGAATTCCAAATAATAATTGTTTGTATTTTGCATTTAAATAAATCATCAAACATTCTAGACGTATTAAACTTACAAAACCTTAATTTAGATGGGACAATATCATTCTAGACAAGCGAACTGGATTCTTAAAACATATCTTTCGATATAGAATTACTGTTTATTTATTTATACTGTACTGTTTATTTACAATAAGTCGATACTATTATACAAATAAATATATTTTTAATAAATACTTTTACACAACTTTAAATGTAGCTATGTCTGAAAGGAACGTACATAGAAATAAGTATTTATTTTTAAATTTGTTTCAGTCAATTCAAATTGCAATCTAAAGCAACTAAAAGGCGTTGTGTGCAGCCAACATATTTTAGCATTAATGCATTAGAACAGCTAAGTACATGGAAGATAAGTTTTACTTTCGGATATGCTGGCTTGGTATTGGTTATGCAACTCGGTTTACTAAAATATCGTATTCAAATGCGTCACACAACGTGAGCAATGGAAGCTACGTACAGGGTTATTTTTGAAAAATGAACCTGTCAGTTCCGAAAATTGTTTAAATAATTACAAGTTTTTAATAAGTATAAAATTTAAATGAACGTCGTTCGGAGACTTCTACGTTAAATATTATTTATATATATTATAAATATAGTTCGATGGTAGTCTTAAAAATAAGATATATTTCCTACGCACTGCGATATCAATTATATTTAGAAACGGTGATCTAAACATCGATGTATCCAATACGGTTTATTCCCCCATGACAGTTAAAAAGTACGAGTAGTAGACGCTGTCAGATTCTAAATCTGGCCCAGTGACGTTTAGTGGTCGGGAGTAACAATCGAAAGTTATTCCAACTGCTAAACTAAACTCACGTGACAAGCAATGCCGCATTCTAGGGCTATTAAAAAACGGAAGTAATAATTTATTATAAATAAGGTTATATTGTTATTTGCGATGTTGCTATTTATCTTAAACAATTAAAGGAATACCGGTCTAAAATCGGAACAAATATTACCATTTAACCTAGTCACGTATTTGTCATAGAGAAAATAAAGATAAAAACTTAGTTTATACACTTGTTACACAGATGTATATATCCAACATTTCTGTAATTGCATTATGCAAAATCTACTTGCAACTAAAGAATTCTTTAAAATTTTGGAAAGATTCTTGAAGCTAAACAAATGTTGGGGCAGGTTACTAATGTATTTGCCTGTTGAGGTAGTCCAGCTTCTCCACTTCACAAATATGATGTTAAACACTATGAGGTCTAACCCTTTTGGGCTTGTTCGTATGTTTTGCAACTATTTATTTACATTTTACACAAGAAATTACATTAATGAATTATGTCTAAGAATATAACTTTATTAGGGTTATTAGCATATTCTTCTGTACTAAAGTATAAAACTAAGTTGTTATTAGACAACTACTAGCTTAAATTTATAAAAAGACAATGAGCATAAGATTTTTAATAAATTATTTTTCTTAAGCTTTCAAATAATTTTGAATATAACAAAGCTAAAATCAAAAATTTTAAAAAGGCACATTTTACATATTTCATATTCTGACTTAAAAAAATAATATGATTGGTTTTACCAATGTTGCAAATAATTTTAAATAAATATATAGAATAAAAATATAATCTAGTTAATTTCCACTTTATGGATTTTATAAATAACTATAAATGGTAAAAGATACATTTTAAATAAATTTTTCTCCCATCTTAAAATTCATAGAACATCTCCTCTTAAAAAGTTAAAGGGACTCGAAGGGTACATAGTTATGAATAATTGAAGGCAGTATTCAGTTTGTAGGCAGTAATAGCTTAAGCTTTATATTCTAGAAATGGGTAGTCAATTATACCTCATATTAGTATTTGCATTATATCCTTACATAAGAACCCATGTTAAGGATCTAAAACTTGAAGCTTTAGATACTTTCTAATAAACAATGTGTACCAGCTGTTAAGTATGACTTGGTGTTCTAGTGACGGTGCTACACATGTGTTTGTTGTGTGTTCACATTTGTTTTTGTGTTTATCATACAAGTTCTTAAAAGATGAGTTTATAAAACATGTAAAAGGTTAGGTTACAGATTTTAAGCAATTTCACAAATTTGTTAAGGAACAATTCAAGGTTGTAATACATGTACATGAAGTAGTGATGGGTAATTCATATTCAATTACAATGCAATTTCAACTTATTTTCAATAACAATTCATTTAAAAACTTTATTGCTAATATGTGTACAAATATTAAAAGTTATTGAATAAGATGAATATTATTAATATAAAATTCTTCAACCCATATTTGTTACCTATAACTGTCATTCGTTTTTAACGAATTATGTTTAGTTTTATTGATTTATTTATATCAGCGATTTAAGTGATAATATATAAGCACTGGAAGCAAATTAATTATAAATTAAAAAAGAAATATGGTGTTTCTATAATCCTTATAGGTCATTTTCACTAACATAGTTAACATGGTAGAATACGTCTTATATGATATTTTTTTAACATGATGTAAGGCGTTTAAAAATATTATCTTGCCATATTAATGGTTCATTATGCCAAGATTGCCTGCTTCTCAAACTTAACACATGATATTTAATCATGTTATTGAGTTAATGTCAATTATATTATCCTGCTAAGATTAGTTTGACACTTCTAGATATACATTAATAAACTTTCTAGTTAAAGTCTTAAAGCCATAAGCATAAAGTCCAGAAACCAAACCTAAGCTAAACCTAATACTAGCACACTCATAATTTATGTATGTAGACTAATCTTGATACAGCTTAGACTTTGTAGCTATTACATACTAACAACAAAGTCTCAGTCTTTAGTCCCAGACAATTATCCAAATTTAAAATTGCTGTGCTAATCTACTGACCTGATGCAGAGCTGTGAGGCCGTCTACGTTTGATGTGTTTATGTCCGCGCCTAGTTTTAGCAATCGCTGTACTTCGTCCTTATCACCAGCTGTACAAGCTGCCAGAAAAACAATCCCAGGAGAAAATTGTATCCTTGTAGCGCGTTTTGGGACCGCAGACTGCTTGTTGGTATCCGACTCCTCCCATCTTTTTAATTGTTCGGCCCTTTTGAACAAGGCTGATGACGATCTTGGATCCATTATTTCCGCTTATTATTAGTATTTAATACGATACAAACGCTTTTTACGAAGCATAGATATCGTTTTAGTTTTAGATTTTGCACAAACGAATTCAAGGGGAAACGTCCAACGTGATTAGTTAAACACTTTACTAGCAACTCTGATTCTTGATTTTTCAGTATATCACTCATCAGTACGATCTATTTTTACATGACATAACCAATGGATTAAACTTTGATCGTGGCAGCCATTACGAGAGTAAATTTAATAGCCAACATGCTCATTTGCCATATACACTACCCACTACCAGAAAAACTAGACTGTGAAAAATGGAAATGACGGCCGACGCGACCGGAACAGAAGAAAGCGCCGCTAGCGTCACCTGGTGACCTGGCGGATGAGTAGTTTGCGCCACAGACCAATCAATTATAAAGTAGAAATCTAAACCACAGAACTTTATGTTATAGTAAAAAAAACGTTGTACTCTATATAATATATATATCTTTTTTTTATTGAATAGTAATTTAGCTATAGTAACGGTTTGTATGAATAAGGATTTGTGTATTGACGCTTTCACTCGTGTACGAATTATTTTTTTGCTTTATATGATCTTATTTTAAAATATGTAAACTGCAATTTTGTACACTAACAGACCCTGCTTCAACGTAAGAGAAAACATTACCTGACTACTGTCACAAAAACGTTTATATATATACAAAACGTAGATAGAGTATAGAACTAGATGAGCTACTAAAATAACAATAATATCTAAAGAGAGAAGGCATTAACGTGAAATACTTAAGTGCAAGCGAAACAGAGTATCAGTTTTTCTGTCTTTATTTGCGTATCGGGTTTTATTTGTATGCCACCGAGCCCTTGGTGGCAAACAAGTTTTCACCGCTTTCTGATAAATCAAACCCATATTTATATATAACTTGGTTACCCAAGTCAAACCCATATTTTAAAACTTTATCCTTCTAAGAGGTGTATTCAAAGTGTCAGTCTTGGTGAATTGTTGCATAATTTGCTGTAAAAGCCATAGTGAACGTAAAGAACCAAACATAACCTTTCATCGGTAAGTAGTTTACTTGAAGTTATATCGATCATTCGCTATCTCACACGCTGTACGCTGATGCCTGGTTTATACCATAGTCCGTCAACGATACAAAAGAATACATGATTTTGACATTTTTAATAGAGTGCGCGGTAAATAGGACTGCGCGTGGCCCTTATTGAAAATAAATTTCTGAATGCCATGTTTTGTGGAGTAGTAGTAGCAGTAGTGTTTCTTTTTTTCGATTTCAACCACAGTTGCAGGAAGATAATAAAAACACATAAGGAGATTCACATATATATATACACTAGCCGTTTCGCGCCCGCTTTGCTGGACGAATTAAAATAAATTTTATGTTTCATTATTTTATTTTTTTCCATATTTTTATTATTCTTCTTTTAACTTCCCGCTAAGAAAATTGAAATATTTCGAAAATCGAGTTTTTAACAGATGTTGACGTTTAGAGGTTCTAGGAAGCCTCCCCGAATGCTTCCGCGGTGAAGTCCGTATGGATAAATTTTCATAAAAGTAAAACAGCAATAAAAAAATGAAGGAACGTTGGAATTTAATAAATAAATAGCCATAAACCATCTAGGAAAAATTTCGCATCGAATGGTGGTAGTTCAGTCATGTCGATACGATTTGACAGTGGTTTAGGCGTGAAGGAGCCTCAAACGAAGACCATTTTTCTTTTATATATATAGATAAAGTTGAATATTCGGTTATTAGGACAACATAGTTGTATGCCTACGACTGCGATCTAAACAAAAATATTTAAAAAAAAATTCAAGATAAATTTAAGAAGCGAGATATAATTCAATGACCGGTTATTAATGTCTTTCAGCATGGTGAAAAATCTTAGACCAATATTTTTAATCTGATAGGCGTAGAACTTCTGATGACGAGTTGAGTGAATCAGAATTATCTGAAATAAGATAAAATGCATTGTTGATGGATGGTCCATCTTCTTAGATTATTTCATTGTAATTAATTATTTGCATGCAATCAAAAACTATTTTTAATAATGCCAAAGAAGTATAACTTCTTACGCGCGTACATAAGTACACGCACCCTTTTTTTAACCTATCGATTATAGTGCAAACTATTACAGAACTATGAAATATCTAAAAAGCACCGGTTTCTTCTTCTATGCTCTGAATTAAATTTCTAGCTTTAATAGCTGGTATATGTACTTGTAATGTTGTGTGACGTTTGTTTTGGACGTTGGTTGAACGACTCTCATTTATACATCCGCAAATTAAAATTAAGTTAGTAAATTAAATCAGATAAAATATAGTCCTTTATATTTCTCTGTTAACAGATATTGTACTTCCATCTACGTCAAGTCTGACATTGTCACCGTCAAGTGACACGATGCTCGAGAGTAGACTATTTATATTGTAATTATTATAATAATAATTTGGCCCTTTTTTATTATATTATATTTCCTACTGTAAATAGCAGTACAACAACAGTGTTACATATCTTAGAATTAAACTTTTTCTGTGACAGAAGTCGAACGTTAGTTTAATCATACTCGTATTTATCGGAATTTAGAAAGAGATAAAGTATCCCTTGGTTGCTAAAGAGTGACGACCGAATTGAAATCGCAACTTCGGTCATCACAGTGAACGTAGATCAGCGAGCTGGCAAGCCGTAGGTTTAGTCTGGAACAGAAAGTATTCGAAATTCAAAATGGCCAGGTGTTATCATGGTCTCGTAGAGTGTTGTCGTTGAACTTTATTTAATTTCAGTGAAGATATTATTGTGTTTAATAATGGCTGATATTATATACCAAAGTCTTGACATATCAAACCTCCCGGACGACATCAGGGATAAACTAGCGGAGTTGGATTTAGAATTGTCTGAAGGTAAGTCTACTAACTCTGTTTTATTGTTAATCGATAATTCATTATTTCATTCGAATTTTATTATTTTGGGTGATAGCTTTAAGTTTTATACTGTTTTATTTTGGCGTTTAGCTTCCGACGTTTCTTGTGATTTAAACAAGTTTACTATTAGGTATTTATGTGGCCAATGACAGCTGATGTGTTTGTCTAACAGAGCTTGCTCTAAACAAACTTATATTAAAATAAAAATCCTAACAATTTTATCATCAAGATCACAGATAGTTTTATACACATACATTGATTGTATTTTAGCAATATAGAGATAATAATTATGTCAACCATAAAGTATTACATATCAACTTATTCATATTAAAAAAAAATTGTTTGAAATAATACCATATCTGCCAATTAACTCAGTTACAAGTTACATCTATGACGAAAAATAAATATTTTTATTCAAATATGATTGTGCCATTATATTTTTCTGTATAGTTTGAACTTTATGGCAAAATTTCTGTACTAGAAGAAATAGTAATAAGTGAAGTTATTAAATACAAAGATATTGTATAAAGGTAAATATTATGAGAAAATGTCACTCTTTAAGGATTTTAGTGCCCTTGTGTATTAATGCTAGTTAAAGTCACAGTAAATGCCATTAAAATAATTTACAACAAAAATATACATTTACGATCTTCAATCTAGTTTCTACTACTACAGTTATCCTGTTTTAATTGGTACTTTTGCAGACTTTACCAAAAAGGGTTGTCAAGAAATCTATAGCAACTTAAAGTGTAAAAGGAATTTAATTGAATTTGAATTTAAAAAAAGAAGAATTTTGTTAATAAGTCAGTATGTTATTTATATATAAGAAAATATCTTTATTAACTAAGTTAATGTGGTATAATAAGGTGTATTGCGAATCCTTTTGTTGTGCATGTAGCTTTTGCGAATAATTACAGACAGTAATATTGGTCCATGGCATAGTGAACCCCTATATTCTGTAGTTAAGTGAAAGCCTATATTCTAGGTTTTATAAAGTAAAATAATATAATGAAAAAATTAAAATATCTTACATATATTATGACAAATTAAACATTGTCGATCAGACAGCAAAGACAACATTACAAAAGAGTTTATATAAAATACAATATAGACAAGAGTTTGTATAGGAAAATATATTCTATATATCCTTACATATATATGTTATATGTATATATATATGTAGTAATAATTGTTTACCGATACCATTAAGCATACGTATACACTGAGTGAAAACAAAGCTTTATGCAACTTTATTATATCCGGATTTCACAAAACATTTTCGACTTCTGTTGTTTTATTAGTTATTTATTTCTGACTTCGCTTTCCATACAAATATTTATTTATTTTATTCCATATCATTATTCTATCTTTACAGTAATTACTAATTCGATAGAACGACACAATATAATTGTAGGAGTACATTATTTAGAAAAATTATCGCGATACTACGTAAGTCGGTGTGAAATAAGTTCTGACATGTCAGAAATAGCAATTAAAAAGACAAATACAGCATAGTGTAATTAAGACCATAAAGTCGTAGATCATGTCTCACGAGACGGCTTATTAATACAGTTATAATATGTTTCACCTGAAAAATATGTTGCTCAAGTGGTTGTTCTGAAATAAATAGTAAGCACGTAGTTCTGTATATATATTTTTGTATTTACTCCCCTGGCGTGTAAAAATATATTGCCTCATACGTCGAGCGTTGGAATACTGATTATTATTGATAGTACAGGGCTTCTGCCACTTTACAGAAATGCTACTGCTAATTGGTAATTGACTTTAGGAGCAATATGATTACTTGAATTCGTGCCATTAGCTATCCACAATCAGATTTACATATTTTTAGCACTTATTATTAGCATTCCCGAACAGCATGTGAATTAAGTTCATTGGAATAAAATGTAGCTTTTTTCAGTTGACCCGTGATGAGAATTAAGACTAACATTAAATTCATTTCATAACAAGTCATTTAAGCCAAGCCTAATTTATAATTAAGAATATTTAACATAAGGATTTAGAAGTGTCCAATAGCACTATTATCTCTCAAATCAGCCCACATTGCTAATAAACTTATATATTATTATTATATTACCTTTATAGCCTAATAATTTGTTGTCATGTATTTAAAGTCTATGTGGACTCATTTTGGCTAATTAAGTCTTATCCGCCCTTTTTGCCCATAAAGCATTTACGGTTTTCAGCATTTAGTATTGTTTTTTATCGCGTCGTTTTTAGTAGCCGCAATAGCCATGCTGCAGTTTTAATTTGTATCCCAAAGGTCGAGATTATATTATGTTGTGACGATTGATTACAAATGGCGACTGCGTCATTTAAATTTGTATTTTACAAGTATGCACCGATTTGCATACTTGTAAAATATCTACGCTAAGTATCTACACTCTGTAGCGTGGAGGTATATTTACTACTGTCTCATTTTTGTGGCTGGTAATCCTCTGGTGGTCATCATTTGTTACTTCTCTGCGCTAATCTCGAGAACTACGGATTGAAATAAAAAAAATGTTTTAGGTAGACCATTAAGCGAAGAAGGATGAGCTACTGTGATTGAAGCCGGGAATCAAAGAGAAAATATTTATTTTTTCGCTTCTATATTACATTATTCCAACATTTTCTATAACGTAACTTTTGCTTGCGATCAACTGTAACATTTTCAAGATATTAAAATGTTTTATTCTTGAACTGAGGGCAAACGGGCACTAGGCTCATCTGATGTTAAGGCATAAGTGATAGCGCCGCCCTTGGACTGAGGGCTCGTGACTGCGTTGGCGGCCTTTTAAATTCAAATTCAAATTTCAAATTCAAATTCAAAAATCATTTATTCACGTAGGTAACACAATGTACACTTGTGATTCGTCATTAAAGAAATAAGTATTAATGCTTCTAATTTTACATTTACTGCCAGTTCTCAAATCAAGGGCGTAGAACGGAAGAGAAGAACTGGCAATAAACTCTCCGCCACTCTTTTTAATCGCCATGTTTTTTTTTTTTTTTTTACACAACGTTTGTAAGGAGCTGCAACCATTACACCATGTTCCACATGACATTTTAAGTAATTAATAATAATTAAGGATTGGTACATCCCTTTCTTGAAGGACCCTAAGTCGAAATACTTCGTAAATACTTCAGTGGGTACAAAAAGTGGTTCCACATAATGTTGGTGCACGGCAAAATAGCTTTAAAGAACGCTCATTTGTGGAACGACGGACATCGAGGTGATATGGGTGGAATTTCGTATTCTGCCTCGACGTCCGATGATGAAACTCAGCTGCAGGTATTAATCCAAACTACTCATCTGAACACTCTCCAGAGTAAGTGCGGTAGAAGGTGCAGAGAGACACGACATCTCTACGAAACGCCAAGCTCCACAGAAACTGACTGGTCTGTGGAATGTGGCTAAATTCCATCATGCCATTATATGCAGAAGATAAAGGGTATATGACACAGCTTTGTAGGCCGTGTCCCTAAGCGTTCTCAGTTTTGAAGTCGGAACGACATGTACGACGAGGATAAAGCTCCGATCGGCCAGAAACCTGGAGATCAAGTACATAATTTCTTGGGAAGCCCATAAGCTGAAAGCTTCGAGACAAGCCCTTTGCAACGATTTGATCGAAGGCTTTCGCTATATCCAAACTAAACACTACCACCACCCCCTAGGACTCATTGCCTCTGGCCATTTATGTGTAAGGTATACTAGAAAGACACCAGCGATTAGCGACAGGGCCACCAGGCCCTCTAAATATTCCAGGAGCTAGCCGTTTATAATGGTTTCCATTATTTTGGGGATCGAGGAAGTTATGGCTTTTCGATGATCCTCGGATCAGAGCGGTGGCCCTTTTAGGGATTGGGTGTATTGAAGCGAATTTACAGCAGATTTTTATGGAATTTAAATAGTTGATTGAAGATTAAACTATGTTTATTTCATTGCATCCTACATGATCTCAGTGGACCCCTTTTGCTATTACATCAATATAGGTTAATGTTCAATTAGAACAGGCGACATCAAATGGCGTCGACAAAGATGTGTTTTACTTTTAACGGTTCCGGAGTAAAAGGAATTTGTTAATACACAGTACATATTAAATTCATACTTTACCTTGTTTACCTTTATTATTAATATTTACATCCTTTTTATTAAATGCAATAAAGTTTTTATTTGATTCGTTCTTATAAAATATGACTACATGATGATACAGCGTAGAGTGTATTTTAAATCACAATATAAATATTAAAAAAGATTTTTTATAAAATACGGATAACGTACGAATTTCGAAAACTGACCGGATAAACATATTAATTGTATTTGTAATGAAACTACAAGCAATATCTAAAAATGACTTGAAAACGTACTCGTAGCTATGCATCAATATTTGTTGAAATCGCTTTCACAGTATTAGCTTTTATGTTTTTGCGTAATATATAACGTAGAAATGGAATAGAGTTCATTTGATTAAAGCGGAATGAGTAATAAATATCATACATATTTCCCTTTAATTCCCCGAACGTATACAAAGTGGTTTAGTAATTATGAATTCTGTTTAATTCTGTACTCGTATCATTTATATATGTATATATAAGTGTACTCGTACATTAAAGCGGGTAATAATATTATTTCCAATATGTGAAGCGTCTCATAGTCTTAAGAGACAGTTAATGAACTACATCCTTTTTCTTCCTTTTTTAACATGTGTTCAGTGTGACTCCTCATTGCTCTCTGAGTATTTAAGGAAGATATAAATAATAATTTGTTTTATAAATACTTCTACTTATCAAACTAATCGTACACCTATGGCAATTGTTTTTATCTCAATTTCTACTAACAGGTCTGGAATGTAAAACAATTTTGTTTTTCTTACAATAATTGTAATTGTGCTTTCGCTCCTTATTCATATTATTGTGTGGTTTGACCGATATCGTGTGGCGAATGCAATCCAATGCTTGATGTCAATATTTTACGTTATTATTATACTAAATGAACGCTTTGCATTACATTTTACATAATTGATTAAATAAGTATAATACAATACTATAGTATTATAGTCATTATTTTGTGGTTTTTATTGGTGTTGTTAAAACAAGGTCGGCAACTCGTCCTATTAAAGTTAAAATATTTAATGCTAATTGCTAACTGGATTATCTGAATAATGGTGTGAATTTTGAATTTATAATTTCTTCCTCTTGGAAAAATAAATCTTCGTATTAGTTATTATATGTACTCTACTTGCAGGGGACATCACACAAAAAGGATATGAGAAGAAACGCACTCGTCTTTTGGCACCATACATCGCCCAACAACAACAATCGCAAGGTAAATTATTAAAGTATTTAATGCAATTTTGTACCGCTAATCTGTTGCCTGAACTAATCAGTAAGTTTACCTAATGACCCGCGAGTACTGGCTTTACTTTTAAATTTTATGCCGTTTAAAATTAAATTGGTGACGTTAGGTGTTAGACTCGAATCTCCAGTACTTACAATTCCAAGGTCGCAACGAAATCGTTGTTGGGGTCAAGTGTCAATTGGTCGACGTCGATGGATGCTGGACATTGGCGAATCTATCGGCATGCACTCTTCGCTCGCTCCGATTTTCAAACTAGGGTCAAATGAAGGGGCCATCGTGAATCTGTACGGAAAGATAATTTGAATATAGAATACAGGTCATACCAATTGCAATGTAATTATTTTTGAATCTTTGGAAGTGTACTGCCGTCATTTTTAAACCGATCCAATGTTATAAGACAAGCCATGTCCTGTGTCAATCGATTTTTTTTAGTTATGTTAACATGTATTTCAGTATATTAAGCATTCTTATATTAAATTAGTTAGCTGGTGACCACCCACGCACGACAACCACACTTTATCACCATCGTTCCCAACATGATGTAATAGCACGTAAATACAACTGAATATCTAAGCACGAATAAAAACCAGCTTTGTGCTTGCGGTTCTACGTTGTATACAATCAGTTAATATAAAAACCTTGGCCCAAAGTGACTCGTGATAAGCGGCTGCACATAGGCATGCGAAGCCCCTCTTCCCTTTGTGTCTAATGCATAATCAAGAGTTTCCTTTACGCCTAGGCCATTTTTACAGAATGAAACAAACATCATTAATTAGGAATATCTTATAATTTTTTTTTAAATAATCATCCTACTTTATAATCCTACTTTTATTTAGCTGATTTCGCCATAGATAAGGCATTAGGACCCTAAATAATATAGGGCCATGTTGGTTTTATAACATTACTTTAATATTAACAAGGAAGTAATATTTTTTTCAGCCGCAAGAATTTATAGTTTATTTAAGAGGTTATTATAATTTGTTCCGTTTAATACTATCGCTTATCTATCCCATAGTTACATCAATTATCTTATTCTAAAACTACCGGAGAGTTTTATATTCACTTTGTAATTTATTAATGTATTTGGAAGATTTATTTTAGTCACTAAAAATAAACTCGAACAATTCAAATAAATTTTGTTTGTTGATAAATTTATCACTCTCGTCTTGAAATAAACGTTTCGCGTGAAATAATTAACGTAATCATTTGTTTTGGTTCATTTTGAATCAATAAGTGGAACTGAGTTGCGGTTAACAATGAAATATTATGTTCGTTACCGCTACTGGTAGCGAAGTACCTTTAGATCACTCTTGCTTATCGTTTCGGAACGATACGCTCATAGAGTTTTTTAATATTACCTATCATTACGCACACTTCAGTCGTATTTAGACCTCTGTGTAACTTCGGGACAAGTATACCTAGTTGATTATAGTTTATTTATATTTCAAATAGATATACTTTATATTCCAAAATATATACTTTATGTCACAAAATTTGTCTGTTTATACGCATTTCAGTCAGTTTTACGCATAAATAAATGCGTTTAAAGCGGGCCATAGACGGACCGCATGTTGCAGTCAAGACCGACTTGCGGTCGCCGCACGGCGAGATGCAGTTTCCATATTAAATTCATATTCGCAATACAGGGACCGCTCGAGCAGTTCCTGAGCAAACCGCATATTGCAGTCGGTCTTGACTGCAACATGCGGTCCGTCTATGGCCCGCTTAAAGATATTAGGTATGAAGTTCCCGATCTATTACTTATGAAACGATCGCGAATCTCCTATATTAATGTAAAAAACGTTGCAATGTGTTTTTGCAATTTCCACTTTATCTTTTTGTTTCAACTTACGTGATATAGTTACGTTATTTATATATTATCTGTTATTTAATAATTCAAAGCTCCTTTAACATAAATTAGTAAATTAACTATAATGTTGCATCAGAATAGAGATTTTAGTGTTTTTTAAATGTACATGTGTCGATTATATTCTGTGCTCTGTAAAGGATACAAGACACAACACAATTCTAGGTAGGTATTGATCGCTTTGCTCATCCAAACGGTGGAGGGTTTTGCCGAATGTTTTCGGGTCTGCATTGCGTCACCTGATAACGTCCTCACCGGTCCTTATCAAAACTAGAGTTTATTGAACTTGCCTGATAACCCATTAGGTGCTAAAAGGTGTACAATTAGGATAATAAAACAAAAACTAATGTATAGCGTATTAACTGAATAAAGTTATTCAATATTCATTTAGTGTTATACTTATACCTTTTATTTATTTGGAAACTTAAGCCAAACCTATTTTTAATTCACGTTGATAAATACTTAATTTGTTAATCATAGATTTGTTTCTGTATATACCGAAATAAGACTTATTATTTCCCCATACTAATGCTGAAGTTAGATGATTACTCCTTGATTATTTGTCAGGTTGAATGGGGTGAAATTAGTATCATATATCTCTATTATTAAACATTTATTATAATACATCTACCAAAGTAAAAGTCCACGTTAGTACGTTATGTTATTGGTGAGGTAGATGTAAAACTATTATGTAGATTCAGTAGCTAGATCATAAGTTTAAGTTTAATTTTTTACTTATGATTTTTGTCGACAATTGACCAGAAAAACTAAGCTGCAAATGGTAATATGATATGTTGGTCGGGATAGGTGTTTATGCAGAATGTTACACAGCAGGGGTGATGCCGCCTCGAGGACAGCGTGGCGAGAGCGGTTCGGGTCGACAACACACAAGAAATCGTCGAACGCACCGCCGCGTCACACACAATGAGAAGAGATACCATTCAGGTATCCTAGGGAAATATCTAACCTGTAGCCACCACCACAAAGCAACACATAACAAACGTTAATCATATGTAATTGACGAATACGGTCCATTTAATTAAATGTGGCCTTGCAAAGTAGACATTTATTGCTTTCGAATGTATTAAACTGACACGTTTAAAAATAACGAGACAAGAGCTAAAACAAAAGGGAGTCGGTACAAGCCCCGGATATTAAGATAGTCTCGGAAGTCTGGAGGTCCTAGACAAAGTATCATAGTCGCCCTGCGTCAGCTTCTTGCCATGACGTGACGTTTTAATTACTTCAGCCATATTCTTGCAAAATAGATAATATACGCGCTATTAATATTAGATGTGCGTTATAGAAAATATTACAGCATACTATATAGATGAGGTTGTTAGTTGAAATATAAAGTTATTTTTTTAGTGCATTGCCGCTAGCTAGAAAGGTACATGATGCGTTTTATATTATAGATATTGCGTGTCAACAATGTTTTAAAAATATTTTCCTCGTACGCCTCAAGCGGTCAGTGCGTCTATAAAAAGAAACTCGTCTATCAAAATCGGCATTCAAAGTGCTCAGTTATATCATAAATTATTCAGCTATTTATTATTTCTTTTTTATATCAATTATCAATGCATTGTCCGTACCATTAGTACATGTTTTCATTGAAATTTTTATAATGATAATTGACTGATGTTTTAGTTTTTAGAAAATTTTGAATTGTAATGTAATAATTTGTAATTTAGTTACAAATCCAGTTAGTTTCATATATTTTATACACAATAAACTTTCATTCACTGAACCATAATTCTAAATAGCAGATGTTTTTCTAACTATACATATAATTATATTACAATTATTATTATTAATATATTATATAAATATATATACAATATATGTATATAATATTTACTAATATTTTGTAATTTTTTACATAGGCTTGTTTAATGTTTTGAAACTATAATCGTGTGTCTGAGATACCGCACTTCCACTTATATTCACTATATTGCAGAATTAATAATAAATATTACCATATGCGTATATTAAAATATGATACAGTATATCACAGGCAGTGAACTAAAAAATCACATGGCGATATGCTAGTCGACACTGTTTCACAACGTCATACGATTGTTACATCTAGAGAATATTTCTATACGCTTTATAGAATTTCTCTTCTGACAGCTGTAGGTAGAGTAAAATTTAGTTTTAGAATAACTTGTAGCAGCTCAGTTCAGAGAGCAATGTCAGCTTAATGGCCAAGGCACTTGCGATGTGTCTTAGATACAAAAATTGGTTCGTAAAGCTGATAATCTACTTAACTATAATCTAATGTTTAATAAAACAGATAAAAATAAGAGAAAAGAGGAAAATATTCGAAACGACGATACAGGCAGCACTATTATTGGTAATAAGTTCAATTAAATTAATCATGATTCGTTATAGCTTTAATCTTTAATATTTACTGTTTCAAGATTTTTAGATGTTGCCAGAATGATCGAGTTCTTGAGAGCACCGGAATTCAGTTTTGTTTAAATGTTTTCTTTTTATCTTTGTCCCATTTTTGAACCGTTTCACAGAATTTTAGTTCGGAAACCATTTAGAATAAATTACATCAGGATACAAATGGGGAAAGAGCCTGATGTCGTATTTATAATGTTTTTAACTTTACTAAAGCTCGAAAATTTAATTTTGATCTAGTTTATTAAAAATTAAAACTGCGATTGTTGCGTGAAAATATAACATGAAACGGAAATATAAGGAACAAAATTGTGATATTTATAATAAATTTTTAGAATTTTCTGAACGTATAACATTTTAAATATGTATTTTAGTGCCAATATCTAGAATATAAGCTTTTATTCGAAAAATGACAAACACTGTACACATTGAAGAGACGGTGCCTTATTAAATCACACAAGCTATCGTGAATCACAATTGAAGTGTTCAGTAGCGTATGTTGACCTCACAATCGCACGTAAATGCTTTAAATTGAAACTAGAGTTAAAGCTGGTTTATGGCTGAATATTACTAACGAAGTATTATGAAATGTAGAGCTTTTTTAAAAGCAATAATATTTTTTCTCACATAAAGTAATTATATCATATAAACCTAAGTAAAATTTTGTAGTCGGAGTCATTCATTATCTCCAATATCATACAATTAAGTGACACGGGACCCTAATATATGTCATACAAGTCACATTGTAAAATTCAACTCATTGAATGCTTAAACAATTAAAGAAATTTAAGTACATAATATAAATGAAACACTTTGCACATCATTTCACTCCATGCGCAGTTTCTTTTAATTAACTAATGGGCAAATAAATAGAAGCGATGGGTTCGGCCGACTACTCCGGTTTCAAACCTGTAGTACGTTATTCTCCACCACTTATGCGGGTCACACACCGTGAAGATATGCTTTATGAAGTCAATAATCAAGGCTGACCATATATATACAAATTAAATTCCCGACTCTCTGTAGATTACTGTCTTTTTCACATATTGAAAACATTATCTTATTATTAGTATTTATACGTTATACATTTAAGTATAATAGATACAGTTATTGATCATGGAGTAGATAAACATTATCTTGAATGTGTGTATAATCCTAATGTCACTGGGTCGTGTTACAAACACCTGACAAACAAAACTGCTGTCGTAGGTTTATAAATGCAAGGGAAAACAAAAGCAACTACTTTGTTAAGATTCACACTTGTGAATGCCTCCTATTGTTTTCACAGACTGAATATTTAGCGAAGCTAGCTAGCCTTTAAACGCATTTCTCTGCCATAATAATGCAGTTTTAATTAATATTGTAACGCGTATTTCTACAGGTGAATAGTTCATTCCACCTATTTGCGGTCAACTGTGTAAACCGTTTTACTGTTAAAACAATGCGGGTTACTCTAACAGCAAATTGCTTTTAGACTTTGTATTTAAAATTCGACCGGTTATATTCCCTTTTGACCTTAAAGTTCAGACGATAGAACCGATTCCTGAACCTGTCATAGCGTTTTTTGTTATAATAGTGAAACTAGTTTGAAGTTTTGTAAACGAAGTATTTAACGTGCGTAAACATTACTAGGTAATTACAACTGATTAATATCTTTATAATAGTATTGATCAACAAGTTAGATGAGCACGGCACTGTTCTCTGTAATTGCATTGAAGCAGCCATGTGATTGATAGTGTTTGTAGGTATGTTGTTACAGTAAAGTTGAGAAATGGAGCGCGTTACAACACGCGAGCTTATTGTGGATGTTAAAATAATTTCTACAACATACTTGTCTAATTTCCACTATAGTAACCTGTAAAGTTCGTGCACCGGCTGTTTCCTTTGTATCCAACGCGGAAGTGCCTTAACCACACATGTTCAAACGGCACCTGTGCTTTTTTTATATTGTACATGTGTAATATTTTATTGAATGTTCTGGTAATTTATTAAAAATCGTATTAAGCAATCTAGGTCACTGCCTTGATCGAAAATGGACCTGTACTTCCACTTTGTACGCAAATATTTGGAATATAATTTCATACACTCGAATATACATTTATTAAAATACATTTTACATACACATTGGTGGCTACACGACTGTTAGATATTTCTCAATGATTTTCGATTGATTCACGTAGTTGCGTTCAGCTGTTTCATTTACTTACATTTTTTTGGCCTGTCTTTCTCGTATTCTTAATCATTGTAGCATGTCGTTAGATTTCTACTTAGCGAGGTCGACAAAGGGCTAAATTATATTGTGGTCTGGTTCAATTTTATGTTTTTAAGAGTCATGCTGGTATGTAAGTATGTAGTACTTTACTAGAACACACGCTTTTGATGCTTTTAAAGTTGTTTGGTAGACTTAACTTTGTAGTGTAGGTAAGGTAGTAATTTAAGATTTTAGAAGCTTTGTAGAGATGTCTTTACGGGGTTTCTGGCTCCACTTGTTAAGAGTTGTATTTCTAGACTATATATTTTAAGCGTTTAAAGCTTCGTACATCATAACTGTACTATTTAAAAGAAATAATTATTTTTTGTTTAAAAATACATGAGAGAAGAAATAAACGTTTTTTTAAAATATTTATTATAAGAAAAAGAGATTATTATGTGGCGATACTACTTTACTCTATGATCTTTTAAATTTACCTAATCATGGTTAATGGTTGGCTAAAATAAGAACGGAAAGTGATGGATTCTTGTAACGAATATCGAAATGATAGCTCAAAGTAACCTTAATATATGCAAACATAGCATTTTAATTTCTAATGAACCGTGATGTTAAATACATTATTGATAAGATATTTTATATGTAAAAAAAGAACAAAATTAACTTGCGAATGTGACGAGTCAAATAAACTTGTTGAATACATTTTTACTGGAACAAGGTAAAGATAAAAATGTTTACTTAAACCACTTTTAGTTTAAATAAAACTCCAAGTTATAGTTATGATCATCAAAAACATTTAATTCTAGACCTGTATAATATATACTTTGCTGTATGTGGACGTAGACCAGTATTTTTATGGGTGCTGTCTGCTCAATGGCGTCTTTGTGGATCCCGATGCCCGATGTCTTGAAACATTCTTAGCTGAAATTCTATGTCATTGACTTTAATGTATATTGAAAATCTTAATTGTAATTCTTCGTTTTGTATTTCGTCTTATAGTTAAAAACCGTTTGTGTTTTAACGTTTAGAAACAAAACTTCTGGTTTGTTTCAACGATTTCTAAAAAGTTATACTATGCAGTATTGTAATTCATTTTAAACTCGTGGCAGTTTTTTTAAATTTTTAAGTTGGTGAGCTGTGTTGATCTCGTAATACGTACGTTCAACCCCTAGCTGTTCTCTAATGGCCTTTCTTTTTATGTGCAAAAATTCCAAAACCCGTACCGTAAAGGTAAATATCGTCATGAAAACAGAATGGTTTAGACTTTAAACCTAGTCATCGAGGATGTGTGCAGGACTTATACGCAAAATAGTTAAATAAAGGAGCTCTAAGGGCAACAAGTTCACGATTATCTAGTTGATAAAAGGGCCTGGGACTACTGCTAGTCAGGCTACTTTTAATTAATTTGCGATATTTGTTTTAAAATAGGTGTTGTTTGATGATTTGCTATTTTAAAAGAGTACCGAGAGTTTTTTGCGCCGGCTTTTTCTCTCGGCCTACACCCTCCGTCTTCTTTGCCGATGAGTGGGGATGCCTACAGATTCAAATTTAATGACGTGGAATAAGTGATACCTGTATCTTATATTCCATAATAAACATTTTTTTTAACACCTATAAAAGCCTGTAGCGCGCGGATAGATGAAAAGTTGGTATTTAAAATACGAATCGACCCTGTAGCACTTTTTATGACGTTAATATAGACCCAAGGGAATATGCGTCGTAATATGATAAGCCTCATCCGTTGTCGCAGGTATCGAGTTGGCCACGTCTCCACTTTCATTATATTATATATAGCATCAATGATTATTTACTGAATGAACTTCTATGAATGATATAGCCTAGTAGTTATTAGAATATTAACAAATGCAGTATTTGTGTCCGTATAAGGTAAAGAGGGACTGCATACTTAAATTCGTACAATATAAATAGAAAGGTATCTTAGCTAGATGTAGATAGGAATGATTTTATGTTCATCCTCGATGCAATTACAATGTACAAGAGAATTGTCTGTTTATCTTGTTTACTTTTGCTGGTCATTCTTTTCCCTCTGCTGTAACACAGATTTACGATTACAAATTTTTTTAACGTCTAAAACTTTATAAATTTCAATACGGATACAATAAATGTGTTTTATTTCAAAGCTAGCTTGTTAATTTCCATTGATAGGTAAAAAATATTGTATTAGATTACGTTTATGGATATTTTATAAAAGTTCGATGATCTTTTTTATTATTTCTTGAGTAATAAAACTACGAATCAGTTCAAGGAAGTTTCCCTCGTATTTTTCTTTCATTAAGTAATTTCCAGGCATATAATTTACGAACTGTTCTTGTTCTTTGAGGCCTATTCGTTTAGATTGTACTAACCTTGTTAACTGTTGAGTCAGAGTTATAAATAATATTTTAAAAAATCCATATGATATATAATTTAATAACAAAAAAATAAATGTAGATAAGTATAATGCGAATTAAGTGATGCTATCGTAAATAGGTACGTGAATCATGACACGGTCATTGTTTTGCTATATAACCTTCTAAGACTAGCTTCTTTTCTTTTATTAAATTATTCCAAGGTCTTTGAAGAATTGTTTAATATCAGTTGCGCTGTTTGCGACATACTTGATGATACGAAAACTCAATATTGAAAGCGAGATCGCTGGGTCACATGTAAGCATTTCACCATTATATTTGTTCATAGGGATAAGATGAGATGAAGAATAAGAAATAGCAATCAATAACCAAGTCCATAATTTAAACCACACCCTAAATGAGCAATCCATATCAGTAATTTGCCTATGACTTCGATGCGCATTGATAAGATAAAACCGATATACATATGATGTTTTCTACGAAATAAATGAATACGAGTACATACATTGATTTTTTGACTAATTTATATGTGATTTTCATTTTTACGAATTCATAACAATTTAGTTAGTTTGCTGAACAGTCATAATAGTTATTATGACTGTTCAGCAAACGCTTGCTTGTTCCGTTTGATTATGATTGGACCGTTGTCTACTCTAGCGTAGTCTAACTACGCTGCATCTCAGCCCAACACTCGATAATTGATAATGATAATACGTCCGTTTGTCTAATTCCAATTGACGCACAGTTTCGTAACGTTGTGTCAATATCAGGGAATTGTTTAACTACATTTTAACCCAGATGGTTCATCTGTAGCTTTTATAAGTAATTGCGATGAGTAACATGCCCAAAAAAAAAATTATAGAGCGATCTCATCACGAGCGTTTCCTTTTTATGGATGGATGGGGATCCAGACGAAATATTGTGGATTTTCTGATATTTTATCATTGTACTATTTTTTAGAGCGTATAAATTTAATAGAAGCTGAATTTTAGTTAAAAGACTGCAATTTTACCAACACTACCAAGGGCGGTCATAGTCTGATATAAAGTTTACTTTATATATTATAATACATTATTTTATTAAATTGGACAGAGCCTGTTGGACTGATACAAATAATTGTTCTACTATTAACAAGTTACATTATCAAGGGTTCTTAATAACTCCCCTGTCTCTGGTTAAAGGATTTTGACAGATTAGTGAATGAGTCAGTCTCTTTACCCAAATAGTAACAGTTATTAACGCACGGTCATGTTTCTTTTCAATACAAATTTCAATTGCTGTGTTATTATAATGTATTTAACAATAATATGATTTGAAAGTAATGCTTCGGGGTTACCATAATCTTCAAGCTTTACCTTTAATTTTGATACACAGTAAAGTACACCTTAATGTAAAGCAATAAAGTTGCTATTTACAAAAACTAGAGATGATGTTCTACTATTATTTATTTTTGTTAAATCACTTAGTCACCTTAAAACTCGATAACGCTGTAGTCTGGGCAAAACCGATAAATGCATTTCAGTACATTAGCCTGACAGGAGTTTTAGACGGTTTGAAGGGCCCTTGTATTTACGGTTGCTTTTAGCACCTTCCGCTGTCTAAAGACCTATAAAACTTTTTTGCGGGTATTTGCAATCAGCCCTAAGGCTGTGAGCGAATCTATTCTGTGGTGCTGTCATGTGGGGTGGCTTCCCATTGGAAGCATCTACTCATCTTCTGCCTAGAGCTACTGCCTGCCTTCTAGTTCTAGAATATGGTGACGTTTAAGTCGTCTCACATACTGTTTTATGGTGAGTTGGCGAGCAAGTTCGTTCGGGTGACAGATTAACCGCTCTTTATGCCAGTCCTATAAATCCTTAAATATAAGAAATTGGTAATAAAATTGATATCCAGCTATTTTATGATTATATTTATATATATTTTTATAACAGTTACTTATAATTATAATATCAAGATTATGTAGCATGTTGCGCTAGTATTTATGACACAAGTTGAATTAAACATGTGTTCTTTTACAGACGTTGGTAGATATTAATACATATTACTAGCGGCCTGTCCCGGCTTCGCACGTACGTATAATATATACCAGGGGTATTGTAGATTATGAACGGTGAAGGAACTTTTGAAATCCATCTTATAGTTTGAGATAATTTGGTAGTTCATGATAAACATACCAAAATAAAAACCTTAAAGTTTTACATAATGTTAACAAAATAAATAAATTACCTTTCGCTTAAGGCCTTACTACAGTAACGATGATTCATTTTACTCAATATTAACCTACATTAAATCAAGACCACGACGGTCGAAAATACTTGTAAGATTTCGGTGTCTTAATGAATCAAATGCCTGAATGTTTATTTTACGTCTACCGCGTAACTTCGCGTGAATCTACAGCCCATGCAATCTTAAAAGTTTGTCCTCAGTTTCCACAAGAAAATCTTGTGTCTGTTTCAGATGCATTAGCAAATAGCGTTTGCGAAGCCACTTTGAAGACAGTTTTATGGTTTGTGTCACTTTTTCTTTGACAAATGTTTCCTTAAATGTAATTGACATTTGATGTGTAAAGCTCAGAGTTGTCATTTTTTAAAGTTAGAATACGTTCGTATTTTTTGAAGTCTGTGGACATGGGTTCGTTTTGTGACACGTGTAGCCTATTGTTTAAATTTTTGAAGTGTGTGCATTATTCGCACAATGAAAAAATGTCTTACTTTCATGTTGTTCACAAAATATTAAATGCTGTAGATTTATTTTTATTCATTAATTTTGTGTTAAGTATTTACGATTAAAGTCTTTGTCGCATATAGAAGACTACAATAAAAAGCGGTTTAACAAAAATAAAATAATCATTTATTAATTGTTTTCATTGATACAGTGTGGTTGTTTTTTATTTTAAAAGAATTATCAAAAAATTATGTTTAACTTATGAACAAAAAGCATAAATTCTAAAGCCCTAAACAGATTATAAATTGTTTTAAACTATTTAATTAAATAGTTTTTTTTCGTGAATCAAAAATCGCGGTTAACCCAAAAAGGCAAATGAACCTTATAAAAAATGGCGCCAGTTGACATGATTCCAAATTCGAAATTAGTATTTGCATCATCTGCATGAATCGCGCGTGTGTAAACATGTTCGGTGATTTGTTTGTGGCGATGCAGTGCGACCGTGCGCCGCTCTCCGTTCGCCGCCAGGGAGGACCAACAGACGTCTTACGCGGAACGAGAGCCGCTACCACTCCGGTGAGTCATTCTATAAAGAAGCACTGCCCATAGGAGTGTTGGTCATGTTCGTGTGATGTCATTATTGGTTTCCTTTTGGGTCAGTTGATACTGTTACTGTCTGTCTTGATTATTCTTCATTTCATTTACTCGATTTATTTTACATCTAAAGTCTTAACAGGTTGCTTTAATTGATGTGTGAATGTGCTTTTCTTAACCGCTGCTAATCGACTATTCATGCATCACTATTTATTTATTCAACAACATTACTAAGAATTTAATAACACTTGTTTTTACACGCATGGGTTACTTGTTAATATAAATCTTAAATTAATTTTAAGTATTTGTCTTGATTAATAAAAATTCGCGTTTTTAATAAGAAATTTTTTTCAGTAAGAAAATAAATTTAATAGTCTCTTATTAAACGAAATCCTTCTATCAAATCACTAAGTACCTTATTCCAGGCAGTGAGATTTACTTGAATAATAAATAAGGTTACAGTAAGCGAACACATTAATAGAGTGAAAAAGATATGTAACATTTTAATGAAGGTCTAATTAATTTATCTATCCTGAGTTAAATGAACCCATAACGTATATAGAATTAAATTCTTTAAACAAATTGTCAATTTGCTCTTATGATCTTTGGAAAGAGCCTTCTAAATATAGATTTAGAAATGAAAACTCATTATCAAATTAGTTATTGCTTTTTCATTACATAAAAAATTATCTTTACGCTTTAGTGAAAAGAGACAGTTGAGTTCTTATCATCAGGAGTACAGAGGTTATTGTAGATTATAAATAGAAGTTGTACTATATTAATTGATAAGAAATACCTGAACTTCAAAAAAGTAGTAACATGAATATCCTAGAGCCATTGTTGCATATTTTATTTATGTGTATACTATAAAAATAATAATCCCGCATGACGAGTTTTCTTATGAGTCACGTACATCAAGCACCTTCAGTAACACAATGTATTTGATAGTTTTGTCAAGTATTCGTATATGTTGTCGGTGAGACAATACCGCACGAGTTCAGATTTACCCACATCTAGTTTAAATACAGTATACATGACGTGTATACAAATTTCTTATTCTAAGATAATGTCCGGGAATTATCTTTTGCTCTGATTTCCATGTCCTTTTGACGCCTTTTTGACCATTTGTAAAACGCTACGTGCCAGGTCTCAATATGAAATCACCGAACATTTCATATATTATACGAATAAAGATTGAACTATGTATGTTCGCTCTTACGTCTAGTACTGATAATGGAGATAGCTAATATTTATTATATACATTTTTACTTATGTTTTACGTTTATTAGATATTAGGTTTCGTTAAAAAAACGCTTCATTTTAAATTGTTGCGATTTCGAAATGAAATTATTACTTAAATTTATAGGATACTCATTTTGCAAAAAACAATGAATAATGTATAAAGTACTGTAGATGTTATTTGTTTGACTTGTTCTTTGAATATTTATGTAGGTAGGTACTTGTCTAATATCGTGACAGAGAATTGCAAAGCCTGTTTTCTGCAAGTTATCTCGGCGCGACCTCAATCCAAAATGTATACTCACAATTAATTAACTTCAAAATTAATGCATTACCATATTTCCTTATAATATAAAATCTTGGAACTTCTCGTTATACTAGACTAGTTTGCAGAATTTTTCTTTGCAGTAAAATATTTTTGCTATATATAGGAAATCCTCAAAGTGTGAACTGGGAAGCCAGCTCGATCGTTGTGTCTGTACTCGGAAAGCCAGACAATAAGTCTGTCATACATTCCGCCCTGATATTTTATTTCAATTTCAAATAGGAAATACCTTAAAAACTATCTATCCGAAGTCGTATATTGTTTGTAGGCGTCAGTTCACGTCCTCCCTGGCGTACATCTAATTAGGTATTTAAGACAATAGTCAATTGTAATGTAATGTTTATATTACGATTATATTTTTCAATTTAATTATTTTTCCTTGCTTTAAGGTACACCTTAAATATACATTTTGTATCCATTGTAAGTGTAAACATTATGCGGGTATATCATAAACTCTTTTGCTTGATTTATAATTTGATACATTTTAGTCTATAGTTATTTTGGGCTGGCGATCTGAGTGAGTTGTTGCCCCACATATCTTTATGGTGCCTCTGGCGGTATTGTTGTGTACCGGGTTGTGCAGCTCCCTCAAAAATGGTTGAGCTGCATGAGCTATTCGGGGCATGCTAGCCGTCTGCTGGCGCAGGCTTGCTCAGATCGATCTGGTTCTTTCTTCCAAAGACCAGTCCAGTAAATTACTCTGCATTTGTTTACACCAACTTATTAATTTATTATTGTATTATCTGGACTATAAAAGAGACTAAGACCCCCGAGTTTGTTTCGACATTTCTTCTCAGGGCAGTCAGTTAGGAAATGTCGACTTCATCTAGTTTAGGAAGACATTGTAAAAGTGATTTATATAGTCCTACTTGCAAGAATAAACTATTTCATTTCATTTCATTTCATTGTTTAATTATAAAATTCTTTCCATATCCATTTATCTTGCTCTCTTGATTATCGCTCTGTTTGGAACATTACATATTTTATACTTTTCTAGCTGACCCGCCAAACGTTGTTTTGCATGTATATTATTTCTAGGAAATTTTTTTTAATTAACGTATAGGGGTCAAATTTCAAGGTTGTATGTATTTAACATAAAAAAATAAAAACAAAAAGTTTTGTCCAAAAAATAAACATTTTGGGGTGGACCACTTAGATGTTGTCCGATTCTCAGACCTACTCAATATGCATAAAAAGTTTCATATGAATCGGTGGAGCCGTTTTGGAGTATAGGAATGAACATTGTGACACGAGAATTTTATATATTAGATTAGATTTGGATGCTAATATTTCCATATAAACCTATCCGGTTGAACCTGAGTTGACTATTACCTATAGTGAGTACAGGTAACCTGATTCCGGCGGCGCTAAATAGGTACGGGGAAAATGTCGCCTTGTTTAACCCCAACTCACTATGTTACTAAAAGCTAACAGCCTGTAATGCTGATTTCCGTATCAAAGAACTAAAACACGTGAAGGAATATTACAAGAGGTGAATAGGTGGATAAGATTTTTTTTCCTTTTTAAACCTACGTTTACTTAATGTTCAGCTTATAATTACGAGTGGTATTGCTTTTAAAAGAGACTTGAGTATCGTTCTACCTTTAATTCGTAACAAGGCTAGGTTATAAACTAGTTGGTCGTACGAGTTGATAGGTCCACTTAATACTCTATCGGAATAGAGGCTAACCTCTCATGCATTTTATATCTAATTGTGCAATTTCTCGACGTAGCCTGAACGTTCAACCACCCAAAGCTCAATCATTCCATTCCATTTCAAACTGTTCTTGAGGGTTTATTCCTCATGTCAATCCTCAATATATATATATTTATATATATATTCCTCAAGTCTCAATGTAGGAAACATTGAGGATCGTTAACCAATATTTCTTGTACTTTCCATTGTTTCTCTAAACCAAATCGTAACCGAGTATTTTTCGCTATATTACAAAAGTTCTGTCAAAACGAATAATGATTTCAAATTAACAAAGCTAGATGATTAAATGTACGCTTGCAGCAATGTGTACTGTGACATCTATAGTCAGTTTCCTTACCATTTCATAATGCAATGAAAGGGAATGTTAATTTAGGTTTGAAGCAGAATTTATAGACCTGTTTGTTTTTGTCTTGCACAAATTCGTAACGAATACGACTATTATGCTCGGGAAAATTCCATTTTACTAGCTCATATTTAAGTATATCCCAGTTTACTTCTACTAATTTATATTTGCGTATACATTAAATTTAATAATATAAATAAACTCTTAATGTATATGTAAATAAATTAATACATAAACATTTAAATGCATACAACAATATTATATTCTATTCATTAATTATCAACAGTATACTCGATGCCGCGATTCCAATTAGTTCTCTAAACTGTTTATGTCTCGGCGTTTGTAAGCCCGCAAGCTATTATTGAAAGTAAATTTGTGTGTTTTGATTGCGGGATATTGTATGAATTTAGCACTTAACCTGGATCTTCGTGTGGGAGATTCTAGCACAGCTATTTTCATCACAACAGACTAGGTTGGCTACGAAATTGTTTTTACTCACTAATCAAATAGCATTGGAAAGTGTAGTTAGTTATTCTTTATCTCTCCTTACGTATTATTAGATATCGGACTATACACTTGGGACTACATACAGATCATATATTTTTAAGGCTTCACGGATGTCTTCTCAAACCCGTTTCCATTGGTTACTTCCAACTGTTTAGTAAATTATAAACTCTTACTTTCATTATTAGCCTTTACCTATGTCGCGGCATATATTTGCGTATGCTGCATATCAAATATTAGTATTGAGACGTTAATTCAACGGCATGAGGCAAACACCTGCGTTCTAACTACTACAATTTTCTACTTCGATTAGATTATAGACATAGGTATTGAGCCTGCTATGACCTACAAACGTAATCAATGTTCTGACGGGAATGAAACCTAGGAAAACATTATAGATTCATTAAAAAAATCGCAATGCGGCTTCACTTCTATTATCAGAATGTTCATCAATTCGTACTCATTTCAATTATAGAGATCCTCCACGCAATAATCTAGCCCTGCATCGGTTATTATGAACCCGATACTCGTTAACCGCAAACAACGGAACGTAATAACACCTGTTTATTCGCTGACAGTTTATTTACGTTATGTCATGTGAGCACATGAGGCAGATCATGCACAAAGTTTAATTAAAACTCGATTGATTTTCGACGGGAGCTACAGCTTTATCAAGATATTAATTTATTTTTGTATAGTGTTTATATACTGACAGGTAATGTGAAATGAATTCATTTAACCGTTCTATGATTTTCCTAGCGAACATGTTTGGGTACATGTTTAGTTTTTATTATTATAAGTTCTTTTTGCCACGTATTAAAGTCTAATGCATCTCTCTCTCTCTCTCTCTCTATGATAAGTGCATGATTATTTTCGTTAGCCAGAATGGTACTGTAGCGTTGCAATAAAAGTAATATTTCTGGTTTATTTAAATGGTTATTTTAGTGTTGCGCATGCTAATAGTTGAATTGTATGGAATAGAACTTTATACTTTCTTTATATTGCAGAAGTCAGACAGGAGGCCGTTCAACAGGCATTAGCTGAAATGCAGAATAGGCCTAAGCCGTCTCTGCCGATGCCCTCAAAACGCACCTCAATGATGGCCAAGAGCCCTGACAGAGAAAGGCATGAATTGTGTAAGTAATTTTTCTCTGCGCGGTAGTTTGTACGATAATATAAAGGAATTTGGGGAATTATTCAACGGGTAAGACACCAGTCTGATGCAGAATTATTTCTTGTAGTTTCTGATATAGATATAGGCGCGAGCTGTGCTTCGCTTCGGTCCCGCCTTTTCTATGTTTTTGGAGGAAAACTGGCAGGAGGCCTGATGTAAAGTGATACCATCGCCCATGAACACTCACATTGCCAGAAAGCTCGCAAGTGCGTTGCCGGCTTGTATATTGAAAATGCCTCATATATGGGATGTTGTACAGCTTCAAGTTCAGACGAAGACTCTTGCGCTGGTGACGCAGAGCTGCCCCCTCCACCAGATATGGGTTCGCCACCCTCCCGCAGACCAGCGGCTCCACATCCACGCGGTCATGCGCACCCACTGCCACAACCACATCACCAGAGAGAAAAGAAATACCCGCCACGGGAAAAGACTGACCTCGATTTATCTGAAATTACACACTTACCAACTTGTAAGTATTTAAGATAACATTTGTATAGTATAATAATAATTCTAGATAAATTTTACATAGGTATACTAAAATGTATCTGTAGGTAATGTTACATATTGATAACTGTGTGAATTCCTGTTAATCATCGTAACCATGTAAGATATACTAAAATCATTAATTATCATTCACGCGTAATTTGGATTTTACAAAATGATACAAGCATTTTCGAAGCAAAGATTCGTATACACTCAGAATTCGAAAAATACTATCCCAGAGTTACGAACTGCCGTTTAACAACTAGGCTAACACGTTTCGTGATTAAAACTGCTAACATCAATCAAAAACGTAAAGTAAATCCTTACCCGAAGCTAAAATTTGCTGTTTATCTGCATGCAATGAAACCTTGGAAAAATGCTGACGATATCGTAAACGAAAAACTTTTGTTTTACTCAAACGAAACTGTGGTTTTCGTGTTCTAAAGAACTTGAATTGTGATTGACACAAGCACTAAAGTGTTGGTTTGCTTAGTAGTCAAAGTTGACTCATTAGTTTTTTCAATTGGCATCTAATTGCGATCCGACAGAGAAATACGGCTTGTGTACTGTGACTCAGAAGCCAACCATCACATTTCGTATTATATATAAAAGTTTTACGCTAGACATTGAAATTTTTTGGCGTGCATCGCGTTACTTGTGTGTTGTGGCACGTTGTGGTTAAACCAAAGAAGTCCAGTGAGATCTATAAAACCAATACAATTGTTTTACTATTTCATAGATGTTCAACCTGACGTAACACACACCTCAGCGGGCGCTCGTCGCGGTGGGGCGCTTGTTGCTGATAGAGTTCAATGTTATTCACAGCCCGAAGACACAGGCACCGGCACCGGTAGATGGAAGGTAGGAATGTTATTAAAATATCTCGATGTTTAACTAAGATTAAATGATGCTGCATTTTATAATTGTATAAAAAAAGTTTAAGATTTTAATACACGCAGCGACATTGTTGTAACATATTACTTCTTTATGTCATAAATAAGGTTATTACCGGAGATTCAATCAATTCACAATATAGTTATTACGACGTAGAACATAATATATGAATTCTGTTTAGATAGTCATTTACGAGCATTCTACTAATAATTTTATTATTGTGAGCTCAGCCGGCTAACCGAGGTCAGCACTCCCTTTTAAAACAATGTAATATTGTTAATCTAGTTGCACTTTGTTTAAGTGCTTTTTACCTGTATGTGCATACTTAAAACGCTCATAATGTCCCAGTGCAATTAGTTATTTAATTACAGCAGATAATTGATCTGTTCGGCGCTTAAAACATTTTCTATCTACGATAGTTGCAGAAAGTGACTCCATTCGAAGTAGAGTAGAGGTTTAAAGCACAGGTACTTTTTATTGACGTAACCCTGACGCCTGGTCCACTCACAGGTTTTTCTACCTTAGTGGATTAGGGACGCAATACAGTGAGAAAATGCTGTCAACACTAAGGGTATCTACTCTACTTCACTTACGTAGTACATGCTTTTTCAATAATTAATTACCGAGTTGACCTTTTCTCTTAGGTGTCAGCAAAAATTCAACAATTACTTAATACGTTAAAACGACCAAAACGTCGTCCATTGCCGGAGTTTTATGAAGATGACGACATTGAATTGGAGATTGCAGCGAATCCTAAGGATCCGAATGCACCAAAACCCGAAGGAGGCACTATGACACCAGCAGTTGGCGACCAACTCGTCGTCCCAGCAGGTCTTCCCAGAAATTTAGAAGCGGCACTTCAAAGATACGGCACCGCGTCATTTAAAGCTAACGTTGCCACTGTACTCGACCCAAACGGAAAACTTAGCAATTCTCTAACATACGGTGAGTAGATCTTATCTTTTAAGAACGGGTCTTGCTCTGTTCCGTTGACACCTTACCCGCGATAACCTGATTTATCAACCAACTCAGTCAACCAAGTCAACAAACAATTTAGTTCTATGACTACATTTCTAGTTGCGAATATTTAATTACAATAAATAATAATAAATAATTATGTTTAACTTTTGCGATTTGTACACAGTAATGGGGATAATTAAAACGAACAAAATCAAAGCTATTTCTTACATTAAATGTTATTTAATTTATTCAAACATCAAAACAGCTAAATTTTAATGAATTACATTAAATATTCTTGAATTTAACATTAAAAAGGGTTAACCATAAATTCTATTCATAGTAAGTTGTACTGATATATGAATTTTTGTAAGTTTCTTTTGACTAATTTTCCATCTGCAGTAATAAGGGTCCTTCAGGTGTTAAAACTCGATCTAGTATATATCAATAATAATAATAATAAAACCTGTATTACAAAAGGGTTGTGACAAAATTCATATATCGCTAGTCCCTACACTAGGGAGTCCCTATGTTGTGGGTAACTAGAAAACAATTATTCCGTGGTACACGGTACATGTTTGAAACAGTTTTTTTAAAAAGTCGTTTTGGTGTTACGACTGTCTTTTAAGACATTAAGTATGAGTGAATGTGTGAGTGTGTGAATGGGTGTGTATGCATGGGTATTTGAGAGTGTAGTTGAGAGTTGTTATGATAGTGCAGTGTCTGTTAGTTTATGGAACCTCAAAGTCATGTCAAGATACGTAGTGAGTAATATACATATAAATCTTATCACTCGTATTTTCTCAACAGGAAAGCTTCTCAGCCGTTCATTAAAGATAGCGTATGCTTTGCTTAACAAGACGTTTACATCGAAGTCAACTAGTGGCGGACCTCTAACCGGTGACAACAATATTAAACCTGGAGACCGAGTGGCGTTAGTGTACCCAAATAATGACCCTATAAACTTTATGTGCGCGTTCTATGGGTGTCTTCAAGCGGGGGTCGTCCCTGTCCCCATCGAAGTACCCCTTACCCGAAGAGACGCGGGGTTGCAACAAGTTGGCTTTTTACTTGGCTCATGTGGAATTCAATATGCTCTGACGTCAGATGCGTGCCTAAAAGGTGAGTAATACCTTGTTTAGTAAGTAACATCGACTCACGATCTTTTGTGCGTACAACTTAATATACTTCACTCGCCTCTGTTCTGTTAAGTTTTTATTTTCTTGTCACATGATCGTTTTTGTAGCTCATTTATTTCGTACTTGCCTTGGTTGCCTGAAAGATATCGCTTATTGTACTGTGTTATTTCTTTTACGCGTGTTATTGTTCACATATTTTACCTTTTCTACGAAACATATTACAAGAGAAATATTATCTTAAACATAAGAAACATATTTAAAATATATTGAACAGATATCTGCAAATACTTTACATCTGAAGTCCTACGGGATACGGGATTTCATTTGAAGTAGAAATATAAGGCATTTTTATCTTCACAAACGGAAATACGCTATAAATTATAAGAAAATCTTATCTTGGATAAAGCGGATCTTATAATTGAGAAAGCTATTGCTATCTCGTTTTGTGGAAGATGTCATAAAACTCGAGACTTCCTGCTAAAAGCTAATATAATTCTGTATATGGTTCTATGTTTATTTTTAAACGCGTTTACTTCTGAATCCTGAGGTTTCTCTGACTTCACATTAATGGCATTTTCTTAATATTGGCACAACGAATATTTGCACATACAATTCGTATTTTGTCTTAGTTAGGTATAATACCGGTCCTGAGTCACAGAAGGCTGATCGCTTACTTGCCTATATAGATTCACTGAACCTAAGTGTTGTATGAGTCACTAAATGATTTTAAAACATTCTACAGCCGAAAATTAAATATGCTAGAAATGCGTAACCCGCAATTTATTGACTAAATTGTAGTCATGAATATTTTAGAAGTGTTTCCTGTTATACTCGGAAACAATCTATTGGACGATTAGATTTCCGTTATGGATTCCGCATACAATATGCGGCAGGTAACAAAATTTCCAGCATTCGTACAATCAATCGATTTGAAATGAAAATTGTTTGGTCGACGTCGCATAACCGCTTGGTTCCACGCAATTTTAACAATCTCGGAGAGTAAAGAACCAATTTCTTTAATTATTTTGTGAAATCTTGATATTTTATTCTACAAGTTAATGTTATTGTTGCGGTTGTATATTTTACGTTTATTTCTTACGGTTTTATTCTAAAACTCTTAAACCCTTTCAAGAAATTTTAAAAAACAAATTTATGTATTTCTTCTTAGTAATCTGACTATACATAACATTTCACATAAGCTATAAGTTATTGTAATCTTGTGTTCTTAACACACAACATTTTAAAGGAATAATATTCAAGTAAAATATATGCATTTTCTCGCTGGTCCTTTCAGATCGGCATCATCTATTTAATTTTTTTATTAATCTAATATTTCTATAATATCACAAATTAGGTCTGCCAAAGACTTCGTCTGGTGACGTAGTTTCATTTCGCGGTTGGCCCTCACTCCACTGGGTGTCTACTGAGAAGCTACCCCGTCCTCCTCGCGATTGGATACCCCCTCCGCGACCCGCTGAAGACACCCCCGCACATATTGAACATACATCAGCAGTTGATGGCTCTGCTATGGGAGTTATTGTTACACGGTAAGATTTTTATTTTGATTGCCATTGATATGTATATGACTGATTAATTACAAATTAATTAAATTAGATACACTATATATCCTACTTATTACTAAATATTTAAATTTCATAAAATTCGTTTCAGCGCAATCTCAATTAAGACTAGTAATTAGTTACAGCATCGCGATGTTTTTATTATAAACGAATTTTTGCTTACAGTTTATCCTAATTTTACATGGTTTAGTTTAAGGTGTTTTTTTTTAATGGCTCTAGCACGATTTGTGCATTAGCCAGCGTCAAGTATAGGATTTTTTATAATTCGTGCTTGTCTTTAGAAATTCGACCGTGTCCTCCATGTACGGTTTAAGCACTCGCCTGGTACCGCACAACCCTCCCAAAGGCCGAGAACAAATTTAAATTAAATTAAAACTTGCCCTCGAACCGGGAATCGAAGCCGGTTCCCCTCACCTAGCTGCCACTTAATAAGACCGCTAGGCTATGAGGCCCCCTAGATTAAGGTTAAGCATAGAAATTAATGCAAATGATGTGATGTTTATTTAGGTTGGATTCCCGGGAAGTTTTTCAGGACCAAATGATTTTAATGCAACGTACTTTACGTTACTGATCTTGAGTCATATTACTGAATCAGTGATTTTTTTAGGTTTTCATGAGTACCTCAAGTTCTTATAATTTATTTAACCACATTATCACGTGATTATCTGGTTAATTTCACTGTAATCATATTGTTAGTTTCATTCAAGTTAGATGAAACCACAATATACAAATTGGTTACTTATCTCGTATCATGTACAATCTATATATAAAAATGTATTGCTGTCCGTTTGTCTCGCTAAATCCCGAGAATAGCTGGACCGATATCGCTAATTATGATCTTGAAATATTCGTGGAACTTCAAGGAATGTTTAAACTGGGGAAACATAATAAGTAAAGAAAAATACTAAAAACTACTATTGAATTTTCCAATAAAAATTTGTGTATTTTCTTTTTAGAAATAAAAAACTGTCACTCGGTTGTCATATATTTATCATGATGCCTTCATAAATTTGTGTTTAATAGCTGTAGTATGAGGTCTGTTCTCTTTGGTTTGTTTTAAAATTGAATTAAGTTTTGATACGAAGTTCACCGGGTCATCCAGTAATGAATAAAGTGCTAATTACTTTATGGCACTGTAGAAGATAAGTTACGCAGACTTCGCTCATACTTGGATATACCACGACGTAATACTTTCGTAGTGCAGTTAAATCGAGTGTAACTCGCTTGATTGTCGATCGCTGAATCCTTTTATAGTCGCACTAAATTGATAACGAGCGTAAAATCGAGTTTGTTATTGAGATTTGCTACCCAGTAATATTTTTTATAAACATATTAAGAAACTAATAAATCATATGCAGTTTTTATTGTATACACTACACCTTGGATGAATAAATAACGAATATAAAACACAATTGTTATAATTGTGTGTAATTGTTAAAATTGTTTTTCGTTGCAAATCAATTTAGTAGTTAAAAATCTATAAAACTAGCTTAAATGTTTTCCCTTTGAGAGTCGGACCGTTCGTAATAAGTTTTAAACAAATTTTATATCTAGCAAGAAAATAAAGAGTTACCAATACCAAAGTGTAGTTATAACTAGTTTCCAATTTTATAACTTTCTATTGTCTTATGTATTTAAAATAAGAATTAACGCGTGTACATTTTTAAATCTAAATTCAGGTCAGCTTAAAATACTTTATTGCGCAAACATAGGAGGCACAAAGGTTTAATGAGTGCGACGTTTTCGTAAGCGAATATGGTACTTATTTGTAAATTGCGTTGATTGTATTTCTTTTTCCTTTATTTCATACTCATTTTGTTTACATCCACAAGATTTTCATTTTTAAATATTCCCAGATGTTTACATAGAAATTCCAAAGTACGAGGTCACAAATGAAACGTAATGAAAAAAACTTTTGGTTTAAAATATTGATCTGCTAATCGTTTTTTGTTTAAGTCCGGCTAAACGTTTTCAGTATTGAGTTTACTCCTTAGAAAATCACTTTTAATTGCTTTTTACCTACTATCTACCTTGCTACTGTAATGTTGGTATTCTTAAATTACACTACATTATTATATAATTTTTTTATAATTATTCTTTATTAAAGTCCCGTTACTGTGGTAGACGTTTCTGTGGCTTATTTATAATTATTTAATAATTTCTGTTCAATCCAGATCAGACCTGGAACCCGAATAATTTGCTGGAAATTAAACTTAGCTCCTCCCTATTATACGCCATTATTAAGCCACGATATTTAAACTTAAAGAGTATATTTATTATATTTATTAAACTTGCTTGTAAAGCATATCATATAAGCAAGTGTATTCACGCACCACTGATTTAAATTACTAAAATAAAATGTGTTTATTTATTCATCACACTGTGTAACATTTGGGAACACTTAAGTAAAAAAAATACCTGCGTCAGGCACAATTGATTTAGAATCAGATTGTACAATTACGTATTCGTTATATATCAGCCCTTCACTGTCTTAATCTTCGTACTAAGAACTTTTTATTCCTAGGGCTTCGATGTTGGCGCACTGCAGGATGTTATCTGTCGCCTGCAACTACACGGAAGGTGAACACATGGTGTGTGTATTGGACTTCAAGCGTGAAACTGGCTTATGGCATGCCGTACTTGCAAGTGTCCTTAATGGCATGCATGTAATATTCATACCGTATGCCCTCATGAAAGTCAGCCCTGCATCATGGATGCATATGATCACAAAGTACAGGTGGGTCATCATTTATAAAGCCTTTATGGTACAAGCCTCTAACGTTGATACGTTTAATGAATCTCAACCGGACTCAAATTATATTAATTTAACTGTTATTGTGTTTTTCTAGTTCGGGTAGCAAGAGATCTATGTCCAACTCTGTAAAGAACAGAATTAAAAATATAGATAAAATTATATATCCATTTTAACACGTTAAATATGAAGTATGCTCAAATAATAGACCGAATCCCAATTCAGCAATAGCAAGAACTTTGTATAGATTGAGTCTTAACTAATAAAATATGTGTAAAGAGCAAAGGTCTGGACGACATACGAAAATATCTTTGTACGGACTTGGGAAAGGTTGAATACGTTAAATTCACTACAATATGGGAGCTTCGACTCTTTTATAACCAAACTTTTTACAATTTCATTATTATTGCGTTAAGATTCTATTTGAAGTTAATTTTGCGTACGTCAAGTCAATTCGACATCGCCACGATCATTAAGACCACATTATAGTCGAGATAGAAACTAGATTTCTGAGACAAAAAGTGTCGTCTATATTTATGCACGGATGCCACACATTTCTCATAGGTTACTAGCATTGCGTAAAATTAATTTAAAGACCTTGGTAGCCTCGTTATTTATATACCAATTTGATTGTTACTATTAAAAATACAAATTTAAATAAAAGAGCCGTAACGTGTGTTATTGCATAGAGCCATAATGCATAAAAAGCATAGAAGCCCTTAGCTAAGGACTACATCGCTTGAAGTTTAATAAAAAAATAAAGTAAATAACTAACGTTTACAACATAACAATTTATTATTTTGTGTTCAAGTTTTAAGCAAAAAATACTTTCGTAAAATGGTTTCCCATCGTTTTTCACTAAGTAGTACCTTAACAAATATTCCTTTTTAATTTAATTTATATAACAGGGCATCAGTGGCCATAGTCAAGTCTCGGGATCTGCATTGGGGCCTTCTTGCGACGCGGGACCACAAAGAGATATCACTCAGCTCACTTCGATTCCTTCTTGTCGCCGATGGAGCAAACCCGTGGTCGCTGTCTTCTTGCGATCAGTTTCTATCAATATTTCAGAGCAAAGGTAATTCACTATCTATATAGAAAACCTGAGTTCGAGTCTCGGTCTATGAAATGTTTTTTTTCGGTTTGCGGCATAGGTACCACATAAATAATCAAACACACAGAAATGAATGTTTCGTTATATATTTAATGATAGGAATAAATCTCTATGAATCCGCTTTTGTTTTGCTGATAAAATTCCTAATTGAGCATTTAGTGGCTTCTAAATTAAAATATCTCAAAGAGAAGCGAAAGAACCAGACTCGATGACTCTTTCATTCATAAATATATGAGGGCGTTGAATTAATTTGACTAAAATAGTACCTTCATATTATGTATTCATTATTTAACATTTCCATACACTCAATAGAAGAAATTATATTCATATAAGTGTGTAGGAAGACATAGGAACACGATCAAAGCTCTCCTTGATGGAAGTCTTATAAAAATCTTCAAAAGAATTTATTCCTGCTTGCGTAGTAAAATTTCCTGTCGTGCTCGGAGACGGGGAATACTTACGTTTTAATATACGTAGGAAAATGAAATTACATATTAGAAATCGAATGAAAATTTGCAGCATTTTCTAGTTTCACAAATTTTACAATATATTATTACTAAATCGACTTCAAGTGCTTTGATCATGGTAATAATTCAACTAGGTTATATTATATATGGTCTTCATTAGTTCAATTAGAAATTGTGCCTTAGACAAAGCAAATCGTTTCAAAAGTGCCTATTAAATATAAAGATTTCCCGGAATAACACGTTCCAATTGACAGATTATGATTATGCTATTATCACGGGAACAACTATGTTAGTTTTCGAATAGTAACTTAAAAAAAATACTTTCCAACAAATCGATTGTTTTTGATTGCTTTAAAATTACACACACAACCCCAATTTCGAAGTTGTCTCAAGAAGTGTAGAAAGTCCTTGAGCAACACTTTGTACTTGATGAAAAGTTTACTTAGCAGCTTTCAGTTTCTTTCGAAATCGAATTTACCAATTAAACAATTTTCATCAACAGAACATATTTTTTTTCGTAAAAGAAAAACAAAACAAGTGCTGCAATGCTTCAGGCGTAAATTTAATTTGCGTGGAGTGTGATGTCATCATTCGTTTCTAGTTTCGTGATTAATTATTACTGTGATGGTCACCGCTATTAAGTGTCTACTTGCTACTATAAATTATACCATTTTTGTCAATAGAGACCGTTTTTCAAACCGTTGTATGATAGATACAGGCTTTTCATATACAAATTATATAATTGCATACATCAATCATATATGCCCTTCAAAAAGTGAAACTAACGAGGTCATCAATAGGTTGATTACGGGTAATAATTTTTCACTAACTTTACTATGAGCGTATGATTACATGCCTACTGTTTTATTCCGTTGAAATTGTTGTATTAAACAAGCGTAATTAAAGGAAGTACACGTTAACAATATACATAAAAACTTAAAAGGAGGTGAGAAAAGAAAAAGAAACTTAAGTAAAAAGAGTACATCTATTTTTGATATATTAAAAGTATTCTTGTTGTGGTGTTATGCCGCTATTTCCTAATCTAATCATATCCAAACCGTACCTAGTGTTTAACAACGTGTTAGATTTATAATCGTCAAAAGTCCGACCTACGAACCACAGAGTACAGAGCAGGAATTTTGCCTTACCCAAGTTCCATTTCCAAATTACGGGACCTTACACCGTTGAGTTCTTGCAAAAATGCTTATGTTGTTTCCTTGGGGCAGGTGTTCGAGGTGACGCGATATGTCCGTGCGCGTGCAGTAGCGAATCTATGTCTGTGTGTATCCGCCGTGCGGGACGTGGTGGATCCTCAGCCGGTCGCGGAGTTCTCTCAATGTCTGGACTTTCTTACGGCGTAGTCAGAGTAGATGCAGAGAACTCGCTAACGTCTCTCACTTTGCAGGATTGCGGACAGGTTATGCCGTCATGTAAGTACACTATTTATATTTGATTTGAAAGTTTATTTTATTTAAAAATAGAATCTACCTCTTCCTAAAAGGCCGGCATCGCATTTGAATTGCTGCGCCAGCGTACTTCATTTTAAGTAATGTAGAAAGAAAATGATCAAGTAAATTGGGATTTCGGTTTATACTATATTAAGTATTCTTAGATCGTTCCTTGTCAAAACAAATTCCATCGCATAAGTGTATATAAATAATAGCTGTTGTTTATATAAATAAAAGACATTTTAAACTGAATATTTTGTCCAGGTGTCATAGTGGTAGTAAAAATGGAGGGTCCAGCTTATCTCTGCAAGACAGACGAAGTTGGGGAAATATGTGTATTATCTGGGGCCACTGGGTCTGGATATTGGGGGCTTCCGGGCCTCACCAACACCGTGTTTCGGGTGCGCCCTTTAGACGCCGACGGAGATGCAATTGGGGAAGAACATTATGTAAGAAGCGGTCTCCTTGGATTCCTTGGACCTGGAGGTAAGATTTCGATAACCTTCACAATTCCAAACGTATCACCTCGCTGGAATTTCGCAGTTTGCTTTACGATTATTTCCTTTCTAATGTTGTTTCAAATTACTAAACCCCCCCGTCTTGTACTAAACCCGCTAATTCGGTCACTGTATTATTTACTAATGTACCTACTGTAAGTATCAAGGAAAGCGTCTAGTTTGTTTATTTGCAAAATTACACAAATACAATGAAACATTGTTTAATGTTGTAAATTTATAGAACGTTAATGAACAAGAATTCAGCGGAATAATATTTTCTGGTATTCCGGATAGGGCTTTAAAAATATCAATGAAATACACTAAAACGTAATTCATTTATTAATTATTTTACTGTAATAAGACCACTAACGTAGCATTTAAAATATAGCTAGTAATTAAATTTGACAATGCATATTCCGTAAAATTTCTCAATACACTTTTTTTTTTATTTCAGGCTTGGTCTTCGTATGTGGATCAAGGGACGGATTAATGACTGTCACGGGTCGTAAGCACAATATGGACGATATTATTGCCACTGTCCTTGCGGTCGAGCCCATGAAGTTTATTTACAGAGGTCGAATTGCCGTGTTCTCTGTTAGAGTTCTGCGCGATGAGAGAATCTGTATAGTCGCTGAACAGCGCCCGGATTGCGGCGAAGAAGAGGTATTTTTACTAAGTTTACCAAATAAACCATTCATATTATACAATAATTCCCCCACTCGATTGCTTGTTTTGCTGATTTTAAAAAACAGACTATGAAAACTTGTCAAGGTCTTTTTAATACTTTATTTTTAAATGACGATTAAATTTTTAGTCTTTCCAATGGATGTCTCGTGTTCTACAAGCCGTTGACTCTATTCACCAAGTAGGCATATACTGCCTGGCTTTAGTTCAACCGAACTATTTGCCTAAAACGCCCTTGGGTGGTATACATCTGAGCGAGTGTAAGCGCCGGTTTCTCGAAGGAACTCTTCATCCCGCCAATGTACTGATGTGTCCACATACGTGTGTCACCAACCTTCCAAAACCCCGTGAAATACATTCAGGTAAGTTTATTTATATTATCATGCCTTTTTCCCGAAGGGGTAAACAGATATCTCGGACCTCCACTTGCTACGGTCCTGACAGATCTCTCTCTCTGGCTTCAGTCAATTTCATGACATTCATCATGCATCGGTTATAGGTACCTTTTACTTGTCTCTTCTCTAGCACCTTTTCATAACTACTTTTCATTCATTCCTTTTCACATGTAAAAGCATTCATCTTCATTACTCCTCCTGTAGGCAAGTGATTTAATATTTCTTAAACCGGTGGTTCCAATTTAAAGAGTTTAAAAGAGGCATTAGCTCAAACAATAGGTAAAATCGAATCGTAATAAAGAAGTAATGATATATTTTTGTATGAAAAACAGCGCTCCGTATGTAAACTGAACGAAAGTACGAACATGCATCGTTCTAATAGAATGTGCGTACGCTATTACAAATTGTATGGAAAACGATGCATTTTAAATGTCGAAAATGCTCATTTTGACATAAACAAAATATCTGACAAAACTATTTCATTTCGTTTTAAATTTTTAATTACTCAGTTCTATGAAATAACATGAAATCAAAGTTATTTATACTAAGAACAGTAGTAAAAAATAATAGTAAAAAGAAATATCAGAATTAGTTGATAATGAAATCAAAGAAGTTTAGTAGAATTAAAAAAAAACATTACGCAAAGGTTAACAAAAAACGTCCTTGGTTTTATTTTGTCCATTGTCATAATTTTTTATCTATAATGTAAATTAAATACCATTATTTCCGTTACAGACGTCGGCCCTGCCTCAGTAATAGTGGGTAATCTTGTTCAAGGCAATCGCCTCGCGTCCGCTCAAGGGCGTGATATGGGATATTCCGATGATTCTGATGCGGCACGAAAGGTAAAACTGGTGTTTCTAGTTATATATTATGGGTTAGTTATGTATTATCGCTTAGAATACTTTATAATATTTTTTTTTTCAGTATCAATTCATATCACAAATCTTAAGATGGCGCGCGCAAAGCACCTCCGACCATGTCATATTCACCCTACTCAACTCGAAAGGTGCAGCTACAAAAGTTCTCACGTGTGCTGAACTCCACAAGAAGGCCGAGAGAATTGGCAATTTACTTTTAGAAAAAGGACGTGTTAATACTGGCGATCACGTAGCACTTATATTCCCACCGGGGCTTGATCTCATTTGTGCATTTTATGGTTGTCTCTACGTTGGAGCAGTTCCAGTGACTATTCGCCCCCCACACCCGCAAAATCTTCACACTACGCTGCCAACAGTTCGAATGATCGTGGACGTCAGCAAAGCCACACTAGTCCTTTCGAATCAATCTGTGATAAAATTATTGCGCTCAAAAGAAGCAAGCAATGTAATTGATAGCAAAGCGTGGCCTATCACTCTCGATACAGACGATATGCCTAAGAAGAAATTGCCTATTTTGTACCGAGCGCCAACAGCGGAAATGCTGGCTTACTTGGACTTCAGCGTGTCGACTACGGGAATGTTGGCAGGGATCAAAATGTCGCATGCGGCTGTCACGTCCCTTTGTCGCTCAATGAAAATAGCATGCGAATTGTACCCTTCCCGTCATATAGCTCTTTGTCTTGATCCGTACTGTGGTCTCGGATTTGCCCTCTGGTGTCTCAGCAGCATTTATTCAGGACACCATTCAATCCTCATACCTCCGTCTGAAGTCGAGATCAATCCAGGGTTATGGCTGAGCGCTGTGTCACAATACAAAGTGCGGGACACTTTCTGTTCTTATGGAGTAATGGAGTTATGCACTAAAGGGCTTGGAAGTTCTGTAAATCAATTGAAAGCGAAAGGTATAAATTTGGGATGTGTCAGAACATGTGTGGTGGTTGCAGAAGAACGACCGAGGATCAACTTGACAAACTCTTTCTCTAAACTGTTCTCGGCTTTAGGCCTCAGTCCAAGAGCTGTTTCGACGTCGTTTGGTTGCCGAGTGAATATTGCTATATGTCTACAAGGCGCGTCTAGTCCGGAACCATCTACCGTCTATGTAGATCTACGAGCTTTAAGAAATGACCGAGTCTCGCTGGTCGAGCGTGGCAGCCCACATTCCTTGTGTCTTATGGAGTCTGGAAAACTATTGCCCGGTGTAAAAGTGATCACAGCCAATCCTGAGACGAAAGGTCAATGTGGGGACTCTCATTTGGGAGAGATTTGGGTTCAGTCTCCGCACAATGCAAGTGGTTATTTCACGATTTACGGTGATGAGAGCGACTACGCTGATCACTTTAGTGCGCAGTTGGTAACAGGCAACACGGGTGAAGTATACGCCAGAACGGGCTATTTGGGCTTTTTGCGGAGAACTGAAATAACAACAACGGGAACTGGGGATGATATGTCTATGATATCACGTGATAGCGACACCGAGTCGCTTGCATCAGCTTGCGGCAGTATGAGCGGCTTGATGAATGACTCTCACGATACACACGACGCTGTGTTCGTCGTCGGAGCGCTTGACGAAACTATAATGCTCCGAGGTATGCGGTATCACCCCATTGATATAGAGAATTCAGTTATGAGATGCCATAAGAAAATCGCTGAATGGTAAGTATTTGATACTATTTTTTTAATACTATTACTGATTAGCTATTATTTTATAATAAACATATAATTTTAAACTAATCGTATATTTCAGTGCCGTGTTCACTTGGACGAATCTTTTGGTCGTTGTCGTAGAACTGGATGGTAACGACAGCGAAGCTCTAAACTTAGTGCCTCTCGTGACCAACACAGTCCTAGAGGAGCATCACTTGATCGTTGGCGTCGTGGTTGTAGTGGACCCAGGAGTAGTTCCCATTAATTCACGCGGTGAGAAACAACGTATGCATCTGCGCGACGGATTCCTTTCCGACCAAATCGATGCTATTTATATCGCATATAACATGTAATATTTACCAAAGCACGGCATACACAACACGTCACTCTCGAATTGAGCAATTTTCTCACTGCAAGTGATAAAATGTCAATTGTTTGTGTATCCTTGCTCAATTAGGCCATACGATTCGAAGAATAGAGTCCCATCGGTTAATTAGTCTGCATAGCTGATATACAATGTGTTTAGCTTTATATACTCATTAAGATTCTGTGTATTTTCAATGCTTTTTATTATTTTAGATTAGATAACGCAGTGTAAGTGTATTTAGCACATTGTAGAGAAAATAAAATAAATATTTAAAATTTGACCCTTGACAAGGCACGATATTTTAATTTAATATTTCATGTACTTCAATTGTTTAGATTCGGAAATAGACATAAAAAACGTAAAAATTTTCACCAGCGCTAAGAATTAAATTTAATCTGATATTGACACAAGACTGATGAAAGTCTGAATACTATTTGTTTAATGTTAATTTAAGATTCATTATGATTTGTGCCGCATATTCCGAAACCCTTCGTAATTTATTAATGCGCAAATTTTCAAAAATAGTTCTTGAGTGTTAGCATAATATGATAGGGACGATGAAATTTCATTTGTACACAATTACATTGTTGTAATTATTGTGAAACAAGTAATTTTTAATGTTAGATGATATAAATGTATTACTACCGATAAATAATATATTTTAGATTAAGTGACTTATTGTGTAAACTGCATTTAATGTTTTATGTTATTGTTTATTTTATATGAATATACCTGCGTTCAAGTATTACGTAACGCGTTTTGAAGGGGGGGGTCCTTTTGTAAAACGTTACGATGCGGGGCGGTGATTGAATTACGCGTTATTGTTTATATTATTTTCGACTTACACCACATAATAACTAGAGAGTAACTAAAGAGACACAAGGTGGTCACGAAACGTTTTACTATACTAGGGTACTGAAAAACGTTACGGCGAGATACATGGGAGGGGGGGTTCAATAATCTCCAAAAATTGCGTTACGTAATACTTGAACGCTCCCTTAGACAATAAATTCATTAAGAATGGATTTTGATTGGCGTAGGAAAACAAGTTTATTTAAGCACTAATAGCGCAAATGCAATGTTATATCTTAGTTTTTCAGTTCTATGTAGATAAATTGATTTTAAGTATTAATGTCGAAAGTTTGAAATTTATGTTTTGACTTAATAACTAAGTCATTGTTTATAAAAATTTTAAGAGTTTTTGGTATCAACCAAAAATTATTGTCTTATGCAACTATTCATATACGTAGTTTTCAATTTTAATATTTTGTATAACAACTTGAGGTAATTTTGGTTTTATTTTGCATATCAAAACTTGTGCCAAGATTTCAATATCGCATCTTTGTTCTTTAAGTTTATGATTTTAATATTGATTAAATATTGATGATGTATTTTCACAACCGATTTATAAGAATTAATTTTTCTTTTATTATAGTGACTGGTTGATAGTGGTTAGGATTTGGGAAAGTGTTATTTTCAGTAGTCCATTCCATATATTTTTTGTGTAGCAAATTAATATTGATAAAATAATATAAATATTTCTTTTTAAATCTATTATATTTTACTGATTATTTATTGCTAAATTGTACATATGATTTTGTTATTTAATTTTATGTTAAATGGTTCATTCTTAGAATAATACATATTATTTTACAGATGTCTGGAGTAAAGTAAAAGCCTTTTTTTATATTTAAATTCATTTAAACATAATATGTATTATCCTCAATAAATTTAAACTATAGTCATCTTATTATGTAAGTATACCTAAAAGTAGTTAATTATAATGACTCAAGTTATTGAACAAAATGTCTTAATAATAATCGTGTAATTCGTAATTATTTATAATTTATAGGTACGAGGTCCGACAAGTAAGTCGACTTTTTTCCAAAAAAATAATACCCGTGAAACCTGGCGTTTAAGCACAAGTACTAAGTAATGTACATTTTGTATCATCAAAATTCCATTAGTGATTTAAATACATAATAAAATACACGCACAAAATTGTAATCTTTTGGCAATAATTTGTATTAAATTTGTACGACGTCACATGTTAGGACTTTGTAACCATTATACAATTGTGATTAATTTCTGAAATAATAATAAATAAACTTGCATCTTTTATTCACTTTTATTTTTATTTTCTTAACAAATTTAGATAAAAAGATAATGCAACAGCGATATTGCAATTTGGGATCTGATGAGCAAAATATTAATTATACGGGAATCGATAATTATACGGGAAGAAATATTAAGGAGCACGTCTGTTATCATGGTAGAGCTGCGTCGTCAATTGACAGCCCCTTAAAAATGTAAAAAAAACAGATACTATTTCATTTGCTTCGTCTTCTCGTCGTCTCGCTTTTAAGGCTGATGTTGAGAAACCTCGTCAAAATGAAAAAAAAAACAAAATGGTATCTAGGACTTTGATTTTTCAAGTAAAAATAAAAAGAAATTTAATTAATTAAAAAAATATTTGAAATGCACGCTTGGCAGACATGCAGCGATCGTTTATAAACCCTGCGAACGACCGCAGAAAAATATTCTGCCACTTAAATTATATTGCTTATAAAACAAAACATAAATGAGACACCCAGGCCGCTGATATTCCGAAGCATACCATCTGATTTTTTTTAATGTTATTTATTTTTTCTTCTTTTTTTTTCCGGATCGGAAGTCATATTATGTTAAGTTATTGAATGCATTGTATGTATGTCATAATACGAATAATCGCATTTAGCATAATACCCGGTTTACCTCAGATTCGCGAACTTCAATGAACTTTTCAAATGTTATATACATGTAAAACACTATTAAAGTCAGTAAGTAAAATGTCTGCAATTTTTTTGTGTTCAAGGGTTCTAATAAATCGAATGGACCCAATTACAGCTACGAACAACTAATTTAGTAGAGCTTTACTTTTACATTTTACATCTACGAAGAAGGCCTCCTGCCTAATAGATTTTCTTCGTTATCTAAAAAATATCGACTATTAACCCCAGAGGCAGGCACGAGCAAATGATTTAATTTCGATTATTTTACAGATTAAAAAGAAGAAAATTTTGTCGCATTGATCCGAACTTTAATTGCCAGATACGAGCAAATCATATAGTTAAATTATAGCCAGGTCCCTAGTACTGCTTCAAAAGTTCTTCACTCATGCACTTGTGAAATATTTTCTGTTATCTTTGGTCGCCGTCATTTATGTTGATTCCTATTGTTCGAGATTAGAATGCAGGAATGGTGAAGACAAAATCAAATCTATTTTGAAGAGAGCTGCATAAAGCCCGTTTTATATGATATCGTTAGAACCATTATAGAACAACCGGTTTATAAAGTTAATGAATTGTTGAAGCAACACAATCGAAAAGTGGTAAAGCGGAGCCTGGCTAAAAGACGCGTTGGTGTGAAAAAATTACCACAAGACCCAAAGCAAGGAGCTAACAAAATCCGCTTTCGAAAGCATTACACCTGAAGATTGGCGTATTTAGTGCAAGCACGTGCTTGCCTGTAGAAGACGAATACTCCAAAAGCTATGGAATAATTGATGTGGAAATGGAGAGATTCATAATATCAACAGCGATTGATAGCGACACTGATTCTGATAGTAAAATTCAAGATACAAATGATAGCGATTGCGATATTATGTAACTAAATCACGATAACCATAGTTATTGTAAAAAGATCTGGGGCCTTAGTCAAGATGCCTTAACAGTAGTGTATGTAGAACGTCAAAAACTAAATTTGTATGAAAACTTTTCGACACGAACTGTCATTTCCATACAAATTTAGTTTTCGACTTTCTACATACACTACTGTTAAGCCATCTTGGCTAGACCCCCAGGTATTAAACATTGATGAAAAGTAGGTACATTACATTTGATTTATAAATCATAGGTTTTATCTATGCCTTTAGGGAACTTTAAAGAAGCTTGAAGATATGGGCTTGTAAAATTTGATACTAATAATCATTGTAGTTCGTTAATATGTTCGCACAGACGTTGCCGTTAATATTTAGAGACAGTGAAATATAATTTTATTAGTTTTAAAGTAAAACATGCAAATCGTGGAGACTAGTTTGCGAATTTCATATTAATTTAATTGACGTTGGGGTAAATTACGCCTAGCACTAGCAACATCTTAGTACGCCGCATCTATTGGCATTAAGTTGTGACTTGTGGCGCGGACTCTAAATTAATATACTCTTACGAGTCTGTGTACTATATTCACGCTGTGTCAATCTGTTGTCTTGCCGAGGTATTTACTATACTCTTTTATTGATATACTTGTCTCCTTGTCTGTGTTTTTATTATGTTCAAACTTCAGTGATTTTGTTCCAATAATTATTTATGAGCTCAAAAATCAAAATCCTACTGTCTTTGGTTTCTTGAAAGTTTATTATATACAAATACCTAAGAATGATTTTTTATTAGTGAGTCAACATCGTTGTTGTTTTATTGGCAGTGTTTATTTTTATTTGACTTATATGGCTCGTCAGGCTGTCATTTCTTTGTAGTATAAAATTCCTTTATGATGAATACACCGCCCGTTCCAAAACCTCGGTCTTCAGGTTTCTCACAGAATGATTCATTGAAAAGGCCAGTACCGTTACCTCGTACTAAGGTACCTGTAACTAATGAAAGAGTCACAGCATCTGAAGTGTTGCGTTCTATAGGTACGGTATCAAAACAAATAACTGAAGATGTTGCACAAAAAGTTACAAATTCAGCAAAATTTGCAAATGATAAAATTGAGAAATCTCTTATGGATGGTTCAAAATTTGCTAAGGATACTTTAGAGAAAACAATAAGCACATCAAAAGCTGTGAGAGCATCCGTTACAAAGTCTGTCATAGAAACAACAAAAACAGCTGGTCTAAAAATACGTCGCACAAAAAAATTAGAGACAGATCAGAGTGAAGACTCTCAAAGATGTGTTTCAATGCCAGCAGCTGATGTATCATTTTTTGACAACATTCAGTTTTATTCACCACTTCTAGAACAAAAAAAGATATCACCTGAAGCTGGTCCATCTGAAAAACTTCAATCACCAAGCTCACAAATACATTCTCAAATAGATAACCTGTCCCTCCTTTCTTGTAATTCAGATTCTATAACAGATAGTATGAGTACTTCCCATGACAATATTGAATATGATCAAAATGATTTGACTTCTTTTTTAGAATCAGAAATGACATATGATACTCCAAAACCATCTAGAGCTAATAGTTTTATTAGTGTGAAATCTGCACCAGAAGTGCCAGGAAGAAGAAAAAAGAAAGAGAAGATAGAAATCATGAGACAAAATTCTCTGTATGAGAACTGGACATTATCTCCAAAACCTAATGTAGAATCTATTGATAGGCCAAGTAAAAGTACTATTTATGAATTTGATCCCCTAAATTTTACAGCACAGCCTAAGAAATATGATGGTGTTAGTAATGAATTACTACTGTTGGAGTCATTTCTGATTGGAGATACTTATGGTACAATTGTTTCAAATGACGTTGGGGTGGATGATACATTTGACTTTGTTGAAAGTGATTATTTCAATCCCCCAACACCACCAGAAAGATTTGACAGTCTTGCTGTTGGTGAAATTGCTGAAAAACCTACCTTATCCCCCAGTGTAAAAGATAATAATTCAAATTGGTATGTTGGAAAGGATTGTTCAAGTGCAGATGTTGTTGAAGATACAAAAACAGGAAGTTCTGTAATGCAGAGATTTTCAAACATGCTAAAATTTGATAATGTGTTAAATAAAGGCTTGAAACAATCTTCAGTCAAAGTTGAGAAAGTGGAACGGCCGGCAATTAACCACTTACTTGTCCCTTACTACAGTGGAACTCTGAATAAAGTAATTTCCGGAACAGTTGAAGATTTGTTCAAGAATTCCCAATCTTGTAGTAGATACTGTGTTTTATCTGACCACAAATTGATGTGTTACTCAGATCCAAGTAACTCAATAGTGAAAGAAGTTTACACTTTAGACAGTCTTAATTCAGTTCAAATTGTATTACCATTATCATCTAGGTAAGTAAATAGTATTTAAATATAAATTATTTGATTTAAAAAGAGTCAATCGAGTTATGACTTTCCAGTACCACAAATAACTCATACTGCTTTGAGTTGACAATTTCAATGGGCGTTAAGAGTTCACCTCGAAAAGTGCTCTTTGGCTGTGGAAGTGCTTCAGAAAGAAGAAATTGGGGACAAAAAATTGCTGAACATCTCACTAATGGATTTCCAACCAAATATACATCAGAGTTTACAAGGTGTGGATGGTGTTACATGAAGGTAAGATCAAATTCCTGAGATAAATATTTACTAAACATTCTTTGCTGGACCCTAGCTTGTAGATTAAGTGTACTGTAGAAAAATACATGCGCTCATACAAGACAATATAGATCAGATATTGTTTGATGTCATAATCAACCCTTAATAGCTTGTTGTCAAACAATTATTCATATAATTTAGTATATTCCTTTATTCAAAGCATTTAACATGGAAGTCTTAAGTCCTTCCAAAACATTTCATTGTGTTGGTGTCAACAGAAAGCTAACAACCTAGACTCTGAAGAAATATTTTTAGTCATAACTTATGGCAGTTCCAGTTTAACAATGCTAACTGTTAGCTTAAGACATTAATATTTGACACAACCTATACCTTGTATCGAAATCTTTATGTTGACTTGTATAAACAACATTCTTGTTCTCGTATTTATTAAACATATTCACATTCATGTTTATCATACTTACATAATTATATATTAGCTTAGCGAATATTCTTATCTTGTAACATATGCTTTCAATATATATAAATTTGTTTTTAATTTTCTTACTTCTCTACTGTCTCTTATAGAAACATGCTTTGCCTTATGAAACAATCAATTTTAATTTGATTTACGATAAATGATTTAAGCCCTTGCGAATAAAAAAAGATGCATTTTATAATATGTTATCTTAACGATTTTAAACACAGTTATGTAGGTATATATTAAACAGGTAATTATTATAAGGCAGCGATTATAGTGATATTCCAGAGGCCTATACATTAATTTATTACTGACTCACGACATCAAGTCAGTTTGTTTAATTATCTACAGTACATTTATTGTACAGGAAGCTGCCAGAAAGCTTATGCTATATTATGGTATATATGTGGAAGATAATGTCAGGGACACATTTTTCCGTGTGTTTTATCTGTTTTATTTGATTTTAATAAATATATATAATTATAATATAATGATAATTTTATATTTTAAAGAAATATACTATTATGTGATCTTTTTTTCTCTCCAAAAACTGATTTCCTAACGAAATACGACACTTGCGCTAAACAGGAAGTTGATAAACCTCTAAAAATTTTGATTTAATATTTTCATATTTAACTAACATTTGCCAATTACTGTAATGTGTTTAAGATAACTGTGACTTAGATAAGATCACGCGCGTTTTGATAAATTGTGGTACTTATGTCAGAATATATTTTCGTATTTATCACGTATCTATTGATTTATTTTTAAAAATTTCTAAATCATAAGAATACTGGCTATTCCCTGCCACGCTTCGCTGTGGCACTTTGTGATTGAATGGTTGTGAAATGAAAAACAAAACAAAGAAAGCATTTCATATAAGTTTAATTTTGCAATACTAATAAAAATTTGAAAAACATTAAAAAATTGATGCGGATTATATATCATGCTAATGGTCTAAGATCCCGCTATACAACGACCTTCACCGAGATGCTTATTTAATGAAACTTATTTTATATTTAATTTAATATGTCAATAAATATAATCCATATGGGTTGCCTAGCAAATTTCAGTCCAGAGTTTTTAATTAATATTAAAAAAATATATTTTTTTAAACATTTCACCGGTATGATTATTAGATAAATTCTATACCAAACGAAAGTATAAAGCCCATAGAATATGCAAACGTTAGGTTGTTTTTAATCAATTAATTATTTATGTGTATATTTTTTATGTGACACTAAAGTATATATACATCTTTAGTATAAAAGAAGGTTATATTGATACATTTATAATACTACCCTGATTAAAAATATTGATTGAAAAAAGTTCAAAAAATTTACTACATGCAAATTATAAAAAACTTTTTTTTTTTTAAATATTAATTAAACATACTCTGGACTGAAATTTGCTAGACAACCCATATGGATTATATTTATTGACATATTAAATTAAATATAAAATAAGTTTCATTAAATAAGCATCTCGGTGAAGGTCGTTGTATAGCGGGATCTTATACTATAAAATTTCAGCTCGATCGGTGCAGAACTTTTTGAGTTTTTGAAGCGTACACAAACCAACATAACATTTATATACCTATAGACTACTAAATTCAAATGTCCATATTAAATTGATTGAGAAACGCTTTGCGCTCTAAATATAGAGAAATTTCAAGAAATTTCTCAAGTAAGACTTTTATTATGCATATATTTTTACTACTTTCAAATACTTAATATGCCACGATGCGTTGCGATATGCTTTGTCACTAAGTTCATATGTGAAGAATACCTTTAATTTGTTTCTTTTTTGTTTTATTTACGTAGTTATATTTCAAGGAGAAACTGTTTTAAATTGAGAATCGCCCAGTAATTACTAAGTTTATATACATTGCGCATACATTTAAGTTAATTTTTCGTGTGTTTATTTTTTATTTTTATCAAATATATTCTATTTCTAAAATACGTAAGTTAAAGGCCAAATTGATAACTAAAAAATAGGTTCAACAAATTCTTATATTTTTAGTCTAAGTTTTATAAATAATAACTATTACAGGAAGGGGTTACTGGAGAATGGCGTGGAGCGTGGCTTATGCTGGTGAGACGAGTCCTTGTCTACTACACCCCTCCCGAGACCCTTTGTACGGTAGACCTTAGGAAGACGAGATGTGTTGGTAAGTTATAACAACTAAGTGTAGTTGCCTTAAACATAATTGTTACGAACATCCGCTTACGCTTACAGTTTTTGCTGAAAATGATTGTAGAAAAAAAATAATATGATATTATATATTTACATATTAATATCAGGTTAGTTTAAAACCTTTTACCTTTAACTATAGTAATTAGTGGTGCTACAATTACTGTTGTGGTGCTGCAGATCTTTGCCTTCGGCATTCTGAGCCTTCGTCATGTCGTCGATTTTTGGGTTTCCACACGATGTTAACCTTTACCGTGCAAGCAAGCAAGTTTATGGGTGCCGGGTTGAGTTTCGCACCCAAAAATAAATTTTTCTTTCTCATGGGGAATTACGCATACCCTCCCGCGTCACGACTGCCTTATGGTGGAGGGTTATGTGGGACTCTCTGCTGTGTATACCTACTAAAAAAAAACCGGTGCCACCAGCAATCGCCCAGAGGTAGGACACGGTAACAGCGTAGCCTTGCGCGTAATTATGTCTAACTCGTATATGATTTATCTGTTGTTATATATCTGTACCTAGTTTATTGCTAACACTAGCTCACTTTTATACGTCTAAACGTTACCGGGCAGGTAGTAAATAATGCTTGCGACGGAAAACATTTATATATTTTCGATACCTTAGTTTTACAAAATATTAAATGTTTCAGGCTGCCCATAGCGTCCGTCACATCTAATGCGTTTTAAGAAAAAAACTTTATAGTAGGTACGAGATCCGGCTGCAGGATTAGTGCGCTAAAAACCAAATTTTTATGCATATTCATCATAAGGAGAATGTATATCTACCAAGTTGCCTATTAAAATTTGGCCGCTAGTATTTTTAATTAAATTATTTTGAGCGTGGTTTTTCTGTTAGAATAAAAATGCCGCATCTAATCAGTTTAAGAACACTAACATTCGACGCATGCACAATGGCTTAAAAGCGTCGCACAGGCGGCATTCGCTATCCTCGTCATATATTCGTCTATTTTGGCAAGATTTTTTTATCTCCTTTTCATCAAAAATGATCAATACAATCAATTTACATTACCATAAAGAATACACCTAAACTTTGGTGAGCTCCTAAAGGTGACGCTTCAAAAACTAGTTTGTTAGTTCTAAAGTTTATCGCGTTCATATAGACAGATGCCGTCGTGGGATTTTTTAAATCTAAGGACGGTATGAATATATAAAATACAAATCGAAATATATGTATATAAATTGTCTGCGTCATTGCCTTCTTGGAATAAGACTCCCGGTTGATTCAGCTCATGTATTATTAATTGTGAATGCATTTGTTTATTTAGAGCATATCTCGTGTTACAGTGACTCATTGATGACCCATCAGATAGGTACTCTGTCCCAACCCTGTACAAGTTAAATATAATGGTTATCTAAAATCAGTTTTGGCATTGCTGTTAAGCGAGAGATTCTAGACCTGGAGGTCGTGACTTGAACCCCGGGCCGAGTTTAGTTTTATTCTACTTCGCACAATCAATACTTGCTCTTATATCTTACATCGTGAAAACATTAAAATGTTACCATTATTACCATTTACCTATTACCATTATTATTTTATAAGATAAATTGTGGGAAATAACGCTTTTATTTCCACGTACCTTATAATGATGGATCCTATATCGGATTTGCTGTATTATCAGCGGTCGATTAACCAAAATGCCTTCAAATATTTGTGTGACGCAGTCCCACCGTTCCGGCTTCGAGTTTATTGCATAACATGTAAAATAAACAATAAATATGCATTAATCCCAAAAAAACGTAATTCTAAACATAACATTATCTAAATCTCATTTAAACCCAACGTATCCGTTTCGCTCACCAGAAGGTACATCTCTATATAAACTAATATTAGTAATTATTGTATTATTCCAGTTAACCAAGATGCAGATGAAGAAACAAAACAAAAGTGTTTATCGGACGGTAGCCCAAATCTTCTGCTCGACTGTCCACATGCAACTGTATATTTGAGATTCCAACACGAAAAAGATCTAAAGGTAATTTATGGTTTTTTAAAGTCTAGTTTACTGAAGTTGGCTAAATCCCAGCAAAATATAATTTCTTAAATATTATAACTAAATTTAAATATTATATACAACTTTTGAAACTAGATTTAAGTATGATTGACGTAATAGGGACCTTCCTCTACGTTAAACTAAACGCTTTATAAAATATCACCGTTATCATTCGGTTTTTCATTATTTTTCCAATTAGGTAAGAGAAAATGAAATGTTAAGGCTAGTTTAAATAACTAAGAATCTATAATAAATTCTTATCATATAACATGATGTTTTAATACGATTATTATTAAAAAATATCTGCGTGAAAATTTTGTATAAAAGCTAACTTGACTTGATTTATTTTAAAGTACTACTTTGGACTTTTTATTTTAGAGTTGGAGGTCTATGATTAAGTTAGCTGCTCATAATAACGGGGCGTATTTACACCATCAGCAGCTTACCAAGGATGACGTTCCGGCCATAGTCGACAAGTGCATTAGTTTTATTTATGCCCACGGTGAGTCTGGGGAAAAAATTAATTAATTAATAATTCAAGTAAATTTCTAAGCAATTTTAACTTAAGCACTAGAATAATTACTACTACTAACTAAACACTAAATCAAACTTATTACTGCTTTGTTTTGTTCCATTCTTTATATCTAAGTAATTGTTTATCTTATGTAGTTTAGCACTTCTTGTGCCCACCTTATTTTGTTTTCTTTACAGTGGTTGCCAGTAAAAGATCGCTCGCGGAGCGATAAGGCCGCCCTATTTATTATTTAATTGATATATATTTCTTGCAACAAAATGTCAATAAATAAATAAAAATATATGCAAGAGAGTACATTTACCGTCTAAGGCTGAATTTAGTCTCACGCTCACCGTCAGCGCTCATAGATCACCGCGTAGTTCATCAGATACGCTCTAGCGATCGTCAGCGCTGACAGCTACGCGTCATTCAAAAACGCTTCCTAGAAGTTCATATATCTCGACCATCAGCGCCAACGGTGCGCGTGCGGTCGGCGTGAGACTAAATTCAGCCTAAGGGTATTGTTTCACTTATTTTGAATATTTGTGTGATTGAGTATTAAATATTTTTTCACCTTAACACGGGAGCCATAAACACATTACTGCTAATGTTAAACTCCAGTGAATTTGACAGTCTCAGTAATTAAAAAAACGTGCTGAAATGATTGATTAGCTCATATTTGTTAATAGAATGATATTGGTACGTAAGCTCGGTTGCGCGCGGCGGTTATTAGAAGGATGTTCAAATAAATGAAACGCTTTCTTTGAACCTAACTAACTAACATTAAATAAGGGATAGTGGGGTTTGACGCTGGGCTACCAAAAAACTAATTTGATTTATTTGTGGGTTCTTAAACCTACCTATTGGACATTCTCGAAAACGAGAATGTTATATTACAATTTAAAAAACTAATGGGCTCAATTATTGCTAGCAAAACTGTTTTTACAATTTATGATTGTTAACATTTGGTTTGTGCTTATAATTATTGACTAAAGTATATATATATATATATATATATATATATATGTTTGTAACTTAACTAATATTAGGTTACATAACTCGCAAGATTTTATATTTATAATATGGTTGTTAAGGACATTACTGTATGGGTTTTCTATTTACCACATTTAGCTTCAAAGCTATCGTTTTCTTTGCAGGAAGTCTATCCGAAGGTATATACCGGAGGGCGGGCAGTAGTTCAGTGCTGTCGGAATTACTCGGACGGTTCAGGCGTGATACGTGGTCAGTGGTTTTGAGTCCTGGGCAGCATTCGGAGCACGATGTTGCCGGTGTATTAAAACGATTCTTTAGAGATCTCCCGGAATCGCTTATACCGCAAGACAAACATAAAGTTTTAATTTCAGCTCTCGGTAAGTGCAAAGGTATAACCTTTGGTTTAACCTTAACGCAAAGCTGACACATTTCAGAGCCTGTTCGTAAAAAAATTCTAAATGCCTTCTGGGCCTGCAAGCCATAACGATTATTTGGTTAGGAATCGAACTGTAGACTTAGAGTTGTACGCTATTGCTTAACGAAGTGGAAAGGCAAAGCGAAATAATTTGGGCCAGACCAGTGATAATAGTTTACTTATAATAATAAATCGTTTATTTGCATAGAAAGTGGTACATTCAGATTGATTAATTATAAAAAACCGCACAATCAGCCATATAAAAACAGTGGCGTAAATGCCATAATTATACAGTTAATATATTTATAATTATTGTCAAAACTTAAAAATTCTAAACTACAAAACTTTGGTCTAAATACTCTCCCACGTTGTAAAGGCCCTGCCTTTACTGCTGACTGATCCCACATAGTGTTGAATATTAGATAGAATAAAATATATATACATAGTTAGCTTTGATCTTTTAAACTGGGCAACGGACTCTAATGCCGTTTTCATTCATTAAATATCAGTGTTGGCCAAATCGTTGAAGTGTAAAACTCAAGTTGAGGTCGTGGGTTCACAACTTGACTGTAAACTAAAGATTGTTACTATTATTTATAACGCCAATATCCAGGATTTTAAGAGAAAAGTTTATTTATAGTCCGTACTTCTATATATTTTAATGGCTGAACCGATTTTGATAAATGAATGAGTTTTTTTCCTGACTACATCTGTCGGGTCCGTTAGTAGTATATCGCATTTCGCACAAACTACGATTTTATACAAATGAAATAGCTAATTGTAATTCTTATTTATAAAATGACTAATTACTGACAATACATTTTAAGAAATCACGGAGAAACACGAACGAAACAGTGAATATAGAAAAGTGATGTTCTCCTTGCCTCTCGTTGCACGCAATACGGCGAGGAAATTGTTCGCGCATTTGCATTTCTTAAATACAATGGCGCACGCTAACAAAATGAATGCTGAAAATCTGGCCTCGGTTTGGGCACCTACCATAATGCCGGCAGCTTTGGTGAGTACGCTATGAAATACCAAAAGTATCCGTAAAAATAGGATAGGGATAGGATAAAAATTACGATCGATTTTTAGTCAGAATATTATATATTAAAACTCGTAGAATTATTTTTCACACGCAAATCTATTGAGGTTTTTTGTGTGTCATTTTAATATGTACTGAACAAATGAAGATGATATTCCAACAAATCTAGTCATTTAAATACATTTTTAATTACATATTCTGTTCTAAAGTTTGATTAGATATTTCGTAATATCGCAGTTATTTATCAAATAGTACACACACAGAAAATATAATATTATGATATGAATCCGAAATTTAAAGCCAATCAAATACCAGTTCTGATGAGAAATATATAAACATTCGAAAGTTCTACTTTATTACAACTACATATATTATATTTACAATAGAAACAATACTATTTAAAATCAAATTAAGCTTAATGTAAGCTAATACCTTAGTCGACGTCAACGATAAATCTGTCTTGAACCGCTGACCGAATTAAGAGTTTATTTTTTTAAGCAATAAAAGCTTACATCTAAAAACACACAAAAATGACAATAAAAACTAATTGTACATCCTTTCACACAGTATGCTTTATACAACTAAGAGAATACTTTCAAAACATGTGATCTAAAAAGTGAGAGATATAAATGATAAGTTGCAAAATTTAAGATATAAGCTCTGCGAAACTGTAAGATAATTGTCAATAATCAGAGTTAAGGGTCTAAGTAAAAAAAAAAGTGTGGCAATCGGTGACTGCCGCGGTAAAGCTATTGCATAGCATTTTTTATCAACTTATGCAATTATAATTATTGATTTATTTATAAAGTAATTTTTTTTCTTTGATATTAATTCAATCTACCACTCTACCAGACTCAGACTAACTCGCCTATATAGTCTGTGTTACGCTTACGCTACGTCACCGATCACGCCAGACCCATGTGAGACGCAGTATGCGTTCTGTCCCGCTCTAACCTGTATTGGCCGCACCTATATTACGTCATCGTGTGTTAGGTTATTTTCGTTACGGAATTTCTTGATTCGGTCGCCGCGCTGAAATCTATGCAATAGCTTAAAAAGGATAAGTTTGTAAGTTGTTTTGGGAATGCTTTTCCTTTAAGTTTTCGATGCGGTGTCTTTAGCGGACTAAAACAATATAGTAAACTGTATTATGTGAAGTTACGGTGTATTTTCAGACAAGTCAGACCCTCCAAACAGCATGGTCAGCCAAGGAGCAATATGTGGTCCGGGATCTAATAGCAAACTACGAGGAGGTATGGGAGCCAACTGAATCGGAAACCCGACGCGAAGCGGCCATACGTCGCGTTCTTATGCGAGTATTAAGTAATACTGCGCCTGCGCCGCCTAAAGCCGCTGGAGATTTGCGAGCGTGGATCTACGTGAATGACAGAAACACGTGCCACCAAATCGCGGTAATAAATTAATTTTTGTGCCTTCTTTAAATTACAGCTTTTTGTATTTTAACTGGTTAAGTTCCTAGCTAAGTAATAATATTTGAATCTTAGGATAACTTCACTCCAGATGGCTTATAAAAACACATTAATTTTTTTAATTTTACAGCTAACGCCAAACAAAACATGTTCCGACGTTTGCATTGAGCTTTGCGAAAAGGCGCAGCTGGAATCACATTTATTGATGATCGAAGAAGTTATTTGCAATGAATCGATGAGAAGAATAGTTCACAAAGACGAAGTTGTTCTAGATGTCGTTCTACGCTGGAGTTATTGGGATGAAGAGGATCGAAAAGAGAATTACTTAATGATTAAAAATAATAAATTGTTGCACGATATGGCTGTTAAGAGTACAGCGGTTGTTTGCGGAGAGCTTCGAGTCGCGAATGAAGCAAACAAAACATTTAAATTGCACATGTTTGAGTGTAATCATACGAAGCTGTGCTATTTCAAGGATAAACAGGTTCGTTATTAAATGTCTATGAAGCTAGCTTCATAATACTTCATCTACTGAGGTTTCATTTACTTCGTGAAAATGTTTCGATCCAATAATAATTTTAATGTACAATTTATAAAAAATAGATATTTGAGTATGTTTCAAAGTAATTTTTTTGTACCGCGAACCCAAAATCCATAAATGAATTGTATGTGCGAAACTACTAAAGTGTTACTGTTTTCAAAAATCCCCCAAAGTCTTACATTTAAAATAATAGTCAACGAATTCACAACAAAAGAAACAAGAATAAAAATATATATATGTTATTCTGAATCATTTTTAATATTCACACAGGGGTCACACAAAATTGAAGAATGGCCGGTGAAAGATATTTTATGGTACATCGGTCACGAACCAAAACGTAATCCTCAATCTCGATGGGCCATCACGTTCATACCAAAAAAGAATAAACAGAAAAGGTTAGTTGACATTTTGGTAAATTTTGATATGAAGCCGCCTAATTCCATCCGACAATTTTCGTTTTTGTATATTCATAAAAAATATATTTTCGTTCCCTACTGATTTGCGCCATTTAAAATCTTTATAATTTTGTCTTTGTATGTACTTTATAATTGCATTATTATTTAATTGCGGTATTAGTACCAATTATGTTTACGTTTATTTTGTTTTCTACTTTAATAACATTACTTTTTTTATTTGCAAAGCAATTTAAAAAGCAGTGCCTGTTTCGTTATCATTTGTTTTCTCTAATAGGTTATGCCTTTGGGCGAGTGTCAAATAAGCATAATATAGAAAGTTCATTGATTCCAACCTATAAGCTTAGGGATGAGAGTCGCACTGGTCGGCCTCTGTGAAGCAATATAGGGTTTTTTTCTAATTATAACTATATATCCGTTTATTTATATAACTTGATTGCAGGTCGAAAGATCGTCCGTGGTTCGGTGTGACCATTGCGGGCGCGGTAACTGAAGATCAAGTTAAATGGATGACAGCGTTAATGCACGCTGAACACACGGATGTACTTCCTACACCGCGGCTTGTCATCACTTAATAGTATCGGCACATTACAGGGCCAGATTTAACAAGAAAGGAAAAAATTGGTATGCTGGGATACAAGGTTTTGTGCTTGTGAAAATCAAAATTAAAATATTGTTTACCAACTTTAAATAAACAATATTTTGATTTGGACAGGCAAAATATCTTGTTTGATGTATGAACGTTAGCAAAAAATAATGTTTCTATATTTACATTTACTGCTAGTTCGCAAGTCAAAAACCGACGAGAACTGGCAATAGACTCACCGTCACTCTTAAACACAAAATGTTAAGCAACCATTTCATCATGCTCCTCATCACACATTAAGATACACAAGAAAAATAAAAGACGAAATACATGATATTCATTTGCGTAGAACATTTCCTGTACGGAACAACAGAAACAACACATCGTGACAAACGTATAGACCATAAAAGTTACGGAAATTTGTCATAATTTATTTTTATAAAATTTAGTTTTTATTGTTTATTTGAAGAACCGCGAGACCGCGCCGTGCCGAGGTAATAATTTACAAATATAGGAGCTACTCGAAATAAATATCGCTATTTTAATGTGTCTTAAATTAAAATGACCATGCTAAGACATATGAAGGGCTTGTCTTTCTTATGATCGTTGATAATTAATAGATAGTTTAAAATATATTTTTAATATAAATGAAGTACTTCTAAAACTAAGTTTAGTTGTTAGTGGAAGTATATGTAGCTTTTTAGTTAGGAAATGTCCTGCCTCTTAATTGAATAGTTTTCTGAATTAAAATTTTTATATAGTTCCTACAACATTATTTGGAGTCGTATGAATTAATACTCGTGGATTTTAGGCAAGTTTTAACTTGAATTTGTGTTTCTAAAATGTTTTATCTGGCACTTCCTTGCCAATTCGGTTTTGTTTAGCATATTTGAATCAGAATTACACAACAATGCAAAATTGGCCTCGATTCTTCTAATTAAACTTCTATGAACTATTTTAATATGAGACTGTCAAACTTAAGTTTACTATGTCAAAAAATAAATGTTTTCACGACTAAAATTTGTTCAATTAAATTGATGGGCTAGTTTCTTTGATAGCATGATCGAGCTAAGCGTAAAACGTAAGAACGATGATGCATTTCGTTTCGGTCATAGATGGACCATGTCGTGTCAGTCACCAATGGGCGTCTTGTAAATGGATTAAATAATTCTCCCTTCCGCCTTAAATCATGATCGCAGAGCGCAGCTATGATTTTGGTCATAATTTGTGTAAATTTAAATGTAACGTTAATGCATTGCATATAACGCGAGGTATAAGGAACATAAAGATATATAATTTAATAAGAAAACATTGTAAAGTTAACTTAAGTTTAAGCCTTAGTTTGTATTATAGTCATGGCCCGATCGTAGAAGTAAATTTATGAAATGGCCTGATTTAGCCGACCTCTGATATTTTCTTAGCTTTTCTTTCGCCTAAGCATAGAATTTTCATGAAATTCACATGCATTATCGATAGGAACAAACTCTGAAATATCATTAAACATTGATGAATGATATGGCATATGAAACAACCATCCTACGATTGGGCTGTGAAAAAGATTGCGTGGCAGACGGCCAAGTTTACTAAATGTAGAATGACAAGTGTAAAAGTAAGTTTTGTGAGACGGCGGTATTTTTATGACGCACAAATCTACATTCCTGTGATCCAAGTTCCAAAAAATGTTCATGGAAATACTATTAACATGTGTGCAAAAAATATAAGAATGTTTTGTATTGAAGATATATTTTACAATTTTTACATTTTTTCAATATATTTTAATAGGTTTAAGTATTATAAAAATTATAGAAAATTTAAAGGATTGACTTGTTCATGCCCTGTGTTATTCGTCGAATTTGTATATAAAATCTAAATATTTTAGATTGGCAAAGATTCATCGCTAAGTGCCTTTATAATGTAATATAATGTCCACTGTTTATGGATATAGATTTCATAAAAGTTAAAATAATTAGATTTTTCAATGTAACTATGAACTGTTAAATACTAAATACAAACTTACCATTTTGTGCAAATCTACGCATGTACTTTACTATTTACAATATATAATTACCTACAGATAATAAATATTGTTGTATTCAATATGTTAATTCTGTATATAAGAATATACGTACATAAATTGTTTTTGATAAAAATCTATTGATGATTTTTGAATTATCAATAATAAATAATATAAAAATAAGACTATTATTTTCCTCAACTATCTCGCCCCAATACAACACGGCTATAGTACAGCTACAGTACCTTTAAAATAGGTCACGAAGACAGAGACTTTTAAGTTAGCATAATATCGATGGTACCAAGCCGTACCCGCGACGATCGTGACCGCACGCCACCCGACTTAAGTCTAACATTCAACAAATTACTTTTAACATTAATAAACCATATTACTTCTAATTTTAGTTTACTTTCTTTTTCTTTTTAATAAACCGATCACGTAATGTATATCAGTTGTTTTTTACCTCTGAATGACATCGGCTGACTTTCAATCACAGCTAATTGCTTTAAGTGAATCTTGAAATGTACTAATTAAATTTTCGTGACGGAAACAATTAGTGATGCCTAAAGAAGTTAATAGCTCCAATATTATTTCCGAGGAAGAAATTAATAGGGTTTGTATAGTATATCTTTTATAGCGTTGTCGTTTTACAAATGAATAGTTTAATGATAGTGTGTCGAATGGAACCTGCAATAGAAATAACGTCATAGCATAATTTATTTCATGAAGTTAGCGATTTTGCCATCGAGTTCTACTGTGCAATTATTTTAATGCGACTGTAATGCAAACTCTTCAGTCTTATTCAGACAGTTAGCTCATTTAACCTTATAAACCATGATTAAGTATCCGTCTAACTTTTCGATTACTCTACGTTAGCATGCGTATTGCGTATAGTAAGCAGTTTTCGTCAGTCCATCGCCGCAAATAAAAGAAAACTTTTAACAATTTCTTACCTCTGAATGAATGTATGAATTATTCATTTGTTATGACGTAATATTCCCAAGTTCAGAATCGGCTTGGTTTTGTTTTCTAATCTACGTAGACACATAAAGTGTTTGTTTAAAATTGTTCCAGAGTAAGTTTACCAAACACCGTAAAACAAATATGGTACCTGTGCCGTGGTACCTTTCAGGTCTGAGTCTCATTTCTAATATGCCTGACATACACCGATTTGACTAAGGCATGCAAGGTTTCCTCACAATATTTTCCGTTACCGTACGAGCGAATGTTAAATGCACACATAGACAAAATCCACAGCCGGGGATCGAACCTACGAGAGCCGCACGCTGAAGTCAATAGGCAAACACTGCCCGGCCTGCAAATCAAACTTTAAAATTGTTCTTTAATCGTTCTAAAATGTTATATATATTTATTATTTGCTATTGAGTATTTATAAACATGATATTTATTTAATTTTGAACAAAATTGCCTCTGATATTAGGTATTTCATTTTAATAAATATCATAGTTTTAAAGTAGTTCTCAAGTAGCATGTTCCCGTATATAGCGGCTAGGCGGGATGGCACTATTCTTAGTGTCTTAGGGAATATGTTAAAGTATATAGTTTTTTACTAACATGTGTGAAACCGCGGGGTACAACTAGGAAGCTGTGTGTGTATGTACTATGTGGAGCTGCATAATTTGATTTCGAACCCATATGATGTACCAATGAAGCAAAGCAGTCGCGAGCCTTCTGCCTCAGCTCATAATAAAAAGAATACAAATGGAACTCACCTGAATTTCATGCCCATTTGAAACTTGTCCTTTAAAATAGATACAAATAAAAATCTTCATCATTCAACGTCGCAATTACTTGAATGTAACCACTTACTTTCCATGCGCTATTTCATAATAAAACAATAAAGAAAAACAGTGGCGCTACAAAAGAAAGAAAGTCCATTGGTGCACAGTCGGGGATCGAATCTACAAGAGCCGCACGCTGAAGCCACTAGGCCAACACAGCTGCTGTTTCATTATGGTCGTCAATATACAGGTGTCCCGTGGATAACCTAAGAAAATTATTAAAAAAATACTGTCGCGTTTTTTAAACATATAGTTTTCAAACCCTTTTATGTTATTTTTATTGCTATTTCTACAAATCTTAACTTTTCTAAATTATATTCACTTTCTGAAAACGACAGACAAAAATGTATACTACATCGGTCTGATGTATGTTTAGTATTAAATATATTTAATACTAAAATATTTATTCACTTCTATCATGTAGGTATTCTATTATTTAGATGTATAATCTTTGCGAATCAGACTTCGACGAAAAAACATATGTATGTTGGATACGTACACCTATCAAGATTACATACTTTAACATACTCTACAGTATGTGAATAGTACGGAGCTTTTATCATACTACATAATGAAAGCTTAGTACAATAAAACGAACGAGATATTGCTATTGCGAAACGTATGAAATTGATACCGCCATCTAAAAATATTCATAGGAAATATTCTGATATTTCTATGTATCGTTCCCACGAGTGTGGTAGCTTCAACACACTCCTATATAAGTAAGCCATAGACTGATTCTATAAAACTTAACTACGTGTCGTTCACACCTTGTTTTATCGATAGCTTCACACGGTTCTATGGTGTTAAAGGGTTGTTGTTAGCGTACACAAATTTAAAAATAGTATCTTATTGCCAATTCATAGTAAGACGTGTCAAGTATATAGTGTTGATTGGTATGGATAAATTGAGCAAGCAAGAAAAGGCCGAAGCGAGACAACTGTTCGAAAATCAACTCCGTTATGCATTTATTAAATATGATTATGTGGATGATGAAGAAGACAACACTGAGGTATGATCGCTTTCTCTTTTGATATCCGAGGCGGAAGTTAATTTTCGCATCTCTAAGAATATGACGTCAATGTTCAAACCCTGCTCTCAAACACCATCCAGTGGGTGGGCCACTTAAATTCTTATTCAGACTTTTCCAAGCAAAGACGACTTGTTCAATAATAAAATAAAATTATTTGTAATATACGAAAAATTGCTACAAAATAATTTCCTTTCCATTATTGTCATTCATAACAATTTTTTACCTACGTAGAAATAAATTTTAACCAGCGATTGCGGTCAAAAGAAAAATAGAATTTTTATTCATAAAAATTAGAGGGTTGGATACTAACTTATAAACGTTTTATCGGAGTCGGATTTTATATTAATTCACATTAGTCTTATTACACGATCATTTTTAATAATTATGCCCATGGCCATGTAGAAAGGATGAATGAGAATCGGCTTACGTGTATCTTAGGCAACCGTGGACGGTGGGGTCGGGTCGGGTAGGCTATGTCGTAAATACCTGGAGCAAATCCGAGCTTCATGGAATGTCATGAAAGTGGAAGAAACGAGAAGGGTATGTCACGACCTTAGTGGAGATCCGTGATATCTGCCCTCCCTTTCAGTCAGTGGCGTAACTATACCACCTGGGGCCCGTGGCAAAATCTTTTGATGGGGCCCTATCAGTTAAAAATCGTCACGTTGTACTCAGTTTAATTTTAATAAACTTCGAGATTTTCAGGGTACTCAATTACACGTTGTATATGTCCAACTAATGGCCATAGGCCTCCTCTCTTAGGCGAGAGGGAATGGTCTGTTGTCCCCACGCTAGACCAATGCGTATTGGAGACTTCACATTCATCCATAGAACATAATACATCTTGGGCAGGAGCCCTCTTGGGTCGGGAGCCCGTGGCATTTTGCCAGCCCTGCCACCCTATTGTTACGCCACTGCTTTCAGGAGGAAGGCGTGAGTGTATATAGATAAAATTGTCATTCAGATGTCATTTATTCTCAGTTTAAGTTTATATATTTATTTAAAACCCATAAAAACTACCATACCGTAATTATGGCAAAACTAAAATATCCCAACAATACTATTTACATGTTATCAACTTTACCTAAGTGATATTTTCAGTTTGATTTAGTATGACTAAGGTCACGATTGAGGAGTCTACACATATTTAATTATTCTCCTCTTTAAAATAGTATTTTGACGAACAGAAGAAAATAATTCAACAATTGCTATAATGTATAAGTTTAGTCTCATTCTTCTACAGACTAATACAATTTTTATACTGTAAAAACAGTATGGACTATAAATAAAAAATCAAGTTACAGGTAGTCCATCCACATATTCAAAAGACTACTCTTAGGATGAAGGATTCTCAATAAGATTTATTTAATAAATAGATTTTGCTTCACGATCCCACTTTGTTCGAGCTCGGGGTTTTGCATATGTTCGTTTATAACATGTATTTACTATTTACCAATGTGGGTTTTGTGTTTTATTACACAGCCTTCGATCACGGCATTTTTCCATACAAATCTTACGTCAAAAACACGATAAGCATCTATAAAAGCACTACTAGTACACTTTATGTAAGCAATTTTGGGGTTTGTCATACAAATGACACGAATCAACTGCGAGTCAGTCAAAAAATACGCGAAGCTATACATGTGCCGAACACGGAAATAATATTACGGATTTTTTCTTGTAAAATTGAGTGTGTTGTGCATTGAAATGGTTGATTCGGAAGTTGTGCAGGTACATGTACAATTTATGCATTGTATTATGTTCGACAAAAATATGTTATTCTGTGTAAAAATATCTGGTTACCTTTTTTTCAATAAATTTATAGATTTTTCAAATAAATGAATTTCAGTACTTTTTAATAATCTGCGTAGTACTTGAGTATATAATAAAAACAAGACTTTTAATATATATAATAAATCGATATAGTTTATTAAACTACCTACTACTACATATTTAGTACATGCATGGAACATTTTGCTGTGCTACCCCAGAGACTGTTCGGTCTTCTGGAATGAAAACGTTTTAAGTTTTTCTGTGAATTTTTTCTTTATATAAACCTCAGAGTTCAAGTCATAAGATTTTAAATTACTAATAAAAAATAGGGGTTGATCGTCTAGGGGTGAAAATTAAGGGTTGTATGTATTTTTGTATGCTGTATCATAAAAAAATAAAAACAATAAATTGTATCTAAAAAAATATAAACAAAAATTTAGAGGTTGAAAGATAGATAGAAGCTGATTCTCAGACTTACTGAATATGCATAAAAAATTTCGTAAGAATCGGTCAAATCCTTTCGGAGTAGTATGGGAACGAACATTGTGATACGAAAATTTTATATATTACATAGTTTAAAACTTATAATAACATTGACTATGCTACTAATAGTGTCATTCTTTGATAATTCGAATATGACATATTGGAAGAATTCATACATTTAATGGCGTATATTATACACTCATAATTATCGAAGTGTGTCAGGCACTGAAGGTTGATCGTATACTTGCCCATAAAAATCAATGAACAAAAATAAAGGGTAGCAGCGGCAACTGTACCATGGTTAAATCGTTAGAATTGTATTATTTATCCGTTAGACGCAATGTCTAACGGCCTTATCCGCAAAGGTATCACCTTAATTAGCTTAAAGCAAAACGACAGTATACGTAAAACAAAAGCATTTTAAGCTTTTTAGTATGTTTATGAGTAAATAAGTAAATATTAAAGGGAATGTTTTATGAGTCCGAAATCCTAATGAGTTCGTTTCCTTATTATTCGCCCAATGTGTTTGTCTTTGTGTGGATTAGGGTATATGGAAAATATATATGTAATTACAATATTTTTGGTCTACAAAGTAGACAGAAATGTATTTTATGTGTGATCATGAGAAATTATAATTTTCTTTTTTATTTGTCTCTAGAAACAGATTGTTAAGCCCGATTCTTAGCATGAAAAATCATAACCAAAAGGATTGGTATCTAAATAAGTGTCAATATTCCAATTAAAACTTGAATTAGTTAGATAACTCACCGTTACGCCACCCGTTCCTCAAACTTAACCAAAAACACATGGTATTATAGCAAAGAAAATAGAATGTGTAAAAAATAAGGGAGTAACAAAGTTTTGCCATAGAAAGAAGTGAAGCTCAATAATATCTTTTAAAGCTTACGAAAAGGGAAATAAATAGCCAAAGATACTATATTTTTCAAAGTTTTTTTATGGTTATTCGTGGCAAATGCTAGTTTATCATCCGAAGGCACGACAGATCCTTATCATTTGCCATGTGAGCATAAAATGTGAATTCATTTAGTGGTGTATCGCGTTTCTTTAACCTTAGTTCACAGATTTCTTTTGCACGCATTCAACGATTCGGTTACGCTGAGTGAAAACTATATTTCCTTAATATCAATTAAAATTAAAATAAATAATAATTTTACTACTGTATTACAAACCATAATACCTCATTAAATTACGCTCACTTGATTAAAAGGTGCCACTTTTATCTCGATTAAATCATGGATATGTCTATGGTTGGCCGGTTCATCAGTAACTTCGTAAGTAATAGACTAATTCCGAAAGTACTTCGTCAATTAAATTCTAAGTAGCAAGTGAAGAGACTATTTTAGGTTAAATGAACTTAAGAAAAACAAGCTCGTTTTTTATTTTTTTTAATGAAAAATATTCACTTTAAACCTAGAGTTACCAACTTATATATATATTAGGTCCTTACATATGAAATTGGCGTATTTCGTACTGGCCACTTTAATCACGATGTTCTCCTCTTTGGTAAGGAATTCCAAATTCAAATTTGTACAACTATTTACTCATGTATTTGAGCTTCGATGACCGTCATTCATTTGTTTTTTCTTCTGTTTTTTTCTGTGTGCGTCACTCATTTTACAAAATGGAAAACTTCGCATTATTTACGAGTACGAGTTCCGCCGTGGCACTAGTGCTGCGGAAACGACTCGAAGGGTGAATGATGTGTATGGCGGTCATGTTGCAAAAGAAAACACAGTTCGTTTTTGGTTCCAACGTTTTCGTTCTGGAAATTTCGACCTGCAGAACAAGCCCCGTGGACGGCCTGAGACCCAAGTTGATAATGAAGTATTGAAGGCTATTGTGGAAGCGGATCCATCGCAAACCACGTCCGAGTTAGCTGCAGGCTGCGGTGTAAGTGATAAAACTGTTTTAATTCACTTGAAGCAAATTGGGAAGATTAAAAAGCTTGAAAGATGGGTACCTCACGAATTGACTGAAGCAAACCGGCAAACGCGCGTTGAGTGCTGCGTTACATTACTGAACCGGCACAATAATGAAGGTATTTTAAACCGACATTACCTGTGATGAAAAATGGATTCTTTACGATAATCGGAAGCAATCAGCGCAATGGTTGGATCCTGGCCAGCCAGCCAAATCCTGCCCTAAGCGAAAATTAACCCCAAAAAAGTTACTTGTAAGTTACTTGTTTGGTGGACTAGTGCCGGTATTGTTCATTGCAGTTTTCTCAAATCTGGCCAGACTATTACGGCTGATGTCTATTGTCGGCAATTGCAAACCATGATGGAAAAGCTAGCGGCTAAACAACCTAGGCTGGTCAATCGCTCCACGCCACTGCTACTTCACGACAACGCTAGACCACACAATGCACAACAAACGGCTACCAAATTAGAAGAGCTTCAATTGGAATGTCTAAGACATCCTCCGTACTCCCCGGACCTTGCTCCAACAGATTACCATTTTTTTCGAAATTTGGACAACTTCTTGCAAGGGAAAAAATTTAACTCTGATGGGGCAGTCCAAATTGCCTTCATAGATTTTATTGATTACCGTCCGACTGGTTTTTTTAGTAAAGGGATCAATGAACTACCTATGAGATGGCAAAAGTGCATAGAAAACAATGGTTCATACTTTGATTAATTAAAAATATTATATTTAAAAATATTCGACTTTTTGTTCCTCCCATACAAAACGCCAATTTCATATGTAAGGACCTAATATTATATACCTACATTTACGATATGAGATTTTATAAATATTATCTAATTAGTTTTATATTCTATATATGTATATAAACAACCTTAAATTAATTTTAAAGTCTCTTGTTATTGATTTTGGATTGTATAACTTTTTTTAAAGCAAATTGAATAAATTATTATCAAATACGTTTTTAGACTGTAAAATATTTTTGATATTGCACCGTTTTGCAATAATAATATAGTGTAAATAAAAACCTGGAATCGTGTCATAAATAAACGCTTATAAAATTATACAGCGAAGAAAATAGCTGTTTATAGTATTATTATGTTTTATCAAGGTTTGCGTGTTTTAGGTATTTTATTCGGTATTGCAAATAAACACGACTCTGCTTTGCTCCCTACCTCTAATGACACCCCGTCACTTGTCCGTTAATTTACATAAATTAGAATAGTTTTGACGTACCTTAGTTACAATACAACATTGAACAGAAGTCGTCTCTTCAAACTAGAAATACTTGATCAATAATCTGTAATATAAATCAAAATGTTTGTTCATGGTATAAAACCTGGTTCTAGCGAGGAAGAAGAAGAAGAAGATGTTATGGATATTCTTCAGGTTTTTAAAGAAATACGGTACATTCAATTGCCAGTACTAGTTGTTTGAAGAAATGTTTTATTTTAGAAAAGGCGAGAAGAATGCGAACGAAAAGCTCGACGGGGGGAAATGGACCCTCGGCTGGAGTTCACTTTCCAGCTACTTATCGACGGCACTGGATTACCGAGACATGCCATAATGGATCATGTCTTCGAGGGGAATATGGTAAGCAAGGTTTTCTTAGGATAAATATATGAAATAATTATAGTACTAAGTTCTGAATCTAACATAACACCTTGCGTTTAATTAAGCGATATCTTATTTAGAAGATCTATCTAAACTTATGAATATGTTAGCAAATGCATGCTTACTGTTTTAAAGTTACATTCAATAAATGCCCATAATGTTCCTAAAATATGTTTTAAGCTTATAATAATAAAAATATAAGCCTTTACTCAGACATAAATTTTACATAATTTTAATCTTTAACTAGTGTCTCTGGTTGGTGGTTTTAAATTTAATAGACGACAACAACCCGGAGTAATCTAGTTAGCGTTTAGTTTTAAATAACTAAATCATAATTTATAAGTTTACAATTGGGGGAGTTTTCTATTGAACTATTTATTTACAGTTAGATGACATCAATCAGTTATTTCTGCCGCATATGAGAAACAAATTATTGTGGTATTATCAAGATGTGGAGGAAGTAGAAGCCCGACCCCAGCCTGAAAGCACAAAGCCAAGACAGCAAGGGCAAGGAAAACAGCCGCCTCCACAAATAACGTTGAAGAAGAAGCTTTTTCTTTCCGATGGCTGGGATGTTAAATTTACAGGTGTTTGCATCTATATGTTCAGAATAAATGTAAGCAAACAATTACCAGAGGAAGGATTTCATAAAGATCTGTAAGTATTTAAACTGATTATTTTCAATCACATAATAACCATAACTGACCCAATATAAGGTTTTTAAATTACACCCATAATGATACAGGATATCACAATTTGAAAAAGTACTTTTTATAACTCAAACTCAAAATATCTTTATTCATATTGGTAAACAAGTACACTTTTGAACGTCAAAAAAAAAGTTAAATTAAATTGTAAATTTACATTTACTACCAGTTCGCAAGTCAAGGGCGTATACATATATAGTACCTACCTACCTAAAAGGGCTTAACAGTCCTAATAAGTAAGTGAATTTTTGTCACTTAGTAGATAGGAAACACTAGATTTGATGTTAATATTTTAGTTTCTGCGGAATTTTGAATGCCGAACAAGTTGGCCTCGTAACTGCCATAGAACGTGTGATGGAACACGTGTATATGAACGCATTAGCCCACCCAAGCACTGATGGTGACGAAGACGAGACCAAATTTCCGATTGTGAAGAACCAATTGTTGCCAGGTTTAAGATCTTTCTGTAGTGCTCTTAAAGGTAATTCTTTCATTATATAAAATCAATAAAATAAGCATTTAAAATGTTTTTATGTACCAATGTAATGTAATTTTGTTTTTTAAGTACCAAATTTTTTCTTATTACTATATATATCAAATTAAATTGATTCCATATTTTATTTGTTTGCTTATATATATATTCTAATATCTATTGAAATGCTTAATAAATTTCTAGATCAACAATAACATATACAAAAAACTATTTGAATGCTTAGTAGATACAATTTAGTAATAGGTACACACACAACAAGAGAGTTTGTGCAATTGTAAAGAGTTCGGTAAATTAAATACGAGATTTGAGCTGCAAATCTAAACCGGTAATTTTAATTTTAAAGATTCGGAATATTAATGTTTACCGACGGTCGATAATAATAATACGTCATTTATATTTAAAGATCCTAAGAAAAGTTAAAAATTATGTTACAGTGTGTGAAGATGTCTGTAATCAAGTAAATCTTTTCGATGATGGACAAGCGTTAATGGCGAATTTGCAAGACCACACGGAACTTAAAGAAATGACTAAAAATCTTAATACAATTACAATGTTAGAGGATCGTGTCACTGAATGGATTAAGAAAATAATGGAGGTGAGTAAAATATTTGTAAATTAAATTATTTTATTGCAATTTTATTAATTTCAAGTAAACATTTAAAAGCCTCCTGTCACCAAACTTTTTGTAAGTGCAGCGGCCCACGCAGGACGTGTGTCGCGTTTCATTTAGTGTGCCTAGAAGTTCATCACCTTCCTCTCGGAACTCATCCAAGTAATGCATTTTTGGGCGTCGCGGAGTGTTGTTTGCCCCCCTATCCCATAAAAATATTAAAGTAACGTTTTGTAAATTCTTTATTATTATATATTATATTATTATTCAGTTAGACGAAAAATGCTTTTGCATTCATAAGTTTATTAAAGATAATAAAAAAGCTATTTTCCTCTTATATATAGACATAGTTCTAATTAGTGTAACTCTTTCTTTTCTTGTGTTGGTAAAAAATAAAACTTTGGCTTATGGTAATAGTATTAATAACGAGAGTCGAGTGTAAAATTGTCACCAAACAATCTCAATGCAAGGTTTTTATTCTTGCAGATTCTCAGTGAAAGCGAGCAGTTGAGACGTGAAGTTGATTCAAGTGGCCCTCAAGATGAACTGGAGTATTGGAAGAAAAGAGGAGCGCAGTTTTCCCAGCTTGTTTCATACTTACAAGTAAGTTCCATAGTTTCGACTACATGAAGATATTATATGGAGTATATGCGAGTAGCAACGACTGTCTGTCGGCTAATTCTCGTAATTCCAACTGCCTGCCGCTATGTGGCCCACTGAATTATTTCCGAGCCAAATCGACGTAGGGTCTTTAAAAAAAGAACGTACCAATTCTTAAAAGGCTGGCAACGCACTTGCGAGCCTTCTGCCAATATGATACTCCATGTGAGTGTCATCTAACATCAGATGAGCCCCCTGCCAAAAAACATGCTGCGCACCACCACTATGTGGAACCAACCAACTGAAGTATTTTCGAACCAATTCGACGGGTCGTTCAAGAAAAGAGCGTATCAACTCTTAAAAGCCTTCGAACTTGCGAGACTTATCAATTTATATATCTATGACATGATTATTTGATTCATATAAAATTTTTAGGACCATGAAGTTCAACTTACCCTGACATGCCTCCAATTAGCTAATTCCAAAGTGATAAAACTTTGGCGAGACACCGATCACAAAATTACTTTTTGTTATAACGAAGCTAAAGACAACGCGAAATTTGTCCAAGCCATGGAAAAATGTTGTCACTCTCTCTATTTGGATGATCCTGTAAAAATCAAAGATTCTATACTAAGCTTATTACAAACCGTTCGATTGATTCATAGTGTATCACAATTCTATAATACGTCAGAGAGAATATCATCTCTTATGGTTAAGGTGAGTTTAGACATGCGTATCTTTTCACTATTTCATCTGACACCGAACCTCTGTGTGATTTAAAACTAAGACATATGTTGCTTTATTTACGAAAACTACCCTAGGGCATACAAGATAAATGCATTCAAAAAACCAGCTACAGTTTGTACGTATTCAATAAAATTACATCTTGGAATAATTGTGTGTGAAATTCCCGAAATTATCCAACAAATCGACACCCTTCTACCGTGTTTCGATGTTGATTTGCACCTTACCCCCTGTAGATACAATTATTGTTCCATCTGAAATTTAACCCCGCTTATTCAGGGTGTTCCCTATCAAGCAATAAGTACCGTTAACTGCCCTGCGATTCTGTAACTCACTTTTCGAACTCACACAGCATTCTGAAAAGGTGGGAGCTTGTAGTTTATTGTTTATCAGAATACCAAATCATAAAATGACTGCTTCACGACTGATTTGAGAGCGACCGCCGATGCGAAAACCGCTGTGTGAGTTCGAAAAGTGAGTTACAGAATCGCAGGGCTGCTTTGAAAAAACACCAAAAAATGTTTTAGATAACGAATCAAATGATAGAAACATGTAAGCAGTATATAACATGCCGTTTCAAAGAGACTATATGGTCACAAGATCGAGACCTCGTAAGAAACAAACTAATGCACTGCATCAATTTGAACAAAACATATAGAGATACATATATCTTTGTCAAGAATCAGCCGTTTTTGCCGAATACGGAGCAATTTAGTTTCTCTGAGAATTATGTGTTTGGAAAGTTCGATACATTTTGTAAACGTTTGAATAAAATAATTACTATGTTTGATTTGATGGATGACTATAATCACCTGTTCGAGAAACGTATGGAAGGACTTTTATTGGGAGAAGGTATCTATTTAGTTATTTAAATACTTATAATGTGCGTGTCTGAAAATCCCTTCAGTTGAGGGTTTGTTTAAGTTTAATTTTCACTTACTATGAAACTAAACAGTGGCGCTAAAACTTTTTGAGGTCTGGGGCTCAGATTTCGGTATCTGTTTCATTTGTCAATCTAATAGGCAGGTGATCAGCCTCCAGAGCCTGACACACCCCGTCGACTTATTGGTCCTAAGACGTGTCGGTTTCCTCACGATGTGTTCCTTCACCGTTTGAGCGAATGTTCGCACAAAGAAAGAAAGTCCATTGGTTGCATAGCCGGGGATGGAAACCTCGACCTCAGGGATAGTCGCACGCTAAAACCACTAGGCCAACACTGCTCACTGTCACATTTAACAATTATATATATTTTTATTCTGTTACTTTGATTCGTTAAATATATCTTATATACTATCAAGAATATGATTGAAATATTTATTGAATAAGTATCGAGTAGAAGTCTATCTCACATATTTATGCTAGATCTTGAAGAAGCTATGCACGCATTCGAAGAGGCAAAGAAAGCAGTGACAACGTGCCAATATGACTACCTTGACTATCGCAACAATGACTTCGATAAAGATTATCAGGCATTTCAAGACAAAACGAATGCATTACGTGAGTCGATCGGAAGCACTATAGAAATTAATTTCTCTAGTGTATGGGAAACCCCTCAAGGCATTAAATTTTTGACAAGATTTGAAAAGGTGAGATTTTTTTTTTTTAAACGATACGTTTTATTATTATTTCAGGCCAATTAGGCCACGGCGTCTAATCTGTATTGATAATAGCCATTTATATAGGACATTCACACTCACTATCCCAGAACTCTCTCACACCAATCAACGTCAACCACAAAAACTTTTCTTTTCATAATCACTATTACGTATTTTCGGACCACCTTTCACTTTCACCATTTCACCCCGAAAACTCATAATATGCATTGAACCAGAGGACGTAGAGAACTTAAATAAAGCAATATTAAAAACATTAGTATAACGAGACACATTTTTTTCTATTCAGGTCAGCCAGAAGATTCAGATAACAAAACTAAATGAAAAATATAGTAGGGTATTAAAGTACAGTGAAAAGGAGGTAGATAAAATAATGAAAATGTTTAAAAGGCAAAAAGAGGATCCACCACTGCCCAGAAATTATTCACCCGTTGCTGGTAAGCCCACTGAACCATTTCCGTACCAATTCGACTGAGGATACTTTAAGAAAAGAGCGTATCAATTCTTAAACGGCCGGCAACACACTTCCGGGCCTTATGACAATGTGACCCGGCCGTTTGCCCCCTGATATAAAAGAAAATGAAACATTTTGAACCATTTGTTTTTTGTAATTAATTAATTTGTTGTTTGAAAATAGAGAAATTGAAATAGAGATCTAATTTGAAAAGTTTTATGTTTATTATTAAGTATTTTAGGTTTCTTCCTTTAAAAAATGTAAAATATGAAGTATTAAATTGGCGCTAAGTTTATAAAAACAACTTTGTACAAACTTTTGAAGGAAACTTCTACTATCTCATGTTCATCTGGTATTTGTTGGCGCGTCGTCGGTTGGTAAAGTAACCTACGCACATGCGCACTATAGTTTAACAACTGTTAAGGGGAGGGGGAAAACTATCTCCTGTCGTATTATGTTTTCCTCATAAAAACGTGGCTCAAAGCTATGGGCTCCAAACTGCACTTTTGTGGTTTGACATATCGATTAGGACGCGCTACAATCGATATCTAGCAGGGGCTGAAAACCATCTTCGGATGATTTATACTTCCCTGGTGAAAGTGCGGCTCAAACCGTTCGGCTATATCGCACGTTTGTAGTTCGAGTCGCTCGGTTACTGCGACGAGCCCCAATCGATCAATATCCGACATGTTAGAAATTATGCCTGCCAATTTATGTTTTCCTGGTGAAAGTGCGGCTCAAACCGTTCGGCTATATCGCACGTTTGTAGTTCGAGTCGCTCGTTTATTGCGACGAGCCCCAATCGATCAATATCCGACATGTTAGAAATTATGCCTGCCAATTTATGTTTTCCTGGTGAAAGTGCGGCTCAAAGCGTTAGGCTATATCGCACTTTTGTAGTTCGAGATGTCGGTTTGTTATTGCGACGAGCTCTATCTAACGATATCCGACATGCGAGACATTACTCCTGCCATTTTATGTTTTCCTGGTGAGAGTGTTACTTAAAGCGGTGGGCGGACTTTTATCGTTTTGATTGTGGCGCGCTCACTTGATAAAGTTATTTTAAGTAGTGAACTTTTTTAGTAATCGTAAAACGCGGTTTAGATTTATATCATCCCTTATTTTTTTGAAGTAAAACTTCTTTATGCGCGACTAGGGAGTAACTCAGTTTAAACGTAGTTTCCGCTATTTAAAATAATACGATAGCGCGTTTAAAGTCCGTCAGCGCCATCTAGTGGTGCATTATTTGAACTGATGTAAGTCAGTTTCTTGGTTAGCATTCATTCGTTTTATTTGATGCTGATTCTTGTAATTTATGTTACTATTAATATATTTATATTTAAAATGAAAATCCATACTAGTAACATGTAACCAAATTAAATTTCCACTAAAGAGGGAAGGTTCCCATCCTACCTTGCTTTTCTTTTGTTGTACATAGTAGTAGGCCAGTTTTTTCGCTTAATTTCGTATTTTACCATTTTGGAAGAAGTAAATTAATACCAAATTATTATCTTAAACACCGGGTCTATTTTATATAAAAATAACCAAGTTGTATTTAAGAGAATAGAAAAGTGAATAAAAAAAACTCAACAGTTTTAAAAAAAATGTTTTAAAAACTTTTAAAATAAGTAAATTAATAATAAATTTTCTGACGATTGTGAAATTCTATAATATTCAATAACAAGGTTATATTGACATGTGCTGATCTAACCTTCGTATTTGAATAATCTTTGTAAAGCACATGAATAATAAATATAATTAAATTATAATAATATGATATTTATTATTTAAGTTAATATTTAATAATTTCAGTTATATATGCCGTCAACGCCAAAGAAGTTTTACTTCAATCGCGCGTAAAGGTTACAACGCACACACTTTTTTTTTACGCGTAAACATGATTTAACAGAAAGAGATGGAAGATGAAAGAATGCAATGATAGTTTTTATGAAAAAAGGGGGATTATATTAATCTAAGGTGTGTTTGTAAATAAAATAGATTTAACATCCGTTCCTTATTTAAAAATCTCGGTTTTATTTATACGTTATCTTATTTATTATTTCATTTTGATAGTACATAGTTATTATATTATAAAACTTAAAAAGATTTCTTATGTTTCTCTAGTGCCTTGGTAGTTACACGTGTAGTTTATTGAGAATCGCCGATAACCGTGGCCGATAGACGTAGGTAGATTTCCTATAAAGTTCTGTAGTCCTGGTATGAATGTTTTCTAATGATACCTGGGGTTGGCCCTTTCACAAAATTATTATTTCTTAAAAACAATATTAATTATTCTCTCTGATTTTTTATGGAAAATAAATACAGTTAAAAGTTACTGTTGAAAATGTCTTGTCTTACTTCTTCATTTAAAAAAAAATAGGGTTACTTACTTTGACTACAACGTTTTAATAAAATTACTCATTTCAATACCTTTTTACAGTGTAACACAATTTGATAGCAACAGATTAATACAATAGAATCCGAGCAAGATTTAGGGGTGAATGCCATTTCCGCCTATGAATAAATAAACTTAGAAATATGCAACTTTTTCAGAGGGTCTATTAATTATCAATTAGTATTGTTTACGGTTACTGTTAACTGGTAAAATTACGATTTAGGTCGAATAAAATGGGCGCGATGTTTGATGTATAATATGACTGAGACCGTGGAAAGCGTTTGTGCACATCCAGTTTTACGTGCTTTACCTGCTGCTGCCGACATGCTGCGGAAGTATCAGGCAACAAAGAGCCTCATTCACAATTATGAGACAACTATGAGTGCTGTGTGGATGAATCAAAATGTAAATTAAATATTATATTTCTATTTTTTTCCAAATTGAACAGAAAAATAATAGTAATAATTAATTAAAAATTTTTGGATTTACGGAATAATTGTTTTAAAGGCATATCATACATTAACTAAATATGTTTACTACGATTAACTAAATATTAGACAAACTTAGAATGCATAGTTAGTCCTAATGGGAACTGATGTGGATATTTAAACTGAAGTCGAATAATTAATTATTTGAAATAATATTAAATTATTTGTAAATTCTATATAATTATTTCAGATTTCAGATTTATTATTATTATAATCTTAAAATATGTTTTAGGTGTCGGATGTTGACGACAGCTTAAATAATACATTACTTAAAATCGATGATACTGGTCAAATAGGTGTGAATCTTGATCATACCATAAAATTGCTAATACGGGAGTCGGACTGTCTCGTTAAGATGGGCGTAGACCTCCCAATCGTATGTCATTCTTTATACTCGAAGAACAATTATTTTACACTCGTCAATGATTCTTTACAGGTAATATATGTTTAGGGGACATTTTAAGAAATAAATAGATTATTCTTTACTTACGTTATGGACTCTTTGGAATGAATTTTAGTATTTCACATCTAGGAATTCCCCTGCGGTTTTATTAGCGTTAAGTCGGTCGTAGCATCTTATAAAGCCTAGATTATTCTCTGGATATCTTTACATAGGTTATAATTTAAAAATCTTTTCAGTTGTTAAAGCTTATGTCCTTTATATAAATTTGCGTGGAAAAAAATAAAAAATAAATATATGCTCAAAATATCCTTATTAGTTGTATACATACATATATAACTTATTAAATACGCTTAAAGCGCGGTAAGGCGTAGCTCAATTTCGAGGAAGGAATTTTAAAATACTTTTCTTTGCATAAATGTACTCGTTACGTTACGTACAAACAGATACGAAATATCCCGTTTTAAATAATTTATAATTATTAAAAAAATTTTTAGTTTCTATTAGAAGACTATTTACGATGCGTACGTCAAGTTAAACTAGAAGTTCGTCCACTTTTGCTCCCACAAGTGGTTCGTCTTTCCTCTCTTCTCCTCCCAGGACTGCGTTCAGTTACGTGGACAAGCGAGGATTGGAAGGAGTTTGTGGATAGAGCTAATGCTGCTATTAATAGCTTTGATGTACTTGTGACTAGAGTACATGATATTTATACAAATAGGATTATTTACGTACTATCCGGAATGCAGGAAGTTACGTTGATAGCTTTACCAGGTAATCTGTAGTTAACTATCTTAATATATATATTTCTTGTGTGCGTGTGTATGTGACTGAACTCCTCCTAAACGACTGGACCAATTTTGATGAAATTTTTTGTGTGTGTTCGTGGAGATTCGAGAATGGTTTAGATTCACAAATCAGCCCGGCAGATGGCACTGCAGTCGGTACTTTCATACTTTGCTTAATATCCTAATCGCTTTAAATATCATGCAGGACAACGTCTGTGGGGTCCACTAGTATTATGTAAATCTTTTGATAGACGGCCCCTAACTGGCTCCGGTCTTTTTTGGTTTTGACAACTATAATCCAAGCTCGAATTGTCATAGTCTCTTGTGATCTCGTACACCTATCAACCTTGTTACTTGGTTTAAATGTTGTACTTTTTCTTGGTAAATAGTCTCATCTGTCAATCGCTTTTGAAATATCAATAAAAGTTATTCTTACTTCTCTTATTCCTATTTTAGATGAAACTCCGTGGGCTGTAGATGAATTTATTGAATATGTCGAGACAAAGTGTCGGTAAGTGACTTCTGACCTGTTTTTTAAAGCGATATTTAAAAGTGTAATACATACATACATTGTTTGAACAGGAATGCGTGTGTGGAATTAAATAGAAAAAGTCTTATGGTAGAAGAGGCGGTCGAGGAAGTTTTGGATTTGGTTAAGAAAGCGGCTCAACAAATCAAGCCGGCTGAAATAAATCCTGATTTTGAATTTTTGATTGCCGAAGGTAGATTTTTTTTAAAAGTTTTATTCGTGTGCAGTTACGGAGGCGAAAGTGTCGAAAACATCGAGACAAAACCTATTTCAATTAGATTTAAGCTCAAGCGATGTAATGTTAAAATAAAAGTGAACACCTTGTTTTTATAAAATGTTGCATATAAACCAAAAATGTATTTTTATCTGTTTATAATATTAATTTAAAAAATTGAACTGCTGGTAGATGATGTTCATGGTAGCGCTACAGTATCAACACTAAACGAATCAACAAGCAGCGGGCAACAAGATTGGTCTGCAGTTTGGGAGTGCTTTGAAAGTCCACATAGATTATTGTCCATACCCGCAGGTGGACTGTCCAAAAGTATGCAAGTAAGAACTTTGAATTAAAAAGAAGTGCGTGTGTACAAAGTACACATGTCAGAAGTGAAACTTATTTGTCTTATTTTTACTAAGGTAAAAGCCCCAATAGATGATCATGTACCAGTATATGATCACTCCATGTATTTGTATATGTATATTCACACTGTTTATACACTTTATATGTGCTAATGATAATGATAATATAAATAAATAAAAAATCTGCATTTACTGCACAAGACGTTATGCGACAGAATTGCCATCTAAAGTTCTAATATGTAACTACTAAACGAATACATCAACCAATAGCGTGTATTTTTTCTCGATCTCTCTTACTCTCTCAATCTTTCTCACTATAGCTCTCTCCCACCTCTAGCTCCATGGTACTGGGCATGATGCCACGTTCGCTCTAACTCACTCTCTCTCTCAAGATCTATCTCACTTGCTTGCTCCTTACTCTCGCTCCATGGCTATTTACTTCATGCTACGTTCGCCGTTTCTCGCTATCTCTTAATCGGTCTCAATCGCTCTCTCCCTTTTCTTCTTCTTCGTGACGCTAATATTATTTTTATCCGTAAAAATTTTACCCTCATGCGTTTCAACCCTCATAAAGAAGTTTCACTTCAAAAAAGATTTTGTCTGAAACTGCAATAGATGACTGTTATGTATAATGTATAACAAAATAGAAGTGTAGCTACACTAGTGTAGCTTAATGATAAATATTTTTGGCATTCAAAATAATTCCTATCAACCTTATTATGTACAGTAATTTTATTATGCACATTTATATTAACTTATAAATCTTATTAAAGCGCTATTCAATTGAAAATTTATTAAAATAAGTCTATATAGTTATAAATAAGTATTACTTTTGTTCATTTTATTTTGAAATTCGTAGGAAATGGTGAAAAATGCTGTAAGTGAAATGCGTCGTTACTACAGTAGAAAAGTTATTGATGTCCTGATTAAAGTAACGAGAAGAGCCCTAGACCTCATCATTAAACAGATTTCGCAAGACTTCGAAACCACTGGTAACTGTTTTAGTACATCCAAATATTACACTCAAATAAATAATAATAATCTCATGAAATAATAACTCATATATCTCCGTGTTATGATATATTTATTTACCTACTTATAAAATTAAAATTTACTGACTTGGCAAGCCGAACGTCCACCGCCAGCTAAATTAAGTTAGTTTAGCTTAGCTCGCATAGTTGAGCCAGTTTTTCATACATGTGCGTCCACCGCAAACTATGCCAGCTAAGCTATGTGAAATGCCCCAGCTAAGTGGAACTGACTTAGTTGTGCGCCCGATCCGTAACTAACTGAGCTAAACTAAGCGCCTCTCACCCCCTTGCCTTACCACTCTGACGCCTATCGATAGTGTTGTGCGAGTAGTCAGTAACTCATCAAACTATTGTAGATACACGATAGTACATCTTAAAATTTTCGTCGTCTAGTTCATTAAACAAAGTGTTAAATTCGCTACTTGTTTTCCAGGACTGAATGTGTTGACTTATCCAGTATCTATGTTTCCGTTTTTTCTTCATAAAATAAGCAATAATCAATGTTCTTCTCCTATGACGATAGACCTCCTCTTTCTTACCTCTAAAGTCTCGTCATTGCTTGTCTTCTAACTCGACGTTCTAGCACAATCTGGCCGTCACTAACTTAGCTTTAGCTTATTTATTAGTGGACTAGTTCTAGTTCTAGTTTAGCTTAGCTTAGTTCACTGAGTTTAGTTTTCATTTAGTTTAGCCGGCGGTGGACGTTCGGCTTTACGCTAGGCTGTACCGCACGCCACTGCGCTTGCGTATTGGCATTCCTCACAACCTCTTTAAATTTATACGTTCCTAGTTATTGCGAATGAAAATATCTCAGCCCCAGTTTCGTATTTTACCCGCTACAACTTTTTAAGCCACGCTGAGCCACAAACCACTGCGCTTGCGTATTATCGATCGTTCTTTACGACCTGTTTCAATTTATATGTTCCTGGTTTTCGTGAATGGAAGTTCGCAGACTAAGGCTCGTATTCCTTCCCCCTACAAACTTTTACGCCACACTGAACCGCACGCCACTGCGCTTGCGTATTGGCATTCCTCACAACCTCTTTAAATTTATACGTTCCTAGTTATTGCGAATGAAAATATCTCAGCCCCAGTTTCGTATTTTACCCGCTACAACTTTTTAAGCCACGCTGAGCCACAAACCACTGCGCTTGCGTACTATCGATCGTTCTTTACGACCTCTTTCAATTTATATGTTCCTGGTTTTCGTGATGGATATTCTCAGGCTAAGGCTCGTATAACGCTACGCGTAGCCGCGCTACTGCGCTTGCGTATTGGTATACCTCACAACGTCTTTAAATTTATACGTTCCTAGTTTTCGTAAATGGAAGTTCGCAGACTAAGACTCGTATTCCATCCCCCTACAAACTTTTACGCCACACAACCGCATGCTACTGCGCTTGCGTATTATCATTCCTCATGACCTCTTTCAATTTATATGTTCCTGGTTTTAGTGAATAGAAATTCTTAGGCTAAGGCTCGTATTCCACCCCTACAAACTAAGCCGAACGTCCACCGCCGGCTAAATTAAGTTAGTTTAGCTTAGCTCGCATAGTTGAGCCAGTTTTTCATACATGTGCGTCCACCGCAAACTATGCCAGCTAAGCTATGTGAAATGCCCCAGCTAAGTGGAACTGACTTAGTTGTGCGCCCGATCCGTAACTAACTGAGCTAAACTAAGCGCCTCTCACCCCCTTGCCTTACCACTCTGACGCCTATCGATAGTGTTGTGACAGTAGTCAGTAACTCATCAAACTATTGTAGATACACGATAGTACATCTTAAAATTTTCGTCGTCTAGTTCATTAAACAAAGTGTTAAATTCGCTACTTGTTTTCCAGGACTGAATGTGTTGACTTATCCAGTATCTATGTTTCCGTTTTTTCTTCATAAAATAAGCAATAATCAATGTTCTTCTCCTATGACGATAGACCTCCTCTTTCTTACCTCTAAAGTCTCGTCATTGCTTGTCTTCTAACTCGACGTTCTAGCACAATCTGGCCGTCACTAACTTAGTTTTAGCTTATTTATTAGTGGACTAGTTCTAGTTCTAGTTTAGCTTAGCTTAGTTCACGGAGTTTAGTTTTCATTTAGTTTAGCCGGCGGTGGACGTTCGGCTTTACGCTAGGCTGTACCGCACGCCACTGCGCTTGCGTATTGGCATTCCTCACAACCTCTTTAAATATATACGTTCCTAGTTATTGCGAATGAAAATATCTCAGCCCCAGTTTCGTATTTTACCCGCTACAACTTTTTAAGCCACGCTGAGCCACAAACCACTGCGCTTGCGTATTATCGATCGTTCTTTACGACCTCTTTCAATTTATATGTTCCTGGTTTTCGTGAATGGAAGTTCGCAGACTAAGGCTCGTATTCCTTCCCCCTACAAACTTTTACGCCACACAACCGCACGCCACTGCGCTTGCGTATTGGGATTCCTCTCAACCTCTTTAAATTTATACGTTCCTAGTTATTGCGAATGAAAATATCTCAGCCCCAGTTTCGTACTTTACCCGCTACAACTTTTTAAGCCACGCTGAGCCACAAACCACTGCGCTTGCGTATTGGCATTCCTCACAACCTCTTTAAATTTATACGTTCCTAGTTATTGCGAATGAAAATATCTCAGCCCCAGTTTCGTATTTTACCCGCTACAACTTTTTAAGCCACGCTGAGCCACAAACCACTGCGCTTGCGTATTATCGATCGTTCTTTACGACCTCTTTCAATTTATATGTTCCTAGTTTTCGTGATGGAAATTCTCAGGCTAAGGCTCGTATTCCATCACCTGTAACGCTACGCATAGCCGCGCTACTGCGCTTGCGTATTGGTATACCTCACAACCTCTTTAAATTTATACGTTCCTAGTTTTCGAAAATGGAAGTTCGCAGACTAAGGCTCGTATTCCACCCCTACAAACTTTACGCTACGCTGTACCGCACGCCACTGCGCTTGCGTATTGGCATTCCTCACAACCTCTTTAAATTTATACGTTCCTAGTTATTGCGAATGAAAATATCTCAGCCCCAGTTTCGTATTTTACCCGCTACAACTTTTTAAGCCACGCTGAGCCACAAACCACTGCGCTTGCGTATTATCGATCGTTCTTTACGACCTCTTTCAATTTATATCTTCCTGGTTTTCGTGAATGGAAATTCTCAGGCTAAGGCTCGTATTTCATCACCTACAACTAACTGTACGCTACGCATAGGCGCGCTACTGCGCTTGCGTATTGGTATTCCTCACAACTTCTTTAAATTTATATGTTCCTAGTTATTTGCGAATGGAAATATCTCAGCCCCAGTCTATTTTACCCGCTACAACTTTTTAAGCCACGCGGAGCCACACAAACCACTGACTGCGCTTGCGTATTATCTATCGTTCTTTACGACCTCTTTCAATTTTATACGTTCCTGGTTTTCATGATGGAAATTCTCAAACGTGTTGCTCGTATTCCACCCCTTTACGCTACGCTGTACCGCACACCACTGCGCTTGCGTATTCTAACCTCTCTTACCAACTTTTAAGCCATGCTGAGCCACAACCTACTTACTCCGCTTGCGTAATGGCATTCCTCACAGCCTCTTTCAATCTATACTGTTAGGCTTTTGTGAATGTAAACTCTGTATTGTATTTTTACAAGGCCACGGCAAGCTTCACTCACAAACACAGCCCCACTTACTACTTCTTATACGTGGGTAACACTGAAAATGTTTAGAATTGGCCAGTTACATTGCTTATGAAAACTATTGGAACTAGAACTCTTTGGTAACCTAATGTCGTATAATATTGCATTCATTTGTCATTTGTTTTTTCATTTGAATTGGCGGCAAATCTAAAACTCTTGATACACCTTAAAATTAACCTAAGGCGAGAAAATTTTCGGTCAATCATTTATTTTGACTTTCGTTGAAGACTTACTCCAAAACCAAGCTATGATAATAGGCTGCGATTAGCATTTCTAAATGAAGCCCCATCTCGTGCCACTATTTAAAATTAGTTTAACGAGTTTAAGCGTGAACGTAGCAATCTCAATGACGATCCGCGTGAGGACGTCCTTTAACAGCGACTACTGAAGATAACATCAGTGCTGTGCGACGCATGATAGAGGAAGATAAAAGAGTGACCTATAAGCAGTTCAAAAAATATTACACGAATCGTTAGGCGTCAGGAAGCTTTGTACCAGATGGTTTCCCCATACTTTAAACGACGACCAGTAACACCTTCGCATGGACTGGTGTCGCCAAATGTTAGATACGTTCAACGGCGGTGACTCAAATGATGTATTTGACATCGTCACAGGTGATGAAAGCTAATATAATTGCTACGCACCCAATACTAAAGAAAAATTCGAGGTATTCGCTTTACGAGCCGTGAAGATGCGGTGAAAGCGTACGAAAATGCCATAAAAGAGACCCCTAAGAAAGAATGGGCCCCATTGCTTTTCCCAGTGGTTCCATCGAATGCGACGATGTGTAGAGAGAAAGGAGATTACTTCAAAAAACAATAAAAGTATTGGCGACTTTCTACATTAAGCCGTTTTTCATTTTCTATACATTTTCAGTGTTACCTAGACCTACTAGGTACTTCTGCGCCTGCGTAATCCAAAATTCACCTCATAATACCTTTCATATTATACGTTCCTGGTACCGGTGCGGATACAAATTCTCAGCCGCAAACTTGTTTTTAGCCCGCGGCGGCTACTGTCTCCACTATATTTGATAAATAAAACCCACCCTCTTTGCAATTGGAGAAAATCAAAAAATATTATTGATAAAAACATGTTTCAATAGCCGAATGCCCTCATTAGAAGTTTTCGCTAGACTTTACTGGTGGTCAGTATTTTATTTTTTTATTTTTCCAATTATAATTGAAAGTTTATTAAAATACACTAATTAATGGCATTTATTATCTATAATTATATCATTTATATTATAACATAAATAAATGCCACTCATACTCAAACATTACGAGTACTAACTAAGGTATAAAATGTTATACAAAATATATGTAGTAAAATTAGGAATACTGTAAGGATAAAAAATAACTTAATGATGAATTTAAAAAAAATGTGTGCATGTAACCTTTGGCGTCGACGGCATCTATCACTGAATGATTAAATATTAACTTAAATAACAAATATCATATTATAATTATATTTATTATTCATGTGCTTTACAAAGATTATTCCAATACGCCTTCGTATTCAAATACGAAGGTTAGATCAGCACATGTCAATATAACCTTTTTATTGAATGTTATAGAATGTCGCAATCGTCAGAAAATTTATTATTAATTTACTAATTTTAAGAGTAATAAATCAATAAGTATATTTATTTTCAAAAAACTTTTCAATTTAAAATAATTTTTTTAAGACTGTTGAATATTTTTTATTCACTTTGCTCTTCTACAACTTTGTTATTTTTATATAAAATAGACCAGATTTTTAGGATAATTAATTTGGTATTAATTTACTTCTTCCAAAATGGTAAAATACGAAATTAAGCGAAAAAACTGGCCTACTACTATGTAAAACAAAAGAAAAGCAAGCTAGGATGAGAACCTTCCCACTTTAGTGGAATTTTAATTTGGTCACATGTTACTGGTATGGATTTTCATTTTAAATATAAATATGTATACTAATAATAACATAATTACAAGAATCAGTAGCAAATAAAACGAATGAATGCTATCCTAAATAAACACTATCAAGAAACTGACTTAAAAAAATGGCGCTGACGGACTTATAAAACGCGCTATCGTTGTTATTTTTAAATAGCGGAAACTACACACTTCGAAAACAGGTGTCGTGCGGAAATTAGCATCATGCTACGAATGTAACGAAATTATAAATAAAAACAAAATGCTACGTGCTATTAAATGCTACAAACTTTTACCGCGTTGATTGATATCCAAGCCACCATCCCCCAGCTGCTTACTGCGCCTGCGTAATGGCACTCGTTAATACCTCTTTTACTTCATGTGTTCTTAGTACTCGTGCGGATAGAAATTCTCAGCTCCCACATCCGCAATTCACCCGCAACGGATTCATTTATCGCACAGAGAAAAGTTATAAAGTTTTGATAGATGATAAATTAAATAGAATATTGGAAAAATATTCTTAAAAAATAACAATATTTTTGGACTACGACACAAATAAATTGAAGTTTTAAATTTATTGTATTCGTAACAAAAAATGGTTATCGAAATATTTTTTACTTTGAATTAGAATTGTTAATAAATAATAAAAATATATTATTATTATATTTCATTCCTTGGTAAACAACTAATAAAAAATGCTTTAATTAGCGGAAGTTAAAATTATTGTTCATTTGTTTTAAATTAGTATAGTATAAAGTTTTCTAATTCATAACCATAATTAAATGTTAATTTTTATTTACTACACATATCCCTCAATTTTACTTATACATTCTGAGAAACTTTAGAATTTCAAATAAATATACCTAATTAATTTTAACAACAGATGGTGGTGTTAATAATATATCAACAATTATATTATTTACTTCAGCTCAATTTATAAACAGGATAATTAATATATTTGTTATATAATAAATAAACTTATCATTATTTCGAACATGTAAAGTTTGAAAGTTTATTTTCGAACTTCTAACTTAGTTTGTGGCTGGAAAGGTTTGAACTACGCATGTCTGAACCATGAACATGCGCAATATAGCCTTTCATCTCCTCCGTATATCTGAAACTCTGGTACAGTGTAGGCACAACATCGTGGTAGGCCTTTTTCGTATTTTTTTTTTTCTAGTTTAAGCCCCAGTTTTGAATGTGTGAGTGCACGAGCCACGCTCGGAGACGCGAAGTACGTGTACAAAACAGCTGCTAAACCGGAACCGCGTTGCGAGACCGAACGCTACAGTTTATTACGATCATTTTAAATTATTTACTTTAAATAATAAATTTAACTCGTGATTGAAATTCACAAGTATAGTTCCTTTGAGTTGTACGAAATGAGAAAATATAATTTGCCAAAAAGAATTCAACTTCTACAGAGAAATTGTATTATTTTTCAAACTTTTACCGCGTTGATTGATGATAGAGCCACCATCCCCCAGCTACTTACTGCGCCTGCGTAATGGCACTCGTTAATACCTCTTTTACTTCATACGTTCTTAGTACTCATGCGGATAGAAATTCTCAGCTCCCAAATCCGCAATTCACCCGCAACGGCTTCATTCATCGCACAGAGAGAAGTTATACAGTTTTGATAGATGATAAATTAAATTGAATATTGGAAAAATATTCTTAAAAAATAACAATAATTTTGAACTACGACACAAATAAATCGACGTTTTAAATTTATTGTATTCTTGACAAAAAAATGGTTATCGAAATATTTTTTACTTTTAATTAGAATTTAGATTTAGGGAGTTAATAAATAATAAAAATATGTTATTATATTTCATTCCTTGGTAAATAAATACAACTAATAAAAAATGCTTTAATTAGCGGACGTTAAAATTATTGTTCATTTGTTTTAAACTAGTGTAGCGAAAGTTTTCTAATCCATAACCATAATTAAATGTTTAATTTTTATTTACTACATAAATCCCTCAATTTTACTTATACATTCAGAGAAACTAGAATTTCAAATAAATATACCTAATTAATTTTAACAGCAGATGTTGGTTTTAAGAATATATCAATTAATTATTTATTTCGAACATGTGTCTTTTTTAAAGGTTAAAAGTTTAATTTCGAACTTCTAAAAGTTGTTGAGATTGGTTGTTTGTGGCTTGAAAGGTTTGAACTACGCATGTCTGAGACATGAACATGCGCAATATAGCCTTTCATAGTTTCATCTCCTCGGTATATCTGGAACTCTGGTACAGTAGGCACAACATCGTGGTAGGCCTTTTTCGTAATTTTTTTTCTAGTTTAAGGCCCCCAGTTTATTAAATTTTATTACATAATAATACCGATTATAATTAATCTTGTTTATTAGGATACGCCAAGAAACCAATTTTCTTGCTTCACGCTGCTCTATTAATACCGAATGTTTTGGTCAAACCGACACTAGAAGAAATCCAAGAGGTCTTAGTGTTGGCCGGAAAACACATATCTGGACTATCAAAGGGGGTCGCACAGTGGACCGGTGGCAAATCAACAAGGGTAGGATATATGCATTTCGTTAAACGTACTAATATTGTTCATCATTTATAAGCTTGGTAAATTCAGAAGGATACTGTGAAATAAGTTTTTTCAGTTCAGTTATGTCTGCCACGTCGTAAAGATGTTTTTGTGATATAAATTTGTTTACATTTATATTATACTCAAGTTAAATACGTTTACATTTGTAACATGAATATATTTAATATTCTCCTTTTAGCCCTCAGCTCATCGTACAGATTCAACTCAGGTCTGTCTAAAAACTATTTGTAGCCCTAATATTTGTCATAACTTGATGTGGTTTCTACATTCGTTTGTTCTTTTTCCAATTTGTGGTGTTGAATGTTGTGTCTTGTCTATTATTTGCACTTATTATGTGACCTGACGGTGAAATCGTCTGCAATTCAACCTATGCTTGAACGCTTTATTTCTTTGTTTGCTTACACTCGGTGTGCTATATCAATTCCTTTGTAAATACACAACCATTGTCTGTTGAATTATTTGCTGCACTTCCTTCCGTGTGCACGCTTGTACATTCAGGTTAGTTGGAAGAAACTGACAGGTCACCAGTCCAACCAGCTACTCCAAGTAGTCACAAAGCTTGACGAACAGGTTCAAACAGTGGCGCCAATGAATGTCGCCAAATCTATGAAAATGATAGATGCAGCCAAAATGAGGAAGAAGAAATATTACCGCTTGGAGTCGGAAGAGAAGCCAATGTTTCCATTTCAACAGAAAAGCTTCTATAGCCATGTTATGGAGAACAAAGAAATTATAAAGACGTTGGCTTTGCTGTCTCTGTGTACACAAAATATTAAAACGGTACGTTGAAGTCGGAAGTAATATAATATAAGTTAGTAAGTTGCAGAACAATTAACTATTTCTATTTTCTATTTACAGTCTTCTTAAATATATATTTCAGGAGCTAAATACTTTAGTGAAACGTTGGCGACCGTATCATTACTTATGGAAATGTGAGAAAACCTTACGTCAGCTTTTGTCCTGGAATTTAAATGATTTTGAACTTGCTCTAAAAAGACACAGTGAACTCGAAATAAAATTGGCTACGGAGCCGGAAATTCTAGTTATCGGAAATTGTCTAGCAGTGTCTACAGAAAAACTAAAACTGGGACTAATGACTGAACTAAAAAGTACGTATTTATGTTTAAGCAAAGTTTGGAAAATTAGAAGGTTAAGCATTGATTACTTTATTTAAAAAAAATCAGTGGCGCTACAACCTTTTAGGCCTGGGCCTCATTTCTGTTTCTGTTTCATGATAAATTTCTTGTTAATCTAATAGGCAAGTAGGTGGTCAGCCTCCGGTGCCTGATACACGCCGTCGACTTTTTGGGTCAAAGGCAAGCCGGTTTCCTCACGATTTTTTCCTCCACCGTTCGAGCGAATGTTAAATGCGCACATAGAATTAAAGTCCGTTGGTGCACAGGCGGAGATCGAACCTACGACCTCAGGGATGAGAGTCGCACGCTTAAGGCACTAGGGCGACACTGCTCTGATTAGTTTATTAAAGGATCTAAAATTTCTGTTGTTGTTGGTGATTAGTTCTGAATTTGCAGCAGGTTTGACAATCACGTGCCAAATTTGGCCTAACATAAGTACTTAATTTTTAGCCGTCCGTAATTGAAATCCCTAATTTTCTAGATGGTACCCACCGAATAAGTCAAGCAATGCGTAAAAAGTACAAACGTGAAATGGATTATGTCTATGCTATAATGAATGATTTAGAACGTAAGTTAGAAAGGCCTATACGAGATCTGGATGACGTCAGAACTGTAATGGAAACGCTAAAGAAGATAAGAGAACAAGAGGTTGATATGGAGCTAAAGATCGATCCTGTAGAGGTAATCACATCAAAGAAGCGAATATTTCAAGATATTAATTTATCTATAAAAGTTCTAATTAGGCGTTGGAGTGCATTTTCTACTCTAATATATTCACATATAAACCTAATGAAAATTTTAAAAGTATTACCACTGCGATACTTAGAAACTTTTTGGTCTTCTAATATCTAGTGTACTTAAATTATAACTTAGTACGATGGAGTTGAGTATTAATAACACTTACTTTTGTTTAACTTCAATTTCGATTTTGGGCATTACAATTTTGATTTTGGCTATAAAAAAAATATCACATAACTAAATATAAATTTGGTTTGTTACAAAAAATCGTTGTTTCAGTGAGTTTTGTTTGTTTTACTAGGAAGCATTCAACGTGATTACCCGCTACGAATTGCCAGTAAGTAAAGAAGATATGGAGCAAGTGGATAATTTAAGATACTCGTGGCAACAACTTCAAGCGACAGCGCTGGCGTCACACGTTCAGCTTTTAAAAATGCAGCCACAATTCGAAGAGGACTTAAAAAATAACTTGGAAAGGTTTAGAGACGACAATTCAGATTATTGTCACGAGTACAGACATGCAGGTCCTATGCAGTCAGGTCTTACTCCGCGAGAAGCATCCGATCGTCTGATATTATTTCAGGTATAAATAAAACGATCATAATATTATACAGTAATTAAAACGTAATTTTCTTGAATATTGTTTGAAATGCATGGGTTTTGACGCGTTTATGCTGTCTTTGTTATTAAATATTTAGCAAGGATTCGTCTTCCAGTTTATACGCCATCTTTGTTTACCGCTAACTCGTTTACGGGTTTCAGTTTTAAAACTTTGAACAGTACGCAGAGGCAATAGTTGCATATTGTTTAAGGTATAAATTAAACAAATTAACATTTTTAATCTATACAGGCTTCAATTACTATCATCCGGCTATTTCTGATCGAACTATTAATTTGCCAAGTAAGATGAGAGTGGGGAGGGCAAAACATTTAACAGCTATTTAACGCTTATAAGTAGGGCGTACGATCGTTCAATTCAACAGATTACATTTTTAAACATATAGACGCGTTTAAGATTTGCATTTAACATAAAGAATAACTTTTATTAAAATACACAAATTTTGATCGTCCTCTGATATTATAAGATCGTTTTATTGTTACAGAATAGATTCGATGGAATGTGGCGAAAATTACAAACATATCAAAATGGTGAAGAATTATTTGGACTTCCTCATACAGAGTATCCTGAACTTGCTCAAATAAGAAAAGAACTTAATCTCCTCCAAAAATTGTATAAACTCTACAATGATGTGATTGACAGGGTTAGTAGTTACTACGATATACCATGGGGAGAAGTGAATATAGAAGAAATCAATAACGAACTTATGGAGTTCCAAAATCGATGCCGAAAGCTACCAAAAGGGTAATATCATTAAAACTACGTAATTTATGTGTTCTAGAATTTCTGTTGCACGGTTTTATGTGATGGTGAAATGTTCTTTAATTTTACATGCGTTAACATTTTACTGACAAAAACAAAAATTACAATATAAAATGCGTGGAATAAGTTAAATTTAGAAATTATCCATACCTTTTTGGATTATTGATATTTTCTTTTTTATAGTCTCAAAGAATGGCCTGCTTTCTACGCGCTGAAGAAGACTATAGACGACTTCAATGATATGTGTCCACTTCTTGAGTTAATGGCCAATAAAGCTATGAAGCCTCGTCACTGGCAACGCATAATGGAAGTAACTAAATACAATTTTGAACTTGATAACGAAGACTTTTGCTTAAAGAATATATTGGAGGCTCCCTTATTGCCCAACAAAGAAGATATTGAGGTAAACTATTATTAATAATCACCTACACACTTTCTATGATAAAGCGTTAGGCCTAAAAACGGCCAACATATTTATTATAACCCATATTTCCGGGTTTGATTATAGCGCTAACAATCTATAATTTCCAAAAACAAAATAAACTTAATCTAGACCTTATTGTTTCCTTTAAACGAAGTCTCTCATACTTTCAGGATATTTGTATATCAGCAATGAAAGAAAAGGATATCGAGGCAAAACTAAGACAGGTGACTAATGAGTGGTCGGTCCACGAGTTGACTTTCCAAACTTTCAATAATCGAGGAGAGCTTTTACTTAGAGGAGATACCACCGCAGAGACTATTGGTCAGCTCGAAGATAGTCTAATGATATTAGGTTCCTTATTGTCTAATCGGTAAGATGAAACAAGATATTTAACTTGAAAAATCGTTATTAATTCGTCCTTACCATATCACAATAAATGTCCTTAATGGTTTTCACCAATTATGTCAGCCCTCGGAACGTCTAGTTATTTAAATAATGTAATAATACCTTTAATATGTAATACGATTATTGTTTGTGATATTTTTAGTTACAATGCACCATTTAGAAAACAAATACAACAGTGGTTATATGATTTACAAAGTACAAATGAAATACTGGAACGGTGGCTATTAGTACAAAATATGTGGGTGTATTTGGAAGCTGTATTTGTGGGTGGTGATATAGCAAAACAATTGCCAAAGGAAGCAAAACGCTTCTCTAAAATTGATAAATCTTGGCAAAAGATTATGCAAAGGGCGCATGAGACCCCTGGCGTGGTGTCTTGCTGTGTCGGCGATGATTTACTTAGACAATTATTACCACATCTACAAGAACAGTTGGAGCTTTGTCAGAAGAGTCTAAGTGGTTATTTGGAGAAAAAACGAACAATGTTTCCAAGATTCTTCTTCGTGTCAGATCCGGCGTTACTTGAAATTCTTGGACAAGCATCAGATTCTCATACTATACAAAATCACCTATTATCTATATTTGATAATATCCGATATGTAAAATTCCACGATATAGGTATTGTATAGAATTTAATCATACTTTGAAATAGTAAAAATTTAGAAATCAAAGAGATTTGCTGTCACTACGTATATATTAACATGCATGCAACTGAGCAACTTAGCTTCGTAAATATATCGTATTTACCTTTAAAACTTACTTATTTTTGCTTAACAGAATGCTAATAAAACATACATCGTATATACTCGTATTTTTTCTTATTTTCTATAAACTGTATTATATTTTTAGAATACAACAAGATGATATCGATAGTATCATCAGAAGGAGAAGAAATCAAGCTTGAACGGCCGGTTCGTGCTGAAGGCTCTGTTGAAACGTGGCTCACGTCTTTGCTTCAATCTGCTCAAAGCAGCTTGCATTCTATCATAAGAAACGCCGTTTCACTCATAAATGATCCAGTCTTTAACCTTCTATTATTTCTGGATAAAATGCCTGCGCAGGTAAAGTATAATAATTTTTTAACATTAGTAGGAATGGTAAAACAAACGAGTACAATACTTTTACTAAAGTTATAAATTTTATTTGTTCTGATATTAATGGTTATGCGTTTAGTCTTTACCTTAAGGTCACACGTTTAGATGCAGAAAATGCGCCAGTGACTTTTTATTTTATCGAGTAATTAATGTAAGGTAGATAAAGGTAAACATCGTGAGGAGTATTTAGACTAAAAAATCGTAGATCTGTAGGCAGAAGGCTGATCACCAACTACATACATAGTTACAAATACCAAAACTAAAGAAGTATTTTTTTAAACACAGATGGTATGTATATGCGCGATATTTATTTCGGATCGTCTGAAAAATTTATAAAACATTCTAAAACATTGACACACATGATTTTATACTTTTACGCTGTTGCCTGAAGACATCAGTTTCATTCTCGTCTTTTACCAGTTTTTGTATTACAGCCTGACTGTATTTGGTAGTAGCAAAAGTATTGTTTTTACTGTTGATGAACACTTCATTTATAACAAATACAAAGAAACATAAAAATGATTACACAAGCTAGATGAAAGTGAAGAAAGCGGTTTCTTCCAAGCAAACCTGACTTAGGATATAATAATAACGATTATTCTTCATCATGTTGCAGGTTGGCCTTCTTGGTATTCAAATAATTTGGACAAGAGACGCAGAATTGGCCTTAATGCAGGCCCGACAAGATAAAAAAATTATGTTGGAGACAAATAACAAATTTCTCGAGTTACTCAACACACTTATTGATCAAACTACTCGGGATCTTTCTAAAATTGAACGTATTAAATTCGAGACACTCATTACCATTCATGTGCATCAAAGAGATATTTTCGATATGCTGGTAAGCTACTGTTACAACTATCTTAAAGTCACTTTATGGATATAGTTACTAGAGATATATTAAAAAGGAAAATAATAAACGGCTTAAATATAAGCTTTCGTCCATCATTTTGTTCCCGTTGGAGTAGAGACTCTTGGGCCGTGGGGTTTAAATGCACAGATGCTAATTAAAGATTTAAGTTAGCCCCTATTAGATAGTACCCATGATCCTAGAGCTGCTGCTTTCTTCGCTCAACGAATAAGTAGCGCAATACAGTGAGGATAATACAATGCTGCCAGCGTTAAACGTACACTACCACAGGGACCAAACTTTTTAAATTTATAATTGTTATTAATAGTATTGTAAATATTGATATTTGTGTACCAAAATCTACAAACATTCGTGTTCCTATTAGATTGCTTACTTACCAATGCTTAAAAGAGAGAAAAGAGTTACCTAGGAACCAATTTAGTATAGTTATCAAATTAAAATTGGTGTATTTAAATAAATCTTAACGGATGTAACGCAAATATATTGTTATTATTTCAGTGTAGACTCAACGTTCGTTCAGCAAATGATTTTGAATGGTTGAAACAGTGTCGGTTTTACTTCAAAGAGGACGTCGACAAAACTTGGATATCTGTGACCGACGTTACATTCACTTACCAGAATGAATACTTGGGTTGTACTGAACGTCTTGTTATAACGCCTTTAACAGACAGGTAATGTTTATTGCTTTATTTATAAAATTTTACACTTTGCGGTATTTTAGATACACATTTCATGAGCACTTTTACTATGCGAGTTGTTTGTTATAAGAATTTACTATTAAAATTACTTAATTAAATTCCTACCGTGAGGTTACCTGATAGATGTCGTATTATACACTAAGACCGACCGTATGTAATGCAAGGATTAAATTTTTTGTGTGTTCTAGTTTTTAAGCACTGTTGTACAATTAAGAATTTATCTATTTATCTAAATGTATGCACAAAGGACCTAGTGAGAGTCTAAGTGCGGAAACTTAATCCACCAACTATCTATCTAGCATTATTTCTTAGCGAGGCATGAGGTTTCTGTTAAGTTAGTAGAGCACTTACCAGGAGAGCACAACTTGGAGTGATATTAACAGACTCAACAGGAACCCTAGAACTATTATGTGTGCTACTTGAATTCCAATTTGTTGTGCTCTGAGGATAAGTGCTCCGCTAACTTCACAGACACTGGCACGTTCGGTTTAATATAAAAACATTAATTGTACCTTCAATTAACAAGAAATATAAAAGTAAAAAAAAAGTTGTCTTAACTTTTGTCTTTTAAGTTATTAATTATTATTATTCTATTCTATACATTAAATGTTGAACGAATTAATTACAGATGCTATATAACACTAGCTCAGGCTTTAGCCATGAGCATGGGTGGGGCTCCATGTGGCCCAGCGGGAACAGGCAAAACAGAAACAGTGAAGGATATGGGGAAAACACTCGCTAAATACGTCGTAGTTTTTAACTGCTCCGACCAAATGGATTACCGGTAAATAGTACTTTTATTACGATTTTCACACGATACAATCCCGTGACCATCATTGACACTTCTATTGATAGACATTTTCACTTTTACCAACACGGTACCGGTCTTTCTGCCGCAACCAACTGCTCATTAAAGTATTTCCAAATCAATACGTCAAGTCCTTGATAAAATAACATAAAATTGTTTGAAAGCACTCGCCAATCTTCGGGCTTTGTGATTGTCCACTTACGACAGTATTAGTTCATAGCCGTTTGTTTTGTATAATTTTTTTACAGAATAGTATATTTTTAAAAATATCTAACAATATCTAATCTTAAAATAGGCTCTAATTAATATATTTAGAAGGTACTGCGTTTTATTTTTAACACATCATTTGTATATTCAGGGGTCTTGGTCGAATATACAAAGGCCTCGCTCAATCTGGATCTTGGGGCTGTTTCGATGAATTTAATCGAATAGAACTACCAGTACTTTCCGTGGCTGCACAGCAAGTAGCCGTAGTTCTTGCTGCTAAAAAGGAAAAGAAGAAAACGTTCCTATTTACAGACGGTGATATGTCAGAGATGTGCCCTGAATTTGGCATCTTCATTACAATGGTATATAACACTTATCTCCATCTCATATCATACACATGTATTGAACCAGCCTCAACCGTGTGCAAGTGTCCTTCTATAGAAATAGTTGATAAGCAATAATATCTGGGTTTAATTATCGACAAAAATATGCACCTATGGAATCAACACATAGAATACGTCTGCGATAAGCTACGACAGTTTTTGTCACAAATAACAATACTCAAAAAGCATATCCCATTTAAAACCAAACTTTCCTTTATAACGCGCTTTGCGAGTCAGTCATTAATCACGGTCAAACTAGCTACGGTAGAACTACCCAGTCAGTTATAAGATAGCCTAACGTTAACCAACAAACACACAAACCACAGTGGTTTTCTAATAACAAAAAATATAATCTATAATTATTTTAGATTTGTTTACCTTACGAATGGTGTAATGGTTACTGCCTAATACAATTAGCATCTTAAGAAACTGTTACTATTTGTATTTTTTTATTGTCGTTATTAAGTGAACATTAATAATGTTGCCTGAATGAGTAAATTATGTTTTAATTTTATTTGTAACTTAAGTTCATTTGTTTACCATGAAGTCGAATGCGGAAGCTCCAATTGTCAACAAGATGAGCTGGATAAACAATGGAGGCATAGAGACGGTTTATAACAATACTATTATAGTTTGCAGTTTATTTTTTGTTTTTTGTTTCACTAGAATCCTGGATATGCGGGTAGAAAGGAATTGCCAGAAAATTTAAAAATACAGTTTCGAACCGTAGCTATGATGGTTCCCGATAGACAGATTATTATTCGTGTTAAACTCGCTTCGTGTGGTTTCTTAGAAAATATAACGCTGGCAAGAAAATTCTATACTCTTTACAAGTTATGCGAAGAACAACTGACAAAGCAGGTAACAATTTGTATTTATATTCATATAATCAATAGAATGATTCATGTGAGGCTTTAGATTCACAGTCTTGGCTTTGACAGAGCAGTTGGCCTAGTGGTTTCAACGTGTGACTCTCATCCCTGAGGTCGTAGGTTTGATCCCCGGCTGTGCACCAATGGACTTCCAGTCTATGTGCACATTAAACTTAGACCCAAAAAGTCGACTGCGTGTACGACAGGGACAGAAGGCTGATCTCTACTTTCCTATTAGAAAAAACAAATGATCACGAAACAGATACAGAAATCTGAAGCCCAGGTCTAAAAGAGAATATCACTGGTGTTTTTTTTTAATGTGGAAGAATACACTCGAGACAGAGCAGCCGCTGAGCCCTACGTTTTAGCTGAGATATACTACACATGCATTGTTTTAAATTAATAATGGTTAATTATAAAAACAATTGGCAGGTACACTATGACTTTGGTCTACGTAATATTCTGTCCGTATTGAGGACATTAGGAGCTGTTAAGAGGGTAAACGCAAAGGATAATGAAAGTACCATTGTTATGAGAGTACTTCGAGATATGAATTTATCAAAACTCATAGATGAAGATGAACCTCTTTTTATATCCCTCGTTGCGGATTTGTTCCCAAATCAAGTAATTGAGAAAACAACATATCCTGATCTCGAGGAAGCTATAAGAAAACTAGTTGATGCTTATGGTTTAGTTTACCATCCACCATGGGTGTTGAAAATTGTTCAGGTATATAAAATAATTATTATCATCATGATATGTGCGTCTGATTTTATTGTATATGACCTTTTTCTTTGGCGTATAGCTATATGAAACGCAGCGAGTCCGCCATGGTATAATGGTATTGGGCCCACCAGGAGCTGGGAAAACTACATGCATACATACAGTGATGAGTGCCCTATCGGAAACTGAAGACCCTCATAGGTACACTCATGTATTTATTACTCATTGCTCAGTTATTTAGTTCTAAACTATAACGCTCGAGTGCTATATTTTAATTCCATTAGAGCCGTATGTTTTTAAATAGTAGACACTTTAGATAATCATTATTATCTAGAGTCCTGAATGCAATAGTGTTTTGAATTTGCGTTACGTTTTTAAATTACGTTTCCTATAAATATATAACAGTACATAAGTTACAAATGCTATGCTGCCAAAAAAAATATTTATTATATTACATGAACGCTAAACTCCAATTGTTGACAGAGTCCTATATTATAGATATTAGATTTATATGTTTAAGAGATAATTGATAATGATCAATAATGTTTTATTAACAGGGAAATGAGGATGAATCCAAAAGCAATCACTGCATCACAAATGTTTGGACGCTTGGACGTCGCAACCAATGACTGGACCGACGGGATTTTCTCAGCTTTGTGGCGCAAAACATTAAAAATTAAAACTGGTGAACATATTTGGCTTGTTTTAGATGGGCCAGTTGACAGTATATGGATAGAAAACTTAAATTCGGTTCTTGATGATAATAAAACTTTAACTCTTGCAAACGGAGATCGTTTAACCATGTCTCCAACTTCAAAAATAATATTTGAACCCGAAAACATCGATAATGCATCTCCTGCAACTGTTTCTCGAAATGGTATGGTATATATGAGCTCATCTGGCTTAGATTGGGAACCAGGTATTATGTTATTCATAAATTGGGTATCTTTATTTATTTATTTTTTATTTTATATTTATTAATGTTTCATAATTTATCTTTACAGTACTAAACGCCTGGCTTAAAACAAGATCAGTCCGAGAGAATGAAGTATTTAGTACATTATTCGAACAAACTTTTCCAAATACATATACGTGGTGTACCCAAAATCTTAGCTTTAGTATGCGGGTTCTACAAAGTAATATCATATCCCAAATGCTCAACCTATTGGAAGGTCTCGTTCCTCCACAAATAGTAGAAACCGAAGAACCATCCGCTAGCAAATCAGTGAATGGTGATATGGAAGATGACGAAGAAAAAGAAAAAGGAGAAGAAGTACAGCTTTACACACCGGAACACTTACATAAAATTTATGTATTTTCCTTAGTTTGGGGGTTTGGATCGCTTCTAGAAACAGGCGACAGAATTAAATATGATAAATATATTAAAGCAACTTATAAAGAAATACTTGATATTCCGAAACACCCTCATAACAAACCGAGTATGTTATTCGACTTCTATGTTAAACAACATGGAAAGTGGGAGTTATGGGAAGATTTAATGACAAATTATCAATACCCTGATACAGCCACTCCAGATTATGCGAATATTCTTATTCCTATAGTTGATAACGTTCGGATTAATTATCTTATTCATTGCATTGCTAAACAAGGCAAAGCAGTTTTATTACTTGGCGAACAGGGATCTGCTAAAACGGTTATGATGAAAGCTTATATGAAAAACGCTAATCCAGATCAATTTATGGGACGCTCATTTAATTTCTCTTCGGCTACAAGTCCTTATCAATTTCAAAAAACAATAGAGAGTTACGTAGAAAAACGAAGTGGTATGACGTTTGGTCCACCGGGGGGCAAGAAAATGTTAGTGTTCATAGATGATATAAATCTACCTCAAATTAATGAATGGGGTGATCAGATTACGAATGAAATAGTACGCCAAACTATGAGCATGGGTGGATTTTACAGTTTAGAGAAACCAGGAGATTTCACAACTATTGTCGATATTCAGTTTTTAGGTGCCATGGGCCAACCTGGTTAGATAATTGTTATTACTTCATGTTTATTTTCATAGCTATTACGTTTACAATGTAATTGTTAATTTTAGGTGGTGGAAGAAATGACATTCCAGCAAGGTTGAAAAGGCGTTTCTCTATATTCAATTGTCCTTTGCCAAATAATGATTCGATAGACAAAATATTTAAAGTTATTGGAGAAGGACATTACAACGCTAAGCGAGGTTTTACTGCAGAAGTTCGATCGCTTATTAAAAAAATAATTCCTTTGACACGTGAACTTTGGACACGAACAAGAATAAATTTACTGCCAACACCAGCTAAATTTCATTACGTCTTTTCTTTGAGAGACTTATCACGAGTTTGGCAAGGTATGGTTGGTACTTTGCCTACTGTTATAGAGTCTGAAAAATGCTTAATGCTTCTCTGGAAACATGAATGTTCCCGAGTTTTCTCTGACAGATTTACACATCAGTCCGATAAAGATTGGTTTAATAAAGCTTTATATGATATTGCTGAAGAAATTCTGGGTAAAGAATATAAAAAAATGATGGAAAAAGACCCTGTTTTCGTAGACTTTATGAGGTAATAAAATGATACGCAAATAATACTTACTTAAATTATAATTTACAATTATTAAAAACATGTTTATTATTTTGTTATCAGAGATGCGCCGGAACCAACGGGTGAAGAAGGCGAAGATGCTGATATGGAGTTACCAAAAGTATATGAGCCTGTCTTTGACTATAGCGAACTACGAGATCGATTAGAAATGTTTTTATCACAATTTAATGAAATGGTGCGAGGATCCGGAATGGATCTAGTATTTTTCCCAGATGCTATGTTGCATTTAGTAAAAATTTCACGTGTGATCAGACACCCTCGAGGAAATGTAATGCTCGTAGGAGTTGGTGGGTCAGGAAAGCAGTCGCTAACAAAGTTATCTACTTTTATAGCCGGATACCGTTCCTTCCAGATAGCGCTCACTAGATCTTATAATGTGGGTAACTTTTTGGAAGACTTAAAACTTTTATATCGGTCATGTGGAGTACAAGGTAAAGGTACGACATTTATCTTTACTGACCTAGACATAAAAGAAGAAGGATTTTTAGAATACTTAAATAACATTTTAAGTTCTGGTGTTATATCAAATTTATTTACAAAAGATGAACAACAAGAAATCATATCTGAACTAACACCTATTATGAAAAGGGAAAACCAAAAACGTACGCTCACAAACGAACTAGTAATGGAATATTTTTTAAACAGGACCTGTCAAAATTTACATGTAGTTTTGTGCTTTTCGCCGGTAAGTATAATTCAAATGTTTTTGAACATAGAAAATGTATTTATTAGTATATAAGTACGATGATGTATCTTATCTTTCAGGTAAGTGAAGCATTTCGTTACAGAGCTATGAGATTTCCGGCTTTAATATCAGGTTGTACAATAGACTGGTTCCAGCCATGGCCGAAGGATGCCTTAGTATCTGTCGCGGATCATTTCCTAGCAGACTTTGAAATTGAATGTAGCAAAGAAGTTAAAAAAGAATTAGTAACAGTACTTGGAACAATACAAGATGTTGTTTCCACAGTTTCAACAGAATACTTTCAAAGGTTCAGGCGATCTTCACATGTAACCCCAAAGTCATATTTAAGTTTTATTGGGGGATATAAAACAATTTACCAAATGAAACAAAAAGAACTAGGAGATGGAGCTTTAAGAATGGATACAGGTTTAGAGAAATTACGAGAGGCATCAATATCTGTAGAAGTATTAAAAAAAGATTTAGCTGTAATGGAACAAGATCTAGCTTTAGCTTCTGAAAAAGCAGACCGTGTGCTATCTGAAGTAACGGAAAGAGCCATGCAGGCTGAGATAGTAAAAAACCAAGTACAAGTTGTTAAAGAAAAAGCTGAAGCTTTGGTTGCATTTATCGCAGAGGAAAAAGAAAAAGCTGAATGTAAACTTGAAGCAGCTAAACCTGCCCTGGAAGAAGCTGAGGCTGCTTTAAATACTATAAAACCAGCACACATTGCTACTGTGAGAAAATTGGGTAGACCTCCACATCTCATTATGAGAATTATGGACTGCGTTTTGATTTTATTTCAGAGGAGATTACATCCAATCATACCAGATACAGCAGCACCGTGCCCTAAACCATCTTGGGCTGAGTCTTTAAAGGTAGATATATAATTTATAATTCTAGATCAAGTTATTATACATTAAAACATTTGTTTTGTATTTAAGATGATGGCAAGCACAACATTTTTACTTCAATTACAAAACTATCCCAAAGATATAATCAACAATGAGATGGTAGAGCATCTCTTACCATACTTTGAAATGGAAGATTACAATATGGATACAGCAAAACGTGTGTGTGGTGATGTTGCTGGTTTGTTGTCGTGGACCAAGGCAATGGCATTTTTCCATAGCGTAAATAAGGAAGTTTTGCCTTTAAAAGCAAGTCTTATGTTACAAGAAGCCAGGCTTAAGGTAAGGCAAAACTTTTCATAAACTAATAGACAAGTTGGTCATAATTAGGTTTACGAGTTGTTATTTGTGTAATTTTAGGTTGCTATGGAAGATTTAGCATCTGCGGAACGACAACTTGAAGAACGTGAAATGTCCTTAAGAAAAGTAAAAGAACAATACGAGGCTGCTGTGTCAGAAAAACAACAGTTAACTGATGCTGCGAATGTTTGTCTACGTAAAATGACAGCAGCAACACAACTCATAAATGGCTTAGGTGGAGAAAAAATAAGATGGACACAACAAAGCAAGGACTTTAAAGAACAGCTGGGACGGTTAGTGGGAGATGTAGTACTAGCTACGGGTTTTCTATCCTATTGTGGTCCATACAATCAAGAATTTAGAAATAGTCTCTTTAATACTTGGATGGGAATATTGAAAAGCAAACAAATACCCGTTACGGATAACTTGAACATCACTAACATGTTGGTTGAAAGTGCCACAATATCTGAATGGACCTTACAAGGTTTACCTAATGATGAATTATCGGTACAAAATGCTCTTATAGTCACAAAATCGAGCTCTTACCCTCTTTTGGTAGACCCACAGAGCCAAGGAAAAAACTGGATAAAAAACAAAGAGAGCTCTAATGAACTACAAATAACTTCATTAAATCACAAATATTTCCGTACGCACCTTGAAGATAGTTTATCATTAGGTCGTCCACTTCTAATTGAAGACGTGGGAGTGGAATTAGACCCTGTAATAGACAATGTGTTAGAGAAGAATTTTATCAAGTCAGGTTCAATTGAAAAAGTAATTGTAGGTGATAAAGAATGTGATGTAATGCCGGGTTTTATGCTTTATATTACCACAAAACTACCTAATCCACCTTACTCACCAGAAATAAGTGCTAAAACCTCAATCATTGATTTTACCGTAACTATGCAAGGTCTAGAAGATCAGTTACTTGGCAGGGTTATATTAATGGAAAAATCCGACTTGGAGGAAGAACGAGTCGCTTTGTTTGAATCTGTTATGAAAAATCAAAGGAGTATGAAAGAATTAGAAAGTAATTTACTGTGCCGGCTAACATCGTCAGAAGGTTCTTTAGTTGATGACGAAGCTTTGATTCATGTTCTTCAAATTACCAAAACAACAGCTGAAGAAGTGAATGATAAACTTAAAGTGGCTGAAGTTACAGAAAAAAAAATTATTAAAGCGAGAGAAGAGTTTAGAGCCGTTGCAGCTAGAGGGTCTATTCTATACTTTTTAATTGTGGAAATGAGTAACGTCAATATTATGTATCAAAATTCGTTAAAACAATTTTTAACAATATTTGATAACTCTATAACTAAATCAACAAAAAGCAATGTTACTGAAGACCGTATCAATATAATATTAAAATATTTAACACATGAAGTTTGGGCATTTACGTTACGCAGTTTATACGAACGGCATAAGGCGTTATTCACTTTAATGTTAGCTATGAAAATTGATTGCCATCGAGGTCTTATATCTCATGATGAGTTCATGGCTTTTGTGAAAGGAGGTGCATCGCTCGATCTGAATGCCGTTACTCCAAAACCATTTAAATGGATATTAGATATAACCTGGTTGAATCTAGTTGAAATAAGTAAACTCAAAATATTTTCAGATGTTCTAAACAAAGTAAGTAAATTTTTAACACTACAATTCAGATAAAAGAGCAAAGTAATTAAATACATATTTAATTTATTTTATTGAGCCTGAGTATATGGCCTGGTTCTTAATTATACATTATTATCTTTATATACATATATATATACGTATTTGTTTATTATTTTAAACCAGATAACATCAAGTGAGAAGGAATGGCGCGTTTGGTATGAAAAAGCAAAGCCTGAAGAGGAAAGTATACCAAGTGGTTATCAAGATAGTTTAGACGTTTTTCGAAAACTGCTACTGATTAGATCGTGGAGCCCGGATAGAACGCTCTCACAAGCAAGAAAATATATTGTTGGTAAGGTTTATTTATGTACGCTTTGGGCAAATGTAAATTTTGCAGATCATATAAACTTGTAAACTGAGCCCAATTCGCTTTCTTTCGTGTAGATTCACTTGGAGCTGAATACGGCGAGGGTAGAATTCTGAACTTAGAAGTGACGTGGGAAGAGTCCGAACCAAGAACACCTTTAATTTGTATTCTCTCGATTGGGTCCGACCCGTCCACTCAAATTGCTTCTCTCTCAAAATCAAAAGAAATCGGTGAGTATCAATTTAACCTTACATAAATAAGAGCTTTTACAATAATTACTCCTTAGTAATTATTATAACAGCTTGTGGCCCATGCCACTTATCCATTTTTTCCTTTATTTTTCAGTTCTGAAGGCTGTTTCTATGGGACAAGGCCAAGAAATTGTTGCACGAAAAATGATTTCAGACTCCATGAACGAAGGAGGTTGGGTATTACTGCAAAACATACATTTATCGCTTTCATTCTGCGTGGAAGCAATGGATGCTTTAATTGAAACAGAACACATACAGGATTCGTTCCGTCTCTGGCTGACGACAGAGGTTCACCCAGATTTTCCGATAGGATTACTACAAATGGCAATTAAATTTACGAACGAACCTCCCCAAGGAATAAGAGCTAGTATGAAGCGAACGTATCAAAATATTACCCAGGACACCCTGGATTACTCTTCTCTGTCTCAATGGCCACCGCTTCTATATGCCGTTGCATTTTTACATACTATAGTACAGGAGAGAAGGAAATTTGGACCCTTGGGCTGGAATATTCCTTATGAATTTAACCAAGCAGATTATGCAGCAAGTGTCCAATTCATACAAAACCACTTGGATGAAATCGATCCGAAAAAGGGTATATCCTGGCCAACAATATGTTATATGCTTGGTGAAGTACAATATGGTGGAAGAGTTACTGATGATTTTGATAAACGCCTTCTCACTACTTTTACCAATGTATGGTTTTGTGACGTACTTTTACGTCCTGGTTTCGAATTCTATAAAGGATATAAAGTTCCACAAACCAGGAACCTTCAAGGATACGTTGATTATATCAATCAATTACCATTAACAGACACTCCCGAGGTATTTGGTTTACACGGTAATGCAGATATCACATACCAAATTAATAGCGCAAAAGATATCTTAGATACGATATTAAGTGTGCAGCCAAAGGAAGGAGGGAGTCAAGGGGGAGAAACAAGAGAAAGTATCGTGTATCGATTGGCGGAAGATATGTTAGAGAAATTACCTAAGCAATATGTTTCGTTTGAAGTAAGAGAAGCTCTCCAAAAGATGGGTGCTTTCCTGCCGATGAATATATTTTTAAGGTAGATCTTTCTACTAATAGGATTTCTGGCTACAACATCATCTTACAATATATTTTTATTATTCTACAGGCAAGAAATAGATCGTATACAAAAAGTTATTAAAACTGTATACACAACACTTTGCGACCTTAAATTAGCGATAGATGGGACAATAGTAATGAGTCAAGGACTACGAGAATCATTGGATGCTATGTATGATGCACGCATACCAACTCAGTGGTTAAAGGTACTTGTAATTATAACTGTTTATATTAAGCAATAAAAGCATTGCTCCTCATTAAATCACAAATATTTCGATTAATGTTCTAGGTACATTGACCATTCACTAACTCTACGCATCATGTCACTAAAATAGCATAATATAATCTGTGTAATATAACTTTATGCTGCAGGTATCTTGGGAGTCAGCAACATTAGGTTTTTGGTACACTGAGTTGTTAGAACGTGAACAACAATATCGAATATGGTTGCGTAATGGTCGACCTAACACATTTTGGATGACAGGTTTCTTCAACCCTCAGGGTTTCCTGACTGCAATGAGACAAGTAAATCATTTTCTACATAAACATATGTTAACATCACAGCCTTTATTCCTATAATTATAAAGATTTTTTTTTATTAGTAGTAAACAATAGCACCTACAATGTTTTTTTTTTTATGCTATATCGAATGTTATTTCGACGAAGCTGGACTAACAATTTAAGACTTTTCCAGGAAGTGACACGCAGTCATAAGGGATGGGCCTTGGATTCAGTAGTGTTACAAAATCTTATAACGAAGTTAAATCGAGAAGATGTACATGAAGGTCCCACGGAAGGAGTTTATGTATACGGTTTATTTCTAGAAGGTAAGTTTGCATTCAACGGATACACATAATGTAGATTAGATTGCTTTGAATTACCTAGTAAATGAGCACGTTTATTGACTTTGGATGTGACAAAAATGATCATGTAAACATACTGTGCGAGAATGAGAATGCATTCATTAAAAAACTTAACTTTTTTAGGAGCTTCATTAGACAGGAAAACGGGGAAGTTGATAGAATCCAAACCTAAAGTTCTATATGAGCAAATGCCGGTTATTTATATATTTGCTATAAATACAACGGCTGGAAAAGATCCTCGGCTTTACGAATGTCCTATATACAGAAAACCACAAAGGACAGACGCAAAATACGTTGGTTCTATAGATTTTGAAACCGACAGTAACCCAAGGCATTGGACATTAAGAGGTGTAGCACTATTATGTGACATAAAATAAAAAGTCGATATAAAGGTCAATGAAAATTAAAATTACTGAAAATATTTTATTTATCGGGAATAAAGAATATGATTTAAAAATACAACGGGTTTTTCTGCCAACCCTAACAACACCATCTCCACATTCACAATTTAACATCACTATCATCATTATACAAGACAACCAGATTTTTATAAATGTGTATTCCGAAAATTGCCACTCCGAGAACCGCACTTTAAAGATGGCTTTTAATCACATCGTATAAAACAAGTACAAAGGCGCCTCCGGCTCCTCGAAGAACATTTGAAAAGGCACCTTTAAAGAAAGCTCCCGCCCCTTCTGTTCGGAGTATAACACCCCAACAATGTAGCGTATTTTTGTATAGTCGTTCGTTGACTGGCCGACCGGACTGCATCATCATACGCCGCCGCACCGTGTCTAAAGGATACGAGGTAATACCGGCAATCGTAGTTACTGTCTGTAAAATTGAATCATTAGCAACAACACACAAATAGGTCAAACCTCAATGGTAACCACATTACCTGAGCAATGAGCCATGAAACAAATATTGAAGTATTTTTGGGATCAACGAGCATTCCTCGAGCTGTATCGTACAGCCCAAAATATGTGGCACGATAAATAATTATTCCTTGTACCGAGACAACGAACCCTCGGTACAATCCTATTGGGCCATCAGACTTCATGGTCTTCATCAAACAATCGACTAATCCATTAAACTCTTTTGCCTTTCCTTTACCCACATCAGCGGCCAATCTGTCAAGAGAAAAGTATAAAAGAATTTTAGGACCAACTTCAGTCAAATTGATTACTCTCGAGGGTTCTAAGATTAATTATTTTATGGATTTGAAGGCAAAGAAAAGTTGTGTAAGACAAAATCAGAAATGTAATTGGGTTGGACTTCGGTCGCCCGAATTTGATGGGGCTATGCTATTTACTGGTTATGCAGGAGTCTCGGGGGACCTTGAATGGAACACCTCCAAGTGATTTTTTCTGCCGCAAATGCGTCTAAGTATTTTAAAAAAAAACTTAAGTTTTGTGTAATGTATTGAAATTTGTAAGCAATCCGACATTTTCTACTTTTCTATTGGTAATATAAGAGATGTGACATTCTCGGTAAATTAATTTCTTAGCATGAAAAATCGATGAATAGAAATAATCGATTTTTTTTATTCATCGATTATTTCGTCATTTGTTAATTTAAAGTTGAACCTAATTGAATCATAACAAATTAAATTTGACAAATAATTGATGTCAAACTTCACGTTTCAATTAATGTAGGATTCCGAAAATTTTGAAATCATCCGAAAAGTACCCAAAACCGAATCAGAGCACCGCACTATCCACGTGGTCTTGTCTACCCTACCCCTAGAGTGCATATAAAAAATCGAAGGCGCGGAGCCTCTCTGCCTTAGCCGCTACGGCTTGCATAATGCCTGTGCTTTGTTACGCCAGGGTGGAGGGTCTGCATTTCCCGTAGCGCCGGAGCTGTCCAAAAAATGTATCATCATTATTGTCAAGTTAGGTTAGTATATTATTTTTTTAAAATAACTGTTCAACTGAAACCGATCAACTATGATTGATTTTCAATTATTTTTAATATTAAAATCGAATACAAAAATCGATTTTCACCTATAAAAAAATTATTTTTCACATCCCTATTAATTTTATAAACTCAAACGGCCATTTCGAATGTGGATTTTGCCAGAACAGTGTGTGAACAGTTTTAAAGTGCAGAATATCTGTTAGTAATCCGTTACATATTAGGTTTTTTTTATTTTTACGTAAATGTGCGTTATTTGCAATTTTTTAAACTTGCCCATATTTTGGACTCGGACTGATTTGCTGCTTTTCTGTACGACTTTGGCATACATACTACTGATTACTATACCCCTCCTCCCCTCACCCCCACCCCGCAACCACCAATGCGGGCGACCGATTTCAAAGTCGTTACCATATTTTTTTTTTATTACGTGATTTTCTTCACCTTCATCGTTTAGTGCACAAGCGGAGTTTAAACGTCTAGCCGTGCACTGTTATTTCTTACTTGTGAGAAGGTAAAAAATTACCCACCTTGTTCTTGCAAAATCTAAGGGGTACACGAAACACAAAGATGTCGCACCGGCTGCCCCGCCGGAGGCTAAATTACCAGCAAAATACGTCCAGAACTGTGTATTTTTATTAACACCCTCTAAGAACATGCCTTTGTAAACATCTTTAAATGCAAAATTCAATGCTTGCGTGGGAAAATATCTAATTACGTTAGCTAAATTTCCTCGCCACAAAGAACCGATTCCTTGTTCTTTAGGGATTCGGATGAAGGCGTCAACGATACCTGAAAATAATGATCATATAGGAAATAATGTTTTTAAGGCCTAAAGTGATCAGTTGTATTCAGAGGGTATTAGTACATTTTTGCGTCTGTTACACATTCATCATTCGTCCAATCAGAAAATCTAATCATACCTTTGTATCTTTTATCTTCTGCGATTTGTTTTGAAACGTGCTGTACTTGTAGAATTAGTTTGACTCGCTCCATAGGCGCCATGGCGGTTTTGGACACCGCAGCGGAAACTCCACCGGCGATGAAGTCCTTCATGAATGCACTTGTTTCAGGACCTTTCGCTTTCCCATCTTTGGCATCTTTTGTCATATTGCTGTCCGATACTTAGCTTTTCTTGTAATATCAACGAATCAACTTCTAAGTGTGAAGCAATACTAACGTATTACATTCACAACGTATTTCTACACTTTGAACTTTTAAATACCATCTTCCTGATTGACTCTCGAATAAATTTTAATTTTCCGGCTAATAAAATTTATTATTGTAAAAATTCTTTCACACAAACTTTTGACAGATTATTGAGATAAAAGTAACAAATTTTCTTCTCGTTATATTTAAAATTAGAACCTCACAATATACTTTTAATTGTAGTAAATTCTTCTTGGATGTTAACAAATATTATTCTTGTTAAGTCCAATCTATTTCAGTTTCAAGACCCAACCTCTTTAGCATTGGGATTTTAGCGGCCACTTTATCATCATGTTTTTGGTGGTAGCGACGCGACCGCGACATCTCACTCTCAACTGTTCTAGCTTCTTTTTATAAGAGACGGTTGTGTTCTATATCTCATACTACGTAGTGAGCAGTCATCCTAGCGATCGTGACGGAACTGCACGTCCCGGTAGCACGAACCAAATGCTACCATAAGTCTTATCTGTAAATAGCTGTAGGTACCCTGCGGTATCAATACCGTTGGTGGTGTTACAATTTAAAAAATACAGTGGCGTTTCGAAAATTTAGGTCTGGGCCTCACATTTCTGTATCTGTTTCATCTTTTGTTTTAACCTTCTATCCCTGATACGCACAGAAATCCTCACGAAGTTCACCGTACTTAAGCTAGTTTTAAAATATATTGGTAATGTATAAATCTTTTCTTCTATAATTAGTGAAGATACCGATTTTTAATTTATATTCCTTGGCTTTATTTGCTTCTTGTTAATTAGAAATAAATTTTAATACATATATATCTAAACAAAGTCGGGTTTGTTCGAAAAAAGAAAAATAGTGTTAAAATTTGAACATTGAAAAAAAGTTATATTGATTGAAAAAAATAAAGTCATGCTCAGTCAAAATGTAACGTTTTTTTTATTAAGGGTTTCATAACTGTCAAACATGTTCATCCCGTCAGTAAAATTACCTCTCTCGTCAAATTAAAGATCGTATTAAAATGAGGGTTTCGACTCGACAAGATATAACCACAATAATTAAATATGTGCGTATTTTAGATTTTAAAAATGAAGAATAATGTCAATAATGAAAAAGGATTGATATTGGTTGTCAAATATTTATGCGTGTTCAGAAATTTATTTTGTGTTAACTAAGGGAAATATATCATGCTATTTCGGTACTTATACAATAAATCAAGGCACATTGTAATGTTGATTATTGCAAGTCGGTGATTATAGTGAACTTAATTTATTTTGTATTTATTGTATAGTTCAGCTTATTTGTAACACAACATTCATTTTCTGTTAGGCGGTACGAAGTTCGCCGGGTTAGTTGAAAATATAACTAACAATAATTAAGGTCCACTAAAATATAACGGACGTGACGTCGCCAGTCACATCAAGCCAAGCCAAAGCCAAGCCAAAGCCAAAGCCAAAGCCAAAGCCATAGCCAAAGCCATAGCCAAAGCCATAGCCAATGCCATAGCCAATGCCATAACCAATGCCAAAGCCAAGCCATGCCATGTTGACCAACCCTCCAACCAACCGCCATGCCTGCCAACCGCAAATGGCAGCCACTTGGAGGGGATGAGCCTATATAAGCCAAAGCCAGCCATATTAAAACCGACTTTTTTGGGAGACGTAACAAATAAAGAACAAGTGTGCTGTCACTCTGCCATTTTATTTTCACTGTCAATTATAATAAATTAAAATACAATTATCAAGAAAAGATTAGGTCAATTATACTCAGAAGTGGGATAAAACGACCTCGACCACAAGTTTTTCGACCTTCTGATGAATCAATGTCGGAGGAAGATGAGGATACTCCTTCACCGCCGGCACTGTAGCTGCGCAAGAATCTGTTAATAAAAAGAAGTAATAAAGGCTCTACGCGATCTTCAACATGACTGTGTTGATGAAGCTCTAAATAAGTTACAAGTACATCGTGCTGCATTTTTGACTCCGTAATTCGACCCTGACAGTGAGGAATATACGTTATACTACGAGGTCAAGCGAAGAAGAGGTATAATCGCCTGTAGGACTACGATTATACGTGGGAGCAATGGAAAAAGCATTTTTAGCATCAAGATGGCCGACGTTAATCTTTTGTTCGGTCAACCTATCAACAGCGAAGTCAACAAAGAAAAACAAAACAACAAAAGTCCATCTGGCTCTTTCATCATTCAAGTGCGCGTTCTGGAGGATAAGGTCGGCAACGATGTGGTAACGCCACCTCGGCACTACGAGGGTGGTGGTCTACTCTTGTCCCTCTACCCTGCTCCGTGGCGAAGATGGTTACATCAAAGTCGTCAACACCGGGTGCGAGGTTATCGTGTAGTCGCCGGGAGAGGTCCTAGCCAGGGCTGAAAGCTGCCAAGAATTCCCGTTACAGCCGTATAGCCAGGTACTATCCCTTGCTGCTTGCCATACTTTTGCCAATTATAATGCCAATAATTTAGGTCAACCCTTAACTAATAATTTATGTATAGGAGGTGTAAAATTAGACGACATACAGATAGGACCGTTAAATAATAAACAACATTCGGATCTTATCGGTTTATTAATACAATATAAACATTGTTTTGCTATTGGTACAAAAGATTTAGGGTGCACAGATTTAGTGCAGATGAAAATTAAGCTTACTAGTGATCAGCCAGTTTATCGCCAGCCTTATCGATTATCACATGGTGAACAAGCGATAGTCCAGTCTAGTCAGTGAATTATTAGATGCCGGCATTATAAAAGAGTCCGAATCCAGTTATGCCTCCCCAGTCATCCTAGTGAAAAAGAAAAACGGTGACAGTAGGATGTGCGTTGATTATCGTGACCTAAAAGCTATTACCGTAAAAGAAAGATTTCCATTGCCAAACATAGATGATCAGGTTTCGAAATTGGCGGGCAAAACATATTTTACAAGTTTAGATATTCTGCAAGCGGTTCTTGTCAAACTTGAAGTTGAAAACTTAAAATTAAACATGCGTGAGTGTTCGTTCTTGCAAAAAGAAATTACGTACCTACTTAGGTCATGAGATATCGGCAAATGGTATTCAGCCAGGCGAGTCAAAATTATTGGTAGTTTCTCATTTTCCGACACCGACCAATGTTCATAGTGTGCGTCAATTTATCGGGTTGTGTAGTTATTTTCGAAAGTTCATTCACAATTTCGCTGTCATTGCCCGCCCTTTAACTGATTTAACAAAAAAAAGAAACTTCGTGGATATGGAGAAGTGATCAAAACAATAGTTTTGAACAACTTAAAAAAGTGTTTATGTTCCTTTAGCTTTGTATGATCCCGCGCTTTCTACGGAAATCCATACTGACGCGTGTAAATTGGGAATTGCCAGAATACTTCTACAAAAGCAGACTGACGTTACGTTGCAACCCGTTATATATTTTAGTGGAGTGACAAGTAAAGAAGAAAGCATGTATCATAGTTATGAGCTTGAAACTCTGGCGGTCGTGGACTCTTTGCGTCGTTTTCGCGTATACATCGTCGGAAAAAAAAAAGTTAAGATTGTTACTGCCTGTACAGCAGTCCGCGCTACGCTTACTAAACGCGACATTATACCACGTATCGCGAGGTGGTGGCTTTCTTTACAAGATTACGATATAAGTGTCGAATATAGGCCGGGAGAACACATGAAACATGTAGATGCGCTTAGTAGACATCTGGTTGACGTTATGAACGCGTGAATCGTCTAGAAGTGACGGATTGGTTTTATACGGTGCAATGTCAGGACGATAAGTTGAGCGCAATCGTTAGTCAATTAAAAGATAATACCGGCGGATCGGAATTAAAAAAAAAATAATTTCGAAATTATTGATAATAGGCTTTATCGTAAAACCTTGAACGGGAATAGGTTGGTGGTTCCAAATTCGGCCAGATGGAAAATAATGCAAATGCACCATGACGACATTGGTCATGTAGGATTTAATCGCTGTAACGAATTAATCAAAAACGAATTTTGGTTTCCTAAAATGACAAGATTTATAAAGAAATATGTGACTGCATGTCTTCATTGTGCATACGGCAAAGGGGGCTACGGCAAAAAAGAAGGTAAACTCCATCCAATTCCTAAGCCCTCTGAGCCTATGAGAATGGTTCATATTGATCACATTGGCCCTTTTACTAAGACAAATAAGGGGTATCAATATATGCTCGTTATGACAGACGGTTTTTCTAAGTTTGTAATAGCTGAGCCAACGCGTACTGTCAACTCGATCGAAACTATTCGTGTACTACGAAGGATATTTAGTTTATTTTCCTTCCCTGATCACATAGTCACCGATCACGGAAAGGCGTTCACGAGTAGGAACTTTAAGAAGTTTTCGAATGATAAACAGTTAAGACATACTCTCAATGCTATTGCTTGTCCGCGTTCTAACGGTCAAGTGGAACGTACAAATAGGACAATACTGGATGCATTACGAGCCACAGACCCCAGTGAAGCCTCTAGCAATTGGGCTAACTCTTTGCCCGACATAATTTGGGGAATTAACAACTCAATTAATAACACCACCACTTACAAACCTTACGACTTGATGTTTGCTCGGGCTGGTAGGTCAGTATGTGATGTTGCGGTTCCCGGGCGTGTTTCTGAACCAGTAGAGTCGCGTCGAAAGAAAGCATCTGATAGGATACTAAAAGCGAGTGCTACAATGAAACGTTACTTTGACAAAAAAACGAAAATCTGCTCACATCTATAAGCAGGGTGATTTTGTCCTATGGCGACAAACACCGACTTGTAGCGCATCCAAAGTTAACACTAAACTTGACGACTTGTATTCCGGTCCTTATGTCGTAACTAAGGTAGTGGGCAATGATAGGTACCAAATGAGAAGTACACTAAATGGTTTACGTGGATATAAGAGTTTTACTGGATTAGTATCTGCCGATTCGTTAAGACCCTATAAAAGCATTATTACTGTATCTGATAGTGCCAGCAGTTCAGATGAGCAACTTGAAACCGAAGATCTGTTTGATTTATTAGAGAGCTAATCGTGGTTGTTGTTCCCACGGGAACAACTGTTTCAGGATGGCCGAGTGTAACGGACGTGACGTCGCCAGTCACATCAAGCCAAGCCAAAGCCAAGCCAAAGCCAAAGCCAAAGCCAAAGCCAAAGCCATAGCCAAAGCCATAGCCAATGCCATAGCCAATGCCATAACCAATGCCAAAGCCAAGCCATGCCATGTTGACCAACCCTCCAACCAACCGCCATGCCTGCCAACCGCAAATGGCAGCCACTTGGAGGGGATGAGCCTATATAAGCCAAAGCCAGCCATATTAAAACCGACTTTTTTGGGAGACGTAACAAATAAAGAACAAGTGTGCTGTCACTCTGCCATTTTATTTTCACTGTCAATTATAATAAATTAAAATACAAATATCAACAATAGATTAGGTCCATTCTAAAAATATAAATAAAACAAACAAAAATCCATTTTATCACTTTATTGAGACTACTAGCGTGTATACACAGTTAGTTTCTAGATCACACTGAATGATTGGTCAATAGATTTGTATTGGACTAAACATTCTTGATATCCATAGATACTACAAGCATCAGATTCATAGTACTGAATTATTTATATAAAAGATAATGCAAAGCATGAAAATAAAATCCAATCAAGGAATTCGTTGAATCTGATACCACTAGTTTCATTATTCAACACTGGTATATATTATACTAAAGCCGCAGCTCGAAGCAAAGCAAAAATATCGAGAGAGTGGTGATAAAAATTCAGTTTAATTTTAACTCTATAATGCACTTTTGCTGTATTTTTTTATTTAACATTCACTATCATTTACTACTACATTGTGGTTTGCACCATACTATACATAACATATGAAAAATATCACTATTAATATAATAATACTCCTATTTCACTGTTTTGTAACATAAACAAGTTAATTAAGGAAGCTTTATTGAATGTGGTTTTTAATACACATTTTCTCACATATTAAATGATGTGCTAAATCCCAAAATATAATTGTCCATACAATTTCATGTACGACACGGATTTAAAACCACTCTGGGTAACCGGTATATTTACGATGGTTATTTTTTAAATCAATTTAAAACGTGTATAAAACTTTTTTCATTCCTTATTTTAACTATGGACCTTTACATATATTGGAGATTTCTAATGCAACTAGCAATACTAAATAAATGTCAGATAACAATCAGTTAAAAATTAAAAACATCCAAGAATCATTAAAATAAAGCTACAAAGCTAGCAGCTTCTTACTAATATTTCAGGGAAATTTAATTAATAATAATATTTTATTTCATTTGCCTATGAACACGAAGTGTAATTAATTCAACAAATATAAAGAAAATCAACTGCAAAAAATGGTGGCTGTAGAAGTTAATATACTTCAAGGCAAAATATCTAATAATTATGTCATTTAGGGATTTTTTTATTATTTATAATTATACTCTTATCAATGAAAGCTAGTAGCTGGCTTAGTTTGGATTTAGCATTTATATTGTTTTGTTTTTGTTGTATCTTTAAATATGACTGCCTTGCTTTACCCACCTTAGTTGAGAATTAAATTGATAAAGTTATAACAATTAATTAATAGTATGCAACAAGCTTATAATTAGGGATGCATCGATACGCTTTTTTTGCCGATACGATACAGATGCCGATACTCTTATAGGAATATCGTCGATACCGATACCAACGCTTATTGAATTAAAATTAAATTAAGGTAAAATATATCAAGTGAAGTTAAAGTTTATTATTTTTATTAAAAAAAAACATATACAAGAAATAGTCACAAACTTTGAATAATTTTAAAGGTTTTGTTACTAAAATTAAGAATTAAGAGTTATAATTAAATTAAAATAAAACTGTTAATAATGAATTAACAATGATAATATTTTTGAAATTCTGTATTTTATTTAATTTGGTATCGAAAAAATACTACACGCGATAGCTATACTAGTTAAAAGCCAAATAAATGATCTTCAAATCTACGTTCAATCAAGTCTCAATGATCTCCCGCAAGCCATATCTAATAACTATGAGCTGGCAAAGATAGTTGACTCGAGTAAAAATTTTGGTCTAATCAATCCAACAAGTTTTTCGTACTAACTACTAACTGACGTGAAACTGATCTTAAATTATCGTGATTCATGTGCACTTTTTATTCTTCATGTAACCTTTTTTAGTTTATAAGTAATATGTATTTTGCCTTCCTTTTCATTTAATTATGTTAAATTTTTATATTGTAATGCAACAAAGTGTTAATAAATAAATAGTGTTTAGTGAAATGAAATACATAAATAATAATGCTTTGTCCCCAAGGCGAATGATAGAATTTCTCGGGCAACAATATAGTCCGTGGCTCGTTTGCAACAAACTAGATCATACAAAATGCGCGTTTACATTATTTTTTTAAAACGTGAAATTTTAAAAGTATCGTTGAATCGGCAATTAAAATATCGCCGATGCCGATATATCGGCAAACCCAAAGTATCGCCGATATATCGGTATCGGATGCATCCCTACTTATAATTTAAGATTTAACATCAAACTAAAATGTTAAATATGAAAAATTTATTTGATACAGATGTAGGTAGGTCTCATAAAATACAAACTTACTGAAAACTATTAATTGTCTTGAAAAAATACAGAAATTGGAAATGAAATGTTAGATGCTTTTCAGTGTCAAATGTGCCATTGAAAAAATTACATCGGAAAATAAAAATTATGCAATGTTAAGTTTTATTTTGAATTGATTTGACCTTGATTCCTAATAATTAACAATAACTGAATTGTTTACTAAAACCGAGTTACCCAAAATTTGCCTATTATTTTCGCATTCTAGCGGCGTTATCAGCGTTGTCCTTCAATATCTTCGACTTGAGGTGATCCTTGTATTTCAAAATACCACCCTCCCATTTTGTGACAGTACCATTTTCACAGATCCAAATCTCTTCGGCAACCTAAAACATTGATTACGATTGCAATGCTTTTTCTTTAAAAAAATGTATGTAAATTGTTTATATCGATATATATATAAGAAGGTCGATCTCCATGAATAAATAGCGTTTTAAGCCCAGAAGAGCTCTTAAGTTTCATTTCCCAGAGATATCGAAAACTATATACTGAGTGTATATAGTTTTCGATAATTTCATAAAATACATACATATATAACATAAAGGGTGCCTGCCACCTCCTGTCTCATGAAACAAGCTAATGTGTATACCACAAGTAGCTCCCACACAGGTTATCATAGTGTGGGAGTTAGTACACTATATTTTATAAAGGCTCATTTATTATATATATATTTATTATATTACTATTTATAGAAAACATACATTAAAAAATACATAAAATAACTAATAATATTGTTAAAGATTTCTTTTCTTTCGATCAAATAAATGTTTTGATCAAATAATGCTGTGTTTAAGACATTTTTAAATAATACGTGTCTATCTTTCTAATTTCCGTTTAGCATACATACCTGGTTAATTAGTCTAAAGTCGTGACTAACAAGAACCATGCCGCCGTCAAATTCGTTTATAGCATCTCCTAAGGCATCAATAGTTTCCATATCAAGATGGTTAGTCGGTTCATCTAGTAACAATAAGTGCGGAGTCTGCCATGCCAGCCAAGCAAACACAACGCGACACCGTTGCCCGTCAGATAATTGCCGCATCGGACATATCTATGAATAATAATAAAATATGAATGCATTTATAAATCCTTATCCTATAAACTTCAAAGCAATTTTGCAAATTGGTTGATTTTAAAGTTACAATAATTCACCAAACGAAAACTATCAATATTCATATTATGCAATCTTTGACTTTGTCTGTGAAGCATAAATTTAATTCTTGAAAATTAATAGAAATTTAATGCTTAACCTGAAATGTAATCAAAACTTGTGAAATATAGTAGATAATATAATAAAGTCACATTATCAAACGTTTTACAAGTAGTAAAAGCAGTAGTGTCAGTGTAGAAATGTAAGTTGACATAATATTTTTTAGTAGCCAATTAATAATTGCTAGAATTATGTTCATGTAAAGTACCTCTCTCTTTTTATAGTCTTTATATATTAACAAACCTGCTGTCGGCCGGTGAGGCCATAGCGGCCAATAATTTTCCTCATCTCCTCCCGTTCCCTGACTGCGGGGAACTCCTTCATCATGTAGTCAAGAGGAGAGAGCTCAAGATCTAGAAGCTCGTGTAAGTGCTGGTGGTACCTCCCAATGCGAAGGTGAGAATTCTTACGAATCATACCAGTTGACGGTACAAGCTGAAAATATGTATGCGCTATGTTATGTAGTCATTTACAAAACTTCTATTGTTTGTTGCATATGCAACCGAGTTGGTTTAAAATCAACCATCTTATTTTATAAGAACAAGTAGCTAATAACTGGTCCTTATTATCCTTGTTTCACTCTTTAATTGAGAGATTATTTAACTGAGCGAAAGTTAATACAATGGGAAGAGAAGCAAGAAAAGAGAGGTGAATTGTCATTGAAGAACAACATAAGGATGAGAGTAAGACACAAATAGCTATTATTTAGTTGTTATAATAATATTAATTTATGTATAAAAGAATTTAAAACAAAAGCCTAGACTAATTAACAGTAATTAAGTCTCTTTTTATTTGATTAACTACATATGTTTAAATATTTAAATTAAGACAATGATGAATTTTAATTCACTGAGACCTACTCACCTTTTTTATGAGTATTAAAATATTTGATTGAAATAACTTACATCTCCATAGAGCAATTTGAGTAAAGTGGACTTGCCAGCACCATTAGGCCCGACCAGAGCAAGCCGGGTGTCTAAATCAATACCAAACTCAAGGTTCTTGTAGATCCATGGACTTTCATCTGTGTATCGGAACGATACATTCTGAAATAAGTTCAATTCAGTAATTAAGCAAATTAAGCTTATTCATAATTTTTTATTATTTATGAAGATAAATTAACACTAGAAAACAGATTTATATTAGCAGGATTATCATTTGCTAGTAAAAACAATACTGGTTCCTTTATAAGTTCTAATTATATATAAGTAAGTGTTTTTTTTACTTTTTTTACTACATTTTACTGTACGGTAGAATAGAATTAGACTTTAATAGTTCGTAGATGTTCTGCTTGTTCATAGCGCCACTAATTATTAATATTTTGTAAATCATTGTTGTGCGATTCTATTCTAAGATAATAGTTTTTAAAATAACATATAATACATTAAATAAACATACCAATCAAATAAGTTAAACCATAGACGATTTGAGATGCAGATTATACCTTTTATACGTTATGAATTTAAGCTTACCTGCACCATAATAACTGGCGGCGGAACTTTCCCACATGACGGGAAATAGAAGTTAAGAATTTTATCATCAACAACCTTTTCAGTCAACCCTTGAGCCACCATTTTAGCCAATGTTTTTTCTTTAGATTGAGCTTGACGGGCCAACTTTGCGGAACCGTGACCGAACCGGGCTATATAATTCTGTAATTAAAACATCATTTGAAATAATTCAGAAGTGTTAGCCTAGTGACTTTCAGCCGCGCCTATCTACCCTGTTTTCTTTCTATTCGCAATCAACACCCGTTTGTGTGATAAAGGTAAACATCCAACAACATCAAACAGGAGGAAACCGGCATACCTTAGACCCCAAAATCGACGGTGTGCAGGTAGAGAAAGCTCATCTTTGTACATTTAGAAAAAAATATCACAAAACAAATACAGAAATCGACCTAGTAATGCCCACTGGTTTCTATTTATTTAGTTAAAATAATACGTATATTATTATTTACGACGTATATAGATATGGAATATAGTTCATTTGAGCAGTGTTGACCTTGTGTCTTCAGCATGCTACTCTCACCCCCGTCTATGCACCAATCGACTTTCTATGTGCGCATTTAACGAAAACATCGTGAGACCTACTTGCTTTAGACAAAAAAAGACGACGGCGTGTGTCAAGTACAGCATTTGCCTATTAGATTGACAAATGATCATGAAACAGATTCAGAAAACTGTGGCGCAGACCTAAAAAGGTTGTAGCACCACTGATTATTAATATTATACAGTTCGTTTATTTGAAGCTTTAAGATAACTTGATGACCACACACATAGTTCACATTACTAAAGAGTATAATATTATTATATTAGTAAAGTTTAACCAACTACAAAACGAAGTATTGGAAAATCAGGATATGACTGTTATAATCTCTCGACTATAACAGTCATTTCCTATTCAAAGTTCTTTAACATACCTTCATGTGTGAGATCTGATCCTGTTCCCAATTGTACTGTTTCATTTGATTCTCAAGGAGTTCCATTCGAGTCCTCACAAATGCTTCATAGTTACCAGTGTAGTACTTAAGCCGACGCTTGCTCATGTGGACAATATTTGTACAGACTCCGTTCAAGAAGTCCTGCGAGTGGGATATCAGCACCAGAATACGTTTGTATCTAAAAATAATATAGCATTTATGTGAATTTAAATTTGTAAATATCCATTCATATTTAGTAAAAGTGTTTGCTATATATATATAAATATTTTAGTTGTGTTGCAAATATGAATTGTGTAAGAAAACTTTGTTCATTATTTAAGATACAAAAAATTATAATATAACCATTATATTAAGTTTTCCTTACTGTTTAAGTTCTTCTTCCAGCCACACACAAGCGTCCAGGTCTAGATGATTCGTAGGTTCGTCAAGCAATAAGAGATGGGGTTTCACATATAAAGCTCGCGCCAGCGCGATTCGCATACGCCAACCTGTAAGAGCACAATTTAGTTTTGAGGTATTAGTCTAGACCTAGAGTCTAGGTTCATCAAACATTATATTTTGGAAACTCAAGGTTCTACTTTAATTTGCAGTGTTTTATTGGCTCAGTAAAGTGAATCAACTAAAACTTAAATAAGTGTTCATGCCTCCAGTAATATTATATATCCCTCCTCAATAAAAAAAATAAAGAAAAAACTATAATATTTTATTGAAAATATAATTTGTGTATCAGTAAAAATTATTGATATATTATTCATACAATAATTTAACCAACTATACCTCCAGAAAAATCCTTAGTAGCTTTCAGTTGCATTTCCTTAGTAAACCCAAGACCATGGAGAATATTAGCAGCACGAGCTTCAGCAGTATCCGCACTTAAATCATCCAAGCGGTCATACACATCAAGCAACTGCTCTTGTGCTTCTGTTAAAAAAAGTCACACACAATATTGTAATCTAAACTAAATAGCAATGGGTAAAAATTATACGCTTAGCAAATCAAATTCTAAAGATTAAATGCTATTGATCAGCAATATACTGTTTAGTTATTGATTTTAAAAAACAACATACCATCATCTTCACTTTGAGCAAGTTCCTCTGCAAGTTTTTCAAGCTGAATACGCTCTTCATCCACTTCCATTACACATTGTAAGGCAGTTTTATCAGAGGCAGGCATTTCTCGGGTTAAGTGAAAGATATCAATATGGTTAGGTATGGGTACTTCACGACGTCCAAGTGCAGCCAATAATGATGATTTTCCTGTTGAAACAAAGAGAGATAAAACAATGGCGCTTTTTAAGTAAATTATAGACTACTTATAATAATAAAACATTACATTTTATCATATCTCTATTTTAATTAGAGATACATACATACATTTGCAATTTGCAACATTCACACTATTTATCATAAAAGTGGCTTATAAGTAGTAGAGTAAACATTAATTAAGAATTTCTTCTGTATTAGATTTTTTCTTTATTATTCAATGAACATAAATAAGTTGATTGAACTTAAGATATCAATTTTTTTTTAAATATAGTTTAAGTATACAACGCAGAGCAAAATAATTGAAGACTTAATGTACATAGAATTTCGCATATCTGTCAAAAGCAATACATATTATCTACGAATACTAACAAATGTGCTTAAAACTTGTTGCATTAAATTTTTTTTATTAGTCTATATTTCAGGTTATTTATTATAAAATCAATGTTTTGTATTTGTAACTCTATTTTAAGAAAACAATTAAGTTTCTTTTTTTAAACATTCGCTTTGATAGTACAGATTTTTTAAAGTAAAATCATCCATTTGAATACAAAAAAAGCAATACAAGATATTGTTCACTTCTTTAAACAGCAGCTTGAAATCCTTAGTTTCTTTCTTCAAGTTTTAAATAAGTAATTAATAATAAATATTCTCCAAAATAAACATACCACATCCATTGAGTCCCACAAGGCCATATCTCCTTCCACAGTTCAACTCTAGCAAAGTATCCTGGAGAAGTTCACTTCCATAAAAAGTTATAGAGAAATTTGCTATTTTAATATCTCGTGAGCGTGGATGCACTGCTAGGGAACCAGTACAGGACCTTGCTTCTGAGTTCAATTTAGCTTCTTCTTCTAATTTCAAACATAAAGCCTCTACAACAGACAAAATTTATTAGAATTCGGAGCTAAGCTCAGTCATGATGAGTCACATAAAATATACAATCTTTAAACTATTTGTTAGGTGATTAGTCTGCAGTAGGTAGAAATACGTAAAGGAACCATAAAAAAAGATATATTGGTATTTGAATCTTGTATAAATAAGATTAAAATACCCATAAAAATATAGTTAAAACTAAAAATTTGTATGACGTAGCTAAAACGTACCTTCGGCAGTGAGCTCACGATCCTCTTTAGTGGTGCCATTCGTTTCTGTTCCATTCTGCTCGCCCGATGTAATTTTGGCAATAGGTTTTTTATTTCTGTTAGTAGCTTGCTCCTTTTTCTTTTGCTGAGCACGTTTTTTGGCGTCAGACGGCATTATTGAATAGAAATCAAACTGCAATAAAATGAATAATTTACACGTGAACACTTCGTGTTAGTTTTTGCAATAGACCAACACCATTATTGCACGACAAAACTTAGATGAATCACTTCCGAATAATGTTTCTACAGTTAAAGCACTATTATAATTTGATTGTTTTTAAAACTTATAACTTAATAATTCGAACCTACCTATTTATTCCATGCAACGTTAAAGTGAATCGCGTCTACACGTGCTGCTTTGAAAACTTGAAAAGATCCGTGCTTTTTTTAAATTCACAATGAATTAACTCTATGGAGCATAGAATAAAAATAAATTACAAATTTTAGACCACAGACTAGAATAGAGGGCTATGACCAAACTGGAAATCTATGGTATAAGTTGTATATTATATGTTCAATGTTGTATAAAAACCACATAGGACCCAAATGTCACATTTATTAAATATTTTAATTTAATACAAACCTATTCTAACATTATTTTAAATAAAATACAAATACATACATACTTTGAACTAGAGCAATAACACAAATAAATAAAATTCTTTGTGATCGTTAGTATTTTTCTATTTTGATGCTATAATCATGTTGTTCAAGTACATTTACTTTTTATCTATTATTGTAAAGGAAAGATTTGATAAGATATTCTCCTTGTTAAAACTGTACATTTGCATAATATAATAAGTTTTACACTGCTTCACGATAATTTTTATATCACTGTGTCCTGATAAAGATCGCTATGAAACGATATGGCCGCCCGTTGCACATTGTAGTTTTTACTTCCGTAGTTTTATATTGCATTGCAATAATATGTAAATAAATAAATATACGAGATAATTATTGTTATATTTATCATATTTATGAATGTGAGACGAATCTCAATTATAAGATTGAACAAAGAAACTATCGTACTAACAACGTAAAGTACTCATTGGTCAACTCATATGTCTTCTTAAAACATTATCATAAAATATGTTTAGTTTTTGTCTTGTCTTTTTATACTTACTATCATTTTTTTAATACCCTTAATCCTCATAATGGTAGGGGAGCCCACGATGCTAAATGGGGATTTACTCGAGCGTCGTAGAGACCTATTGGGATGCAAAGCTTAGATAATAAGAAGAAAAAAATGTTATATGATAAATTCCTTTTCATCGGTGGGGGAAGCGGCTATAGATAGTTAAATATGTAAAAAAAAACTGTTGCATGGACATCCTCGAGCGCGTCAGATATTGATAGCATCTATGCCCTACGTATTTTTAATAATGTACGTATGTTAATCTGATCGTTTGCATGATGCGGGTGGTTGTATTTAAGGGTTGAAAATGAAAAAAAAAAAAAAATATCGAGCGCGTCAGATTTTCTAAGGGAGTGTTAAGTGCACCAAAAAAAAGCTCTCATTCACTAATCTGACGATTTCGATGGGACGCAAACCCACAGCCATTTTCATAATTTGCAAAAAAAAAATCACAATTTTGAAATACTCAAGCGCGTCAGATTAAGATATATGTGGTTCATCTTTATGTTCTAAACGTACTGTCTCATAATCTGACGATTATCTAGAGGGATTCGCCTGATCTGACAAAAAAAAATTTAGAAAAACGGTTCACCTAAAGGGCCATCCCTGCAACTTCCCGCTAATTCCATTCCTGGGCGCTTAAAATTGATATTTTGAGCTCGCTGAGTTCAAAGAAATAACATTTCTATGCATTTGAGCTCTCCCAGGTCGAAAGTCTGATAGAAGTTTCATAGAACACTATTTTTGGAATTTTCAAACCGCAATAACTTTTGAATGGATCAAGCAATTTTCACGCGGTTGGCGGCATTCGACGCAGTTTTATCATCCTCATAAGTAATTTTGCAATTTTAATTGATCGAACCACAAATTTCGGAGTAATCCCGAATAAACACTTTTTCGGGTTTCTTTCGTTCACGATATCTCTCGAACGAATCAACCGCTTTTGACCAGCTTAGTGGCGATCAACGTGGTTTTTCAAGCTCAAAGGTGGATTAGTTTTTGAAGTTGATCGATAAAGAAACCACTTTAAAAAAAAATATTTCTTATTTTTTTAAGATTTTTCAAAATTTCTCAAAATCTATCGGTCCGAATCGGTTCAAATTCACAGGAAATGTAATTTTGAGGGAAATATTTAGAACGCCGTTTAGTAGATTCCGATCGGTTTAAGGAAATGTAGGCATCACGCAGCTGCACGCATTTAACTTTATCGACGAATTTTTGTTATTTCGGCTTGCGGAAATCGTCAGATTATATATTTTTCATTATTCTTGAATTATTTCCTTCAAAATAAAAAAAAAATTAGCTACGCTCGAGAATGTCGAGATGACGTTTTTTTTTTACAACTTTGTTGCCCTCCCCTTTTTTTCCGTCACTCTCAAATTGTCAGATTAGTGGAATATACACTTTTTAGGATGTAATTAACTCACCCTACCTTAATCTGATGCGCTCGGGAATTTCTGATGGTCAATTTTTTTTTACTAATCTGATCCTGTCTCCTTCACAGGCGGCTTTATATATGGACCTCATGTTTTGTGGAGGTACTTAACCGAGTACAAGCTATCCCCCTGTATATTAATCTGCCGCGCTTTAGTAAATCCCGAAATCCCCTCTTGGGCTCCCCTACCATAAGCCTAAGGAGACGTTCGCAAATCGAAGCGTTAATTCATAATTGAACGATGAAAAGTCACAAAACTGATGCTGAATTGCTGACGAATGACTTAAAATATTTAAAATTTCGCGGTATCTGATTTTGTATATAGGGTGGATTAGAGATATATAAAATGTAAATCATTAATATATAGGTATAGGCATATATCTTTTTAGTGAAAACCGTTAAAACTTAAGAAAGTCAAATTTCTAATTTCATGATAGAGATTAAACCTAAAAGTAATGTATCAACCAAAAATAACTAGTTTTTTAGTGAGAAAACGACGTATAAATGAAGACTATGATATAGAAAACGTAAGTGTAATTGAGATTTTTACATCTGCAGAAAGCAAAGATGACTTGAAGATGATAATATATCTTTATATCTCTTATTATTTAATTCATGTCGATGAGCAAAGGGGTTTCTTTTGCGAGATATAGGGCCTAATGTCCATGGAATAGGAATGTCTTATAGCTTCATAATTATACTCAGGATTATATAGCTAATCATATTACTTGGTTGGATGCACCTCTGAGGATCCTAAATATACTAATATACAACCAGATCTACACAACAAGCATTTGTTATAGTACTTCCTACCTCACGTTCCACTCATAGATTTCTGTAAAATTTGTGTTTCCTAAAATGTTATTATTGGTGTTGTATGATTTAGTAGAATGGGTAATGGGGAAGACCCTTGCCTATTTTTGACTTGTCACTTAAAAAAATATCCCCATGTAATACTTTTTTTTTTTAGAAAAAAGTAAAGGCAAATGCATTACATAAAAGTGCAGAATTACCTGATCCCTTAAATTTAAGGGGAAATGACATTGATCAGCCAGAACCTAGCCCTAGTCACTCTGATCCTAAATACAGCAGTAATGATATAAATCATAAAGATAAAGACAGCACAGTAAGTAAATCTGGGAAAGATATTCAAACTAATAAAATAGTAGAAAGTAGCATTATTCACTATGAGGGGTATGCAAAGGATGCCATTGAAGAATTTGTTGCTCTGGCTAATGAAAAGTTGCTTCCGGTTTCTGGTAAGTTAGAAATTACTTACAACTTTGAAATGTCTGGTGTTTTCTTATTTTATTTATTAATTCAGTTTGTTTTTGACTTTATCTATTATTAATAAACATGCAGGTAAATGACAAAACCTTCCTCTTTAATTTTAGTATAGGAAAATGTTTTTAGTCTATTGAATTCTAAGTAATATTGTAACCGCTAAGAATATAAAAAAAAGTATAATTGACTATGGTGCAGATTTGAGGTGTAAAAGGATTTTTTTTTAATATAACCTCTAAATTTGTTTTATATGATTTATTATTATTATGTTAAGAGTAGACATCTAAAATAACATGGATCACATTTAGTTTTGTAAGGTTCAGAAGTTTATCCCTAGTCATCTTAGCACTCAGGCACTGTCTATAAGGGCCATCAGGAAGGGGTCTATTTACCTAGGGATAGGGATGCAGAACCAACAATGCTTTCTTCACGCTAAAGCTCTTAATTAATCAACTGGAACAACTCATTAAAAACAGGTGTTCTTTACCTATAATACAATAATAATGAAATTTCTCAGTTGGGGTGTCACACCCAGGGTCAGAGGACAAATTACAGGTTAAATAATAATCTATCAGTCTAGATGAACTGGCCCGTGACAGAGGCCTTTAAGAAACCTCTTAGCTACAGGGCCTTTAGGTACCTAGGTTTATTGATAACTAAATTACAATGTAGATGATCAAAATGTCTATACTTGTTTTTCCTTGAGTTGGCTTGAAAAGCTTTTACCCTTTGGAAAATAAAATATTTATTAAATTTTATTTAAATTTACACTTTATTTTACACTTAAAGATATGAAGAAATAAACATATATATCCTGATACTGTGAGTATACCAAATGTATGGTTCCTAGTTTTAATATGATACATACTATTTAATTTTCAGGTAGCAAAGAAAAGTTTAATTTATCACCACACACAAACATAACAGAATTTTCATTATATAACCAGAATGGGGATCTTGTGGAAATTGATAGGGAATTTGTTAATAGAGATGAACAGATCTACTTAGCTGGATACCTAAAATCATTAAGTTTAGTTTCCCCTGATGTTGATGAAAATTGCATTCCTGTGAAGCATGTTGGGCCTATATTAGCATGGTATGCAGAAGAAATTAAAAATACATTAATAAGATGTTATATTACTTACTCTTAGTGTATTTAACATAGAGTGTTAAAGTGAATGAAGACTTTCCAGTTCTCTTAAATATCTTAGATTGGAAATTTAGGTGTTTGTCAATAATAAAATCTGTTTTTATACCACTCATTATGTAAATATAGGCGCTGTTTATTGCTATATACATATGTCTTATTTCTAAGTATCAATAGTCAAAAGTTGAGTCACAGAAATTTCCAATAAATCATTACTATATTTCTAGGTTTATTCGTGGTTTTGCTGAAAGCTGCAAAAACCGTATCACCTTATCTACTAAAAATGGTGATTATAGTCTACTTAAACCAAGCAGTGAATATAAACCTTTAATGACTAATTTATATGAAAAGATTTGGATGTGTAAAGTTGTAGTAGAGTATTTACAAGAAAATGAGTACATTCAACCCACATATGAAGATTTGTTATCAATAATATGCCAAACAAAAATACCTGACTTAAACGATTTAATGATGTCTGAGGAAATGTTGCATAAACATGCACAATTTCTCTGTGACCAAATTGCTGGACTAGAGTGTGAAGAAGATTGTGAACCATTGATTAAATTACCATGCATGAGGACACTAGTAAAACTAATAGGAATTGAATTTCGTAAAGAAAATATTATAGGTAAAATAAATTACAAGAAATATCATAAAAAATCATGGTCAAAAGCAACTACAACACCTTTAATTCAAAAGACATTTGAGAATTTCTTCACAAAACAACTAGACATAATTAATAATGAAGAAGTATTGATAAAAAGTAAGTGTGGAGTGTGTGGGCCATGTCAACGTCCAGATTGTGGGAAATGCAGGTCTTGTCGTACTATGCCCAAGTTTGGTGGTACAGGAACAACAACACAAATCTGCATCAAGTATGTACAAGATTATTAATAAATCTTTAATATTTTTGATTTTAACTTCAAGTAAGTACTTACTTACTTCTGGTACTTTCTATCTTAGGGTTACAGTCAAATTTTTGTGATATAGGTAATCCTGCTTTTCTAAAAGGGATGTGATTTATATAATTTATTATTTACATAATTTGTAAATAAAGTTAATAGGAATTCTGGTTAATTTTGTTAATTATATATGTATGTATACTGATATAAAAAAGAGGTCAAATTTGTTAGGTTGTGGTAAGTAATCTCTGGATCCACTTAACAATTTTGAAAATTCTTTGACCAATAGAAAGCCACGTTAGTGCCTGGAATTAAATCTATTTATATTAACCCAACAAATTTAATACTTTTTGTGGAAGCTGGATTTAAAATAAGACGGTGAAAAAACTATCGAACAAAAGCGTTTTTTGCGAGCTTAAAATCTACAAAAAAGTCAGCAACATGACAGTGAGTACTTTTATATTATATAAAAACATGTTCTCCGCCACGTCTATGTGTCTGTCTGTTCGCAATTAATTCAAAATCTTATGCACGTATTTTTTTGCGGTTTTCACAAATATCTAGAGGAAGGTTAGGTGTATAATTTTTCAAGGTTTACGGGTCACGGTTGTCTGGGCCAGTCGCTAGTATTTAATACAACAATAATATGTCATTTAAATATAATTTATTTCTAAAGCTTTGACGATACTAGTGAAATCGTCTGTAAGTGTGTTTTTCAGTCACCTAAGAGCAAATTAAGGATTTCTAAGAACTTTACTGGACCGATAGATAAAAAAAACATTATTTTATAAATTCCGTTAAAAATTTGATGCTTGAAACAAGTCAAAAATATTTCAGACGACGCTGTCCAAATGTGGCTATTCAGGACGCAGAGTTATCGGATGAGGGAGATAAACAACACATCCCAGATAAGGCCAGGAGCCTGAAAAGAGAAAAAATACCTCTAAAAATTTCTAACGCGCTTAAGAACATTAAATGGATTGGAGATCCAATACAAGTAGATGCTACTAAAGTCTACTACGAAAAAGTCAAAGTAGATGGAGCCGAATATAATAAAGGAGATTTTGTTATGATTCAGACTCGCTTAAATATCCCTCCATTGGTAACAAGGATTGTCTACATGTGGAAAGACATAAGAAACTCTAACAAGTGCTATTTTCATGCAGAAGTTTTTATGCGATCATCTGCAACCGTTTTAGGCGAAGTTGGAGGTATGTTTCAAATGTTTGGTTATTCATTATTTCCTTATATCTTTATAGATGTTTGGTATTTAAAAAATATTTTTTCTATCTTTCAGACCCCAGAGAAGTTTTTCTGGAGAATAGATGTATTCACGGCATCTTGTTGTCCTCAATTGTAAGGAAGGCTACGGTAGAAAAAGTGAGCCCGAGCGACGATTGGTTTCAACAGGGCGGAAAAGATTTTGATCCAATGTTTCAAGAAGATGATGGAAAAACATTCTTTTATAGTAAATTTTATAATCGATTCACAGCTCGATTTGAGGATTTACCACCCGATCCAACATGCAAAAATAGTTTACGTAAACATAGATTCTGTCCATCATGTGATCGGACCATCAAGCTTTACATGAAAGAAATACCGAGAGTTACTGGAAAAGTTTCAGTCAAATCCGAAAACGTAAAGGAGGCGGATCGCACCGAATGGACGTCAGTGAAATGGCGAGACTACGAATACAAAAAAGGATGTGGAGTGTTTCTAAGGCCGGGGACATTTGAGCTTAGAAACAATATAAACCTTCATGAGGAAAATGCGACAGCCAAAGGACGCAAATCGAAGAAACCAATTGTTGACGAAGATATTTACCCTGAGTATTACCGTAAACAAAAAAATCATGTGTGTGGTTCAAACAGCGATACGAAAGAGCCGTTTTGTGTGGGTTATATAGTTGCAGTGGCTGTTGCAAGTTATGATCACTGGCTTGTTGCACCGCAAGATATTAAAATCAAACTAAATGTTTTGTACCGACCTGAAAACACAAGCGGAAGGTTCCCACAACGCGAAGACATAAATCTCGTCTATTGGAGCGACGAGATACGTGAAGTGCCCTTCTCCACTGTAATGGGCCCCTGCTATTTGTCCTACGTTGACAACATACCTCAAACTGGTTCCATTTACACTTGGCTTGAAGAAGACCCGAACAGAATTTACTTTAAAATGTCATATGATAAGAAGACTGACAGAGTCAAAAAGGTTCCAGAGTATGCTCGTGCTATCGGACCAAGCGAACAAGGAAATAATGATAAGGGAAAAGGCAAAGGAAAGTCCAGCAAACCCCTATTGCCCGTTGCTAAAGATGAAAAGTATAGTATACGTCCTTTGCGCTCCTTGGACGTATTCGCAGGTTGCGGGGGTTTATCAGAAGGGCTGCGACAATCGGGTGTAGCTGAGTGTAAATGGGCTATAGAAAATGACGAGGCTACCGCACACGCCTTTTCGCTTAATAATCAACAATGCAAAGTTTTCAATGAAGACTGTAATATCTTGTTGAAAGATATTTTGTCCGGCGCTACGCACAGCTCCTCCGGTGTGCGACTTCCCATGAAAGGTGAAGTCGAACTACTCTGTGGCGGGCCGCCTTGCCAAGGGTTTTCTGGCATGAATAGATTTAACTCCAGACAATATTCAGATTTCCAAAACTCCCTCATCGCGTCTTTCCTAGCTTATTGCGATTACTATAGGCCAAAATACTTCATACTAGAGAACGTTCGAAATTTCGTCGCCTTTAAAAAGGGCATGGTGTTAAAATTAACTCTCAAAGCGTTGTTGAATATGGGCTATCAGTTCGCGTTTGGAATACTGCAAGCTGGTAGTTATGGAGTGCCTCAGACAAGACGACGGCTTATAATTTTTGCTGCAGCGCCTGGGTGTAAGTTGCCTTTGTTCCCGGAACCAACAAATGTGTTTAGTGGATCAGCTTGTTTTTTGACATCGACGATAGATGGAAAGACATTTGAATCGAATATAAAGTGGTGTTTAAGTGCCCCAAGGCGTACATGTATCATACGCGATGCTATGAGCGACCTGCCGTTTATTTCCTATAATACTGACGAAATGGAAATAGATTATGGCACTAGCGCCGAGAGCTATTTTCAGCGATTGGTACGAAGTAGAGAGGAAAATGCAAAATTACGTGATCATATCTGTAAAAAGATGGCGCCGTTAGTTCAGGCTAGAATAGACCGAATACCGACGAAGCCCGGATCGGACTGGCGGGACCTTCCCAATATTTCAGCAACTTTATCAGACGGAACTAAGTCTAATGTGAGTCTTTCTTAGTCAGCTCTTCACACTTAATCACTTTCCGATCAGCTAAATTAATTATAATAATATTTTGGTAATGATACTACTATTAAAGTACCCTTTTATACTATGTCTCATATTAGGTCTTAAATTATCGCTATGAAGACAAGAAACATGGCCGGTCATCCACTGGTGCAATGCGTGGTATTTGCGCGTGCGCATCGGGTCAAAACTGTAACAAGGATAAGCAAGAGAACACTCTTATTCCCTGGTGCCTGCCACATACCGCCAATAGACACAACAACTGGGCAGGATTGTATGGTAAGTATTAAAATTGAATAATTCCACGCCAGAATCAGACAAAACTTTCAGTGTTCGAAACTGAAATGAATACAATAATGTAAAATAGGTATATTGATTTGATAAATGCGAATTTTGATGTTATGTATTTTTTTCTATAGAACGGGAAAAACAAGTAGAACGCTCACCTGATGTTAAGTGATACCTCCTATGAAAATACCTACTATGTATACTCAATAAAAATTCACAGCATTTATACATAATTTTATAGGTCGTATAGCGTGGGACGGATACTTTAGTACAACAGTGACAGATCCCGAGCCAATGGGTAAACAAGGAAGGATTCTACATCCGGACCAAAATCGCGTTGTATCTGTAAGAGAATGTGCACGATCACAGGGATTTCCGGATACATACATACTAACAGGTTCTGTGATGGACAAACATCGTCAGGTATAGTGTTTTAAAGTCTATGTGAAGTTATTATATTCCTGGATGATCTGCAGTCGAAAGTGTTTACCACTAAACCTAATTTAGGTGCGTGATTATTACATATACAATAAAAACGTTTAATGTTGAAGCGTTGTCTTACTTCATGATAATGTAAAATTAAAAAGTTTAGTTAGATTTAGAATACGTTACAAGTAACAGTATTTCATAGTCCTATCTAGACATCTATAAACCAAAGTTTATCATAATGGATTCTGAAAAAGTATTTTTTTATAAGAACCTTAGTATCTCTATTAGTATAGAAATAAAATTTAGTATCTCTAAAATCAAACTTGGTATGAAATACAAGCCGCTTCGTAGGTCGATATTTATGGAGTTTGTTTCCATCCACAAGTTGAAGTGGCGCTGATTATAGACGTACTAGAAATGCTTGTTTAACCTTATATCTTTCATCAGATTGGAAATGCCGTTCCCCCACCCCTTGCGGCAGCGCTAGGAAGAGAAATAAAGAAAGTTTTAAAGCCATAAAACATTGTTTGAACTGTTTTATTGCTGACGTGTTTTAACTACTTGAAAAATGTGATTTTCTGCGCATTAGCATTGCGTGGAATTTTAATTTAATCTTAAATCTAGAGGAAGATTAATATTTTTGTCTTGTTTTTTATGAATGTTTATTTTTTCTGGAAGAATATGTTTTAAATATTTTTTTAGTTTAGCTCTTAAACAGTTTTTAAAGTTACAGAATGTTGCTTTTTACTATATTTTTATTATTTCTTAATCAAGAAATGTTTTTATTTTTGAATAATGTTTTTTTTGTATAATCCGAGTGAACTTATTAGGTTCTGTTGAATAATTTACAAGAATTTTTTTAATCAAGACAAAAATGCCAAAGGAATTTTACTTCTATTTAATAAGTCCATAGATAGTATTATTTTATAAAATATATTTTTTTGAAATATAAGAACACAATAAAACATCGTTGTGTATTTTAAATCATAGATATTGTTATGAAAAACATTTGCAATTGAAGATAATACTTACCGTATCGAATATATTGATCTGAATACTTATAAATTAAGATTTATTAAATATTGTTTTATTTAAAAAAATTGTTGAGCTCTCAATAAGTATTGTATTTGCATGTTTTTAATTAAAGAAAGATCTTTAAGCGTTGTTTTACTTTAAATAAGGACGATAATGTAAAATTGACGACAAATACTGAAATCGCCCATCCTCTATTTCAAAATATTTATTAACGCTTATTACAAATAGCCACATGTTCACTATAGCTTTCATGTACCACCTCCGTAAATCGGTAACCCACTTGACGTATAACCCAGATATTCTAGTTGACAAAATTAAAATAACTCCAAACAATTTCATAAACTAATATTCAACCAAAATTATTTTATTCACGTCACAGCACAAATTTTGTTAAAATCCATAAATATACCTAACCATATACAAATTCAATCCCTTACTAATACTATATGAATACAGAGTCTATAAAAACATTCCCTTTACTGTGTAAATCATTTTTTTAAACTGCTAGGACCTTAAGCTAAGAATACTTCGCGATAGGCGTAGCCAACAATGAAGTAAATAAAGTCAATTACATTAGTTGACGTAAAACATCACCAATTTCATACAAATTCTATTGGAGTTAGGTTAGGTAGTTAGACATGACGAAAAGTATTTGGGAGTATCTGGAAAGGAAGGGAGAGGCATGGTGATAGATAATCATATACAAAAATATACTTTTAAAAGGAAATAAAATTATCCTTTAGACTATTTTTTCGTTCAATTAAGTTTAGGTGTTAATAGTTTCCGTCTACTTTACCGAGTGAGGAGTACTGTATTTGTTTATTGCATTTGTTTCTATTTAAAAGTATAGTTTCTTTTGCGTATTATGCCAAAAGTACATACATTTTTCTAGGTGGTGTTAAAATTCCTACCCGTGTAATATATGAATCTTAGTGGAATGGATTCCTCCAACAAATATGTTCCACTACATAATATTCATACAAATTTATCGCACATCAGCGCGCCACGTTGTCATTTTGCGCACGTGTTACTTCAAACGTTGCGAAATGAAACGCTTTAAACAAACACTTTAGCAGTATATTAAGTATACGGTCATAAATGCTCAAAATGCTGGATAATCTTTTACAAGAATCGATAAAAATTGCGCAGTTGTAAGTCTAAAATACCATTATAATAAATAACTTACTTATTTTTAAATAGTTTTATAAAAATCCAATTCCAATGGTTTACTGGTGATTTACGCTACGAAAGATGACAACTTTCACTGCAAAATTTTTAAATACCAGTTATAGTAATGCAGTTATATACATTGTTTTTCGATTGATCAACAAACAAACAATTGCAAGACAACATAATTCGACAGTTTGTTTTATAGACAATATCGAGAATTTTTTTTTTTAATTTTAATGTAACCGTACTATATCACAATCATCTCCCAATATAAAGTAGTCCCAACAAAAGCTACAAATAAAAATTAAAAATATTATATATAAAGATTTTTGAAAGATTAAAGAAGATTCTTAAGTATGTTTATGGGAAGGACCTCAAATCTAGTAGTATTAGTAGTACCCACAACATCCTGCTGCTGTAATAGTATACAAAAACTTGAATCTTGTATAAAATCTCACATCTTTTGTGACGCGAAATGGAAGACTACAATAATAATCAAAAATTCGGCTTAACTTTCTACAAAAAATTGTTTCAGTAATTGAACGTTTATTATAACGTGTTCTGTTGTATGGCGACTGTAAGGGCAGCGTGTAATGAGCAAGCAAGTCGGGGTGGTGGAGTGAAAGAGATCTCCCTGTACGGCCCATCAGGTTCACCCTCCTCTGTAGCGCCCGTATAGCGCGCAACGCGTGCAAAGGCGGTCGGATTCATCTAAAAAAAGAGTTATGTAATCAATACACGGTACTCTCTACTGGAGCGGGTTACCTATGTAGGTTAACCGCAATCAAATATAGATTTATAGCCGGTCGGCTGCGTATGTTAAAAAAATGCACAAATGAGAACGTTTAACGACAATCAAATATGAAACGTATCACGTCGCGAGTCAACGCGTTTGACTAGAAATTCTGTCGACCAATCACAATCGAATAAAGCGAACAATCGTTTCGTCTTTTGTTTTACATTTCCAGATTCCGACACATGCTACGGTCTACTTACGCAGGCATAAATTCACAGGTAGACCCCATCGGTGGACTGTGATATTTAGCCGCCTGTAAAATCTAGATACTCTTACGTGACTTGTCCACATATTGAGTGTTTTGCGCAGTTTTACGTTTATATTTCAGTCTTAGCGCAAGTATCCAAAAATATATTGGATTTTGGCACACGATAGTCATGATTAGCTCTGCCGGGCTATTTACTTATTATTGATTTACACTTAGTTACATTTATGGAAAAACAAATAACATAACACAAAAATTATAAGGGATGCAACGGGTGGCCTCATTGCTAATAAGCAATCTATTCTAGCAATTGTAAGCAATTTTACTAAATAAACTAAAAAGCTAATCACACGGCTATTTTTTGCTTTTTTGACCTCATATTTAACAATTAATTAAGAGATACCACTTAACTGTGGCTCAGACACTTTAGTTTTGATGTCTGTGCCTAAAGATGTATATTTTAATTAAAACTAATTTAAAAAATAATTACCTCTGCCGTCAAGTCATCTTGAGATATTAACCGTGCCTGCGACATCTTCGATGTTTTTTTTATGACACGAATCTGAAAAAAATTGGTTTAGTAAAAAAGTTTTCAAGTTCGTGCATATAATTAATCAAATCAAATTTCATGTTTATTGGTAACTAAGTACACTCAAGACTTAATATAAAACGTATAAGTACATTTTTTTTATTATTACCGTACATGAGGTTTTATATGAAAATATTTAAGTTTAGTTTTAATTGATATTTATAAACTTACCTTAACACGGTCTTCTCCCTTCCAAGGTACAATTGAGCAATGCTTCAGGTTGATAGATTCGACTACGAGATCGGCCTCCACATCGAATATCACGAGATACTAAAATCATTGTAATGATAAGAATCTAGCATCATCAACCAATCAAATATCAATCATTATTAGGTATAACATTTTCTCAGGAAGTCTTGCCAGATAACGACGTGTGTTTCTAGAGAATTGAAATAGATATGTCTAAATTTCTGGCGACAAAATCTTCATTACTTTTTTTTTTGGAAAGTTTTGCAGGAAATCAAACCCAGGACCATAATTGACCCAGGAAAATAATTAAGTAATCTAATTCATTCATTATTTACATACAACAACATTAAAAAAATTGTTTGTATATATATACCTATATTCTGATTTTTCATTCCGTAGAATTCTGACATTTCACAAGTGTTGCTACTAAAAAAATTCTCCACCGAAAAAGGGACAAATTTGACTTATTTTAAACCTACAAAATGTACCTAAATCTAAATATTAACTTACTCACTTGTCACTTGATGACCTAATACAAAAATAACAAATATTTCAATATCACGAACAATATATCGAATTAACTTTAATTATTTTATTTTATTATTTAGCTGGCATCACTGCCTACTAAGTCCGGGTTTAGTAAATCTTTTTTGTTTGTGATGAAAAGGGACGTAATCATCAGTCGCCGTAAAACCACTTTTAACCGCTCTTAATAAAATGGATACTCAGATGTTCAGACTCATATGGAAATTGAAAAATGTGCTCGGCCAAAAAGGTTTGCCATCTCTGACATGTCAAAAAATTATAGCTGTCAGAATTCTACGGAATTAACCATCTCTGGTATACTCTATACCATATAAGTGTTTATTTGCAGCGAGACGATTCGATAAATGGCCAAGACAAAAATTATTATTGCAGATATATATGTACCTTATCAGTGAGCAGCAATTGCCACTGGCTGTCACCCAGTTTAATATCGAAGCCAGCGAGTACATTCATCTCGGGAAGTCTAAACATCCATCGCACACAGTTTTGACGCCAACTGCTTTTCGGCTGCGTTAACTTGATTTTGGACCATAAAGGCTGTAATACACAAATCATAGCCACATTCAGTTCAACGGCTCGATATATTTTATAACGAAAGGTTAAGTTCTTGGTCCAAATTGAGACTGTACAGTTGAATGAAGGTGTAATTTATAACTTTGTACTAATAACGAGTTATACAATGTAAACAAGACTACTTATAATATAATTGATCAGCGAATAACTCAATTAATTTTCATTCACTTTCTTTGGATTAGAATGTAGACAAAATGTTGGTGTTGTATTTAAGTGATAGGGCAAGAGTTTCTTTACGCCAAGCACACATATGCAATACAATCCGGCCTTCCATTTGTCCAATTACAATCAGACTAACAGTGCCATCGTATCTTATTAACTTGCCCTTTGAATATGCGTTTGGCGTATACGGTGCATAGTATTGTGTAAAACGACAGATTTGGTATTAACATTGTATAGAACACCATTTTATACATCACACTCATTCCCAATTTTACCTGAGGCACAGGATCCCATCCCGTCTGATTCAAAATACCATGTCCAGCTGATGCCACAAGGTCTGCTGTGGCACTTAGTGGCTTTGCTATGGCACCAACTAAGCCCCTTCGAAGGCCCACCACTCGGCTGTCAGTTTCTCCCACTACCACTGATAGTAGAGGATGATGTGCCAAACCTCCGACCGCCCCTGAAGATAGTGAGTACATGGTGTAATTTTACTGTCTTCAAGAATCGTATAAGTCACAAAAAAATAATTCTTAACATACATTTCTTAATTTAGTTCTATTACGTTTGATATTTATGACCATTATTTATATTTATATATATAGCCATTATTTATATATATTTATATAAAAGCCTATACTGGTTATCAAATAGGTCTATTCACAGCACGGTACATGGAGTTTTTATAAAGTGTGTTACCATTGTTACAGGTTCTTATATAGAAATAACGCCAACACCAACCTTAGTAACAAAACACAGTAATTTAACCCTCGGTTCCTTTGCAGTGTGATACAAAACGATTTGAGTACGTTTCTGAATAAAGATGATTTTGACTGTAATTACTAGATTATTTAAAATCGAAAATGTAGACAATATAAAACAAAAAGATTTGTTGATTCCCTGGCTCTGTCTAATATACTTTTATATGAAAAAATAATGCAGGCAAAAAGCTCAGCTTATGTTTACTAGATTCATGTAAATGAAATATTAACAAATTTAATGACTATCATCTTAAAAAGTATTTCTAACATTTCACAGCTATGTAGAAACATTACCGATTCATTTACTTTTGAGCGTAATGATTTAGTATTTATAGAGTTGCGATGATTTAGATTCACTTACCTAATAAGGTAACAGCAAAGTTTGTCACGCCATCTACAATCCCGGCCATTAAACTTGGAGGTTGCCGTCTCCTAAAACAAGTTTTTGAAATATTTAAAGTTTTCAAATACAAAATAACTTAACTTAAGACAAACAAAACACTATTGACAAACAAATTTACACAGTTAGGAACAATGACGTATTTTACCTCGCAGCAGCAGCACGTCTCGTATGTTCCTCGTCACCCGCTAATATGTCTAAATTTCTCGCAACAGAGCGCGCGCACGCACTCAACGAACGCAGTAGGGCCGCGCTGGCTGCTGACGCGATTCCGCGCAATCCGCCACTCGCTTCGGCCACACGTGCTGCCACAGCCGCTGGGGAACCCAACAGCTCAAGACCACCAACTACCCAACCTAAATAAAAGAAAATTATTAAAACATTAAATAGATTTGAATACTTATTGACCTAAAAGCAAAAAATTCTATATATGTATTACATACGTTCCCCCGAAAATGCGTACACATATGGAACCGATTTTAATAAAATTTGTAAGGATTATCTCTAAGTATTCGTTTCTGAGAAATATGTAACAACATTAACTTACGAAATTAAAGACTTGCATGAAAGCCTATTAAGATTTCATGATACAACTCAAAATTTTAAAAGAGTAATTAGTTAATAATAGTTTTAAAAAACAATTTGCTCAATTCAACTAACCAGCTCCAAGTATAGCCGCAGATAGATAGTGTACGGTGAGAGCCCGAATCAAATTTTCCTGTGTCGTCATAACGTATAGAAGTTCAAACTCACTAAGATGCAACGGGCTCTGATCCAAAGCTATATACATTCGTACCTAAAAATTATATATTAGTATTAATGGCACTTTCACCCGTATTTTTGGCAAGATTTCGAAGATTCACTCTTTAACAATAGTCGTTATAACCTATCCCTACTCATCTCACTCACTCACACTCAACCACTCTACTGATGAAAATCGTACAAAGATCGGTACTTTTGACGTTTTTGCGATTATACAGGACATTATTGAATTGTTTTTATTATCCCTTATTCACTTTCGCTTTGTCTCACAGAGTTTAATTGTATTCAAAGAACCATTAGAAAGATATTTAATTCGTGATAATATTGTTGTCAATTTCTAAAATTTTCTTTTGTGGACCAGCAAACAGATCGTGCACCACACGCATTAAATACAATAAGGAATTTTAATCAATAGAATAGCGGTGGCATAGTGGTTTGAGCTTAAGCCTAAGGGTCCCCCCTTTTCGCTGATGTCGTAAGTTCGAACCCCGGTTGAGCACCAATGGACCTTTTTGTGTATTGCGCCTTTAGCACTCGCTTGAATTAAAACATCACGAGGAAACCGGCATGCCTTAGACGCAAAAAAGTCTACCTAATCTATATTACTCGTCTATTAGAAAAATCAAATGATCAGTTTGGTCTACGTAACGGTGTTACGTTTGGTCTACGTAATGGTTTGGTAACGGCAGTAGTTTTGTTATTCAATATTAATGAAACAAATAAAACTCACAGCAGTATGCAATGTTAACGTTAACTGTAGTGGGTGTATATAAAGTCGTTGTATAAGCAATGGTCTTGCAAGATAATTGGCTTCGGATAAAGCTTCGCTGTCTGAGCAAGGATCAGCAGGTGGCATAACAACGCGAGCTAATTCAATAAGAGCCGACACGAAGGCGTCTTCGATGTATAAGCCTAAGGGTCCAACTCGAGCCTCTATCTTTGTTAACTCTGAAATACAATTCGCCAATACAAAATCCTGGATTTTGTTTATACTTCTCAAATCAAGCTATAGATAATATATTTTTGTATATTAAAACACAAATAAACTGTACTTTTAAGAAATTATGACTACTTGTCACAAATAAGTATAGTGATGTCCGTTTAAACAAAAAAAAGGCTGCGTGTACTTATGTACGCGCGTAAGAAGTTATACTTCTTTGGCATTATTAAAAATAGTTTTTGATTGCATGCAAATAATTAATTACAATTAAATAATCAAAGACTGGAAAAGGAGTCATTATAGTCAATAAAGTTTAGTTTATATTTGAAAAATTACAATAAACTTCAGTTTACATTTGAAAAATTAAATAAATAAATATTTATTATTATTCGACTAACTTCATTCTGTTAATTTTGTGTCTCGGTGCGCGCGTATCGTAAAATTTCACTCTCATCAATTTTACATAACGCGCCTAAAGAAGTATAACTTCCAAAAAATATTTTACATAAGGTCATTTAAACTTAAAACACTACAAACAGATGCATCTTGTATATTTTGATGGTACCTATTACTAATATTTAATGTACGAACAAACACTGCATGTGACTTGAGGTCGTATCAGTAAATTACCTTTTTGTGTTAGGCATCACTTTGAGAAAAATAATTATATTAGTTCGTATCACTTTGATTGTATCGTTGTTTCAATAGTAGAGAAGAGAATTTGTAGCAAATTTAGAGTGTAACCCGATTTTGATTTAATTATATAAAAACTCAAAATCAACACAAAATTTCGCATGCAAATATTCTAGTCAATGTCAGGTTTGACAGTTGACAACTTACCATTATATGTATTCATGTCCGCCGTCCATCTGTCACGGCGAGCGATGAGCAAAAGTCTAGCTGTTTCTTCCATTAAATCGAACATATTTTCGTTCATATTCCACAGAGGCGGCCAAAGTTCTTCCGCTACTGGGGCATCTGTGGTAGCGACAACTGCGAAGTCGTAGTCTCCGCTCTCATATTGTGTGTTATCGATGTGAACGTTTGCAACTGTCAGCGTAGCTTTTTGTTTCTAGAACAACGAATAGGTGAGATTTTGAAATAGTTAAACATATCGATTAAACTATAAAACACCCTATGGCTTAGAAGGTACTCCCGTTTATGTTTTCCCTCCTATAAGGTGCCGAATATGTTCTTAATGTTTGCCGTTGAATAGACAGCACGTAACATATCGTAACAATAGGGTATTTGACAATATGAAACAAACATATTGAGTCTATATAAAACATGACTTTAATACAAAGGAGTAAAATACTTTTAAAAAATCCATAATTATAAGTTTGATTTTTATACGTCAGTCACCTGACACAAAACGGTCACAGATAAGCCGAATCGACAATAATGTAGCATACCAGTAAATAATGTCGTCATCTGTCTCGTCCTATATATCTTAGAGTTTTATTTCGTCGGAGACTGTTTTTGCTCGAAATATATGTGTATTTGTGTAATTCAAGAATTACAATTAACTCGTTAAAAACTTGACGTGTTTATAAGCATTGTACGTGATAGGCGCTGGGACGTATTTAAATCGATGTTTTATGATCGGAAATGACAACAAGAACTATTTTTTTTCCTTTTTCGAATTGATCGTTAAAAATGGTAAATAACTCACTCGGGAATTTTCTCTAGCCCATAACGATAATCGTTGTAATGTAAGAGCAAGTATTGGCAAATTGTCAGAAGCTTTCGCAAATGTTATGGTAACGCTGTCCACTAACGCGCGGATTCTGTCCACTTCGTTGCTCTTCTTTGACCATACTGCAAAACAAAACATACTTTTGAAGTGAAACTTCTTTATCGAGGTTGGAAAAAAATTTAGTGTAACATTTTTTCGTTACGCGTCACATTATTCGGTTACGCGCCATGTTGCTTTTTGAAGTCAAACTTCTTTATCGGCGTTGGAATGAAACTTTTTTATCGACGTATGGGAGAAATTTTTCACGTTTTTCAATGATAGTAATAATTCTATTACAATTAATGAAATTCTATAATAATCTTCGTAGTAATAAGGTAAAATGAAATATTTGTATTCATGTCTATGATAATGAAAGCCTTTTGTTAAACTATATCTAATTTAACGAATTTCTGTAAAGTTGCATATAGTAGATCATTTTTCGAAAAATAAGATCACAAAGAAGTTTCACTTCTTACGTGTGTACACCTAGTACACGCACAATTTTTTATTTTTTATTATTACTATTCAATTCGGTCCCATCAATTTTTGTATACTAATTTCAATTAATAGACACATTTATCTAACATATAAGATACAGAATGCTATATTAAATTGTTTTTTTAGTAACATACCAATATTATCTTTTTATGACAAGGCAAATCGCACTGTTTGAAAAACAGGCATTATTGCCTATACAAATTACCAAATAAACTATACCGAACTACAAAAATAAAACATCATACATTCAGTTTTCCATGTCGTAGAGTTATAGGCGTTCTGATCCATAAATACTATCTCTGCTTCTCTAACTTCCAATAAATCTACAAGAAATCATAAGATTTTTTTTTAAATAAGCGAAGTGATAGGACAGGTCTTTAACTCGGCAACGGAAGAAGTTTTATTGTAGTAACATACGGAATTCTAAGGCAAGCGAGGTACTTTGTCATTATCCTGATTTCTTTTATATCATTAAAATGATTTTTGGAGAGACTATATTATGAAAATTACCGGTTGAATAAGATATTAACAACACATTCAATGTCTTTATTTTCTACGCGAAAAGTGAAAATAAATTTATCATTCAACCAGTTATTTCGTTACGTCTCCCCTACCTTAAGCTTACGATTGTTAATTAGGTGATTGTATCTAGATGAGATCACTGATTAAATTTTCAATTGAAGAGAATGAAAATCAAATAAAAATTATTGTCACTGAAATCGTAATTCGCAGTGTATCACCTTCAATATCATCCTTGACTGCTTGCGACAGGTTTGCTAGCGAGGAATCGTCGAGCGTGTCCATTTTTGACGTGGATGCCTAATAAAGTAAATATTAATAGAAAATTAATTAAAACAATGTTTTATTACCACACGTGTCACACATTCAACTTGTAATTTGGCCATCGTCTTCTATCTTAATATTTAATTATTAAAAATCTTTGACACACAATTAAGTTACACGTATAATTGCGTACTGTACTGTTATACGTACTGTTTTATATATACATTATACATAGCTTAGAGACAATAATCTATCGAAACGCGTTTATGTTATACATTTTCACCAGTCCTTAGTCCCTAGTCTACATTGGACAGGGCAGTTTGTAGGTCTGTTTGGGTACGGTCGGGGAACAGGTTCCGGAAAAACCACGGAACAGATACTCAAAGTATCACGGAAGTTGTTTTTAGTAATTCTGGTTTCTGAAAACACTGGCACTGCTTGGTGCGGCTCTCAGTTCTGATTAAGTGGTCGAACGATGCGACGTCACCATTTTTAATAATATACATGTAGGTCGATTTACGTCATATGGTATACCTGTTCCGGTGGGTTCTGTAAAGATTTCTTCCGCTTGCTAATTGCTGACTGTAACTTCTGCCTTGGTTTACCATTTAATTCCGTACGCTTTGGGTGTACTGAAACTTTTTATATTTTTTTAGGTTTACGAAAGTAAACGAATTTAATTAAAATATATAAGCTTTTCCCTTAGCCGAATTAATTCATAATAAATATATAGATGTAAAATAAAATATACTCACGATAATTACTGATAGCTGCCTGATTCTCAACCTGTAAGTTAACAACATTTTTATATTATTATATTATGTAGTATTAGTCAACAGCATATCTTGTCCCTAATAGACACGCGAAACGATCCGTCTTTCCATTTGGTCAATTACAATCAAATCGTGTTCTGTTTTGAATTCTCTAGGGAGTATGAAAGACGAAATTACGACGCGTTTGATTATGATTGGTCAATAGAATTTAGTCCAACACGTGCTAAGCGAGCACGTCATTGCGTACGTTCGTATGTACAATCACAAACATACGAACCGTTGCTTCAGTCTTTAATTTTAAATTCACTCGACTCAAAGCTCAAATCATTTATTTCGAAAAAAATGTCATAATCAATCACACGCTTGACTTATTTCTTGAGACTGGAGTATTTTTTAATCTTACCCTAAAACTTTAATGAATCTGGAGGTATTTTATGTTGCATTTTAAAAAAACCTAAAAAAATATATATGCATTCAAATCTTATTTTGCAAAGTGATAAAAATGTATTATTTATTTGGCGAAGCCAAGTCATATAGGCAGGTATATCAGAGTAATCGTACTATTTGAATTAATTGCATATAATTTAGACTTACTTTATCTGTAACCGGTTTTTCTACTTTCAAAAGTTGGCGGCGTATTTCACTGGCTGATAAATCATACTGAAAATAATATTAAATAATTATAATCATATTTTAAGAATATAATATGGTCAATTGTTTAAAAATTTAGATTATTTATTAGTGTCTATAGAACTAATGCAGCTGATAAAAAAAATAGAGGCAATCGTAGTGTTGGAGGAGAATGTTGCAAATACCGTTAACTGCAAAAAGAACCAATAAGTCCATTCTCAACCAACTAAAGATCACCACAAGATTCAACTATTTTGATTTACAAACAGGTGCTTAACTACTTTGGCAATATTGCCAGGAGAGAACCGAATAGTCTCGACAAACTGGTAATGTTGTGGATAAATGATGGACGGGGGAAAGAAGTCGGGTTCGATCGCCTACCCGTTGGTCTGACTTAATTAAGACAATTATGGGTCTCAATATACCTAATGCACTGAGACAACCTGAGGATAGAGTGGCGCGGAGTCGACGTATCGGTTAGGGTTTTCAATACAGGCTCGACTTCAGTCATGAAGACTACGAAGAAGAAGATAATAGAACCAATACAAATTGTTATTAACATTATACATTCATTATATTATAACGCCAAAACGCTCCTCTAGATAAGATGTCGTCGGAACAAGCTGTAAATACGTACACGAACGTAATTTTTGTAACACATTCATTATCATTGAGCTATTTGTGTGTATCAACATCGTTAGACTAATCCTAACCATTTTTGTATCACGTGACGGACGTTTAAAAATTAATATTTTTAATAATTCATTATTTGTAGGTTATTTAACTCCATAGTGATTTTAAATTCATTTTTTATATATTTCCATACTTTCAAATAGGCTATATCGTACCTGATCCACGTCCAATAGTTCGACAAGTGTAGTGTGAGGGTTGGATTTAATATTTAATTTAATCATGACACCGTTAGTAAGCTGTATCAAGGTTTCTCCATTAACAACCGCAAATGATTCACTCCAGTCTGGGTCTAATTCCTCTGTAAAAATACTAAAATTTACAAAAACAATTCGACCGTTCCCGGACTATGAATAGTATGGCGCTATTTATGGACAAAACAACAAAACAATTGATACAATATAATTACAATAACTTTCGCTAAATTTCATTACTTGAGGTCTGAGGCTAAATTTGTTTTAATTAATAATTTAAGTGAAGATATATTAATAATAATCTGTTTACCTACTTGGCTAAATTTGCACAAAATGTGGGACCTCACTTCGACATATATATTTTTAGTTAAATGTCTATTATAGTTAATCTGTGGAGATATAAAAAAAGTACCTCGTAATATGCCGACTAGCAATTGTTGCATCAAGCTCTTTGTGAAAATTTTAGGTGGATACGTATTATAATAATGTGGACAGCTATAATATGTAGATGATTTTGCTTCTATGACACACCACCATTTTGTCCCAACGCACTCTCGAATACCTACTGGTTGCTGAAAAAAAAAACTTATATTTTTAACGGTCCACGTGTTATTGTCAGTATTTGAGAATAACATGCCAAATAAAAAAATCGCAAAGATTTCTTTTGATCTTGTTTTCCAATATATGCATAAAATAAACTATACAAAATGGATTTTTAGCGAGTTATGACACACTTAATAAGTATTAGAGAAATATTTTATAGTCTATGGGAAGAAATTAATAAGTCTAAATAGATATTTGCTTGCCTTATTGTGTAACTTATATATGTACTGTGATATCTAAATGCTATGGGTACATCTTATCCAGGAAATTAAAAATACTCACCGGAGAATCTACGAACAATTGGAATTCCTTGCTATTTTCTGGTTCAGCGATAGCAAGGGGTTTCGCTGTGCGATTGCATATCAAGAATTGTGGGCAGGGATCTTCAGCCACGGTTATTATCCAACGACCCGAGTGTTGTTGCTGACAAACGACGACTGGGATCTGAACATGTAATTTAGTTCATTATTAAAAATAACTGAAATTCTGTTAATTAATAAGTGTTGATAGTGGTTAACGTACGTCCTTATGGTCCTAAGGACGTGCGTTCAAAGTCCGTATACCATTGGATGTTTCTTTCAATGCGCAATTAACAATTGCTGACGGAAATCGCGAGGAATATTGTTTATCGGTTCTAGACCCCAAACGACAAAACTTCAACATATACATACCTTCTAATTTTACATTAACTGCCAGTTCTCAAATCAAGGGCGTAGAACGGACGAAAAGAACTGGAAATAAACTCTCCGCCACTCTTATATATTAATTATTATTACAAACATTTTGTAGAAAAAAACCTCGGCTATTCAAAAGAGTGATAGTGTCAGTTCTCGTCCGTTCTATGGCTTTGATTTGAGAACTAGTAGTAAATGTGTATTTCGAGACATTATTTTTTTCTGACGTTCATAAGTAAGTTACATTCATGAATAAATTATTGGATTTGGTCGCCGAATAATATAAAACATAAAATCATCAAAGAAATGGATGAAATTAACTACTACTGTAACGTAGTTACGGCAGCTATAATTTAACTATAAACTACAGGATCAAAGCTATTAAATTCCGGTAAACATACCAATCGGGTACCACAGCGCAAGGCTAGCGGGCGGCGGAAAGGCGACTTTCCCAAAAGTATAGGAGCACCCGTTTGCCCGGAGGTGTCATCTAGCGAGAGACATAGGAACGAGTTCAATTCGTCCACATAGTCCCCAAGCCATCGTTCTTGCAATGTGAATTGGGTCAACGGCACACATTCAAGTCTATTAAATATATGAAACGGTTAAGCCAAGTATTGTCACTATTAGCATTTGTGTATTATGGAATGACGTCTTTACTTCTTTGTGTTAAGGTGTATTTTTAAACGGCTTAAAAAAGATGTTATCAATGTACACTGTGTGTTAGAATTGTTTAATATTTGAGTAGAATATTTGATTTGGCTTCTAATGCGCCCATTTTTCGTAACTCTATATTTGTCCTCAAATTTTAGGAAACCACGAATAGGTAATTTCAGATACTGGTACATTCCAACTTAGAGAAGAGTCAAGTTTCATCAAAATTAGTTCAGTATTTTTTAGATATTTAATCATCTACGCATTTTTAAGTAAATAATCTTTAATTATATTAAATTTCTGAGTACTCAATATTTTGTATCATTTAAGAAGAATAACACTGTCGTATTCCATATACCTGTCTTCTAGTGCAGGATGTATTACTTTGTAACTCTTCGGCCGAAGAACAGAAACTTCTATTTCTTTTGGAACTCCAATGGTCGACACCTTTAAAAGAACAATGAGTTAAATAAGCGAAATAGCTTAATACAGGTATTAAGTACATATATTTATTTACTTACATAAAGCTCCATTTTAAGTAAGTTTCGAATGGCGAACGACGATGTTATCCCAAAAACATACATTGACTCCTCTATTTCAAGGGTCAAAGATAAAAGTGCTACCTGAAAGTAAATATAAATTTAATAATTAACGTATTAATTTTCGTGCTTAAATTCCGGAGCTTAGCATTATTTATATTTACTTAAATATTAAAATGAATGAGACTATATTCCTGTAATTTTCTTTAAAATGTATTTTCATTTAACGTAATACAGTCAAGACAATTCCCTATATTTATAAAGACGAATCATTTTACCACCGTTCCATTCAAATTATTCGTTTGTTGGGTTGAAGGCGTTAACTTTAAAATGTAATGGTTAGAATTTATAGATAGGCTACCTACATAACGCTGAAGAATGGAGCAAAGCTAGTATAATAATTAACTAAAAAACACAACATGATTGTTCATTCAGAAAGTTAAATGTAATTTTAATACGAATTTTCATGCACTTATTTACTTTGTTCTTTAAGAGCACTGGCCTAGTGGCTCCAGCGTGCGACTCTAATCCCTGAGATCGTAGGTATGATCTCCGGCTGTGCACCAATGGATTTCATATGTGTGCATTTAAAATTCACTCGTACACGAAACCATCGTGAAGAAACCTTGGACCGAACAAGACCGACGGTATCAAGCACAGAAGGATAATCACCTATTTGACTATTTGAACAATAAAATGATCACGAAACAGAAGTTTGAGGTTAAACTAAAAGGTTGTAGCGCTAATATTTTTGTTTAGTCATTAAGGTGGTACATTGTATATGTACACGTATGGTATACGTATTTTTAGGTAATTTTTAAAAATAAATTAAAAATATCTTACTTTCTGATTGCAGTGTATTGCACAGCGTGTAGGACGATCCAACCATATATGTTTAGGCGAAGGCTCTTCATATCGTCCGGGAATTTTACAATGCACCTCAAATTTTGTGCTCACAAACGTTTCCCGTCCCATTTCGATCGACATGTAGAATGGTTTCTGCCAAAAATATGTTCTCAATCAGTCGTTATAATTTTTGTTTCGTTACTAAGTTTTTTGGACTTATGAAAGAGGTGAAAAAGGGAAAAATTTAGGTGAAACGGAATTTTAAGATTAATTTTAATTAAAATTATGGCAATGCTCGCTTACGGATACCGTTGGATATCGCACTTAGTGTCCCGGTAAAACAAAAATTTATTTTAGAAGGCAGATCACCTACTTGCCTTAAAATAGTTCTATGAAATAGACGCTTATGTTCTTTTGTCATTTTTAAACACCTGTAGAACTACTAGTATATTCTTCACAAATTTCATTTTGGTATAAAAATCTTAAGAGAAATTCACTTACATCAATTATATTGTTTGATGCCGCAATTGCCACGCCGGGTTCAATCTTGCAAACCGGTGCCCCATCATGCGATCGTAAAGTTAGGGCAATTGTAGACGCATTCGCGAACAAGACTTGAGGTAGCAATCGCAATTCTAGCGAACAACCACCACCCACACGGACAGGTACATAGCAAACCTAAAAAAAGTCAACGAATACGATTTTCTATGGAATAAGTGAAAGACGTAACACGAAGTATTAAGGATGTTATTCACGAGATTTGAATTTTGAAAAAGCTTAATAGTTGTAGGTTTTTTAACACACCCTATGTATGAAAGAGAACATTGTGAGTAAACATGCTTTAGACCGAAAAAGAGCAGTGTTGGCTTAGTAGCTTCAGCGTGCGACGCATCATCCATGAGGGTCATTAAAAAAATCGACAGAAGTCAGAACGTCATAGTCGTAGAATAGTGACGGATCTAACAAATAGTAAACTTTACAAAATAATACACTCATGTTAGCTTTTGTTATAACTATTTTAATTCATATTCTGTTATTATGAAAATTGGCATACAAACAAACAAAAGGGTTTGTTTTGAAACAAAATAAAAATAATAACATCCGTCCCCTTACCGACTGATTAATTTGAAATAATCAATGTAGTATCCAAATATGATAAAAAGTAGATTTTGGATTTTTTTCAAATCCGACATTGTTCTACGATCATGACGACTGAAGGGTGGTCACGTTTTATTCTTAAAAGGCCGGCAACACCCTCGCAAAATTTAAATTAATATTGAATGTATAATTGCTGTTAAAATTTGACCCAGTACTTATGTAAGAAATTAATAGAAACATTAGAATTAAGTCAAAATGAGTAAAAGCTGTTATTACGAATAAAAAATTCCTCCGTCTTTCAATCTAGCCAGTTCGTTCCACAGCCCTGGGATAAACCTCATCCATGAGTAGGCTATTAGAAAAAAAATCCGCACTCGCGAACCCTCCGGCATTGAGAGTGACCATGGGCGGCGACACCACTTAACATCTGGCCTACTTGCCCATTTACCTCCAGTTTTATAAAAACTAAAAACTCTACTAATTGTCTATCAAATAAAAATGATCAAAGATGTAATCTGACGGCAACTTTATAGCGTTGCACCGCACTTGTTTTTTTTTTACATTAGTATAAGTAAAAATTTCTACATACGAATGTTAGTATTGCAGTGTTTAATAATGAAATTTTAGCATACATTGATAGCGGTTTTAGGTTGCAATAAGGCTGGTTTCCAATCACCGGCCCAATGGTTTCTAACCAATGTGTGTGGCCACGTCGATTTGGCATCAAGCCCGGATCTGCTCAACCTATAATAAATACCCGAAATTCAGACAATTAATATTTTTCGAGTTATTAACAAAAAACGAAGTATCATTTTTTTTCATCTTATTTTGTTAATTGTATTGCAATTTTTAACCTGCACCAAAATCCTTCAAAAACATTTTTCTAGAGGTGATTCCGAATCGAATGAGCCATCGCTCATATTTTTAGGACCTTTATCTCTATTTTTCACGTTTTTGAACTTGTTGACTAGACTATATCGGTTTAGTACTTTTTCAGAAATTGATTTTTTGACGTTCATAAGTGTACATTGTGTGACCCATTTGAATAAATGATTTTGACTTTGATACTTCTGGACACGTATCTATCTATCACTAGTAAATCATGTTGAGAGGTATTAAGTAGATTATATTTTTTCTAAATGAAAGAATAAAGCATTGGTTCAAAAAATATCTCATGATAAGCACTATACCATTGTTTGATTGCATCAAGGTGTTCATCAACAGTCTGCACCGGGGGGTGCTCCTCAAAAACAGGCGAATTCGAGTTCTCGTAGCGCAGTTCTAGTTCATTTTTCGTCACCTGGTACTCGAAGTCCCTAAATTTACATTTAACTTATATAAAAAAGAACGGTAGTATGAAAATAAAACTCTTAATGAAATTACACAACGGAATAGCCATATAAAAATCTAATTAAATTTCATATTAACTATTCTACCCTTATTGTATTCATTATAACGTTTATATAATAATAATTATGAGCTGATTGAAAAGAACTGATTACGACAGGAACTAAATATGGCATAATAAAATATGAAGATTTTTAATTTTTTTTCTAAAAATGGGGAATTTCCACAAAATTTAAATTTTTGCATTTTCATTTAATACAAAAATTAATTTCAAATTGCGACAACTAAATTATTTTATTTTCTGTTATCGTATAGCGAATTTATCGTTTCCCCGTGGATATAGATGTTTTTAAAAGAAATAAAAAAACGTATTTTTATACAAACCTATATTGTAGAGAAATAAAATTCTTGTCAGTCGACTTGCCATACGTTGATATGTGCGTACAAGCTCCTCGACCCGGAGCCGTCTGCATCCTTGCATACTGCGGCTTTGGATCTGCATCGGAGCTATAGTCCGATGTTATCGTCATCTATAGAAAATATAATATTACGTTGTACTACTATTGTGTTAACACGATCAATAATGTTAGCCGAAGAAACAAGTGCTTTAAACCCATCTCAACCCGTTTCTGCTCATGCAGTGAAGAGCAGCGTGGGGCAACCGGTATGTCTAAGAAAATAACCAGTGACCCAAAAACCCCAAGGACTCAAAATGCAAGAACTTGATCAGGCTTCAGTTCCTGACACACGCTTACGATTATTGGCCCTGCATGTCGGTTTCCTCGCAATATTTTCCTTTTTTCCCGAGATAAATGCTCACATAGAAAGACAAATCTATTAGTAACAGCCTTGATTTGGCTGACCTCAAGTTTAAGTTGCTGTACATTTGGGTCAGTTATATTTTGCTCGTTTTATAAGCGTGGCGTTTACTTCAATCGTCGAAACTACGCCTTAAGAATTAACCAGACGCAGGCACTGCACTCTCTTTTGCATTACTAAACATTTAATTAGGGGTAGAAATAATGATCACCATTTATACGATTTTTACGGTTAAAAGTTAAGCATCCGGACATCCAACAATAAGTCACAAAATGCAATGTCGCACGCACTACTTCCATATTATATGTTGATTTTTTAAAATAAATATTATGCTTATATTATTAAGTTAATAAATAATTTATAGAGCGAAAACAATGACCTCTATTAATAAAAAAGTATTCGTCAACTCATGAATTTTGAAACTTCGACTTTCAAATCTTGTCTTGTCAACATTCGGTAAAAATTCTGAAGACAAATCAAAATTGTGAATCTCATAATCCTTATTAATGGATACATACATTCATATCCAGTGGTAGTTCTGAAGTCAGCATATATAAAGGCCAAAACGTCGCGATGAATCGTCCATCTGATCGTGCGCGAACTACGCGGCACCACACCGCTACAAATGGGACTTCGCCCTGATGAGGAACTGGAAAAAAACGGGAATTAACATAAATAGAACATATCAAGTAATCTAATTAAAAATGTATGTAATTATTTATATATTTGTGTGAGCCACAACGAAATTAAAAAAAATACTTATTTACTTTTCACAAGCCATTGCAAGTTTCTTCTTCGACATTCTTGCACAGGTATATCCCCAGACCAACCAGATTCCTCCGCTGTTAATTTCACTCTGAAGAAAAATTAAATACACTCGTTTCAAAAACAATACTTATTAGTTGTTGTTTGTATTAATTAGTCTTAGTTGTACGACTTGTAAGCTGTTTTATTATTAATATATATTTCGTTTAATTTTAGGCACTAATACTTGCAAAACACGAAAAATTTACTTTGAAATGCAGCAAAAATAATTATAACGTTTAAATTCTTGATTTCGATTATAAATACATTTCTTACTTGAGAGACGCAAGTCCTGGGCCACATAGAACACTGAGACCAATGGTTTCAGGATTTAAAACTCCAGCAGTGATGGTCTGCCATGGGTTAACCGTCGTATTCCGATATCTCACCTATACGTAAACAAAATAATTATGAATAAAAAACAAAGGAAAATCCATTTCGTATTTCAGCTTTATGAGGCAGAATACGCAATGCCACACTTATCACCTCGACGTCCGTCATTCCACAATGGAACGTTTTTTTAAGTTACTTTTTGCCGCCCTATGTGGATCCAGCTGCTCATTTTAATTTCTGAACGAATTTGACTTATTCACCTTTAAGATAAGAGTGTATTCATTATTTAAAGGCCGTCATCGCACTTGGGGGCCTTCTGCCATGGCCATGGCCGTCGGTGGCACTTACCATCAAGTGCGAATACTGTGTCCGTTTGCCTGATTGCATTAAGCAGATTTTATTTAGTATTTCAATTAAAGTTTTTTTTTATTTTTTTTGTCTTACGCAATTAATTAAGAGGACATGGGTCTCTTACCTAACTAAATATTTTTTTCATTTATTAGGACACGTATGAAATATCGATTTCATCAGATATTAGAAGTACAAATATTTTGTATTATACCCGCAAATATCTAGTAGCAGTACTCTGACTAAGCGCAAACTCTTGTATGTCAAAAACATATTTGATTAAGACATACGGAAGTCGTAATTTTTGCAGTTTCAGTTCGAACCAATCAAGTAATTAAGTCATACACGTACAAATAATTAACAGACAATAAATATTAAAGATTATAAAAAATACAGATTTTCCTTCGTTAAAGTCAAAAGCTAGAGGTGTGTTAAAAGCTTGTGATAGGCTAAATACATTACCATATACATAAGAGGTTGCCTCAGGACATTGACCAAACGCACACGACCCGACAAGAACATATCCCGTCTCGCGCCCGTACTTTTTATACGCACATACAGCGTTACAAACGTCTTTTCTTGCGCATCCTTTTCACTGGGTCCTTCCTCAGAGAGATTTTCTAGAACCACCTTGCAGGAACCCTCTTTAAAATCTATACCTGTTTGAAAATGTACATCATTTGTGATTGTCAAAAGAAACTGTTTATGCGTGCTGTAGAATATTTCTTTAGAGATTGCGATGACATTCTTCAAAATTTCATCTTAATTAGCTTAGAAGTTTAGATCTTAGCATATATACGTAGAAGAATAGACGGTAATTTTGTACCAGTACTATAACACTATGACATGTTCGAATCTATGGTTCAGTTTTTCTGTGGTAGATTGATCAATAATTTAATATTTTCCATATATTTTAGACCTCTGCTAATTTGAAAAGAATAATTATTATTATAATATGATTATAATATTTAAAAAAACTAACTGTTCGACCAATGCCAATCCGTACAGGGCCCAGCAAAAGCGAAACGTAGCTTTTTAGGAGCCAATGGAATGCGCCATCTGTTGAGAAGAAAACAAATATATTAACAAAATCTATTACAATCTGTAACTAGACAAATATTCTTCCCATATAAGGCTTATAATTGTTTGAACCACCCGCGATTTTAAGTATGTCATTTAAATTCAATGAATATGCGAACTAGTTATGAAGAATAAAAAGTGTATGTATACGTGATATAAGTATACGAGTATTTTTGACAAAAATCCTTACCTGTACGCATGACTCACGCCAGGCCCAACTGGAACGACTTCTTTCGTGGCCTCTTGTCCAATTCTTAAGGCTACACTACATTGGTTATGAACCCAAAGCGACACGCGGCCGTCTAAGGCTTCGACGGGACTGGCTGGCTGTTTAGCATGTATATTCATGTGGCTTTTGAATTTCTAGAAATAAACAAATATTAAAGCTATAAGAAGATATCTAAGATAAAATAAAACTCTATCTTAAGAAAAATGTATAACGTCCTGTCAGTTGATTTATGGCTCATAGATCAATCATGATTTGCTTTTCAAGAGAAGACCTAATTTTACTTGCATATAAAACGGCATTCATAAGAACCTTTTTTCGTGGATAAAAAGAGATTGCACTTTCTGTAAATGTCTAATTATTTTCCAGCCCTATTTCATACGCACGACGTATTCGCTATAAGCATTTAAATGAGTCAAATTACGAGGTTAATAACATTTTTTAACAAAACTCATACATTCTAAGGAACATTTTACATAGCAAAATATCACACCTGATTGTATACATTGGTCCAATCATCTATTAGCGCCCGTACGGTGTAAACACGCGGTACATTCATCGCTATAGATATTTTTCCTGCTCGTACATTGAGCCGAGGAATTTGCTCTAGATAAATCACTCCTTGGGCTCGAAATTCTTCCAGGAATGGCTCCAATGTTCCGGTCGAGCTGTTTAGTATGTCACTTCTGAAATACAGATCGTCGATAGGTATATTAGTACGAGGTTATTCTGAGTTAAATCCTTCATATGTATTCAAGTGATTCATAAAAACTATAAAAAAAGTATAATTAAAATTGTATATAAATTGTCATAAATCTTAAGTAAAGTCCGCCATTTCACATAAAAAAATTGTTGTATGCTCACTATATGTCACAAGCGCAAGATTTAAACCTAGATGACTCTGATGAATAATAATTATTATTAATCTAGAGATGTTCCTTTAAGATAATGCTTGAAGTCTTGTGTGGGCACAAGACTTCCAACAAATGTACAACAACAAATTATAAAACTACAGAAATCTATACTAAATAATTACATTAATATACTATTTTTTTTTAAATAATACCATACTACTTTTTATAATAATACTTAATGTTTTTTTAATTTTTATTCCAGTATTTATTATTGATACAAATGCCGAAAAGTGGATCATCTTTAGCTGAGAAGCCATAACCAATTTATTAAAAAAAAAATTAATTGGAATACATATATGGGTCATAAATATAAAAAAAATAATTTTACTTACGACAATTCAGCGTCAAACACGACTTTCGGTGTAGATGCGATTAATAAATGAGCAGCTGTATCCGTTAGGCGTAGATTTGCAACACGATGGCTTCGACATAAAGGGCGCGACACATAATAACCTTCCAGAAGTCTTGCTTCTCTAAAAAAAGCTATCTTTGTAAATTTCGGTTATTTTTTTACATACATTTTGAAAAATTATTTTGAGAAATCCGGCATGCTTTATACTCTTATTTTTCATTCCTTAGAATTCTGACATTTCATAAGTGTTGCTACGAAAAAAGTTCTTCACCGAAAAAGGGACAAATTTGACCCATTTGGGGGCAATCAAAAATGAAATGCTACGTATTTTTTATGTTTTACCTACAAAAAGGTAAATCTAAATATTTACTTACTCAAGTGATCTAATACAAACATAACAAATATTTCAATACCACGAACAATATATCAAATGAACTTTAATTACTTTATATTATTCTTTAGCTGGCATCACTGCCTACTAATTCCGGGTTTAGTAAAACTTAAAAAAAAATATGTTATCTTTACTTTTGAGTTTTTTAACGTTAGTGATGAAAAGGAACGTAATTATCACTCGCCGTAAAACCACTTTCAATGTGGACCACCGCACTTAATTAAATGGATACATTTACTAACAAATAAAATGTATGAATAGACTCAGATACATTCGGTTTGTCATCTCTGACTCGTCAAAAAATTGTAGCTGTCAGAATTCTACGGAATTAAAAATCAGAGTATAGACCCAAAAAGTCGACGGCGTGTGTGCACAGAAAGCTGACCACCTACTTGCAATTGCTAAATGAAAATCACCACGAAAACCTTTAGTCACAATAGAGAATGTTTGTAAACAGATAAATAAAATCAAACCTGTTTATTATCGGCATCGAGTTGTGGACATTTAGTTCAAAGCAGGAAAGTTTAAGAGCTAACTTCAGGCGTGGTAATACATGGGGTGCAAATGTTGAGTCTATTCTTAGAACTCCGAATAAGTGCTGACCCGTCACGGCTTTACTCCCGTAATACATTTCAACTGGCGGATCATATGCCTGTAATATACACTATATTGTTGATCAAGCGATTCGACAGCGTTTTTCGTTCTAGAAGACAACGTGTATGTAAAATTGGAAGAAAGTATTTTGTATGTGAACCCTTTAAATGAATAATTAAATATTTCGTCAGGTAATCTTCAGAACTTAGCACTGTCTTCACGCTTATATTTTTAAGACATATATGGAAATTATTAATATTGTATGCAATATTAATTTTGTTAAACAGCAATTACTTCTAATAGCAAGATTCTTAACTTGAATATATTAATATCATCTTTCTAGATTTAAATCTTAATATATATATATTTCTTCTGTGCGTGTGTATGTGACTGAACTCCTCTCAAACGACTGGACCGATTTTGATGAAATTTTTTGTGTGTGTTCAAGGGGATCTGGGAATGGTTTAGATTCACAAATCAGCCCGGCAGATGGCACTGCAGTCGGTACTTTCATACTTTGCTTAATATCCTAATCGCTTTAAATATCATGCAGGACAACGTCTGTGGGGTCCACTAGTTAAAGTATATATTTCATTGTGCAAAGTAATGTTCAAGCAATAATTTGCCCTGGTCAAAGATAAATCTATTTTAGCGTATTTCTTAGTTTCAACTTTAGAGTCCCTCTTTTTATAACTTTCCACCCAAATACCAAAAAGGATCAATACCGGTGAAAGCCGGAAACTGTGAAAATCACAAGCATTTATAATAAACTAGAGAATAACTTTTTGCTCTAATTTAACTTACCATTGGATCCCGTCCAGGTAAAAATTTTGAGATATCAAACTTGTAGTTTGTGGGATTGGTCGTGTGATGTGAACTGACTTTTACTCGCCACAGACACCCAAAAACCGCTTCTGAAATTTATAATAATAGCTACTTTTGCGTAATAGTACGATTTAACTTTGAATAAACAGTTATAATCAATGCGATAAGAGCTTAAACTCCCAAACATATGAGAATTTAAATACAACAAACTATAAACAAAGGAACGCTACTTAATTTACGTTACCAATATAAATAAGGATTTAGATACAATTAATTGGATAAACAGAATTTTACAAATTAAAAAAAAGATTGTTGTCAAACGGCTACAGGCTTACTAATAAGCTTTTAGGCTATACGTAGACATACATACCTGAAGGTTTAAATTCTAGTGGATACTCTGTGACCTCGGAAATAGGTATTTTAAAGGCAGCCTGTCTTTCCCATCTACTAAGCAGAGAAGAATAAAGTTCGAGTACGCATTCGGTATCTGTATCCTGCAAATTATATTTTTATAATTTTTAAGATTAAGTAAAATCAAGGTATTACATTTGATTATTTTGTGCTTAATTAATGTTTAAGGGCTCGATTTTAGTTTAAATGTTATATATACAGTAACGATATCTTACCCCGTTATTAATAAAAAAAAATCCATAATCTAATAATACACGACTGGGTACATCAATATACAAAAAAAAACAATTGCCGTACAGTTTTGAATCCTTAATAAACAATTACATGATATCGGATTTAAGCATGATTAAGGCAGTTATGAGCAGTGTTGGCAACTTAGCGAGCGACTCTCATTCCTAAGGTCGTATATTCGAACCCCGTATGTGCACAGATGGACATTATATGTGCGCATGTAAAACTCGCTCGTACGGTGAAGGGAAAATGCCTTACACCAAAAAAAATCTATTTGCCTATTCAAAAAGACATATTATTACAAAAAAAGGGTGCGTGTACTTATGTACGCGCGTAAGAAGTTATACTTCTTTGGCATTATTAAAAATAGTTTTTGATTGCATGCAAATAATTAATTACAATTAAATAATCAAAGACTGGAAGAGGAGTCATTATAGTCAATAAAGTTCAGTTTACATTAGAAAAATTAAATAAATAAATATTTATTATTATTCTCTTACATTAAGTGTAACATAAATTCTATTATTATTCGAATGTTGTTTTTAAATTATGTCTAATGCCGTAGCATCTTCCGTGGGCAACTTCATTCTGTTAATTTTGTGTAACGGTGCGCGCGCATCGTAAAATTTCTGAGGTTCATGAAAAATATATAAAGTTCGTAAGTCCTACCTGATCTGGTATTGGAGATATTGTAAGCTTAGTGATAGCTCTAGGATGAGGATACCTCCACATCACGCGGTCATCTTGAATTAATATTTGGTAAGCCATCGGTACTGGTCCATCTTTAACTATCTTGAACGCACCGCTCCTAAAAAGAAATGTATTTTAAATAAAAGTCCAAATATCTTCGCCACTTGTTGGTGGTGGTTGAGTTGACTTTAAAAATTCCCATTCAATTATTGACCTAAATTTAATTAAAAATAATCTAGAATATATTTAGTCTTACCTAAAGTCATCCGAATAAAAATGATCGATAACTTCAGAGTCGGTGGATGCCATGGCGGGTTTGTTAATAAAACTGCCACTTTGTATAATAATTGGCAGGCTGTCTGTTGATGTCATTTCACTACCTGCTTCCAAATGTTCCGACTGCTGAAAAACAATTTTGGATTTTTTTATTAAAGCACTCCATCTCATGAACTACAATTGTTCCAAAAATATTTATTATAATTACAAAAAATACAAAAAGAGTACAGATTATATACTAATGCGCCCAATGAATTAGGTACCTGATAATTTTCTTCAATTCTTAACAATATTTGATAGCAATAGTTTAATTTCGGGCAAAAACATAATGAGATAAACAAATATTTGATAAATGAAACGCTCAAGTATGTACTAATTTATTCAACAAAATTCACCTGGTTTCAGAAATATATAAAGATTTATATATATTCGTTGGCATACAAATCTTAATATATATATTTCTTCTGTGCGTGTGTATATGACTGAACTCCTCTCAAACGACTGGACCGATTTTGATGAAATTTTTTGTGTGTGTTCAAGGGGATCTGGGAATGGTTTAGATTCACAAATCAGCCCGGCAGATGGCACTGCAGTCGGTACTTTCATACTTTGCTTAATATCCTAATCGCTTTAAATATCATGCAGGACAACGTCTGTGGGGTCCACTAGTACTATGTAAAAAAATATTCACATAATTCAAAATTAGTTAAAATTTTAGACATCGGAGCCAATGTAAGATCACATTTGTTATCTGTTAGTTTTGGCTCCATAGTGAGGTGACCTGCTTAAAACATAGATTAAAGTGAATGAATCGAGATGGACTTCAAACATTTGTGAATCAAATTCAGTTATTATACTGTAATTTGGTTTTCATAATACTTTTTCTATTTAGATATTTCGTATTTCTACAGTTAATTAAAATAATAGTATGTTTTGTTTTAATTATAAGGTATTTTTATAGTGAAATTTTCCCTCACGAGTATTCATACATTACATTAAAAAATCTGAGGTCTGATATGAGGTCAAATGTTATCAATTAAATTGGTCCTCCTATTACCCTGACCCTTCTCCGTGGTCAGAAGCTCAGAGTTTTAGCCCGTGAGTCCAATATATAATGATCACCATTTAATATAAATGAAAAACGCATTCTGCCTCATCATAAATTTCGGGTCCTCTATCAATATAATGCACAAACCTCATCATCCATCAAGTCCCGCAAAGCTTCGTTCACTTTATGTACAACATCTAAATCCTCCGGTCTTATATCAAGGATGACCTGGTCCAGATCTATTCCCAAACGAATAGTAGGCTCACGGGCCGAAAGAGTATTTTCAAGTCGACGCCACGCTTCCCACGTTGCACTTAAATGTACGCTGTAATGAGAAATAAAAATAAGGAAAAACATCAAAATGTGTTCGAAATTAGGACAGCATTAGCAAACTCTATTTAGCACTTTTTTGACACGTCTATACAAATTCTATTCAATCTTATTCAGCCACTTTTTTTACATATATATATGTAAAAAAATAAAGATTCCAATATACAATATATATTCGAATCCTTATTTCCCACTACGCACACGTGAACGGATGGAGCAATTTTGGAAAAAAATTGGCGATTAAAAAGAGTGGCGGAGAGTTTATTGCCAGTTCTTCTCGTCCGTTCTACGCCCTTGATTTCAGAACTGGCACTAAATGTAAAATTAGAAGCATTTAATATGTCTTTCTGTATTGAAGTTCATAAGTGTACAATGTACATTGTGTTACCTAAATGAATACATTAATTTTTTTTTTTTAATTTTTATCTTGTTTATCTGGAGAAGGTTCCCATGAATGAAAATATTAAGGAACTTGAGCGGAACATAATAAAATTTCAGAAAACTTAACGACGATATTAATTTTAGACAGCTGTTAGTTGTTTGAAATAAATGTCAGAGACAGAATGCGCGCTGTAAATTTCGTTTAACACAGAGCATTACAATTTAATGACTCGTTATTTGACCATCTTTCTTCAGATTTCCTTGTCCATGTAACCTTAACTCCCTACTTTCCCTCCCATCCAGCTCGATCGTCAATATTTTAGGGAAATTTATTTCTGTTAATAAATTAAAGTTATAAATAAGATTCTCCCCTCCATACCTTGTAGTAAAATGTTAACCTCTTGTATATATTATTAGATGTCTGTGTGTGTTGTATTTATTGTGATGTCATTTTTGTTTTGGGTAACTCTGCTTAGATAAAATTCAATCTATCAAAATTATCAAATCTATCCTCACTGTGTGAAGACTTAGAACGTGACATTGGCGGAATTGTGATTTACACAGATGTCGCCATTATAAATAAAGTGAAGTGAAGTGAAGTGAGCATTACAATAACCAACACAAAATTTTTAATCATATTTATTTTTATTTATTATACCAATTTGAATTAAATATTCATAGTTAAGATAGGATAACGTTTGTTGAGTCAGGTAGTTATAAAAACTAAGTTTTTATATAGATACCATGGAGCGTAACTTTTGTTTTCATGCATTTTGGAAATACTTTTAATGAACGCTACTTGAGAGGCTCTTATGAGTTCCGTATTAACGTTAGGCAAATATTCTAGTTATGTGTAATATTTTTGAAGTTATACCGCCGCCCGCACACCGTCACAAAAAGCGACACCCTGAAACTGTTCAAACGTCGGTAAAACAGCCTGGGCCGCTAGTTGGCGCTTGCTCTGTTTAATCGACATGTTGCAATCTGTCATTGCGTAGAGTTTTTCAGAGTCGTGTTTATTTAAACCAAAATAATGATTTCTATGTGAGAAAACCCGTTCCAATGTAATAAAAAACATAGTGTTTATTGTAAAATATCATCATTAGTACATATTATATAATTTAGATTAGAAGTGACCATTAAAATGAACAAGAAAAATACAATTCGAAGAGGGAAACATCCCTCTAAAGTGCACGAAGAAAATTATTGAGCCAAAGAAGTATAGCTTCTAACGCGTGTACATAAGTACACAAAAGTTTTTTTTAAATATCGTAGATAATCAAATCTTGTGAAATTAAATTAAAAGTTATTTACCCAACAAGCATAGGCTGTAGCAAATGACATATTTCGCTTGACGGTCCAACCGTTACTCTTTGTATACAAAATAGTACTTTGCAGGTTAATCTGTCTGGCTTTTTCCCTGCTCCGAGCTGAAGGGATGATATTTTGCAACTAATGGAGCACATTTCACTCTTCAGGTCTATGCTACTGGTCTTCACTGTTATATTTTCAACTCTGTTTAGAACTGAAAAGAATGTATCAATAAGATCTCACTGAACTCTAAATTCTGTCTCTTTTTACTATAGCGCAAACACTATACGTCAGAAAGAGACGAGTGAGTACGTCAGCTAAAAGCATCAGTATCAGCGTAAGTATACGTATAATTCAGATGAATATTAGTCGAAACTCAGATTTAACTTAGACTTAGATTTTTAGTTAATTCCGGTAAATTGAAAATACTTTACTTATTAACTACATACGCTGGTGCGTTCGGTTGGCGGAACAGACTAAATTAGAGATGTTAACTTACTTAATCACAAACAAACGAAACGCACCATCGTTTAATGTTTTGTTTTACATTCAACTGGAAGTAAAACGAAATAAGGAAAGAAAAAAATCAAAGTACAAGTAAGTATGATAGTAAGTAATATAAGTACCAATAAGATTATCTACATACTCAAAAATCGTCGAAATCTATCCAATGGTGGCTTTGCGGACGTTTGGATGGAGTTCTCAGTACGCGGGTATTTTTTCTGTACCTGCAAATCGATAGAATAATACTTTTACTCATAAAACATATTAAACAAGTACATACATACTACATTAACAAATAATATTAAAAAATAGTTACCAGTTTTAAGATCCCTTTTAGCCTTTTCATTTTATCTGCGGAGAGCTCAACTTGCAGTGGGCGTTCTAAGTCCATCTTGACGGGGCTACATTCATTATCACTGCCTCCTCCTAAAAAAGAACATTTTCATATCTGGCAAGGCTTTTGATTTAAACTTTACCATAAAAACAGGGTTCTAATTGATTTAGTATTATTTTTAATAATAACTTCAAATTTGTAAAAAAATATTTTTACGCAGTTTTGGACTTTTTATATCTGCACATTTTACACATATACGGTGAAGGAAAACATCATGAGGAAACCGGCATGGCTTAGAACCAAAAATGTACACGGACTGTGTCAGGCACAGAAGGCTGTATGTAACCTCTATATGGATGTTAGAAAAAATAAATGATCACAAAACAGATAAAAAATTTGACTCTCAAACTTGCAGGGTAGCACTACATTATTTTTATTTATACGATACGATAAGCACGTGTCTATATAATTCCCATCAAATAACTTGGCTCGAAAGTTATTTATACGAGAAAATTATGTGAAAACTTATAAAGAACATATTTCTGCGTAGCCAACCATATCCCCAGGGTTTATTTTACGCTTTTTAGGGAACAGAAACAAGCAGGCGGGTCATTTAAAGTTTAGTGTTTCAACTGCAACCCTACCTTTAAGTATACACTCTTTTCTTGTCTCCTCTAAGTAATAACGGTTGTTATTGAGCAAAATTTTACCTTTTGAAATTGCCGAATTAGGTATAATAATTTAAATCACTTAATATTTTTTAATAATTTAAATACATTATATATTGCATTAAAAACTTACTTGGCGCAAGAACACCTTCCACTCGAATCAACGCTGGTTCAATACCAGTCTCCGGATCGACTACACCAGACCCAGTTGTCAATAGAGGTGAAGACCACTGCCCGTCTGATTCACCAGCACCGAGACCAACCCACAAATCAAACAGGGATGCCTATGGATACAAATTTTGATTGGAAATTCAAAGAAAACAATTCACAAATGGTGATGAATGAATGATGTCAAAACGAAGTCTACATAAACTTCCTTTTGACAACACGATAGACTTTATATGTTCTGAAGACATAAAAGAAAAGAAAAAGTCAAGCCCAGCTTAGTAGTTTAAAATTATTATGATTAATGAGAAGGCAACGCACTTGCGAGCCTTCTGGCAATGTATCACTTAACATCAGATGAGCCTCCTGACTGTTAGCACTCTTTTATAAAAATATCAGTATGTGTGGTACTAACCTGTATCTTCCTTTGGTTCTTACGTTTGTAATAGTATAAATTAGGCAGAGTCAATTTAACGTGCCAAAGCGGTATATTCCCTTCAGTTTTTCGTGCCATTGGAAGAACGGACTGAAATTAAATTTATTTTTCTCTATTAAAAATTATTGGTAGAAAGATAAATATAAATATATATTTACGGAAGCACTCGCCTTTTAAAGGTAGTCCCTAATGGAGGTAAGGGAAACACATTTTTGTGCCTATTGATAATTTTTATTGCAAGTAGGATCTCCCTGTATCCATAAAGTAGACAATTTATTTGCCGTGAATCGAATACGAATATGCCAGGAATAAGAATAAGTATCCATTCCACTTAACCATGGAATTGATATCAAAGATTATTGAAACATAATATATAAAATCGAAACAGCGATTTCATTACAATTTCCTCCATGATGTGTTAATTTCATTATCTTTATAAACTATATACCAGTATATTTATATTTGGTCTCTTGTATTCATTAGCTAAGTGACAAAGACAAAACATTTGCAAATTAAAATTTATATTTACCGCAAGATCAATGTTTTGCTTCGCTATGTCAGAATGGCGCGCCGTGTCTGTAAGACTTTTACTAGCACCCATAGAACTTGCAAGGTCATCGCGTTCTTCTATAATAACCTACGAAAAAATTATCAAAGATAAATACCGACATGAAGTGAGTTTACATAGAAAATGTTAGTAAAATAGGCCTAGAAATGGGTGTGTCCGAAGACCACCCCTAAACTAATAATTAAGACTAAGACAGGTCACGTTCTATCAAATTCTAAAACTAGACGTATGAATTAGTATATATTATAGTATTAACCGATAAAAGTTCGGGGTTTTTGAACTTTTTAAAATAATTAACAATCGTAAATTTAACCTTAACTGTTGGTTCATTGATGGTTTGCTGAGGTTCCTTGGGCGGTGGACGGTAGGTCACTGGTGGTCGAAGTGCGATTACTTCTGGAGAGGCATCGTCGTTTACGTACATAGATATTTCGATTGTCCACATAGCTATCCATAATTCCAAAAATTCAGATGATTTTGAACTAAAATTTAAACATTAAATTTTTTCAATTCTAAAAAGGCGAGCCTTCTGGTAGTTTGGCGGTGGGTATCATTCAACACTAGATGAGCTTTCTGACTGTTTACATCGGGTAGATTTAATCATTCGGAATCAATTATTGTCTTCGAATACAAGTGACTTGCAATTATTGATAGTCCGAACAAACTCTTCCGTAAGTCCATTCTTTTTAAATTTAACTTATGGGAGATGAAGATGACAGTTATCCCTGAATTAGACTGAAATTAATACGCACTACGAACGTATAAGTATTTATACGCTTGAACGAAGCTTAAGGTAGGTTCCAGATTGCAATTTAATCTTAAAATTGTCTAGCAAAATACAGGTTTAACGCTTCTTGCTTACCTATAATCTATGAAATCTACCGATTTTTTTTGGGTAGAGGTATTTTGAACGCTTTGCGATGTGACGATGCCAGAATCAGTTCGAACTAAGGGTGAGAATATGTCTGTCGACGTCTTCGGATCTGTAATATTCACGATATATTTTTACACAATATCTGTAATAATTTTAACAACTATTTTGTACGAATAAGCTACAATATGTCAAAGTTTATTAATTCTATGCTTTATTAGGAATTCTTCATATTAAGAAAAAATATCAGTGGCAATGCAAAAAAATGTTTATCCAATTTTTTTTAAAGTTTGTAAATTCAGCAGACCTTCCTAGTAGTTTACTTTGGCTTAAGGCTTCTAGTTTTTTACGTACGTTTATTAAGTTACGATACTTTTAACGTTTTTTACACAAATAATACGCAGCTATCATAGTATACACAGCAACGACCGGAAATAACTACCGACTTTACTAAAATACATCCCGTGCAATATAAATTAACAACAACAATAATATCGGTTTCTAACGGTCTTGTACGGGGTATCAAACATAGACGAAGAAACGTAGTTTATGAGGCCTAGAATAATACTACGGTACAATACATGTATTAAAAACAGGGATTTACTTGAACCTTACCTTCAATTATAGTAGACTCACAATCCGATGGCGAGGCATCGCTCACTTCACTGATAGCCAAATTTGCGTAGGGACACACGTTGTCTTCAAATTGCATAACTGATATGCTTTCTCTGCGAAAATATTAAGCGGTTTATAATTGTATGGTGTTTATCGAGACATAAATTATAAGTTATAATAATAATACAAGAATATTTGAACGAAGGTAAAACTAGTAAATATTTCTAGAACTTGTTTTTAAATATATATATATGCGAGTGCTATAAAAAACAGTTTTGCATAGGAAAATAAATGGAGATAGAACTTATGAAGACGTTATGGAAATTCAGAGGTTTCTTACTTTCGACAAATATCCTTGTTATATAACTATTGATTATATATCAAAATAAGTTTCTGTACTGTGTTACTGTATTAACCAATATCAGTAATTTATTTATTAATATAATATAATGTAATTTTTATAACAATTTGAAATAATCCATTATAAAAAAATTATTTCAGGCTACCGATAGGCTATCCTATTGACATTTATGTAAAAGATTAAAAAATTCAGTGCTCAAATACTTTTATTAGATTCCTACGCGATCAGGCGGAAAACGGCTGCCTTCGTACACAGCGCATTGAAAAACAGATTTGTAAAAGGTATTGTGAATACGCGGATTTTTTATATATTGCAGCACTTGAGGCCTATGGCCTATTTTACCACTGAATAGGCAACAGGCTATTAAATAACGACATCTAAAAATACTAATATAGGTTTCAAGCAAATTTATTATTAACTCCTATTATACTAGTAACTCTATAATACTCTTAATAATAAACTATAAAATAACATTTGATTTAGGAAATAATTGTAATATAAATAAATCAAATATTTTTTTGTACAATAGCATGTGAATAACATAAACACAGTCAAAATTTGTAATAGCGACATCGAAGGGCCTACTCATATTTGGTCGTAAAAACCGATAGTCATAGCAGCCGATGACATTGTTATTAAGAACCTAATGCAATATAATTCAGCCGAGACCTTTGATTTTGGTCAATATAACCGGTATGTTGTTCTAAACGATGTCGTCGTCAACGGTTTTGACTCTATTTGTAATTAAAAATAAAAGAAATAAACGCTCCTTGAATTTATTAACCTGTTCTAGGGTTTTTGTATGTAATACATGTTTATTATGATATAACTCACCTACGTTCCAGAGTTTCGGTGAGCCGATGAAAGGTTGATATCATCATATGGAGACGGTTAAGACTTAGCTCTAAGGAACATTCGGTGACTAAATTAACTTCTATAGCAGGTCCACAAATTAATGTCCCCATGACATAAACAGGTGGTGCTATTAACAAATTTATGTCCATACTGAAAAATATTGAATGTTAGTATTATCAATAAATTAGGTTATTCTTTAAATTTAGTTATGGCTAATTGACCCTATTGGAAGGTGTAGCTTTCTATTAATTTCTATCTTAAAGTAAAAAACGGGATATCACTTACGAATGCAATATTGGTGTAATAACTGGCGAGTCGATTTGTTGACTCCATTTCAATGCCGGGTTTTCGCCACTCGTTTTTAGTAATTCTGATTGAAACACCTACAGTTTGGAAAAATATATTTTAAATCAACTAAGTTTAATTAATCTAAAATCCTATGGCGCTACAATCTTTTGGGTCTAGGCCTCAGATTTGTACATTTGTTTCGTGATCATCGATTTTAAATAAGAAAACAATCAGTTTTCTGTGCCTAAGAGACGCCGTATTCCTCACCATGTTTTCCCTCACCGTACGGGCAAGTGTTAAATGCTAACATAGACAGAAAGTCCATTCGATACTACGAACTCAGTTAAAGTCGCTCGCTGAAGTTACTAGGCCAACACTATATAAATAGTCTACTTCTACTATAAATTAAAAAAATAGCAGTTCATTAAATAGTTATTAAAATATAAAAGCGAAAAACCAAACACCTACTCGTTTATATTTAGTAAAATAAAATATATAAACAATTTTTCTTCTTACCTCGTGATTGGCCAGCTGTTGGAACTGGACAGATCGTACTGCCAAACCCTTTATCAGCATCTCATATTGGCGTCCTTCTATTACAAGACTTGAAATTAACTCATTTTCCGGCGCAGGATTTATGGGGTTCCTAAAGATAAATAAATAATATTAGAAAAATAATTAAAAATAATTTGTGTTATACCACTTTGGAATTTGAACTAAACATTACTTAAGACATATTTTTTCAACAAGGGTAAATGGATGACAATAGTTTTAACAATACGTGACAGTTTTTTTCTGGGGTTAACCACACCCCAAACTCCAGCTTGACGTTTATTTATGGGAAATTCTCTGACAATTACCTGCCCTATCCCCCAATTTCAGATTTCATGATTTATGGTACACATTGATTACTTAAATGATATTTGTAAAGCCAGAAACATTAGAACAATATTTAACAGTTATTTAATGAATATTTTATGTTTATTCACATGGTTAAATTTGAGACAAATGAGAGAAGTTCCAGATCCACAGACCTTTAATATATGAAATTCATGTAAATACCCAATCGGCTTTTGTCAACATTGGCCAGAGACATTTAAATACCCGTTTCATTTAATTATCTTTATAGATAACCTGTTGCTTAAGTATACTTTAGCCTGGTATCGAATTCTGTATCGTGTTATAATAGATTAAGTCATTGCCTTCCATTGAACCGTTTTAAGTTCGAACAATTTTCGCACGATGTGTACGCGGCTAACAAATTTTCCGCCGAAATTGACCCCTTACTTATTTTATTCACAGTTTCACAGATTATAAACAGACAGCCCTTACAAAATCTTGCGATAAATTATAATTTATATTTCTCGTTAGTTAAATTCCATATATATAGTTTTATTTCAGTAATAATTCACTTAAGACATTCAATAAAAAAGTTAAGTTGCAATGTTTACCTGCACATTGGATTTTGTGGATACGGGTTTACAGTAGTTTTACCCAGCTGAAAATAAGAAATAACGTTTTAACATATAAAACGAACCATTTCCATGTACTCATTTATATAAATTAAGTAGAATTTAAAATTATAGACTTTGAAATTTTAAAACTTATAAATTTTAGCTCAGTACGCTTCAAGTGTTTAGATAATTCACACAACACTTATTTATCAATACATAATAACTTACCACAAACATAATAGTGTCGTCACCGTTACTAGTATCAATTTGATCAGCAAGTAGAAGACGCAGACCTCCCGCACTCACATAGATCAGAGGGCGATGTCCTTCTTTCAGCCTTTAACAAAACCGTTGTTTTATGGTTGTTTTTTTGTTATATACGTTAGTACTACGACATGCGGTCCATTCCCATTAACTCTGCCACGTTAATTTCACGATGGCTGGATATGTTTTTGTATTTATTTTCTCCATTAAGGCTTTTTAAGTAATATGTACTGTGGTAGCCCATTCGGCTTTAAAGGCTAAACCTCCTAATGTCGTGTTTGTAGCTACAATTGATTTATTTGACGGCTCATTGGCCTAGTGGTTAGTACCCCTGACTGCGAATCCATGGGTCCCGGGTTCGATCCCCGGCTAAGACGAACATCGATGTGATGAGCATTTGGTGTTGTGCTTAGGTCTTGGGTGTTTAAATATGTATATCTATCTATAGTATATCCGTTGCCCTAGTACCCATAACACAAGCTTCACCAGCTTAGCATGGGACTAGGTCAATTGGTGTGAATTATCCAATAAAAAAAAAACATTTTTTAGGTATAAATAAGAATAGTATTGTACTTCTAATATGCGCGACACCTAATAAATTAGACGTTTCACAGAAACTTTAAGAAAATGGTTAAAACGTAAAGACGTACTGGAACTAAAGTACGAAACTTTAGTTCCAAATACTAAGGATTTCCAAACAAAAATGTTTAATGTTACGCACGATAAATCGTTTAGAATTTACGATAAAAAATATTTTGTTATAACAGATAATTTCATAATCATGATAAAAGCGGAAAACAAAAACTATGGTTGGCGATCATGATGGCTAATTTAATTTTCGATGCACAATGGCTTGGTGCTTTGAACAAACCATTGTCAAAGATGCTTTGTAGACGTGCGTTTGCAGCCAGGCCTCTACCACCTACCACCCTGTCTCTTTATTATGGAGTTAGTTAGTTTATGATGGTGGCCTTAATAAAAAAAAATATGATGTAAAGCAAAAACCCCGTTCTCGCTCGATCCAATTTATGTATTTGGAAACTGGTACTAAATGTTAATTTAGATATTTTTTTAAATTGTACTCTCGATTACCAATATGATTAAATCACCAATATTTCGATGCAAATTATGATAGAAAATTATAATTACCTATTTTCCTGATTTTGTAACGGACAGCTATTCTTGGGAGCGAAGAGTCGGAAAATACTAACGATTGGTTCCAAAATAGTTGGACGTAAAACTGCTTCTAATGGTGCCAGGGCTACATATATTTCCCAAATACGCTCGTCCTGTAACAAGTTATTTTTAATTAAGACTTTTATTTGGCGTTTTTTTTCTTACAAGATTGTGCAACTCTCATCCCAAGGTTTAATCTCCGTTAGTACACCAATAGCGCATCTAACGCTCGCTCGTACGGTGAAGGAAATCACCGTGAGAAAACAGGCATGCCCTGCCTACATGCCTGAAAAAATGATCATGAAACAGATACAAAGATTTTTGTAAAACTAAAAGGTTTGGCGCCATTGATTTAACCTAAAAAAATCTACTCTGACTCTTTTTATCTCAGCTCTGCAGAAACAATTTGACAGAAACAGACAAAATAATAGTTTTGTTAAAAGCGTGCAATTAAACCGAGATACCAATACACTTTTTTACAATTAGATCGCTTATATACAGGGCCATATCTCAAAGTACAAAGTAAAACTTACTGGTTCTATTTTCTTAAACGACTTCAGCGTCAGCTCTTCATTTAAACTCGCTGGTAATTTGGATATTCTGGAAGATGAACAAACTTAAACATAAATTCTACATAATAACATTAAGCATCAAACAATTAAACTAATAGTTATAATTAATCACAATCCAAAGTTGTTAAGCGGGAAAGTTTACGTACTCACTAAGACTCATTTAAAGCGGGACGTCAGTGTATTAATAATTTATTTTTTGCGCAAATTTTATATATTTTTTCATTTTTTAGTAAGGATCAACTCCTGTTTAAATAAAATAAAATAAAACTTACAAAACTGATGTAACAGTGACCGATAGAAAATCGCTTTCTTCCGTAGCATTTGTTGGCTCTCGAGCTTCCAACACCCTTCCTCCAAGCACACCGGGCAGCCAATCTTCATTCAATCTATATAATGCGTTTTATTCACAAATAAATATGAAAATGTTAACTGAGTTTTCGTTCACGTACGTTTAAACGTATTCTTGCAGATAGATTATAATTTATTGCAGTTATCAAAGATAACAGCTACTTGTTGTCTTATTAAGGTTATTAGACTATCCTGAAAGCAAGCCTAGGGCGGGATAATAAGAAGTTCGCGCAGCAGAAATATTTAACAATTTTCAAACCGCGACATTCCAGCTAAAATATTGGCAAGGCTCTCATGAGGTTACTTGCATCCCCGGAATCATAGGTAAATTAAAAATCTTATAAAATAAAATGCCCTTCAGAATCCAAAGTTTTCGATATCAATTGCTTACCTCTCATAATGCTTGATTGAAGCAGACGCCACCTTTATCTTCAGCTGGTCATATCTGTCTTGCATATCCAAGCTACTGATGACGTCATCCGCGTCAAATGCTAGCCTAAACCCGGGCGTGGTCACTAGGAGCGTAGCGTGGCTCACCACCCATTGGAACCATAGGAATGTTTTTAGCTTTTGCGCTGTAATTATATTTGTATGTAAAAGCGTGCAATGAAAACGTCTGCTGCAAAGTGCTATTTGTATTTTTACATGAGCTTCAGTTTTATATAATAGAAGAGTCCATTTACTAGCAGATTAAATGAGACGGTCATTAATATTAATATTTCTATTTATTACTACAAAAAAGACTGATGATTGAGCCGTCGTGTATCTACTACCATGAACTAGTGCGGTTCGACGTAACGATTCCGTGACTAAATCAAGCGTGACTACACAATTTCTTTTAGTATGTAGCTTTTTTGCCACCCCTAATAATAGTAACGAGTGAATGTTTGACCGGGAAATTGGAAGTAAAGAGACGGAAGCTGGGCACTACTGTCTCTAACGCCATTCACCTAACTGGATATCGTCAGAGGAAACAGCAGTGCACTAATCACTAACGGGGTCGGGGGCATCACGACGCTCAGCAGTGAGCAAGCTATCGGAGGAGGAGGAGGAACCGTTCATATCAGTCTTTGACACACGTAATGGAAATGACTTCAATGATATCGTATACCATATAGATCATAGTTGTTAAGCCTAAGTTTAATAATAGAAAATAAATTGTTATCTTCAACTTACGTTCTTTATCAGGATATGCTTGGAAGATTGATATAAGTTCCTCAGATGGATGAATGCTCTCTGCATCCAAAGATATACTCTGCGTATCTACTTCGGAGGTGGCCCTAAAAATCAATATTGAATTTACATAATACATTAACGTACACCAAGTAGCGAAACAAACTTTTCACTGAATTAAGTAATAACAGAGCTAAACTAACAGGTAAGATATGGGAAGCATTCTTTTTCTACTTTGAAAAGGCAACACTCACCTTAAGAGAGATCCCTGAGAGCTGGAAGACTTGGTCTGCTTCGCCAATTTTAGAGGAGACGCTTGAAGCAATCGTAACACATGAATACAACAGTGAATTGCTTCAGCTATTACGTTAATCTGGAATAAAATTAAATGTGTAGGACTTAGGTGAGATGAAGTTATATTTCGATGTGTTAAAATAAATTACTAATGCAACTGAATGTTGAATTTTTAATATTTTTAGTTTAAATAAAACAAAATTTTCAAAAAACAGACGTAGTAAGAATAAAAATGAAGACACATCAATAGTTAATGAATACTTAAATTTATTTTTAACTAAGCATACTTCTCGACTAATTCGCGTGTAATTTAACTGAGGTTTATTTATCTATTCGTTACCTTATTAGTATATACAAAAACAGGTAACATAGATTATTAGGGAGAAAACGAGCGGCCATATCGCAACCAAGCGATCTATTCCATGCAACCCAAAGTGTTATTTTGAGAGAAATAATTTAATCTGTGTTTAACCACATAAATAAAATACATAATAATTCATTGTAACTATCCTTTGTGCCACATACTTTATTTCTAGGGAAAGATTAGCATAGAAGAATTTTCTTTCAAATAATCTGACTAAACACAATTTATAGATTTTGCGCATTGTTATGAAGATCCATCTACGATAGACTATGGAAACAGCGGTACCCCCCGCTGTTTCCATAACGCAATTCCAGGCGTGCCAGCATATGGAAATTGCGGTGTTTGAAGGAGGCCCTTTCAAAAAAACGCTACTTTGTTTAATAATAGAATAACTAAATATATTTGAAGGTACCTAATATCTGAAATAAAAGGCTTATTAAAGATGATTTGGTGACCTTCCTACCGACCTACATACACTTGTGTCAAAACTTAATACATATTTTTTAAACCAGACCAAAGAGATCGGACCTCATAAGTCATACTACAACTATGAAGCACAAAAAAAACCAAGTGACAATTTTATTTTCCTAAAAGACATCAAATGTTTCCTAGCTTTTGAATTGATCCAGTTGTTTGAATTTTGCAATAAAAGCTAGAAACAGCGAAATTCAATTGTCGATTTTAGTATTTTTCTTTATTATTTATATTACCCACCGTATAACCTTCCCTAAACTACCACAAATATGTTAAGCTCATAATTAGCCATATCCGTCCAGTCATTTTTGAGTTTTAGCTACACCAACGAACAGCCATTCATTATATGTATACTATGTTGATCGGCAAACTAACCTGATCATGATCCACTCGAACATTAATAGGTGGTGTGTCTGCATGAATGTTGACTCCAAGTGACACTATAGGACCATCCTTAATTGTTTCCTCGCGAGGGGACTCCGATTCATTCTCCTTTGCCTATATGAATATATTTATTTATAAAATGTAATATTCATAATATCATTCGTTAGAGAGAGAAGGCACTAGAAAAAATTCTATTAATTACTTTAAAGCAAAGATTTCAAATATTATGGATAGTTATACAAATTATTTAAGAATGAGATTTGTTACTATAACTAGAATTGTATCAAAAATTAAAACTAAATTAAATCCATAATTATAAAATATCAGTACGTACTTGGGGATTGCTTGCTTTGCCTCTGAAAATAAAAAGTTAAATAAATTATAGATAAATTCAATATTATTCGCTTATGAAAAATATACGTAGGGAATATTTATTTTAAAAATATACCTGCTAGATGGTCCTCGAACGAATTCTTTTAATGATGAAGGCTTGAAATCAATACCACTTCTAAAGTACTTTGTTGCCTAAAATCAGTAATATTATTTTTAGGAAAGAAGAAATGTTTTCAGTTACGCTTAAAACTAAACTATGTTAAAATAAAATATCATTTTAAATTATACAAATTTCATAAGAACAACACAATCCACTAAAAATAATAATATATCTGTAAGTAAAATTGATAAAAATAAATGAGTATATAAAAAATAATGCCTCTTAATTTACTTTAACAGCCAGTCTCAAATCAAGCGTAGAAAGGACGAGAAAAATGGCAATAATCTCTTCGTCATTCTTTTACAGCATCGAGGCTTTTTTACAAATGCATATTTTCGAGAAATGTACAGAAAGCCTGGTTTTCTGTCTAAATTTTTTGTGTTTTAACGTTTTATTTTTATTTGGCATAGTGATGTAAATAAACTATTACAGTATTTCCGTGTATCAATTGGAGTGTGTATAAATAATTTGTAACAATGTTAGTAGCATAAGCTGTCATTTTTTAAACTTAAAAACACTTACATCATCAATGGTTAACTCCTGAAGTTTCTTCTCTTTTTTGGGTGCGATAAATATTTTCAAGGATTTTGCAACAAGAGATAATGTTATCGATGTCGTCACGAGATCTAATACTGTTCTTGGTATAAGTTGATGTGTGCTTTTTAATTGCGATTTTAATCCTTTGGCGGATTTTTCCCGACCAGAACGCTCGGCACCAACCCTCGCTTCCAGAGTGTAGCAAGAGACGTCGGCCAAACGCATTCTCCATGGGAATGCGTCATCAACAACACATGTGTTATTGTCAGCTGAAACGGAAATATCCAATAATATACTTATTCCACTGTTACGATAGGAAAAGGGTGAATAGATATTAAATGTTACTATCTTAAAATGATATTTGAATCATAGTGTGATTACAACGCTAAGGACTTGTGTTTGGTGGCCTCAGTTCCCGCACTTAGACTCAGAAAGACGCGAATTTTTTTGTATGCTATTTGAGAGATGCATTTTCAGATATATATCCAAACTTTTTTGTACTTAACAAACTAAAGGTACTTACGCATTTCATTTTCTGGTTTTAAAAATGTGGGTCCGTTTATTTCCACCCGTTCCCAAAACTGTTTCGTGGATGGAGAGATTATTGAAAGATGACCCAAACTGAAATAAAACATCGTCATCATTCGCTCGATTTTTACGATCTCAAATTAACTACATCAGTTAGTACCTAGGAGGTTTCAGAAAAGCTATATAAAAGCAAAGCTAGCCCTCAGAGAAACCTTAAAACAGGCAAGATAAATAGTGAAAATTCAAAAATAATTTTTATAAATTATTATTAATCTTTAATAATATAGGCGCCCTTACTTAGTACATAAGTTTTACACACCAAATAATACGAGGCAATGGTTAACTAATTTCAAAAGTATAACGTACCACAACTTTACAAAAAATTATTTTAAATAGAATAAAAATAAAAAATGTGTGCGTGTACTAGGTGTACACACGTAAGAAGTGAAACTTCTTTATGACCTTATTAGAAACTATTTCTTTAAACACAGTAAATTTTGGTACACTGCCTAGCATACAATTTACAAATTAATTGCTGCAAATTGCGATTAGCAAATTTCAAGTCGAAAATGTAAACCGTTGTCAAACTTCATAGTAAAAAACATACTATATGTCATATTTTAACGCCGATAAAGAAGTTTGACTTCAAAAAGCAACATGGCGCGTAACGGAAAAATGTGACGCGTAACGCAAAAATGTTACACTAAATTTTTTTCCAACCCCGATAAAGAAGTTTCACTTCAATAATCACTCACACATTCCGTCAACATGTTTGTACTTGACAAATATTAAGACACTTACCTAACAACAAGAACATTTTGGGAGGCCATGGCATGTCGCTCTATTGCATCTCTCACTGTAACGCAACCGTTTGCGTTCGCGCTGCTGGATGTTACGTATACATTCACCAATCCTATTTCAACGGCAATTAACAAACGTTTTAACCGTTCGTAGATTTTTAATAACGTCTGTTGAGGCCAACGCGGTTCGGGTATCTTTTGCTATAAAACAAAATTTAGGAAAATTAAACAGAATACTTGTCAACCTGTTATTATCTGTTATTTAGGGAAATCCGGAAATGCATATATGTATTAAAACAACTGTTACCTCAGTGGATTACATATGATTTGAATGAAAGGAAGGAACATATCGATATACTTTACTTTCTTCTTTTAAAAGATCACGTGCTTGGATACTTTATTCTCTAATATTGTTACAAATATTAAATATAAACAAAAACTTTTTGAAGACATATAATATAACTCAAGGAAGTTTCATCAAGTACATTTAGAAAGCTATATAAAAGGTACACGGTAAACCATATACAGTATATGGGTGCAATTAACACTTGTTCACACCTTGGAGTACACTTTGAGGAAACCAACAGTCTCCGAGCATAATATACAATATAATAGAGAAGAAACAAAAAAAAACACTTGTAGCATAATACATATTTTGTTACTTGCGTTTCTTTACAATATATAAATTTAGATTTTGCCAATTTACCTTGTTTTGTGGTTTAATTTCCTTTTTTCTCACTTTCACCCGAGTGTGTTGAGTGGTGACTGCGAGTTCTTGAATGGACTTGCTCGGTCCCAGACCCAGAACGACTTCCACCACGCCCGCTTGATGACTAAAATATTCACACTCTTAAATACCTCAATTACGTATTAATTTATTATTCTTATTTTTATGTACAACTTAGATTATTAATTTTAATTATAGTATACTACTTGATTTTTCTTTCTTTATATCTTATAAGTTAATAAACAAAGACGTTATTCCGATCACCTTCTAGTATAATCATCTTCTAGCTACAGAGAGGAAAGGAGTAACCGCAAGCGTGACGGACGCTCATATAGTATAAACGCTCCACCAAAACGGCTGGACCGATATTGACGAAATTATTTGTGTGTTCAAGTGGATTCGAGAATGGTTTAGATTTACAATTACATATAATTAGAGTGTGCCTGACAACGTGTGTCGGTTCCTGAATACACTATGGTTCCACCCATAATTAATTATTCCGTGCAGTTTTATATTTTAATTTACATCTATATCAAAATAGCGCATAATCACGAAGCTCCTGGTACATTTGACTAAAAAAGATGGATTATTTTGTATAAAATAAAAAGTATACAAAACATACCGGTGTTGTCTGCCTCCGCTTTGGTAAATATTGCGATGAGGAGATTATTCTCGTAAGGGAAACTGTTGAACGTCGCTCTGAAAATATTGAATACTGAAATTTTATACAAATTTATTGTAGGTAATAAATAAATAATATCTATTGCAATTTAGTCAACATTTTACGAATCGATTGCAATTTAGTCAAAAATTGCGTTGAGGACCTTTTGGGAGGTTTTGAAAAAGGCATATGTGCACGAAGTATAGCTTACCAGACACTTTCATCTTCGGCCTATACGCCAGCCAAACACCAAATAATGGATCCACACATATAGCAGTAGGCTCCAACCATATACCGAAATAGTCTACTGAATCTTGTGTCGGCTCTTGGCATAGTTGAAACCTCGTTCTTATATATTGACTAAAAATATTTTCGTAAAAATTATTCACATAAATTTTAATAAATCGTTGATTATCGGATTTGAAGTTATTATAGGCAATAGACTCCTCAAAAGTTAGATCATGAACACATTGCCCATATAATAATTTTGATAAGACCGCGAGAACAATAATTAGCAACTACTTCTGCATTATATAATGACAAGTATGATCGTTAAATGTCTTATTTTTTAACGAATAAAATCTTACGTGGTAGTATCTGTGTCGGGCCCAGAGAATAGCCATACTTGTTTCGGATCGCCACCACCTACAAATAACATTACATCTTGAATTATAGCCCTGTATTTTTACCAATATAATCATAATTTAGATTTATATATAAGAGAGCTTTATATCGATCAAATTCATTATTTTGTAAACATCCAGTACAGTGAGAATTTAAAACGAAAAACTTAACGATAGTGCGCTCCGTTCGATTGTGATTGGTCAATATATTTAGTTCAATAAGCGTTGACACGCGAAATGGATGCCTCGTGATATAACGACCTTTTGATCAATCAAAATATAAATAAACGAATTAATAAAAAATATTTAAAGGTAATTTTTAAACTAATAAAATATATTATTTTACATTCTGTAATGACGTCAATAATATAAGTTTTTTCAGCATTATGATGTGTTTGGATGTTGTTTACTGTATAACACCATGCTTGCAGTAATAAATGAGCTTGCATAATCAAGGTCCAACATTTCCGCTGGAAAATCTAATTGATATCTTGGGTAAAATATAAAGAAATAGGCAATACTAAACGTGTACAAACGCGTACGTTACATAAGTAAACCTAAGTTATGCTACTTACGAGGTGCATGATGAGCAGTCGCTTTAACTGATCCTAATGTAAGGATATGAGTGTGAATCAACTTCGCCCTGTAGCCCCATACCATCAATTCTTCTAAAGAGACGTCAATAGCAACCGCTTCTAAAATTAACGATTCTATACTTAAAAGGATAATTAACACATTAGATTATCCTCGTTATTCATTAAAACTAAATTGCACTCTTTTGAATCAGATACTCATTCGTCTCTGTCTATCTAGTGTTTACAATTTGATGAAAAGAGATAGATGAGATTATGGTGTAAGTCCACTGAAATTTTAAATTCAATGGATGTTATACAATTTTTTTATCTCAATTTGGTATGTTTTGATTAATAATTATTATGATCTTTCTTGTATTATATAAATTTCACACTTTTGCACTTCTTCAATCTGTTTTACTTTTTTTTGTCTGTTTAATCTGCTTTTGTCTGGAATAAATCGCTTAGTAGAATTAAGCCCGGCCGTTCAAAATATAGTGTATTTTTATTTTTGTTTTATACTTTTTAAATCGTTTTTATATTGAGCAATAAAGTGACAACAAATAAAATAAACGGGTCTGCCCCATGCCCTATCATAGTATGGTGATAAAACTTACCTTCATCATGCATAGCGTCCGTAGCTAAAGTTGTGTGGTTGAGAACCTCACACGGTTGCTCGCAAAACAAACTCACGGGAACTAAATAAGCGGCTTGCAAACGGGCTGATGATCCACAAATTTTTACCTCACCTGGAGAATTAAATTAAAAAAATCTTTATTTTAAATGTTAAAAGGCGAGTAACTGGGTAGGCAAGATACACGTTGGACTTTAAAGACAACTATATGGAAAGACCCAGGGGGTAGCAGCAGAAAAGAGTGCCTTAGCAAAAGGTGGATAGATATGGAGGCGTTAGCAGAAAGCGAATGGAGAAAAAAAGCCATGGATGGATAGAGAAATTTGTAAAAATCTGGAGTAGGCCTTGGTTCCGAACAATGGTACTGAAGGAAGTTAGAATAACGAGTAACAAGAAAAAAATTTAAATAACAAACTTTAACTGTAAATTGTTAGCATTTGCAAACATTGAAAATAAACAGGCTTATTATTATTAACTTGGTAGGCGATTTACGTGACTTGACGCGAACGTCTCCAAACAATTACGAAGATGCATTAGTAAATCAAATAGCAATATTTTTTAGTAAATTTTTCATTCGCACGAGCGCGTGTTTAATGCGCACATACAGAGTCCATTGGTGAACAGGGCAATAATCTACAGGATGAGAGTCGCTACCAAGCAACTACTCACAATAATGCCAACTGATAGTGCTAATTTTATGAATAAGTTAGAAATTGCTACTCACGTATTTTAATAGTATAGTTGAAATCGGAAATCCTTCGAGACGTAAAGAAGTCCTTGTGTAGCAGTTTGTGTGTGACGAAATTAAGATTTGCGTCAAGACAAGGATATGGTTGCGTGTCCGTGGTTGAACAGATCGCTGCCTGTAGGGACATATTGCCAGATACATGGAGCCTGGCTCCTTGCCAGAGGGGCTCACTTTTGTATGGCATCTGACAGGCTGCTGAGCAAACCCTGGAAAGGAATTAGGTTTTTAGGTTTCTATTTAGATTTAGTTTAAAATTGAGTTGCGTATGTTTTGCCTATATTTTTGTTCCTGGCTTTTATGTATTTTTTCGTTTCGTAAAACTCAAGAATGGCTGGACCGATTTGTGTAATTATGATCGTGAAATATTTGTGGTAGTAATAAGTAAAGGATAATCTTAACAACGACAGTTGAAGCTTCCAATAAAAACTATTCCTAGGTCGGATTGATATCTTTTTTTTTCATAAAAAATTGTAAAAGTCACAATAAATGGATACCTTTAGAAATTGGTGTTTCATAACCGTAGTAAGAGGTCCGATCTCTTTGGTCGGTTATAAAAAAATTGTCTTAACTTTTGACGCAAATATATGTAGGTGATAGAAAATTCACAAGTTCTCCTAGTAATAAAAAAATAAAAAAATAAAATTTAAACATACCTATGCGAATACAGTGGCGCTGCAACATTAAGTACTGCCTTTGGTACATCTAAAGCGAGTGCAATTGGCACGTTGACTGGTTTCTCCCTCGGAGAATGGTCCCAAGGTATCAGTTGTATGCGCAAACCATTAATTTCAAAACCGATACGACGCTGTGGCAGATTTTCTGACAATGCCTCGCATTCTTCCACGGTAAGTGTACGCATCGGAGGTTCTGTAGAATAACAATAGTTTAGCTAATATCTTCTTATTCATAGTCTCATTACTGAAGGTCTTGGAAAAGCCCTAACCGATACGTTGACTTGTTGCCTTAACACCGCATTCAGCTAGCCTCACAGCATTAGGAAGTTGAGACCCATGATTATTAGATATACCTTTAAATAGCTAATAATAACCAATTATAACAAAAAAAAAATACTACTTATGTATACGCGTTAGAAGTTTTTTTTAAAGAAGTCAACTTTTTTGGCGTAACAAGAGAAATATCTTTTCAAAAATTTTATGTTTCTCCTAATTCTACGTTTGTAGAAAAAACGACACAAACAATGGAAAAAAATACTCTCATCATTTTTCCCTAACGCGCTAAAAGAAGTACAACTTCAAAAAAACTTAAATATTGACTATAGCTAACTTCAGGGTGTCGGTTTTTTGTGACGGTGTGAGCGCGCATCGTAATTATTTACTCTCATCATTTTTCCCTAACGCGCCAAAAGAAGTATAACTTCAAAAACGTATAATATCTAGTCAGTGAAATAGAGAATTCTCTTTTAAAGCTACACAGTAGTAGATTGGAGGTGTATAAAATCAAAAAAGAATTCTGCTTGTAACAAGAATGTCTGGACGTCTTTCTACATGTCATGTGCCTGTTTAAGTAAATCAAGTGAACGAGCTTTGCCTACTATTGTTTGCCGTTATTATTTCACATAAAATGTAGTAGGGCCAATTTAATAGATCACATTGACCTCATCAAAATTCAAGGTAATAGCGGGAATAATTATTATTTATTTATTTAAAGTTACGACTGCACCTGAAACTGCAACTGAACTGAATTCGACTCACATGTGTTTAAAGTCCGTATCCATTCACTCACCATGGAGCCAATAATGTCAGATGTCTACTATAGGATACTTAAGACTATAAGGAAAGGTGAGACGAAAAAGGGGGGCGCACTAGGAAAAGGTGGAAAGAAGAATATAGAAGTATAAACAGGACGCGAAGAAAAAAGGGCATGGATAGAAAAAGATGAAGGAGGTCCTTTACCTGTGAACGGGTTCCGAACAATAGCACTAAAGGAAATTACAATAACGAGTAATAAGAAAAAAATGTGTTATGTAAAACTACTTTAAATATTGGAAATAAGTATTATTATTATAGCTAAAATAAAAAAAATATTTAATAAACACTAAAATTATACACACAATTATGTTAACTGTACAGCCACTTACCTGGAATTTGAAGGGCTGAAACTTGTTCACATATATTTCTGATAACTTTAAGACGATGTAACAAATCCGTACACACTTGAATTGTGATAGGTTGAGTTGTCACTTTTATAACGCACTCTTCTACCCAATCACTGAAATGATATGATAACTTTACTAAATTATACGTAAAAAAACCCTAGTCTAGCCGCCCTATTATTTTTCATTCTTATAGATATGTAAGTGATCGGCCTTGCGTGCTTAACACATGTCATCGACTGTTTGGGTTTAAGGCATGCCGGTTTCCTAAAGATGTTTTCCTTCACTGTACGATCGAGAGTTAAATGCGTGCATAAATAAATGTCCATTGGTGCACTGACGAAGCTCATAACACATACGCACATAGTATTATATTATACTAACAATTTTTTTATAGAAAAAAAGTATGGAAATATTTTACTAGATATTTATGCGCAGTAATTTTTACACGATTGTTTTTGTGTAATTAGGGCTTAATAAATTAACCACAGCAGTTAAAACTATTGAATTAAAATTATATTATATTATATTATATTATATTATATTATATTATATTATATTATATTATATTATATTATATTATATTATATTATATTATATTATATTATATTATATTATATTATATTATATTATATTATATTATATTATATTATATTATATTATATTATATTATATTATATTATATTATATTATATTATATTATATTATATTATATTATATTATATTATATTATATTATATTATATTATATTATATTATATTATATTATATTATATTATTTTATTTTATTTTATTATGGGTTTTATTCAAACAAAACAATTCATTTTGTTGTGTGTTTCGCGAACGGAAGCGAGAAAAGTAGGTAATCTTAATAGGCCCTAGTAATGACTCTTGCAATAAACCTAGCATTTGTATATATTATTACCTATACTCAAAGTCCTTTGGCGGATTGTCATAAGGGTTTAATAGCTGGTCAGAAGGCGTTCTATCGTGGTTCATTTCTACGTAAATAACAGGCGACATTTCGCTCCAAAATTTATCCTTTTCTTCATCGGTTTCCGTAGATGGGCCGGCGATTTGCCCTTGACTCTCAATCTTTATATGTGCGCCTTCTGCTGTCTGCTAAAATAATTAATATTAGAGGCGAAAGCTGTCTTATTTGAAGCCAACAAGCAAAAGAGCACATGCCAGGCACATTCCTATTTTGTTTTCAATATATTTTTTGAACAAGTAGGTGATCAGCCTTTAGGGCCTACTAAATATAAACAATTATTATTTTGCAGAGAAATAAAAACCTTGCGTAAACTACTAAGAAGATATGAAATAGTATATTAATCTACTTTCAAAATAATCCTGAAAAGTTAATTCCAAATCTCGTACAGATTTTAATAAGTTATTATGGCTTACGTCGTTTGTTGGTGATTCCAGAAGTTGTTCATCCGCTGCTACGCCTAATTCAATCTTTTGAGCATTGAAATCGTCTTCTTTCCATTTCCATTCATTATTATCATTAGTTGTTTTAAACAAATAAAGAGTTTCTTCATCTTTCACCTGGAAATATGACAATGATAATGGATACACGTTATAATAAAATTTTACTCACACAAGAAATTTTTCAAGAAACAAATATTATTCCTATTACGAATTTCATCCCGAATTTTCTATGAGTTTATTTTAATGAATTATTTGTGGAAATGAATGTTAATATTATATATCAAAGTAATATTATATATAACAGTGAGGGTTAAAAAAAATAATAAACGGAACCAGTAACTGAACTACGCGACTACGGCACCAGGATACATATTACGTCCGTCATTTGAAAATATGTCACAATGAGTACACTACCGCTGGGCGGCGGGCGAATACGTGTATCGTAGATAGACACTACGCACTACACCACAGTGATATAAAATAACGTCGGTAAGTAAAAACATAGTTGACCAAATTGAAAATGAAATTATATTTTACCGTATTGATATTATCATAGCCACAGACGCATCGGCCACGCGATGATAGCGACAAATCCCTCGCACCAAATTTGATACGAAGCATGGTTGGCGAACATATAGAGCCTTTTAATACAGCATCCTTCGCTGATAATGATAGGATGTTGCGACTCCGCTGACGACCCAATTCTACCTCTAAGACCTAAAAAACAAAGCTGTTTAAACATATGTAGGAGATTTTCATGTTTGAATGTGAAATGTTATATCAGAAGCGACAATTCCGGTCGAGTTCCAGTAAAACTGTACTGTTTGCGTTTAACAATAAATAGTATTGGACATTTGTTTCACAACTTGAGTTTACATATTTCGCAAAAAGTAACTTTTAGACAATAAATGGCAAATGTAAGTGATTTAATAGACTTAGCTTCAAAAACGATCCCTGTCTCTATTATCTATTAATGTAAAGGAATATTTCATAGTCATGTATTTTTTCTTTTCACCTTTACTGCTATTCATTATGTATACTATTGTCAAGAGATTTATATACTACTAGCTGATCCGGCAAACATCGTTTTGCCATGTTTATCATTTATAATAAAAAATAGGGGTTGATCGTAGAGGGGTGAAAATTAGGGGTTGTATGTATTTTTTATTGCTGTATCATAAAAAAAAATATCTAAAAATTTAAAAGAAATTAGGGGTGGACTACCCTTAACATTTAGGGGGATGAAAAATAGATGTTGTCCGATTCTCAGTTATACCCAATATGCACACAAAATTTCATGAGAATCGGTCAAGCCGTTTCGGAGGAGTTTAACCACAAACACCGCGACACGAGAATTTTATATATTCTGAAGAGTGTGTTTGTTTAATTGAACTCAGGAAGGTTTTAAATTAAATATTATCGAATCTATTGGTCGAAGGCTTTATACGTTATAACTTATAAGTCGGGATGTTTCCCGCTACGACTTAAATTGCGCAGGTAATACAACAGGACCCAGTTATTATTTAATATATACCTTGAATCCTAACGCCACTTGTTCTAGATAAATCACAAACATGATAGGTATAGGTGCAGAGGGTGCTAGTGTTTCTTCCCGACTTTCGCGATCCGACCAGGCAGGGAGCCATGACCAGGCCCATTGTGACCAGCTTGCACTTCTTACTGGTTCGGCTGAGTTCGATGATGAAGAAACTGCAAAAAAATAAGAGAAACATTTCTTTTATATTATTACTAGCTGACCCGGCAAACGTTGTTTTGCCATGTATATTATTTCTATAAACATTTTTTTTAGTTCAATAAAAATAACTATCTACTATAATAAAAAAGGGATTGATCGTAAAGGGGTGAAAATTAGGGTTTGTATGTATTTTTATATGCTATATCATAAAAAATTAAAATAAAAAACATTGTCTAAGGAATAAAATCTTGGGGTGTACACCCCTTATCGCTTAGAGGTTTAAAAGACAAATAGCAGCCGATTCTCAGACTTACTGAATATGCATTTAAAAAAATATAAGAATCGGTCGAGCCGTTTCGGCGAAGTATGGGAACGAACAATGTGACACGAGAATTTTATTTATATAGAGATACATAATTCCAAATTATGATACCCGCGGGCGAGAGAGGGCTGGAGCTAAAGATAAAACATTTAACCAAATAATACAGAATTTTTTTTAAAAACTTAAATTTTTTTAATAAATTTTTATGAAATTAAATAATATTTTAAAATTCAAGTTCACGGAGTAAAATGAAAGAACACTTACTTAATGGTGGTAGTTGTGACAATTGCTTAGGCACGGGCGAGGGTGTCTTGTTAGATAAAGCATTATCTCTACAGAGTCGTAATAACAACTCCAATTGTTCATTTGTTACTCCCCATGACATGAGACTAGATCGCAATTGAACACTAAAACTGCTTGCGCGGCGTGATTTTGCGGAGATCAAGCGCGTCAAAACCCTGTACGTAAATATTTGCTTAAAATGAACATCATCGTAATAAATGTTCTTCACGAATATAATTCATTATAATAATAAACTCACTATATGGCATTATGTGTGTTAGCAACAATTTTTCTTTATCTTTTTCCTTCATAGGTCTATTTTATCTTTATAGGTACGATAACATTTTAGCTTGATAGTTTGTTTTAGAACGGTAAGCCACAATAATAAGTCACACTTATACAGAGTTCAGCCTCGTTCATTTTTGAATGTATAAAATATTTTTGTTTCACACACAAATAGCAATTATATGTTAACAAAAAGCATACCTTAGGTCTAGTTGGCATCGATACAGTAAGGGTTCTTGGTAAAATCTGATTTTACCATCAGAATCGCATTTATCAAGACAGAGGGTTAGGTCATCTAATCGAACCAGGCGCCTAATAAGCGGATCCTCCGGGTCTATATCTACAATCACGAAAAATTAATTATCCCCTAATACAAAAAAATAATCACATACGCAAGTGACGAGAAAAGAGTGCAATAAACTGATTTAGTTTTTTTATAAGTAAAGTATTGTATATCAACAGTGGCCAAGACTTTAGAAGAAATTATTGATCTGATAATAATGATTCAGAATCGACTATTATGTCTAAATTATGTAAATTCAAAAAACTAAAAGAGCAGATCTACACTTCAAGGCATATTTTTTTTGTCTATACTACTATAAGTAACTTAGTCCTCTGTCAGTAGACTCTAGTAGTGTGATTCTCATCAGCTGAGAATTGATACATGTATAAGTATACAATATGTAATTGTCATATAATAATTATACAGGGCATCCCAACACTATGGGACATCAAGGGAAAGTACCTGAAATATCGTAGATAGGATATCTTGCTCTAAGAAGACTTTATTTTCTTTTGAAAAGTAAGTGTCACTTCAATTCAATGATTTTCTAAAAATTACTTGTCTCGTCTGGGAATCGAAGCGAGTCAGACGTGAAAAAGGTATCTAAATTGATGTTTTCCTACTTGGTCTGGTACAAATGGACCGATTAGATGGCCGACCAGATCCTCAGACCATTAGATCTCTTCTTTTGGGGATACGGGAAAGATTTGCTATTATACAAAAAGCGATACGACGCCCTGTATATATATTAAAGTTAAAATCTCACCAAAAATTTATAGATTGACTAAAGCAACTTAAGAATTTTATATTGTAAACATACCTGATAAATTTTAACCCGGCTGAGTTTCTAAGCATATTCTTTTCAGATTAAGGTGTTTTACGTTTTTAAATAACATTTCCTAACAACGATATATCGTAAGTAACACATAATATTGAACTATGTATATGTATTATGTATATGATTCAAAACACTTACCAGCAAAGAGTGGCTCCCAATCTGCACCGACGCTATCTACAGCTAGTCGTTTGACAGTTAAAGACATCACAATATCGTCATGAACATATTTTACAATAAGCGAGTTGATTCGCACTGATATATTGCTGACTATACGACGAACTAATGCTTGCATATACCCTGGAGGAGCTTCCACCACTTGACTTCTAAAAGCAATGTCATATATCTTTAAATATAAAAATGTTATGTTGGTTTGTGTACGCTTCAAAAACTCAAAAAGTTCTGCACCGATCGAGGTAAAATTTTAGCATGAGATATAATCCGCATCATGGATTGTCTTCTCTATTGCAAAATTAAACTTAAATTAAATGTTTTCTTTGTTTTGTTTCTGAGAAATGAGATTAAACCGAAGAAATAGAACCATTCAATCACAATGTGCCACAGCGAAGCGTGGCAGGGAAAAGCTAGTAACTAATATGTTAAAGGTTGTAATCACAAAATTGGTTTTCAATTAATATATTTAATAATTACATATTATTATAAATTCCTTTTAAAACAAATTAATGAAAATTACCTCCGTCTTTCTGGTATAGCATTCTCATCTGGTGGAGGAGCATCAAGACTGAGAATACATTCTGAAATAATAAAAAAAGTATTTAGTTTAATTCTATTGGCTTGTTTTATATTTCATTACTTTAATATGAAAAGATGTGGATTATATAACTTTTTTACTGGCTTTTAATTTATTTAACATTTAGATTTAAATTTAAGAATTAGTCTTCTGAGAATTCAGAACCAATAGAACAACTGATTCTCTCCAATTCTCTCCAACTCCATTGAAGTTTCATGCAAGATGTAAGGATATCTAAACAAAATTTTATATATGTATAAAAATAATATTTAAGGACTTACCTATTGTATTTATAGTAACCACAATGGGTTCGGACATAATCTTGGTCCAGGGCACTTGTATAAGCAACTCATGTATTCGTCCTGAGATGAGTGTAAAAGGTAATGCAACTTCTTGTTGCAGTACCCCAGCTTTTAGCACTAAGTTATGTAATGTGACCCCACCACCCCATAGTGAAACCTAGATGGAGAGCGCAATATTTACATTAGTTAAAATGTCATATATATATATATAAGGCATAGATCAGACAATGTTTTACAAAAATATTTTGGAAATATTTGGCATACACCTTGAAATCTATCGCCATCATGGCAGGATTCTATTTCCTACTACAATGCATTTAGAGTAGGTCAAGTACAATAATACTAGCTAGACCATACATAGTGCATCTGATATAACTATTATCTCTATTTTGTTCAGGTACATTGAATATATCTTACATAAGCAAAAAAAAACACTGTTTATTATATTATGCCAGTTTTTTATCTTTTACCTGGGCATCTCCAGCTTTGAAATTTTGCACATATTTATCCAGGTAGCTTAGCAAAATAGGAGTGACATATGTTTCTAAATTAAACATCTTGATAGCATGTTTATTATTTCATCACATATGATACTTTCATCTGAAAATCATTTTATGTAAAAAACATAATTTTTTATAATCATATTATATATAGCAATATCAAATAAGATAAAAATATAGATAATCAGTAAATTTAATAATCTATATAGAGAAAACATTTAATTTATTCATCACGAATTGTTAATTAATTTTGGTTTTAATGTCTTTAGGTTGAAATTTATTAAATCAATATTGTTTTATTATTTTTTCATGTTTAGTTTAATCACATTTCAGTTTGATAAAAAATCATGGTAACAGGAACTAGAATGCAAACGATAACTAATTTAGCTAATAAATTAATTTAGGTGTTGTAAATAAAAAATACTTATTTTATGGCACACTCACCATCTCGGACCTATAGAAACAACAACAAAATACATTTTAAATTGTACAACACACAGTTTGGTTTTTCTAAAAGTTACATTTATACATAATTTTGGTAGCAAGTATACTGGTAAATTTTAAATCTAGATATTAAAATTAAAATTTGAATCTAGTTATTAAAACCAATGGTTTGTGTTTGTTATATTTGTTTTGATTTCTACGGGTTTCAAGTTTCAACGTTCAAGCATATCAAAGGTACACGAAACTAACACATCACTTTTGACATTTGACATTGACAACTGGTGCAGGCTAATAAGTAATAACTAAAGGATTGCCTGCGCAAAATATACACTTTTGCCACTAAACAAACAATTCTTAGTCTGTGCCACAAATGTTCAGCCTCCTGGGACTAATATCATTAAAATCAATAACTATAATGTTATTGAAATAAGACAAAACCTTTGAAGAATATAAGGTTTTAATAAGCTAAATTAACAGTAAAATATTTTGGTTACATTTGATACATTGACAAAAGTTAGTGTCTAAACAGATTGACAATGTCATCATTTTATAATAGTATCATCTAAGAAGTTTACATCAAAGAGGTTTACATCATTCTCCCGCACTATTTTAAAATGTAATCTTTTAATAATTCTGGTCTTTTACGGACGCGGCCAGATCTACGAAGTGTTGGCTCCGGCGGTGATGATGATGGTAACTCGGTGCCAGATCTACGAAGTGTTGGCTCCGGCGGTGATGATGATGGTATCTCGATGTCAGATCTACGAAGTGTTGGCTCCGGCGTTGGTGATGATGGTAGATCAGTCTCTAGCTCTCTGCTATTATCAAGTACCACAGGTCCCATCTCATTAGATAAAGGAATTTCCAAGTTTTGGTCTTCTGTTTCCGTACGTGGTTCTGTGGCGTTATGATAGTCATTATTTATTCGCAGATCTACCCCTTCTGAACCCAATGGTGCTAAATGACGATTTGACACCGTTGTTTCTCGGCCATCTGGGAACCGAATGTATGAATAGTCAGGATTGCTGTGTATCAATTCAACCTCTTCTACTAATGGCTGATATTTATTTGTACGATTAAATTTCTTCATCAAGACTTGTCCAGAATTTGTAAGCCACGATGGAACAGAAGTGCCGTTAGTAGATCGTCTTGGGTGTCTAAACATTCTTTCATGTGGAGTGCAATTTATGGCTGTACAAAGTAAAGATCGAATCGAATGTAAGGCTTGTGGTAATACCAGCACCCAATTTTCTACTGAAAGATTCTTCGTCTTCAGCGCCAAAAGAATCGTTCTCCAAAGAGTAGAATTCAATTTTTCTATTTGCCCGTTACCTTGAGGGTTATAAGCTGTAGTTCTACTTGTGGCAATACCTCTAACATGTAAAAAATCCTGTACTTCGGCAGAGAGAAATGCTGTTCCGCGATCTGAATGAACGTAAGAAGGCATGCCGAATATCATAAATAAGTTGTTGAGGTGTTTAATTACTGTTTTCGAGCTTACATCTGAGCATGGGAAAGCAAACGGGAAACGTGAAAATTCGTCAATCACGGTAAGTATGAATTTATTATTATTGTTTGTTGGAACTGGTCCTTTAAAATCTAAGCTAAGGCGTTCAAAAGCAGCCGTCGCTTTAACAAGTTTCCTCTGGTCATCAAAAGTATTTCGGAAGAATCTAGGTTTTACTTCAGAGCAGGTTTGACAAGATTTTGTCATTGTTCTGACTTCTTCAATGGAATAGGGAAGGTTTTTAGAGCGAACCCAGTGAAACATTCTCGTTACCCCTGGATGACAAAGAGCCTCATGCAGCGAGAAAAGTTTTGCAGTACGTGTTTCTACAGTGGCACAAACTCGGGATAGTGCATCAGCAGCATAGTTCTCTTTCCCAGGTCTGTATATAATATCAAATTTGAAAACAGCAAGTTCCAGTCGCCATCTTTGAATCTTTTCATTCTTTATCTTACTTGAATGTTTCATATTAAACATAAAAGAAACCGAGCGTTGGTCAGTTACCAACTTAAAGTGTCTACCAATAAGGAAATGTCTCCATTTCTTCAATGATTCAACCATGGCGTACGCTTCTTTTTCAATGGCGGAATGGTTTTGTTCGCTTGAATTCAAAGTTCTTGAGAAAAACGCCACTGGTCTAGAATTTTGCGTAAGTACTGCTGCAATGGAATGATCGGAAGCGTCAGTTTCGACTGTAAAAGGTATATTTTCATCAATTGCATGTCTAGAAGACTTTGCGATATCATTTTTCAGGCCTTGGAAACATTTAATTTGCTCGCTTGTGAGCGGAAAAGTAGTCGTATTAGCAAATGAGTGGATCCGTTCAGAAAAGTTTGGAATCCACTTAGAATAATGTGCGAACATGCCGAGTGTCCTTCTTAAGGTCGGTAAATCGCTTGGTGCAGGTAAATTAATCAGTGGCTTGAGTCGCTCACTGTCAGGTTTAATTATGTGGTTTTGAATATTATAGCCTAGAATATTAATTGACTCTTGAGAAAATTTGCATTTTAGCATACTCAGTGTTAAACCGTATTTCTTTGCGGCATTCATAAAACTTTCTAAGTTATGATCGTGTTCTTGAAGAGTTCGGCCACAAATAGTTATATCATCAAGATACGCATATGTGTTTTGAAGCTTTTCTTTCCTTATAATCCAATCGATTGTTCGTTGGAAACTCGAAACACCATTTGTTACTCCAAAAGGGATACGCCTGAACTGGTACAAATTTCCGAGCGCTTCAAAAGCGGTAAATTTTCTTTCTTCGGGTAGTATAGGTACTTGATGGTACGCGCTTTTCAAGTCTATTAGGCTGAAAAATAAATTCTTTGCCACTTTCGAAACTAAGTCCTCAATGTTTGGTAAAGGGTACGCGTCGAGTTCTGTATAACGATTAATTGTCTGGGAGTAATCAATCACAAGACGTTTTCTATGAGTTTCGGTTTTTATTATTAGTACTTGGGCCCTCCACGGTGATTTACTTTCTTCAATCACGCCTTCTTCTGTAAGGTTTCTGATTTCCTCTTTAATAAATTCACTATCCTCTTTGCTGTGCCTTCGAGACTTAATAGCAATAGGTTTGCAGTTGGGAGATACATTTGCAAAAAGCGGTACAGCTGGTACTGATGCTTCGGCTACGTTACATACTTGAAGTGGATGTTTTGGCCCACCGAAAGAGAACTCTAGCGATGAATGTTCTTCGAGGACGTCATGGCCGATAATTATGTCAGCACAAAGATTTTTCACGATAAGAAGATTCACATTATCATATTTATGATTTCCAATTTTCAGGCTTTGCAAAGTTTGACCTTCTACTTGTGAAGTATGATTAAGAGAGGCCATAGAAATAATCTGATTGCAGGATTTTCTTTTTAACCCGCATAGTCTTGCAAAACTGTCATTTATAAAACTGATGGAGCTGCCGGTGTCGAGAAGTGCCTCTGCTCTTATTCCTCGAATAAACGCGGGTACAGTAGCTTTGTGTAATGAATAAGGTGACGCTGCTGTGATACAAGAAAGATTTTCAGTACCTACTACCATAAAATTTGTAGGTTTAGAAGAGCTTCTGCAAACAGTGGCAAAGTGCCCCTTCTTGTTGCAGAGCTGACAAGACTTTTCAAATGCAGGGCAGTTCTTACGAGGATGTATTTGTCCCCCACAAAAGAAACATTTTCATCGTCGAGGATTATTAACAGAAGAGCAGGTCTCGTCGTGCACAGTTTGTGATTTGGGACAGACTAATTTAGGTTCTTCTTCAACGGCATTTAAAGACACAGTATGAAAGCTTTGAGAGTTGATCTCTGCAGTTTCTAGAGAAAGTGCTTGGTTGTAAGCTTGGTCAAGTGTTAGATTTAAGTTTTCTAAAAGCCTTTGTCTGATTTTATGCGATGATATACCGGATATGAAAGCATCACGCACGCTATCGTTTTTGTTTGATTCTGCATCAACAGCCGCAAAGTCACAATCTTTAGAAAGTAGTTTCAAAGCTTGTAAATATATGTCGATACTTTCTTCTGATCGTTGTTTCCTTGTTGCTAACATGTGTCTAGCAAAAATCAGATTTTTTGGTTTTACATACAGTTTTTGCAGTATTGTGATCGCTTCTTCGTAGTTCGTGGCTTCGCTTATATATGTGTATATATTTGGTGATATATGATTTATCAAAAGCTGAAACTTTATGCTGTCCCATTTTTCTGACGGAGGAACCGACTGTGCATCTGTTTCTGGAGCGGTCGGTTTCTGCACGGAAATGAAGCTTTCGAAAGTCTTATGCCAGTGTATCCAAGCTTTCGTACCAGGGGCCTTAGTCAAGATGCCTTAACAGTAGTGTATGTAGAACGTCAAAAACTAAATTTGTATGAAAACTTTTCGACACGAACTGTCATTTCCATACAAATAAAGTTTTCGACTTTCTACATACACTACTGTTAAGGCATCTTGACTAAGGCCCCAGAGCTATTTGACGGGTCGATATCAAATCTTTCAGGGCGAAGATACTTATCCATGTTTCTTTTTATTTAGCTTATTAAATTGAAATAAGACAAAACCTATGAAGAATATAAGGTTTTAATAAGCTAAATTAACAGTAAAATATTTTGGTTACATTTGATACATTGACAAAAGTTAGTGTCTAAACAGATTGACAATGTCATCATTTTATAATAGTATCATCTAAGAAGTTTACATCAAAGAGGTTTACATCAGTTTTTCTTTTTTTTTTTTTTTTTTTTTTTTTTTAAAAAAAACCCCTTTTTTTTTTTTATATTTTTTTTTGACTGTTATCTTCTAATGATTTAGGGGTTCACAGGGCTAAAATCGTCAATCACTAAGATCTTAAATAAATCATAGATGGCTAATAAAATCAGGGAATCATTTTTCATAAACATATTTGTGTGGAAAATATGTAATTAGTTTACTTTAGAAGTAGGCCCTTAAAATATATTAATTAATTACTAATCACGTTATTATAAAACTACAAAACTATAACAATAATAGAAAAAAAGTCTATGCATGACGGTACTGACGATCGATTGCAATAGGTACATAATATATAAAACGTAAATTTGCCCTGAGCATACTGTTCTCATGTATGGGCAGTAGCTCTCCACTACCGCCTCCATCCATTGTATTCGAGCAGTCAGCGATTCGATGGTGACCGGTTACTGTCCGAGAGGCTTGGTCCTGCATAGAAATGTCGAGACTCTCTGCATCTTATACCACATTTACATTTTTGTTCGGATTAACACCTGCAGATGATTTTCATCTTTAGACGACGACGACGAATTAAAATTCCACCCGAATTACATCGAGGTCCGTCATGACACAACTGAACATTATTAAGGAACTTCCTATTGCTCGCCACAATTACGTAAAATCAGCTGCCCATCTTAGTATTTCCTAATCTGACTAAGGGTCCTTCAAGAATAGAACATACTGATTCGCATGCGTTTTCAGTTAGTGTGTGTCCATGGGCGGTATCACTTAACATGAGGAGAGCAACCTGCTTGTTGTTTCTCGTCCTAAAAAAATAACTCTTTATTCAAACTCACTACATTTTTTCCTCTGTGTCCCGGAAAGTGAAAGTTTAGACAGTTTAGCCAGCCACAGGTTTTGCTTGGCTGGCAATTACAAATAGTTAATTTATTTTAGCAAGATGAAATATAATTCTGTTCAACGTGTTCAATGTTTATTTCGTAATCAAAAACAATTTATCCAAAAGGACTTGCTATAGTTTAATATTCTATGGCTATTGGCTACCTATTTTTCCGACGGAAGTAGGGTGATGTTATAAGAGCATATAGTTTATTACATAGTTTTCATCAATGAAGGGTTACCCAGCATGTAGTTTTAAAAGAATTATAAAATGAGAATTGAGAAAGATATTTATTGGTAATAATTTTAACAACATTAATTATAATTCACTATGTAGCTTTATATCAACAACAAAGTTACTCATTCATACTATATAAGTTACAAGCATAGAATGTAATAATAGTTGGAATAATTATTATAGAACACGACGGATATATAGCATAAGCCGCTGTTTCTGGAGTCACTTAAAAACATTAACATGTATTTGCTTTGAATGTTGACTGAACTATTATAACAATTAATCGAATTTAGATGAATCAAGGTGCAGGCCTTCGAGTTTAAGTAAGGTGTACATTTATTAATAAGCTTAATATTTTAATAGAATGTGAAATGTGAGAATGTTACAGATTAATATGCGGTACATTTTATTAGATTGACTTTTATTAGTAATAATCAAAAAGGATTCATTATTAGAAATAGTTGACGAAACCTTGGGATTATCTCTAGAATGTTTTAAATTAAGATCGAAAACATGTATTTATTACATTGACACTTAGTAAATCTTATAACTATCATCTGAGATTCTTGTGGAACCTTCAACCTCATATACTCTTGGTGATAAACATAACACGAGCTGCCGCAGGCTAGCGACAATGTACAATAACTGAGTGATAACATTCATTTGTTTCCTGCAATTAAGCCACGCATTTGAATTTGATTATTCGTTTAAGTGATACAACGAAACCATCTCTGACTACTAGTGTTAAATAGTGGCAAAACATTAATAAGGCTATTGAAACATAAATAAAAAGTGGAATAATTACATTAATAATGTAATTATTCCACTTTTTAATAATACTTTTAATTATTTAACCCCCTTACAATATTAATTACGACACGAACAAGCTTTTAGCTTTTAATCCTATCTATATGTTAAACAATTTTAAATATATCTAACTAGATTTTATTCAGCTATCTAAAGTTAAACTTTATATTCTTTAAAAGATGCTCAGTGGATTAATGGCAGATTACGAGGATCAACAAAATTTAATTAATGCAAACAAATAATAAATTAGGAAATGGATTCAGGTGAAAAAAAAAAAGAAAACTAAAAAAAATACAGTTTATTGTAATCACAGATGCAAAACCCAGCGATATGCTGGCATAAATTGAGACCGATACCATGTCCATTAACACACACAAAAGTATTTTTTATAAAATTTCTTGAAATATGTAGCAGTCATTATTAAAATAAATAAATCGCATGTGGCAAATTAAATATATGGAATCAAATTCACAAAATAAATAGTCTTAAAATAGAGGAGAGCTATTTACATTAAAATGCACAATTTGCTAATGCGGATTAGAATGTCAAAAGGCGATTTGAGCCTTGGGGTATTTCGGACGTTGTCCGCGAGGAAATGCGCGTAAGTGGGACCGCGGCAATCACGTCATGTTGACGCCGAGCGAGCGGCTGGCGTATTCGTACACCACGTACGAAATGGAAACGGCAGGAATCACCTTTATGAAGTTAGGAGTTATACCGCGGTAAAGGCCCCGGAATCCTTCCCGCTGCACTATATCACGGAACACACCGCTCATGGTGCCCTCTGCGCCCTTTGCTGACCTCTCTGTGAAGAAGGCAAATGAAACTTTTAAATGGTCCCTATATACTCGTTGTTAGACGATGATATGTATGAGACTTTGAGAAAATAAAAAGTTAATACTCGTTTGTTTTAGACCGCCTTTCACTTTCTACTTTCACTCATTATCATATTTTTATTAACATTATGAACAATACCTCAAAAAAATGTTGGTTTAGATTCATACAAAAATTCGATTGTATTGTACCTGTATCTACAATTCAATTTCAGCTCTTTCAACCTCCGTGATTCAGCATAGATGTGGGTTATTCATTAAGTCAAACCGTACTTTTTGGTTTAAATTAGAATCAATCAAAGAAACAGACTCAACATTATTTATTAATTTTACAAGAAATCTTACCTTGGGCTTGGAGCCTTGTTCGTACTAGAGCCAAGGGGTAGGAGCACACTTGTCCCAAAGTGCAAGACGTACTTCCGCAGGCCAGCAACAGTAATATTCCCGGCTGCGAATTGTTCGCTTGATATTTACTAATGTACTTCTTCTTTAGAGTCTCGTAGACCGCGAGGTCGATGCCTGCATAAGGCACTATCCCCAAAATATTTGGAATGTATCCTTTATAGAAACACTTCAGTCCTTCTCTCGCATATATCTTCCGTGCCGCGTCCAATATACCTAGATATTGACCCGTTTTCCTTAAAGCTAATCTTGTCTTTAGCACCTCTAATGGGTAAATCACAGTTTGGCTAATTGCACCAGCCGACGCTCCAGCTATAAACCGCTCGTGGATTTCTAGGGGCTGATTCTTTTTTTCGCCCTTTATCAGTCGCTTCACTTGTTCATATGCTGCGAACTTTATAGCCGACTCGGGGGCAATTTTTATTACATTGATTCCGTTGCCTCTCCACAGACCATTAATACCACCTTCATTAATCATTCTAGCTAAACACCGTACCATGTTTTCTCTTGTGGGATTTACCTGAAAATATACCAATTGTTTCATCATTGATTTAAAAAACTTGGAATTTAATCATTCTATTGGTTACCGACTATGTTAAGGACGAATCCAGAATTCGTATAAAAAAGAAGATTTAACATCGTATAATCGACTGTTTTATATTCATGTATTATATGAAAATGAAAACGTATACTTTCTCATAGTGAGATAATCCCGTTTCTCTCATTATTTATTTATTTATTAATACTCCATGTAACATACTGCTCAGTGAAACTTGCACCGGTTCAAAATAATAGATAACCAAACAAACACAAATATCTCTCAAAATCGGTTCAGTCATGATATACATGTTCAAAATTATTTAAAAGACTATTATGATAATACCGTACCTGTAAAAATACTTTAAGTCTATCAAGTGGTGCAGTGCACGTTCGACTAAAGGCGCCAGCGATTCCACCAGCAAGTAGATGTCGCCACCACTTTCCGGTTTGCAATTCGCTTTGTGTAAAGTCATCAGGCACGTTCATATCCTCCCCGATGTCCAGATACTGGAAAATAATATTATATATAATTACTTAAAATACAAACAGTATGTATCGCAGCTAGACTCAACAAAACAAAAAGGTCGCTTTTAAATACATTTTGGTAAATAACTACTGGTTCAATTGCTGCAATTTACTACGTTTAAAATACACAAGTATAAAATTCATTAACTAGGTCTGGAGACTCTTCTATATCCTCCTGTTGACATAATTGATTTTTTCTGCGCCTCTTAATTATCATGTAAAACCATAGCTTTGTGTTCAGGGGTAGGTGGTCATTCTATTAAAAACAATCAAATTTATTATCAGAGCTCAAATTGAACAATTTTTAAACTAATCCTAGCAATCAAAGAATGGTTATCTCTTACGGTGGTATTTAAAAACATATTTCGTTCCCAGTCGAACATGATAATTATGAAGGTTATGAGATATTTCCAAAACATAAATTTTATATTAAATAGACTTGTTTTTACAAAAAAATTCACAAATAACTGTATTGTTGCTTTCATAATTATGAAAACTAGTCAATTTTAATGAGAAACAGGTCAAAATAATGAGTGACTTCTTCCGCGTACATTTTGAAGTTGTCGTCTGTTAACGCAAATCTACTTTTCTTTCGTTTTTAAGTTTTGAAAAGTTTTTATATATATGCAAAAAAATTAACAGCACGAAATAATATCATTACACTTTGAAACTAATAAAGCGGTGTTTGTTTTTGTTTATCTATTAGATTAATAGAATATTATGTGTAGCCCTAAGTACCAGTGGTTCCACGGTGGCAAATTGTGCATACTCGGCGTAATGAAGACCGGACAGTTTAGCAGAAGTTACTTGGAATTGTCAGAGATAATGTAGACATGTAAGAACGAAAACGTGCGCAGTATCGAGCTGCCACATTTTGTAATTAAATTATAAATTTAATTTTAATTAAAATAGTTTATAGAACTTGGTTTTTGAGACCTCTGGCGGCAACCAACATAATTAGAAAAACAACATGCGCTTAAGTATTTATAGTTTTGCTAATTTTATCACCTATGTACAACACACAAGTAAATAATCCCGGCATCATCCATTGTAATTAAATATAATTAGTTTGATCGCTTTGATACGTTCACATTATATAATTAATTTAAAAAAAAATTGTTTCCTTTTCAACGCCAAAGAGAAATTATTCAAGTATGTAAATGTGTATTTTAATACCTAAAATAGCATTTTCTATTAGATATAAATTCAATTTAAACTTTTTTCATATAATAGGTAGAGTTATAGAGCACGATTCCTATTATTATTGGGCAATTAAACACGTAATGAATTCTCCATAATAATAATATAAGTGATAATGACGTAAGATTGTTAGATTGCTGTCACCTAATGAGCTACTTAACAAGGTGTCCTAGAATGCAAAAACTAAAAGTAAGTTCCGGTTTTACGCTTTCGCTGTAGTTATAAGCAGTTTCTCCTAGTCATTGATTAAATACGAGACTAGAAAAAATATAATACCAAAGCCATTAAATTATGCAATCTTTTAACATGTAAAAAAACACGACTATCTCTTACTGTGGTATTTAAAAACATATTTCGTGACCAGTCGAACATGATAATTGTAAAGGTTATGAAATATTTTCAACAGACAAATATATACATATATTGTATTGCTGCTTTCATAATTATAAACACGAACTAATTTTAAATAGAAAATGGTCAATTTAGACATTTAATAATTAATGCTTAAGAATTCTCGAAGATTCTCGCGTAATACATGAACCGTAGTCTAAACATTTGTATATAAAGAAGCGTTTTGTTTGCGTCTTGTAATCATGTAAAGTCTAGATACAATAAACAATTAAATATTTTCCTATACATGAAGATATAATTAGTGCGATAATTATCTCGGAGGGAATTGTATTACTATTTCTATTTAACTTTTTATTCATTTATGATGGACTTATCGTATTTATTTTGTAAGGGACAGGAGGTAAACGAGAAGGTGGGTCACTTAAAGTAAGTATTTCCATGGACACCCTCAAGACCAAGAGGCAAGTACGTAAGAAAATTATAGAGATAATGTAAAACTTTACAGGTATCAAGAAACACGGAACTATCTATAGATACATCCTTTGTAGGTAATGAATACCGGAATATTATACGCAAAGCTTCAGGTAAAAATTATTCTTAAAAAAACAATATCTATCGCAGAATATGATTCAAGGAACAAGACCGACCGATTTTTTTACGATTCGTAAACATTGGTGTCAAGGGAAGCGGCTTGTGGGTAACGGTCATGAATTTGAGAGATTGAATGGACAAGGTCAAAATCACTATTAGAACAATGATATTAATATACTTGATTTGTGAATAGCCGACAAGGTGATTATATATAATTACGAACATTCAAACGTTTGATAGATATAAGTATTATCAAATGATAAGTAATGATTAATTCGAAATTACAGGAACCATTTTTTTTTAATCAAACACTAAAATATCGGTATTATTCGACATTGATTGGATTTCCATGTTGTCCGTAGTACCTACCATGAATTATTTATCTATGTAACGCCATAAAATACAGTCCCTTTAGCATTGCTATACAGATTACGGAGTATACACTGTACTGCTATCATAAAGGATTTCCCCAATAGACATTTTGTCACGAGAATTCAGTATGACGCAATCAGCCCATAATGCAGAGCGTGCGCAGCTACGTCACCAGTTGAGTATTAATATTTACGATAGAGTCAAAGTCGACTGACTGATACGATAAGCTGAACGAATAATTCCTTGTTTTGTCATTTTTAAACGGGTAAATGAATGAAAACCGCATTTGTAACTCCATCCTGAGTATTTATTTTAAATATTCTAAGAATGAGTAACTGAGATGGAATAGGTTGTCTTGTCCCCGATTTCGGCGCCAAGTCATTCACTATCGTAACGTCATTAGAGATAAGAATGAATGATGACGAATTGGGTTTATAAAATATTCTGTGTGTTCATAAAACAATGTTAATATTATAAGCTAAATACCATTGCGCCTATCTTTCTATCAAGGAAGTAGAAGTGGTGTAGACCGTAGACTACATTATCTAACATGTGCCTCGCTCAGATAAAAATAAACTCAGCGCGCAGTTTACAAGTGAGCTGCTAAGGAATTTATATCTTACTTCTATTTAGTTATCAAAATAAAAAAAAGTATGCAAAGCTCTATGAAAAGATGGAATAAAATTTACATTCAGTAAAATTTATTTCCGATTAATTAATTTTAATTAATGATAATTACTCAAATTATAATTCGCTTTTAAATAGAATTCGCAATGCAATTAAACCATATAATATATAATGACGATGAAAATATATTATTTTATGCTGGTATGTACTTAAGTGAGTTTTAATTTTGAGAAACGTTACGGTGAGGCAGTGAATGTTTTTGAAATTTGATACTACATTTGCCCAGATAATAAGCGCTTAGCAAAATACTAAAAAAACATGTAAAATAATATAATTTATATAAATTTCATACAAGAATATAATTTATATATATTGCAAAGATTGGTCGCTTAATGCAGTGAGACCTTTCATCCGTTTTACCTTTATTATCCACTCCCAAAAATCACCGTACACATGCAAATCCATTATTTTATGAATTTTTAACCACCAAACCAACCAAAAATTAGTTACCGTCTAAACCGAACGAGCTAAATTCAAACAGATATATCTTTTGGCATCGAATAGCGTAGGTAAGGTAGTGTAGGTAACTCTAATATAGATTTAATTACCTTTGCCAAACATCGTCGAAATACAAAGAGGAAATCCTCAAAAACGTCACCGGTGGGCCAGGTCACATCTTCCAATTCCAGAGACATTATAATATCTAGTTTACAATAACGCAAATCAGACAAATAAAAAATAAATTAATCACAGACAAACTACTTTTTTGGAACTTATCTCAGATCGAGTTTAAATACTTAAATAACAAATTCGAGAGTAGAGGCGATACCGAGGCCCAAGACACGCACAATCAGGCCCGCGGACATTTTCACACTGATGTCTGAACTAAAATTCTTTGGAGAGCTGGCAACTTATCGCGTATAAACCGCATTTCGGCGCTAACCATTAACATTTATAATATTAAACTCATTTTTTACATTGTGAAAAGTAATTATGATATAAGATTTTAAAATTTATTTATTTATATTTCTTAATTGCGAAATAAGCCGGAAATTTTTAAACTTTAATTATATGAAATAAATTTGATTTATCATTAACATTTTATTAGACCTTTATCGATGTCTCGAATGGATTAATAAGTGAAGTGTAAGGTAGGGTTATAATTAAATAGAAAAGTTAACTTATAATCAGCCATCGGCTAGTCACCTGGTATAGCAAAAAACGATTTTGTTACAATGTAATGACGGCGCAGTATCTCTTATTGTTGAAATAATCTCATTATTGGAGTTTTGGAAATAATCTTCGTTTAAAAAAAATCACATGGCAGCCACAATAACATTTTCTATACAGAGGCTTCATTATATAAGTTTGTGCCACTTTTTAAACAACATAGGTTTTAACCATTTTTTTTGAATGACTGAAAAAGAATCTACCCGAATAAAAAATTATTTATTTATTTATTTGCTTAACGGTATTCCTACAGCTACTTACGAGTACTATACAATATTCAATCAATAAAAATCGGAATACACATTTAAACACACACAAAGCACACCCCTATTCAAATATTTTATTTTTTTTAATTGGTAAAAGAAGTTTCTAAATCGGTTTAGTATGGATATATAAAATGTCCTTGAAATAACATAAATCCGAAATTAGTATTTGTCTCATCATTTACTATTCTTACGACTGTCTAAATACCACGCGAATTAGATAAGAACCGGTTGAGTTGATCAAATAAAAATCGTTTTTGAAAGTGCTGAATGCGGTAAGTTCGAGGATGTAGATAGACGCACATTAGAATAAATACAGTAAATCCTGTCTACAGCGCATAGGAAGTAGATATACCGGAACATTTTATAGACATAAATAGTTTACTACAAATTGTAATGGAAATAATAAGGAAATAGAAATCTTTTTATATTTTAGTTAAATATAGCGATTATAATATTTAGCTTATTGAAAACTATTGCTAGTAATATAAATTTGAATGTTATCTTGATCTTGTACACCTACAACTTCCGTTGAAGTGTTCAGTGGAGACTAAAATAATAGTCAAAGGTCGCTTCCTATGACGAGCGGTATTTATGCAGTTGGGCGATACTATCTCATGAAATGTAATAACACCTTTAGTATTCTCGGTTTTTGTCAACTAAATCAAAGAACCTATTCAACAGTTATTTTACAATGTTTATTAGCATCTACGCTCTAATCTACTTAGCACTGCACTTAGCTCAAAAGGCTTTTTGTAACTTCCTTTGTTATGTCATGCACCCGTTACAGTTAATACAGAATAGTCTTTATTGCTAGATTACACCTGCCTAACCTTTTTCGTGGTCGTGAATTTTCTTTGTACTTACAGGTGTGCCATAAATAAGATGGACAGAGATGAAAACAACGTGTTTTGTCAGCTTATGTATGCCTTGTAGTTTCGTAAGTAATAGTTGTTATTGGTGTTAGAAAACAACTTACAAAAATTACTTTAACAAGTTTCAAAAACCCTCAGACAACAATCCGCCTAATACGTATAAAATCGGTCATACTTACTGATCACCTCATCGTTCTTTTTTAAATGTAAAATTCGATTATATCTTGATAAGCAATAGTCACAATTAATAATTATAAGATAGGACTCAATTTCATGTCGTTTAATACGAGAAAGATGTAAAAAAATAATTAAAAATATTATATAAGTGGTGTTTTTATAATTTAACCATTTACAGATAGCATAAATGATTTAACAATTTAATATAATTACAATTCTATTGGCTATTATGGGTTGGCAAATAAACTGACGTAAACTCAAAGTGTGGTAATTGATTTCTTGACAACAGTTGTATATAAATTATGTTCACACCACGTGAAGGTGACGTAGCAGACACGGGCGTAAGAAATGACAACAGCTGTTATTTTTTCGCACAGTACTTTTCTCTTCTTTAATTCCATCGTTTTAGGTTCGGGCCTCAAAGATCTGTATCTGTTCCGTGATCTTTTATTTTTCTTAATAGGCAAATAGGTGATCAGGTTTTTGTGCGTGACACACGGCGTCGAATTTTTGGGGCTAAGTGGCTGTCTCCACGAGCGAGTAAATCGCAACGATACAATCGTCCTGCCACGCATTTCTATACAATCTCATAGAACGTGTCTCCACACGGCGATCTTAACGCGGCGATGCCACGGGTGGTAGAGGGCGTGCGAAACGTCATTACATCGCTGCGAGCCTGTCGCTACTGGTGGCGCGCACGTCGCGCACTCGCCACGGAACGTGGCGCTCTCGCAGCGAGCGCGCGACGTGCGTGACAATACATCAATAAAAACAATACATCCATAGTAAATAATTGACTTTATTGACTGATTTAGACACTACTTATTACGGTCTCGTCTGGCACCACTGAGCTCTAAATGAACACTGAAAAAAATAAGAGCACAACGTGTCGTCATAGAAACGCGGCGATTCCGTTACGAGTCGTTGCGGATACGCTGTGATTCCGTTACGTCGTAATCGCGACGATACGCTGGCGGAATAACTTTTTGTTTTCACTTTATATTAAAAAAAATATGTTAGAAGTTACTTTCTTTGACAAATCTTTAAGAGAAATTTGTTATTTTTATAGTTTAGGGTTACCCTCCAAATGGCTTTAATACATTCCACATATCCAATACATTAACATCTTATTGCAAAACGATATATCGCTATTCCTTTCCAATAAAACTGTCATAGAAAACAATAGAGCACTGAATAGATTTAGAATACATTTTGGTTGCGCATGCCCATCTCTTTGAGACCTATTTTGCAATATTCGCCCATGCAATCAATCACTAATATATTATCGTCTTATGTCTACATCTAGTTGCTTTTTATGTAAAAACGTCACTTTTTTATACAGAGTTCTCCGCACTAAATGCAGCCGGGGTATGTGTCATGAATCACTGCAGGGACTCTGCCTGCTACTCAGAGAACTGGATAACCCCCGATGGGAAATGGGTTGACTCATATCATTATTCGTGTCATGAAGACATACCGGTTTCCTTTTTTTTCTCTTTTTTTTTTGAGAGAAAATCTACCTCCAATAAGCGAAAATATAAAAAGTAACGATTTATTACCTAAGATGGCATTGACTATAAGAGGATGTATTTTAGTTTCTTGCATTTGATATAATAAACATTGATGTTTTTATAAAATGGGTAAATAATTTTTCCTTTATCCGTTAATATTATTTCTTTAACTAATAACAATGATAAAGTCACGACAAATTGACATTTTACGACACGAGTTCACTGTAAGGCGATAACACGAAGCCTTTACAAAAAATTACGTTAAGTGAAGATATTAGACACTTATATTTCAGAGGACTCGGTTTAGTACATGAAGTTAATTATCCCCATAATTATATGATAAATTACTCCATTTCCAATAAAGTGCGGGTTGGCTGATGGTATAAGTCACCTAGTATGGGTTTTTAACTTCTCAAGAGGTGAATTGACAGTATCGTTCTGTATGGCCGTTGCGCGCGATATACAACCATTTGTACATAGGTTTCGAATCACAAACTAAATCACACTATCATTAGGAAAACCAGCTTGAGAATTACCAATACCAACTATAATATTGACAGTGAAGATAAAATAAGCATTAGAAGTAAATTATTTTATTTACATACGATTATAAAATTGTCTTACAAATTGTATCGCGCTAAGCGAAAGTAACCAAAGAAGATGTCACACATGTATTGCTTCTTGGAATTCACGATTGACTAGACTTGTAAACAAAACTATCAAACAGTTTTCCGATAGTGGAAAGAACCTGAAGGAATATAAGAACATCTGTTCGTAAAGTAATAAAATTATTATTGTGTATTTTTTAGATATTATCGTCGGTAATGTGAATGTTCCTTCTTTTTTAACATTTACCCATAATTGCCATCAAGGAACAATAGTAAAAATGTATATGAACACAAACGTCAAAGTAATCATTAACATTCTCTACATTCATTCTATGTATACAGTATATTGGGAAGCCGGATATTACTCACTGTCAATGACAATCTATACTGATGTATTTGTAATCGAGCACCTACATAATTTTAATTTTAATAAAAATTGGTGACGATTAAAAAGTGAAGATGCAAAAACTTTCAAGAATCTTCTTGTAGTGCCATCTCCTTTCAAAGGTTAGCGATCATTATGGCAAGGTACTTTAAATTTGGGTCTGCACGCTTCTGAACTATGACTAGGTGCTTCGACCACACTTTTCCTTAAATCCTATTGATAAATCATCTATGTCAGTCATAAAAAAACATCACAACAAATAAACAAATGCAAACTTATTAAATTTAAACGTAGTATTCCTTTGTGGAGTTATATCATCCTGATACGCAATTCAGAATATACCCGTCACAGGCGGATTGCAGTGACGTATGGGTCACGATCCTAACTACGTACATGACAACGCCTACAGTCGAGCCCGCGATTTTAATGGATGATTCAATTACTGAGTTACAAGCGATCAGGCCAGGGCTACTAACGCTTTCATAGCTTTATAAAACTAATCCTAGCTTTAGGAACATGTTGTTTTTTAATACAAAGCATAGATAATTACTATAACTAAATTAAATAACAAACGTGTCTTAAATGTCTTACTCTGAATGATATTTCGTACTTAGTTTGATTCCATATTAATTAAAAAAGGCTAGGCGTGCATATGAAAGGGATGAAATTAACAAACATAATAAAAATAGTAGGAAACTCTGGGAGACCATCAATAATATTACTCAATACAAAAAACCTAGATCATCATCTACAGAACTTTTGAAAAATTGTAATCCACAAGAAAAAGTAAACAGTGTAAATTCATTCCTTGCAAATGTGGGGAAAAACATTGCTACTGGCCTAGGTAATTATAATTGTAATTGCTCCTATGTGACCACTACACCACCCCCATTAATTAATTCTCTTGTCCTCTTGCCCACTGACAAATCAGAAGTTGAGAGCTTGGTGATGAACCTGCGAGATAAATGTGCTGTTGGTAACGATATGATATCTGGCCGACTTCTCAAACAACATGTCAAAGTTTTGGTACCACCCATCACTAACATATGCAACCTCTCCATGGAAACAGGTGTGTTTCCGGAAATCTACAAGAAAGCTCTCATAACGCCTATCTACAAGGGAGGTGACAGAAGCCTTGTAGACAACTATAGGCCTATCTCCTTACTTCCCATCCTGTCCAAAATCTTGGAACGATTATTGAACAGGCGATTGGTTGATTTCCTCGACAAACACAATATTATTTCAGACTCCCAATATGGTTTTCGTTTCGGTAGGTCTACTGATGATGCAGTTCATAGCTTGACCGATTTTATTGTTAGGAATATGGACAGGAGGGAAAAAGTGATTGGTGTGTTCATTGATTTGTGCAAAGCGTTTGACACTGTTTCGGTAGAAATCCTCTTGCACAGAATGGAGAGGTTGGGCATCAGGGGTATACCTCACCAACTCTTTACGAGTTACATGTCTGAACGCACGCAAGTTGTAAGGGTGGGAGAGTGGACTAGCATCGAGTTACCTGTCACCTTCGGTGTGCCGCAGGGCAGCGTTCTTGGGCCCACATTGTTCCTCATTTACATTAATGAATTATGTGGGATGAACCTAAGAAATGGTAAAATTGTGGCCTTTGCTGATGACGCAGCCTTAGTGTTCCATGGTCAAGATTGGTTTGAGGCCTTTCGACATGCTCAGCGGGGTCTGAATTTGGTATCGGATTGGCTACATCGCAGTTCTCTGGCCCTTAACACAGAAAAGACCAAATTCATGACCTTCGCAATGTCGAAGCGCGACATTCCTTCTGGTCTGGCACTTGTGTCACATGCTGGTTCATGTGTGACCGGGGAGCACTGCGGGTGTCCAAAGCTCAACTCCGCAGGCACAGTGAAGTACTTGGGAGTCATGCTAGATACCTATCTAAATTTCCAAGCTCATATTGACCTACTGGCAGGTAGAATTAGAAAACTGATTTATGTATTCAAAATTTTGAGGCACATTGCTAATAACACAATTATAAAAACTGTCTACCTGTCGCTAGGTCAATCCATTCTGAGCTATTGCATCTCTACTTGGGGTGGCTCAGCAAAAACCCACCTTCTGAAAATAGAGAGAGCTCAGAGGGCAATACTCAAGGTCAGTGCCTCCCTTCCCTTCATTTGTCCCACCACAGAGGTATACAGACATTGGAAGGTACTCTCTGTGCGTCAAATGTTCATTCTTGCCACAATTTTACGCAAGCACTCACTTATTAATTATGACCAACACCTTAAAGATAACAAGCGTAGAAAAGGCATAGTGTGCACATCAAAGCCCTTTCGCACAAGTTTTGCCCAGAAATTCTTCTGTTTTTTGGGGATTACTTGTATAATAAGGTCAATTCTTCCCTTTCCACATATCCCCTAACTAAACACGAGTGCAAGAAGACGGTTGCACTGTGGCTACTGGACCTCAACTATGAGGATACAGAAAAAATGCTGACAATAATTAAATAGTTGAGTTTAGAGTTGATTTTTAGTATAATAGTTTTAGCTTCAATAGACTAACACTTAAGTAATAAAATATAAAACATACACAGACACACAGACACACACCCACACACATACACATAATTTACACATACACACGTACCCCATCTGGTTTCCTCTATATACTATATATTGTAATGTATTGTATTGTATTGTATCTTCTGTCAATCCGAAGTAGTGGAGGCCTGATGACCTGTAACACAGGTACTCTTACCTTTATCAGGCATCAGTCTCACACAGACTTGCTTTTTCCATTAACAGAAGTGAGAATATAACTGTCACTTGCCTATGTTCTAAGTTTAAGTTTTTGTGAGAAAAATAAATAAATAAATAAATATACGATCCAGAGCATGGTTTATCTTTTAGGTATTACGGCGGACCGGACAGACGTCGTCCTGTACACTATAAATCAATCTAATTTTTATTATTACTATGTAGGTTAAGCAAATTGCAAATACCGTATATTTGATTGTTATGATTACTAATTAACAAAACTGTTATATTATATATATGTATGTATAAATATATAAATCAAAATCACTGAGATAGTGTCAACCCTATCCAATACGATAACGTGATCCCTGGAGGAGGTCAGGTATATCGGATCTTGTTATCAACATGGGTGTTGATTTAAGTGTCATATTGGGGAACTTTCAAGATCAAGTAAAAATAATATCTTTAGAGACTGAGAATGGAAATATTACCGACTACATTTGATATGCCTAAGAACAACGAATAAACGGCGTTAGGTAAAAAACTAATGCACGGATATTCACGATTTGGTCATAAGAGATAAAATCATACATTGATATATCATTCACCGTTAGACGCGAATATAGTACATATAGTTAGATTACATTGGTTAATATGGTGAAAACTTAAGAATACTCAAATGGTTCAAGCAACGAAATCCCTTAATTTAAATTTTAACCTATTGGCTAATAGGTTAGTTAGCAATAGATTTATTGTAATGCCCGTTGTCAAACTTTTGTTTAAATAAATAAAAAATATTCCAAAATTACAGGCAGCGAAAGTTTTCTCTATCGTGTTTATATTTTTAGCCCACAATCAAATATTCGAATTCCAACTGCGATAACAATGATGGATCAGTTTTTTCTTTCAGGATTAGTGTAGTTGCAGAATATCTATAATATAAAGTCTAGGTCATGCATATTGAAGGTTTCGATAATAGCATTACAACTGTGTCTAATGTGTCGTAAAACCAACCTTTTGTTTTATGTAATAAAAGATAACGTCGTGTGTACAGCTGTAAATAGTACAATGTACAGCAATTAATTATTTATGTACATTGTAACTAAGGCATAAAAATTTGTCATTAATCTGATTTGTATTCAAAAACACTACATATTGTTATAATATTCAGAAAATGTAATCTGTCCTAAAAGATGAGTTTGTATGAGTAGAACATCACCTACCTGAAGATAAATTAAAGTAATTTTCATTGTAACATTACGAGGATATATCTTAATATAAATTAATATAACTCATGCAATGTAGCAGTCTTATTGCAAGCCATGGTAATTATATTATATACTCGAACGGTATATTCAGGCTATAGATTAACGATTTAACTGTTTAATTTTACTTAGAGTAAGAATTAAAATTTAATTTAAAATATTATTGTCGACACACACCTCTAATAATTACCAAACAACAATAACCAAAAAATAATAATAATAAGAATGATTACTTACAGTTGAATGTCTCCAAAAGCTGATGAGGGCATGTATGTCTGTAGCTGGTGCTAGAAGTAGGTAGTCTCGCCATTCATCATAACTAATGTTCAGGCTTCCGTCTTGATCCATCCTGTTAACAAAATTAATGATTTACTAAATTATTAGTTAGTATATATAAAATACTTAATATATAACAGTGTCACTTTCGCTTTGTAAGCTACTAGACTCTCTCAACTCAGAGAATAGCTACCTATTATCACATAGAATATTTAAGCAATCTTCCAAATTTAACAGAATGAAACTTAAACTGTTGCATTTACTTCAAAGAAGGAATTTTTATTTTTCTACTTAAAAGTATTTTATTCAAATTTTAAATAACATATAAACAAAACGTTAACATATCTAATTATATTTTTAAGACTGTTAAAGGGACTATTTGTTTGAAGGAAATGTATAAACGAGGGAACATTAAATGAAATGGACATACATTTTAATGCTTGTTAGGATACATAAAAGCTTGAAATTTAAATTTATACTTTATATGAGTTTTCTTTGAAATTATATTATTCAGTGCGACAGTTTAATTCTAAATGCTATTCAGTCATATTCAGTCAGTTCACAGAATTAATGTTTGTTTATTCTTATATCTAACCCTATCTAAGCTCTTTGCACATTTGATTCTCATTTATTAACCACAAAACCTACTACTTCTATTGGGTTCCTTTATCAATCCATGTCACACAACACATCCAGGCATTCACATCAAATAGTATTCTTCCAGTACAAACACTAGAAGCTAATTACTATGTGGTTATTGCAATTGCTAGTATATGTGAGATTGTAAACATGAATACAATAATTTGGATTAGCTCTTGAAACACAAAACACTGGTAAATTAACAACAATCTGGAGACAAGACATTAAAAATATTGTTTTAGTATTTTAGCAAAGCCTGACTCTACTTGCTGACTCACCACTTTAGTATTGGCCAAACTGCTCTTCTGAAACATTATATTTCTTTTTGATAAGGTTCTCCCCAGGATGACTTTTTAGCTGATGGGTGCTTTGTTCCCAATATCTTTGATTACCATATCTACTTAGCAATTTTAAAAACGAAACGAAAATTAGTGCATTATTTAAATGTACTGTGGAAAAGTATTATTGTACCTTTTTAACAAATTCGTCGCTTCGTTGCGTCCTATTGCGATGCCCAAATCAGCGAATGCAGATATAAGTTCCTCCAGATCAACTTTTCCTGTAGATATTTAAAATTAAATCTATTATTTACGAAAAGGTCACATTACCATTAGTATAGTAAACTGTTATAATTTAATGTAGTGACTAAATATTGATTTGCCTTATATGAGAACTACATCGAAATCGCTTGTTAGCTGTAAGGCCGCCCGTTGCCTAATAATTTTTATTATATATGATTTTGTATATTATGGTAACGAAGTGTAAATAAATAAATAAATACATAGAAGACTTTATAATCTAATTTCACATTTATGAAGAAGTTTTATTTAACAAAAATATGAGATAATTCAAATTGCTATATTTCTATTGTAATTTGTAAATATTAAACTCAAATTATACTTAAGCCTACCATATTAGCCCTGAAGGTGAGACTGAAAGATACTTTGACTATTTAAACTAAGTCATAATATGTAAAGTAAGTATATGATATACACTAACCATCTTTATTCTTGTCAAGGTGTGAAAATTGCAGCCGCAGATTCTTTTCATGTTCTCGTACATAATGAATGAATTCTGAGAGGGTGACATCCCCAGCATCCTTTCCAGTTGTTGCCAAAAATTTCTGGAATGAAACACAATGTTATATAACAAATCAATATAAGTTTATAAACGCATTGTACACTTTAAATGTTGTATCAAAATAATGCTATGACACAGTATTTACATATTGCATTTAAGTACATCAGTATTATGCAAGTTATTCCTCAAGTAATATATAGTACTGCAGCATTGCTCTGTAGCATTTTATTAATGTGTTAATTAATTTGTAGCAGTTGTAATTTACCTAATTAAGGACACAGCCATATGTAAATTATACTTCATATAAAATTTCATCGTCTGTGTTAGAGGCACATTTTTAAAGTATAAAAGTAAGCTGTTATTGTATTCACAAAAAGATTTGATGCTGCTTTGAAAACAATTCTTTGAAATTTTGTTGGTTGAAGATGTCTTTACAATAAAGAAATCATCTATTTACCATTTGGTTGTTATTTAATACTATTGGCTTCTGTTTTACTCTTGTAGAGGCATCAATAGGATAAGAGCCAGGCACATTTCTGTCTGTTTGAAGAATAGACAGGCATAGTGATCGACTTACTGCTCCATTCACCCAACTAACAATGGTTTATTTCATGAATCATAATGATTTGACTTGTCAGTGTATAATAATAATTAACAATTGATAATAAGTATACATACACTTAACAACTGTAGACCATAAAATCTGTTTTTGATGTTCTAGTCAACCGATCATTGCTTTTTTTTTAAATAACCACACCATGCCATAACCTCTCTTGCTCTTAAAGAAAACTCTTGATTCTGACATTAATTATAGCTGTAGCAGGTTTGCAAGAAAAAAATTGATGCGACAATTGGTGGTAACATGTTGTAATTGGTCAATATGGTAGAGTTTATACCTTTGGAACAATCAAATATCAGTTTCACTGATAAAATATTAATTAATAGCTAATTTAAGGTGAAAAGATGGCAGAAGAGAAATAAAACTAAAACGTGAAAGGTGGTTAATGGTAGTAATATGTGTATAAACCACACTTCTTACAATTACAAGCCAGACATAATCAAAATAAAATGAAAAATATCCTATATAAAAAGACTCTTTGCCAAATTATATAATATTCATATTTTTTTAATAGATTCTAAATTCAAATGTTTTTGTGAACTTACTTTAGAGCTCTATTTAGCATAATTAAAATTGATTTAATGGAGATTTACCGTTATGTGTTTAAATATAAATCTAACCTCTGCGTAGCTCCGATTTATGTGTGGAGCTAGTTCCTTGAGGGCCACGGAGAGATCGTGAATATCGATTTTGCCATTTCCATCTGTGTCTAATTTAGAAAATAATTTCTCTAGTCTTTCTTCGTCTTCTTTTGGCAATTCTTCCAACTCCAACGGCGGATGACACTGCACCATGGTGTCTGTAGTCGGCATAAAAACAAGTACTACTTGTACTAGAGAGAGAACGAGATACCGAATTTATATAAGGGCCCGTATGGAAAACCATAACTTTAACCTAACGAAAGCAAATGATCGTAAAAATCATTTTACTAGATTCCACTGGCTTTCATTTAAAAGACTGATGTTAGATGTATCTGACAGCTGCCGCCTGCTTACGGTCAGCACTTGCCACATAAGGATAGAGACTAATTTTTACGAATATGTGTGGCTCGTGTACTTATACACACAAAGACAATTATAAATACAGCACTGCGCTGAATTTTCTAGGCCACCCGCGGCCCGCCACGGCTACGATAGAGTCGCTATGTGAAAATTTCGTTATGCAGCTTGCGAATAACTAAAAGAATGCGGCTCCTTGCTGTCTTTTAGAAAAATCACTATAGTATTTGGCAACCTACGATAAGTTTTACGTAACTAGAGTTTTCAGCATTTAGCAATACTAGGCTAATAGGTTTTCTAGTTTAACTACAAGTTGAAAGTACATTTTAAGAATTAAGATCGAGGATCTGGGGGTCTAGCCATATTGGTGTCGAAAAAAATTCTACATACACTACCGCTTTTGCGTAATTGTATTGTCGAAAACGCTTCGTTCGTAGCCAAGAGGCATGTCGATACATTACCGCAAAGTCGACAGCGTAGATGCGAGCTGCTGTTCGTAGCACAAGATTCCGTCATATTGTCTCTGGATTAAATGTATTCCTAATGTCACTTTTATAAACAAATAAAAGTTAAAACTATACAATATTAGAGTTGCGGGTAGTCATAACAGACACATCGTGTCCTCATAACATAATTAATTAAATATAGTTAAAAGTAGAAATATAACATAAATAGCAATAATAAGGCAATATTAGTGAATTGTCCATCTCTGGAAGTGATAGGTGCTTTGTGGAGTACGGATTATACACAAATAATTCGACTTTTCAAAAGTGATTTTGTGTTGGTGACTATAAATTGTGAACTATAAAAAAAACTATGTGCAAGTGAATTGAGATCCCAGATTGACAGTTTTCATGTGTAATACGTGTTTATTTTGGATCAACGACCGTTATTGTGAGTTGCATAAAATATATAAAGTATAAAGAAACGTACATTACTGTGAAGAGCATTTATTGCAGTGCAATTTTTACTGAGACATTTATAAAGAGAGCATTTATTGTTGTGCAATTACGAAAATATATTTAATGAAAATGAATGTTTGCGAAGGTTGCAAGAAGTCGCTTTTAGCAATCGAAAGCATGCGCTGTTGTTTGTGCGATCATCTATTTCACTATTCTTGTGTAAATATTAATACAAGCAACTTCAAGAAACTTTCTAAGGACGCTAAAACTTCCTGGAAATGCCCAGCTTGTAAAGTTGCTACAAAAAAAATAGCTGATAACGAGACGCCCACTCGCGGGCCCAAGCAGACCGGTTATGATGAAGAACGTCGCAACTCACCGGTGGCGCAGGATGAGAGAGTATTTATTAATAGAAGCGAGCTTCGAGCAATCCTTATTGCAGAAATGCCTACAATTTTTCGCGAAATTGTGTCGTCTGAAATATCACCGCTAATGGAAGAAATGGCGTCTCTCAAGGAAGCTGTGCAATTCGCAACAACAAGATATGAGAAATTGAAATCTTTGGTTGAAAAGCGTGACTCAGAGGTAAAAAAATTGTTAGGGATGAATTCTTCACTCGAGGGAAAAGTGAGTGACTTGTTAGTTAGGCTGTCTAACCTAGAACAACACTCAAGGGAGGCAAACGTTGAGATTCACGGCCTACCTGAATTCAAAAATGAAAATCTGGTCAAAACGGTTGAAAGAATTAGTGAAGTAGTCTCCGGTAACATTGATGACAGCGATATATTGTCATGCTTTAGAGTGGCAAAGAAAAACCCTAATAATGGACGGCCAAGGTCAGTGGTGGTTAAACTACGTAGTAGTCGTTGCCGTGACACTTTATTGGCAGCCACCTTCAGTTTCAACAAAAATAATCCAAATGGAAAATTAAATACCAGTCTGATTGGGATTGGAGGGAATTCTGCTCCTGTATATGTCTCTGAACATCTGAGTCCTGAGAGGAAAAGTCTTCAGGCTGCTACCAGATTAAAGTGCAGAGAATTGGGCATCAAGTTCACATGGGTCAGAAACGGAAACATCTATATCCGTAAGGGTGAGGGTGAACCAGCCAAACGTATCATCTCGGTGGAACACCTAAACAACCTTCGGTTATGATAAATCGTCAATCATACCAGTCACATCGGTCTCTAAGGTTTCCTCTCTTAATATCTACTATCAAAATGTGCGTGGCTTGAGAACAAAAACAAACGATCTTTATGCCAGCAGCCTAAATGAGGACTATGACGCTATTGTGTTTACGGAGACCTGGTTGCTGCCTGAAATTGGTAACGGAGAACTATTTGACTCCAGATACACTGTATATCGCAAAGATCGAAATTCTACTACTAAGTTAAGAGGCGGCGGAGTCCTCATAGCAATTAAAAAAAAGTATTGCTAGTAAACGTTTGATGCAGCTAGAATCTGACCATGAAGACTTATGGATATCCATGACCTTGCAGAAGAGTGGTCGACGACAGAATTTAGGTCTATGTGTGGTGTACCTTCCGTCTCCGGTAGACAAGAGGGAGGCGCAGTGCTTTTTTGGTAGGGCGAGTGATGCCATTGCCTCACTCGATGATGTTCTGATTTTGGGGGACCTGAATCTCAGTTGCTTATCTTGGTGTCCCGGTGACATCCTAATACCCTGGCCCCCGTCAACGTAGCAATAGTTCACTTGGTGTTTCTTTAATGGATTTTATGTCTCTAGCCTGTCTTAATCAATACAATTATGTTCTTAATAGTGATAAGAGAATATTGGATCTAGTTCTTTCAAATGTTGCTTTGACTCTTCGGGAAGCAGATAGTCACCTAATTAAAAAAGATATTCTGCACCCTCCACTTGTAATATGTTTGGCTATGCATACTTCTTGTAAGTCTGTTAAAAATAAGGCAGCTACTAAATTAAACTTTTTTAAGGCAGATTATTCTGCAATTAATAGTCACATGCATAACATTGATTGGATAGAAGCGCTAAATGTAAGTGGTAACATAGATGACATGGTTGCAGCATTTTATAACAAAATTAATGGGATCATTACAGCTCATGTGCCTCGAACCAAAATCTTAAAATCTAATTATCCGCCGTGGTTTGATAAAGCTACCATTAGACTGCTTAAAGAGAAAAATAAGCTTCGGAAAAAATTTAGAAAATTTGGTAACCCACGTGATGAGTATGAATTTAAATTGCTTCGTACTCGTTGTGATAAACTAATCAGCAATAAATACAAAGCATATATTAGTAATGTTGAAAACAATATATCTAAAAATGTAAAACATTTTTGGAACTTCATTAAACACAAAAGGAAAGACTCATATACAATACCACAAGAAATGTATCGAGGTGGTGAAAAAGCCACACAAATTAGCGAAATAGCTAATTTATTTGCGGAGCACTTTAAATCAGTTTTCAGTAGCAATGATATTAGTATAATAAGTGAATCTCAATATCCCACAATGTGTAATGTCTTACCGTTATGCAATGTTAGATTTACTGAAAAAGAAATTGAAAACAAAATTAAGACTTTAGATATTTGTAAAGGGTGTGGTCCAGATGGCATTCCCCCAGTTTTTATTAAAAGTTGTTTTTCTTCTTTAACGATACCATTAAACTTAATTTTCAATAAATCACTAGAACTAGGCACGTTTCCGACAATGTGGAAGAAAGCTAGAATCATACCGATATTTAAAAAGGGTGAGACAAATATTGTTACGAACTACAGACCAATTTCTATTTTAAATACATTTTCTAAGATTTTTGAATCGCTTCTATGCCCAATACTCAAATCACACTGTAAAGTTTTTGTAGATACTGCTCAGCATGGTTTCTGTGCCAAAAGATCTACTGATACTAATCTCTTTGAGTATGTAAATTTTTTTGGCAAATGCAATTGATGAGAGAAAACAAATTGACTGTATTTACACAGATTTTTCTAGTGCCTTCGACAAAGTTAGTCATAGTGTTTTATTGAAAAAGTTGGATTACTTATATGGTATTGGAGGGGGGTTATTAAAATGGTTTGCGTCATATTTGACAGATAGAACTCAGTTTGTGGCAGTTGGTGGTATAGAATCGCAATCGTACATTTCCACATCAGGTGTTCCACAAGGTTCTCATCTTGGTCCTGTCCTATTTACTCTTTTTGTAAATGATATTGGTTCGTTTGTTAAATATAGTAATTTTTCTTTGTATGCGGATGATATGAAAATTTTTAAAGTAATTAATAGCGCTCAAGATGTGGAGTTATTGCAAAGTGACGTAGTGGGTATACAGAGGTGGTGCGATCATAACAAAATGGTTCTAAATGCCAAAAAATGTTCGCAAATTACTTTCTCTAAAAAAGAAACTACAAGTCCCCTCTAAATACACTATCGACGGAGTACTACTACTGCAGGTCAATGAAATTAGGGATTTAGGAGTAATACTAGATAGTAATTTATCGTTCATACCACATTACAATGCAATAGTCAATAAAGCTTCTAGAATGTTAGGTTTCATAAGGCGGTCGACTAAGTGTTTTAAGAATGTGAAGCCTAAAATCATACTTTACAATTCTCTGGTCCGTAGCATTTTGGAATATGGTAGTGTTGTTTGGAACCCTCAATATTCTGTCCATGTTGACAGAATCGAACGAATTAACCGCCATTTCTCCAAACATCTATGCCGATTAAATAATAACATTAGCTATAAATGCGAGTATGAAAAAAGACTAGCTTTCTTTCACTTACAATCACTCCGCGATAGACGCCGCCTTATCGACATTATATTTGTTTTCAAAATTTTAAATAACTTGGTAGATTTACCTAATGTTTTTAAGTCAAGTTAACTTCCTCTTAAAGAGGAACACAAGAAAAACT